CAAAATAAATTTAAATTTTTAAATTATTATATATAAAATCTTTTATTATAATTAAATTATTTAAAAAATTTTTAAAGTCATTTAAATTACCATCATATAAAAATAAACTTAATTCTATATTAAACTAATTAATTATATTAATTTAATTAGAATTTAATTAAAATAAAGATTTAATATAATTAATAAAAAAAAATTATATTTAATTTAATAAACATAACATAAGAATTAATTCCAAATATCAAAATAATTTTTAATAATTTTAAATTAAATATATTTTAATAGTTTTAAACTTAATTTACCTAATTCAATATTAACTAATAAACAAGAAGTATAATTATTAAAAATTTAAAATTTCTATTTTATTAATTCACCGTAAGCAATCAATCATCTAATTTTTTTTCATACATATACAACTTAAATTATAAAACTAAGATAATATAAGTTTATTATTATTAAAATTATTATCAGTAATAAGAGATTTGAGAATTATAATTATTTTCAATTGATTTAAACTATCAGCATATACACCTATTCTGACAACTCATACCCCGTAGGTGATCAGACCCGGTCACCGTGATCACAGCTATAGTACTAACTAACGAAAGCAAGAATATAATTGATCCTGGAAAGGATATAATCGTGAAAAGAGGTCGCTTTCTCCTCAACCAATTTAACAACGCATGTGCGGGTCTAGTCCACAACCAAAATCAAGGTATACAGACTTTCTAGTGTCCACCTCCAACGTGTGAACTTTAGAAGCTTTCAACCAACCAGAACTACCTAATCCGTTCTATATTTCTTGCACTGTGCTATATTGACTACCAGCAATCTCACCTATAATATACATGTAGGGACTACAAATCATAAAGTCTATTGTGAATTCGAATACACGATGAATATCTATAACGGTCTAAACGTTAAATAATGCATGCCGCAAAACCATATAATCTATTTTAAAGCCAACAATAATCAATCCCCAGACCTCGCTCATATCGTCAGAAATCATTACACAAAATGAAAGCCCAATAAGCTTCTAGATCTTCTCAAGCATCGCCCTCATCGTCAGTGTCAACCGGACGAGGCGTGCCCTTCGGACTATTAAGCCACTCAATGTGCCTCAATCTTCGTCGCACCTCTCGTTCTTTCAATTCCTTTTTGGTAATCTTCTTCTTCTTCTTGGCTTTGAACTTCATTTCGCTATTATCCTCCACACCACTATTAACGGCACTGTTCACCGCGCTACTAACAGCGCTACTACCAGGGATCGGGGTGTTCAAGCCGCTGGGTACACTGCTGCCTGGACGGCTATCCTCGAAACGATCGAGGGCTATAGCAGAGTGCCCACGGTGTGTAACCTTTCCGTCGTTGACATGCCATTGCTCAGAAGCCAACGCGCCAACAAACTCTTCGTTGTGGGAAATCATGACCACGCCACCTTTAAAGTCACGAATAGCAACTGCAAGACCGCCAAGTGAATCCCGGTCCAAAAAGTTAGTAGGCTCGTCGAGTACCAACAAGTGAGGATTATTCCACATGGCACCAGCGATAACGACCTTGACCTTCTGCCCACCAGATAGCGAGCCGATCTCATTGTGGTTAGCGATCTCGGGGTCCAATCCCAAGTCCTGGAAGTGCTTGCTGATCACCGACGGTTGCAGCTCACGATAGCCCAGACCTTCACGTGAAGCCTCGTGGTCGTCAAACTCCTGGACGAGTTTAGCGAAACCAAGGTCGAGCAATGTCTCCCGAGAAATTTGTGTGTTGTGTTTTGGCAGGAAACCGCGCCATTTGCTAGAATAGCGTTAGGAAAAATGGGTTTCAGGAGTGGTGATGAAAAATAACTTACACTTCGTATTGAAATGTCTTCTTGTACTTCTGACGACCCATGAGGGATTCAATTTGTCGCTTCCCATAACCCTCTCCAAGATCAACAAACTTATCCATCTGCTCCCGATCCCGATCAGACAGCACGCGAGTTTGCTTCATATGGACCTCGCGGTCATCACCGTTAGCATAACGCCATTGCAAATATTGATTGGGCGTCTTCTCCAAGTGCATTTCCACGTGTTCGAGAGCATGCTGCTTGATGTAACCAATTCGAAGATTTGGGTGCTTTTCAACTCGTCCAGAGTTAGGGATGACCTCGCCTGTCAGCAGTTTAATCATTGTCGACTTTCCGGCACCATTTGGTCCGATGATGGCTACACGGGATGAGAGTGTAAGTTGGCAGGATACATCGCTGAGGGAAGGTTTTGGCGCTTTGGGATATGTAAAGGACACATCTGTCATGCGAATGATCGCACGCGTGTTCGACTTCACGCCGGTAAGGATACCAGGAGGTGGGAACTTGAACTGCACCATGCTATCGGATAGTGTATAGTAGCTCTTGGCTTCCGGCTTGATCTTGACGAAGGCAGCCAAGTTTCCTTTGTAGTGAGCGAGCTTTTTGTTGGGCTCATAATGGTAGATATCGGTAGTAACCTCATCTAAGAAACCTGAGTCGTGAGATACGATCAAGCTGGTAATGTCGGTATGGGACTTCAGGTACTCCTCCAACCACTTTATGTTTGCGACATCAAGATGATTGGTAGGTTCGTCAAGAAGTAGAACGTCTGCTCTTTGAAGCATAGCGCGAGCAAGAGCCAACTTCATCTTCCAGCCTCCTGAGAGGGTACCAACTTTGTGCGACTGCCTCCCCTCAGGCCCAGGGGTGAAACCGACCTCCTCTAAAACTTCAGAGATACGTTCTTTTCCTTCTTTGGCGATAGTAGGGTCCTTGGAAACGAATTCAAGGATGCTTATATCGGCGTCTTCGCCCTGATTATGCTCAACATAGCAAGTGCGCAAGACATCCTGAGGTGGAAACCCTTCAAGCTTACCACTCGCGATACTTCTCATAAGAGTTGACTTTCCGGCACCGTTGCGGCCGCAAAGACCGTAGCGATGACCTTTGAGTAATCGCAAGTTAGTGTGCGACAGAAGAAGCATACCCCCGTAGCCCAGCGAGAAGTCAGCGTTCACAATCTCAACCTCATCGCTATCATCCTTCTCTGGTTCGCCGAACTTGCGAGCATCTTCGTCGGCGTAGTGCTTTTGGACTGCTGTGGCAATAGCTTCGTGGCTTTCGATTAACTGACCCAACGATTTAAGGTAGGGGCTGATTCTGGACCCAACCCTAGTGATTTGGCGGTGGTTGATATCCTCAGCCACCATTCCGCACACATATGGGGAGAGAAGTTTGTAGCTATCAAGATCATCCCCGGAGAGGTCCGTGATTTGGCTGATTTCCGTGTCCAGAATCTTAGCAACATCCGCAGCGGTAGTGCGCTCAATTACATCGGTCTTATCGTTCGCCATGGCCTTATCCATGACGTTCAAAGCCCGAGTAGCAAGCTCGCGCACTTCTGGAAGTGATGCTCGGTTCATCACATTCTTAACACCGGGTTGGAGCTTCGGCAGGAAAGTCCGTGCTTCGATCGGATCGTGAACTAGCTTGGTCAAGTTTTCGGTAATGACAACTGTTCGGCGTAAAACTTCTTGGGAAGTAGTAGGAGTATTGAGAGACCGCTCGAGGAAAGGGGTGAGGAGGGCGAGAACTGGTGATGTAACAACGGCCACAAATGTGGTCATGGATAGTGCATGGATAGCCTTCTGCAAGGTTTCAGCCGAGGGATTCTGCATAGTGTCGACAAGTAGTGGAATACGTGGTGCCACATCGTCATTTGAGATCAAAGTCATGAGCGAATTCATGGTTTTGATAGCTTGTTTCCCGACTTCGGCTTTGAGGTCATGCATGCCACCTTCGACGATAGGGATGAGAGTAGCGAGCCTAGCCCCCATAGCCTCCCGCAAGATATCCTGATCTTCCCCTTGCTCCTTGGTGCTTCCAATGGTCAGCTTGGCTTTGTCGGCCATTTTCTGCAAGAGTTTATATGCGCCCACAGTGCCTTGCCACTTGCCGGCGGCCTTGGATATGTAAGTTGTAAGGACGGGCAAAAGTCCGACGACAAGGGCCTCCGAACTGAGGTTGTCAAAAAGAGCGTTCAGCCCGTACTGTGCGGCGTCACGAACGATGGTTCCTTTATCAGCGAGCGCATCTAATGCGCAGCCAACCACCCCATCATCCTGGAGCATAAGCACAACTTCGCTGATAGGTGCGCGGGGTGGCATTTTTTCAAAGATGGCACCGAGAAGATTCTGTGAGCTCTCACGGCGGAACCCATTCTTTTTATCCGCAGCGGCTTTCTTCACTTCAGCAAGGATGCCATATTGATAGAGACCGCGGTGGCCAAGGGAACCGATAAGCAGTTCGCAGAGAGCATAGGCCGCATCGATCGAGTCTTCGGAGGACTTGGCGTTAAAAACTGTATCGACGAAGGCTGAGACGTCAGCCTGGGAAGGTACGGGAGCCGCGCCATCGGTGGTAATAACTGGAATGATAGTCGGTATTGAAGGCATCGTCGCGAGGTCCTCCGGAGGGTTGAGGTTAGTGATAGAGAGGTCTGGAGGGGTGAAGGGATAGTGGGGGCCGAGTTCAAGAAAGTTTGTGCAAAAGAAGTTTTCTTGGCAAAAAGATTCTTTTTTGGCTTAGGGCTTCCCGATTCGGAAAAACTCGGCATCCAATCATATTGCCATGTGGTTTCTTTTTTTTTTTTTCCCCTTCGGCCAAATTAAGGATAAGGCCAAAGCAGAGAACTTACCCCTTTGATTCATTCAAATCACTCCTAAAACGGAAATATCATATCTTGCATCAGTGCAGCACAGTGTCTACAAGGGTACATATGGCCGAAACGCAAGGATTTAGAGGAATTTTGCAAGAGACATCGACAAATGTATCCAGAACGTGATTTAATATAGCTAATCAACACCGCTGATTACTATATACATACCATTCGATTCCGTCGAGTACAGGGATGTGTATTCGTGTAGATGTACATGTATGCACCGTAATTAGAGTATACAGCCGAGACCATAGGAGTTGCCAGACGGCGGCTTATCAGATAGCATGATAATATTTTGCTTGAGCGTTTTAAATATACCTCAACCTCCAAAAATAAAGCTGGCTGGTGCTGATATGAACTAAAAATTGGAAATTAACTATGTAGGTTGAGATTCCTATCACTATAGGACAGCATCCAACCGTCGGCGGCGCTCCTTCCTCGGGGACGCCTTACTAAGCTAGCATTTCACCGTCACTATACCATCCATTCGAGTTAGATGATCATTCCCTAGGGGATATTTCCGAAAAAAAGGGTATACTAACACATCACTCCAAATTCTCTCACCCCTCTCGAACTCCATTAAATCCAATCCCTTGAAAAGGGTTCGGATCTGGTGGGCATTTGCTGTTGATACAACCGGCGCATAGTTGCCTAGCTTCGTCCGGACAAATTCTACCACAAAGTAATATACCTGCGCGGGACCGGAATTAAGGCCATTTGATGCCGTGACTGCAATCACCTCCAAGGTCGGGATCCTTTTTTGTAAGCCATAAGCCAACTGCAAATACCTGTCGCAGTTCCTAATAGCAGCTTCTTTCTCAGATGTGAGGTTTCGAATTTGCCGAGCACGGGTTGGAAGTATACGGATGTATCGTAGTGTGCTGAAATACGGGCCCTAAATGCTCTAATTGTTAATCAAGGTCACTAGCAGATGGAGGAGTGGCTATTAGTAGGCCCAGAACACTTACCATGAAGCCGTAATCATCGGTTTGTAAAGCGAGCTCTTTCAGCTTCGGCCATGTCTGATAACGAGTGCCAGCTTTGAAAAGTTGAATTATGCATATTATAGTGTAAGCTCGGACATCGGAGTCAGGCGATAGGCACTCCAGCCACATACTTCGAACACTGTCTCTGTGTCGGTCGAAGATGTTGAGGTTGATCTGGGACCCAAGAGCTTTGCCATCTGTGAATTTGACGTGTAGTACTTCCAAAGGAGGTAACTCTGCCAGCACTGACTCTATCGTTGCCCATTCACAGGAATGGATTAGCTGAAGAACACGAATGTGTGGTACCTTCCCAGCAATATCCCTTATCAGGGGATCCGCGCCATTGCAATGATCTATTCGAATAAGAACTATATTGTTGAGATTGAGTCGCTCAGTAAGAGTTGGCCCTCCCATACTAAATATCGCCCCGAAGCTGGGGAGCCGCTGCAATCGCAGTTGACGAAGCGCTCGAAAGTGTATCAAATCGCCTTCGCTCCTCGGGTCCCCAACAAACAATCTTAGGATCTGAGCGGTAGCGCTGTCGTATTGGTTTTGAGTATTCACACTAGTCGACGAATCTCTTTCCAATTCCTTATAGAGTTCGCTCTTCTCATTAAATGAGAGGTATAGGCTTTTTATGGTATCGCAGTTTCGTTTCAGCACGTGATACATAAATGCGAAGGCCCTGGATACAGCGACCTCTTTTTCTCCAAGATGGAAGCCGAACGATTCGAGGTTGTTGATTTTGAACGCGAACGGCAAGATGTCGACAACTTCGTTCATGATCGACAAATCTAATTGGGTTAGGTTTCTTTGATTCTTGAATAACAATGCTGCAGTATCAGCCCCAACTCCCTCTACCGAGGAGAGGCTATATTCCAATGTGATCAATATGTTAACCTTTTGTCCAGCGCGAGGGTAAACTTTCGGCGAAGATCTGCGGATTCACCTAATACTTCTGAGTTGATTTGGTTTCAACCTCCATAACAGCAACCTAAGGAGGAGGTCCTCGCCCGGCTTCAGGCCAGCCGGTGGAACCAGTCGGGTGGCACCGGCTTGATTCTCCTCAGTGTCTTGAATTACGTCAATCCTTTTGATGTTACTGAGGGCATAATCGGATGATGTAAGAAGAGCCTCAAAGCGCGCGACAGGAAATCCCACACTCCTATTCCACCGTATAACTAAATAGCGGTACAACAGACGAGCCGCCATACCTCGAATACCGGTACACACAAGGGCGACCGCTTTAAGAGACTCAAAATCCAGCTAAGCTCAACTCTGTTAGCATAGTTCACTAGGTGGCAAAACCCGACATACTTTAAGCTACATACATATGACAGAACCATGGTGAGAGTCTCCGAAGGCAACGCCATGAAAGACGCGCGTGATGCAACGCCTATGACCGTGACTTCGAGAGAGGCCATTTTCTTTTGGTGGCTGTGAGCTCAATGGTTTTCACTGCGATATCCGGGGTATTCCAGCCGATGATATCGAGAAGGAGGAGGAGGAGGAGCTGTAGATGAATGAGGTTTTCGGATGCAGACGCGCCTTAGGCACGGCAAATCGCATGTCATGCATCACAACACACAATATCCAACAAACCATAACGATGGTGCTGCTCCCAAAGCCCTGCATCCCACGATCGCACGATCAAGGGCGCGATCTGCGATAGTTGGTAGTATGGTTCGGCTTTATATGATCTCAAACTCGGACTACCAAAAGTTCGACTCGCGTCTAGAACCATGTTAGTTGAGTCGACTTCGGTGTATTGTTAAGGGAAATTGTCAACACATATGCACTGAACAGAGGGGACCTGGGAGTGGGTCCCACGTGAAAACCAGAATTCGAAGTCTTCTATACCTATTTGAAGCGTCCTGCAATCTCGTGAATATACTGTGTAAACCCAACGTTTCATATCGATATTTTCTTCATGGAAATCCTGGCTTTTGCATGTGCAATCAATCCTATCAGAGCCTTTCCCCAGATATTCGCTCCAGCCCCACCGGAGCAGCCACGGCAACACCGCGCGGGAGCCTTTTCGAAGACGGGGTTTCGTCCACGCTAACTAAATTGATCCTCCCCGTCTGAACAACCAGTGGCCTGATATTTCTCCCCTGCAGGATCGATATTCAAAAGTGGAAAGGACCATAAGAATACCAGTGTCTAACCACTACTATCTATGGTACTTGAGGTGGAGATGTAAGCGTATTGAGACAAGTTTGAACGAGGCGTGGCGAAGTTATGCAGAACTAAGGAGTTAAGCGAACAACTCTATAGAATGAGAGCTTTCGCTTTCGTAAGGGCAGATGAACAAGAAAGACTACAACAATCGGTGCGAAAGTTCTCTTCCAGAACTAAGCTGATCCTCGTATTGGCCTGTTAGCAATATCTTGGGGAATCGGCTATAATCCGCAAAACTGTGCACATGCGGAGGAAATTCTTCGTATTCAGGGCTCTCGATCCACAAACCATTGGAGAGTTTGTTCAAAGCTAGGGTCCCCTGCACGCCCGGGGTACCCACAACTAGGGCGAGCACCCACTCGGACTACGACCAAGGGCTTGGTTTGGGTTTTCGATACCTTGAAGACTAATCCTTTTGATACATAAGTCTGTGCTACGTTTTCTCATAATAAGGAGCGCGATCACGATTGACGATTGCTTTACCGATAGTAAGATGCGCACAGACAGCACGCTACTATTTCTCCCTCATTATTCCCGCACCTTTCAGCCGAACTTTGCTACAAAACTCACACAGGGAATATAATCCCCATTGCATCCCTGCGCTCAGATCTATCCATTTTCTGGATTCCTTTTCATGAAACCTTTTTAAGCCCCAACCGAAGAATTTAAGATATTGAACAACCATCTTAAAAGGACCTAGAGGAAGGTATGTGGTAGCGAGCGCCTACGTTGATGGCGGAGGGGGGAGGATATTTTATTCTGATGCATCCATTACAACCATTATCGACCATTTAACGATCACCTTGATATCGATTCAACGCCAACATCTACTTTCGAGAACTACAACTGTATACGAACATTATGGGTAGCCCGCCGCATCCCCAAACGGATGCAGATAGAGAATTTCTCGAGGCTCTGTTCCCCCTTCTCAGAAAAAAGGGATTCCCAGATAAATTCGAATTCCCGCTGGTCGCCAATCCGGACTACGTCCCACCCGTCAACACTTTTTATTGTTTAATAACTGGGGTAGTATTCTGTGTCCTCACATCATGCGTAGTGTGCATACGACTATGGGTGAGGAGCCGAGGGCTCTTTGGCCCGGATGATTGGGCAATGCTAGCATCATTTGTAAGTTCAATTAAACTACGATCGAAGTATCAGCTTTCGACAAATTAATTTTCAAGAGGCTAATATTGGTGTCGTCTTAGATGTTTTATTGCCTTTTAAGTATCGTCAACCTCACCGCTGTTTTTGGCAGTGGACTGGGGTTCCATCTTTACGACCTATCCGAGAGAGATATCCGTGCCTTCCTAGTTGTGCGTCCTAATTCTCCATTGATATCGCCATTTGGGATATTCGGCATCTTAGCTAGTTATCTAAGGCTGATCTTTGCTAATGCGTCGATAAATTTCAGCTAGAATTTCTCCACGTCATCTTCCTTTTCTCCACCATACATCTCTGTCGTTGCTCCATCCTACACCTTTTCTTACGACTTTCTCACCTACAATCACGCCCACAACAAATTTACCTAAAAACTGTTTTGGGATTATCGTATGGTTTCCTGGGATGTTGCATCATTGCTGAAATCACAGAATGTGGACCACCTGTCCGAAAATTTGAGCTCTCTTCACAATTTGACGGCACATGTGTGGGGTCGCGTTCTATGTGGCTCTACGGGCTCCTCATTGCTGGACATATTGTTTTAGATGCTTTGACCATTTTCCCGCCATTGGTTGTTTTAGCCCGCCTACCGCTTGCGCCTGGGAAAAAGTTCAATTTGATCTTTCTTCTTGTTCTTGGCGTTTTTACAATGGTCTTTAGTGGTATCCGGCTCTATATTTTCTATCAAATTATGCTGGATTCTTTCGATCTTACATGGAACGCTACAGGAGTCGCATTTTGGGGTATTCTCGAGAGCAGTTTAGCCGCAATCATTGTATGTCTCCCGGCACTCAACCAGATAATACTCAAATATATTCGACGAATCTATCATGGCGATGACAGGTCGGCGCCTGGTGTCCTGACCACAAGACACGGTGTTAGCATTTTCGAACGAAACTTTATGTTTCAAGGGCCACGGAAAGTTCTTACATCCTCACCAGACGCAACGGCATCAGGTAGCGCACCCGAGTATCTGGAACTTGGGGAGGTGGGAAAACCGTCGAATATAGCGACTGCCACACGTGCACAACGTGGCCACATCACGCAACGAACCGCGAATGACTCTTACTCGGAAATCTCCGCCGATCGAAGTTTTTATCTTGAAGACCAAGAGTCTAGTGTAGAGTTCGTGGAAAATATCACAAAACCGGCCATAGCACAGAGGGCTGTTAGACGACCGTCTTCGCCTACAATATCTTATGCTGCTCCGCAAGCTCTCAGATAGCGGTAAGGGGTCCACCTACTCTTTGGCTCCACGCAGTGCTATTTCCCCAACTGAAATTATGGCTTTTTCTATATTTATTTCTTGTATACGTATACGCATTATACCCTAGCGATCTTCATAAATTCTTTTTGCATTACATATCGGGTGTTACTTACGAATATTACGACCTCCGTCCCATTTAATGTGCGCGCGCAAAACCTGTTTATCGAATCCAATGAAAGTTTTGGAAATGGCTACATGCAGTAGCGAAATATTCTTGCAAGTTGTACCATTAACTATATATATATATATACATACTTCATTAAATTATGGCGACACGAGACCCCGCCATGTGATACGCGAGTACTTCAGTCATGCCAAAAAAATACACAAACATTGCACGATCGTCATGATCATTAGGACTGCTTTTAACAAATTCTTTCTCTTTATCTCATCGACTATATATAGTTGTCACCACATATACTACATGGCGTCCTTAAATTCTGCCCGGCGCCCATCAGCCTAGTTAGCTAAGACATTCCTGCTTTCGCTGCCCTTGGCCCAAACGACGAACCACGCCCTCCCAGCCAACCTTTATATACAATATTCAATACAATCATTATCAGTGAAAATGAAACTTTCTCAATCGCTCACTATTGCCTCAGTGGCCCTATTTTCACTCGCCAGCTCCGCTCCAACGCCAGTCGACAAAGTCCCAGATGCTCCTGCAGGTACGGTAAGATCGAGCACCACCCCCAACCAACATACCTGCCTCTCAACCCATCGATACGATCCAAAAGATTATGACGGATGGGAATTCGGTATGTCGAATTACTTTACAATTTTCGTTACTATGAAGGCTACCTGTCGGAGGTAACTAACTGATATTCATTGTGTTTCAAAAGAGTGTTTCCAGAATTCCGATTGCGGTGGGGGTGCACAAATGGGGTGCCATTGTATTATCGAGGCTGTCGAGCGATTCGATCCTTCGCTCGGTAACAAGGGTCTGCCATACTATAACAAGGTCCCGAAGTGTGTGTTTATTCCGACAATAGAACAGCTGCTAGGCCTTGATCTAGCTGATGGGTCACCAAGTATTCACCGTGCCTAAATCAAATATCGAGTCGATCTGCGTTTCGGGAGCTGCGGAGCCCGATCTGGGTTTAAAGAGCTGGCTACTTGTATATTCATAGCTAGTGACCCCATATCGCACAATTATATATATATATATATATATATATATATATACACGTACACGACGATTTTGTAGACTTCAAATTTCCTTTATTTCTTCAAAGTTATAAAATTAAAAAGAAAATACTTGGCTCCAAAGGTGGATTGACTCTGTACTTGAATTAATTGTAGGCGCCTAGGCTATTGTGTAGGTATTGGAGGGCTGTCACACTTATCTTAGGCTGTCATCATGAATGTGGCCTCCGCTCAAAATCCTGAAAATCCACTAGCTGTTTAGGCACGAAAATATAAAATTAGGAGTCGGGACACCTCTCTTAGGTATTGACTCGTATACCGTAGCCTTTTACAACTTCCCGAAGTATAGTCGCAGAAGAACCAATAAATTACCAAATTTCTTTCTTATATTTCCCATGAAGTTAGAGACACAATTTTAAAAGGCTTGGAAATCGATCCGAGAACACAGGCATACAGCATCCAACAAACGAGCTAACCGGGAAACAAGAACGATCACCACCACAGCTCCTAGTCCTTGTACATGTACATACCGACTAGTCATGACCAATTTGAGTTTATCCTGCGCTCGCCACGAGAGATGATTTAAAACCCGAAAAAAAAAGAAAGAAAAATAGTAGATGCATGGATGCGATACCTTTGGCTCCGTGGTACTCTATATATATTAAAAGAAATAAATTATTGCCATACGACCTGGGGACCGATTGTGAGCTAGTCTTGCTAGCTAGCATAGGAGAGACAGCGAACGTGTCCAAAGCGATATTGTGGACGGTAGCTTCTAACATGCGGGCGTTTTAGTGCCCTCAAAATCAAGCCTTATTGAGGAATAGGTAGATTTTCACTGTTATAAAGCCTGCTATAGAATATTGGCGCCTGTCAGAATTTTATCTATGTATCGAAAACTCCAATGCATATATATCTTACAGTGATACGTAGTGCGAACGAATTTCAACCTAATCCGATCATAAAAGCATCTTCCTCAACTTTTTCATTGGATTCCTCTTCTTCTTCGGGGAGATAGGTTCGTTGATTGGCTCGTATCCCCTCTTCCCCATAGGCACTGAGAGTTTCTCGTTCTGGTATTCTGGCTCCTGCTTGAGTCCGATATTTTTGGTAAACCCAGAGACTTGATTCTTGAGTTTTTCTCCGGGGATTTGGTTCCCTTGTTTCTTGTCTTTAGATTTAGACTTTGCTTTCTTCTTGCCAAAAATTAGGTCCTTGATAATAGTCTTGACCTTCCCGACAAAACGCTTGTATATGAAAGAGATACTGAAGAAAGATTTCAACCCCATGGTAATGTATCAGCTAAAGGGTATTGTAGTAGTTGCCTGAGAATGGGATACCTAGCTAGAAAATCCCAATGGGCAATGCAAGCCCTCTTATACTAAAGCCATTATTCAATTTCCCCCCCGAAATTTCACCTAGTTGACTTCTGATCGCAATGATTTAACGAAACGGATCCGAGCGAAATCACTAGTTCAAATCTACCAAAAGAAATATGGAGGCTAGAGCTCACCTCGGATAGCTCGCCATCGGAGAATATCGATAAGTACATCCACCCCAGTTACAGATTGACTGCCAGCCGCAAATTGACTTTGGTATTCCCAAAGCCTCGGGATTCCGGATGTACCTTCGATTGGTTGTCGACGTGTGGCGCTGCCAGGAATAACCAATTTACCTGTCGTTGTTGGGTCCTGCATACCCACATGGCCTTTTAGTGCGACACTAAACCACATCCTGCCACCGCTACAGGATGGAGATACCTGAATCAATAGGACTGGCGCGACAAACGGAGGTCTGGAACTTTGTGGCTTTTACTTGAGGTCTTTGAGACATATGGTCTTGTGTTTTTAGGGCGAATCGAAACGCAATAGCCAGTTTGCCATCCACGAAGGCTTCGAGATCAGATAATTGCCAAGCCAAGCCAAACAGCGTTGATGTTGCAACGCTCCGATATATGAGCCAAACAGTGGAAGACAACGAAGTGCGAAATGCATTTGTTATTCGATTAAACAGAGATTTAGGGCAATATGGCATATGGAGCAGATGGCTAGGCGGCTTTTGGTGAGATCCGAAACCTTGATTCCTTGAAATCTTCGGGTCTTCGGCATTCTAGAGCCCGCCACGGCCCTAGCGACCGCTCTTGGTGTAAATGTGAGATGCCAACCGCTTCTTCGAAACAATATGATTCATCATTTCGATGTCGTTTTGTAATTTTTAGTGGTGCTAGTTCCCCCGGAGAGGCTCCGTCAAAAAGAAAATTAAACCCATTTATAATATATCTAGAATTTTGGTGCGGCCTAAGGGTAATTGAGGGTCCCAGGATCCGAGTTTGTGTTGATAATGTTGTATTTTCTCGACTGAATCTTCGGGGTTGTAATGCATTCCCACATCATGGTTATTGCCTAAGGCGCAAAAAGATTTTAGGCCCTTTGGCCTTAGAAACCTGAAATCTAGTAAATTATTAGAACCCAATCATGACACAGCTCTCCGTCGTTCCAGGTGTATCAAGTGAAATCCAAATGTTCACTGGATAGTTTGCCAAGGCCGACAATCTCGCCTCTCGCCGAAAGCATGATGGTCTGACTTGGCGTTTGGAGTGGGTGTTGAACTTTGTGCTGGCCCGTCGCGTCTCTGCGCTTTGGTCGAGCCCCTCACGACTCGAGCAGAGCTGGCGAGCTGTGAAAAGCTCACAACAACATACTTCAGATCCCCATTTTCTATTTCTCCAATTCCTATAGGTCCTAGACGTCAAGAAAAATATATCTTCCGCATAATCAAACGTCGCAGACTAATAGCGTTTCCAATGGATTCGGTAAACCCCCCGCGCAAGCCCCGCTTGACCAGCATCAAAAAGAGCACAGAAGCTCCCCCCCAAAATAAGCTCCAGGTACCAGGCCTTGGACTTCCATTGACTTATGAGAGTGAAAATGCCTTCCCTCATGGATTGCTTTCTTACTGGTAACAGCGCCTTGTGCCAAATTTTATACTTCTATCTTGGAGTACTAAACTTAATTGTTATTGTTGTTAGTCCGCTAGTTATGACTTTGCGAGAGATTGATATGCTCAAAGCAATGAACCTTACGACTGATAAGCCGGGTTGGACAACGAAGATATACGACCCTGCAATAACCGACAAATGGAGATCGGAGATAAAAAGCCAGCTCGATTTCACTGACAAAATGTTTGACTGGGTAGGAATATGCCTTTCTCAGTGAAATTTACGTCGTACTGACCGTGGTACCATGATCTCGTTTCTCGGGAAGTGTTTGGCAGAATTAAAAACCAAAGCGGAACAATTCCAAAAGGAAAAATTCGTCATAGCCATCGACGGCGACGTTTGCAAATCCGATACACTCATCACGGAGGAAACCCGGCTCGAGATTATCGAGGCTATTAAAGTTCTTGAAGACGTTCCCGAGAGCCAAAAGGACTGGCATCCCGGATCTAATGATCAAGTCCTCGACCTTGTCCACCCCTCGCTATTCCCTTTGGCGTATGGGAAATCTCGAATAGTAGAAGATGAGCTTATTACCCTCGAGAACTGTTTAGAGAGTATTGGTACGGGCGCTATAATAGAGTTAAAGGACAGCTCCCTCAAACTCGGCCTTTCCAAGAGCAAAGGCAACATTTCTGTTCCGCATGCCTGGAGTAAGAATTTCCAGTGGCTCCCGGCAGACGTGTCTCTCAAAGAGGTAGAAGGGAATAGAGTTGTCAAGTAGGCCCGCAAACGGCTCCGCGTTTAATTCTAGGCGACCAAGACTAACCAAGAGGCTTCCTAGGTTCGAGAGCTACATCAACAACCTCCACCCCTGCCACACTACCCTATACCGTCTCGTTGAGACCGTCATCTTAAAATCCATCCCGATGTGGAGCCAGACCCTCCTCGCCGCCTCCGCGATGGACAAAACCGAAATCCGACTCCCGTGGTCTATCGAGTATGATTTTGACGAAGAAGATGTTCCTGCGGACTTATATTCCGATGACGATGACGAGGATGCGCAATGGGACAAAGCACATGATTGGAAGCAATCCATGAGAGAGCAGCATGTCATCCAACCTGAGGCACCACATTACAGGGACTGGGTCGCGCGCGTTCTGAATTACGACGGTGACCTAGAGCTGGACCTCTGGGAGAAGTTTAAGGACAAAGGCCTGCAAGTCATCGTCAAATTCGCATCGATCCACTTGACACCCGAGAAGCCACATTATGATGGCGGCTCCTGGCACTATGAGGGACAACTAGTAAGTGGTAGAGCCAGAACCTGACATTAAGAGATTGCTCCTAACGGGGCCAACTTCTCAGAACGATCATATCGTCGCGACATCCATTTACTACTACTCCAACGAGAATATCACACCTTCCTCACTTAAATTCCGCCACGAAGTCAACGCCGAGGATGCGATAGAGTGGCCGTATTCCCAAAATGAACATGAGTTCATGAACCCGTTATTCGGTATTGGGAATGAAGAGGCTGCAGTCCAGAACATCGGCGAAGTCGACACCAAACAAGGTCGTCTCGTAACCTTCCCTAACACTTTGCAACATCAGGTTCAGCCTTTCAAGCTGGAAGATCCAACCAAACCTGGCCATCGAAAGATCCTAGTTGTATTCTTAGTTGATCCGCATACTCGGGTGGTAAGTACCGCGAATGTACCGCCTCAAAGGAAAGATTGGTGGGAAGAAGTGCTCAATACAGATTCCGGGAAACGGCTCAATCGGCTACCCCAGGAATTGCGGGATATGATTGTCGATAGCGTTGATGACTTCCCCATTGACATGGAGGCTGCAAAAAAAATGAGAGTCGAGTTGATGGAGGAGCGCAGAACATATGTGGAGGATCAGAACCGAGAGTTAGAGGAAAATACATTCTCCTTATGCGAACATTAATTTGACGCAAACCTCACAATAAAGATCTAGTACGGGTAGATGCTTTCGGATCCCGCTTGGTTGGTAAAGTGTATAAGTACAAAGTACATAGCTATGCATAATTCTATTAGAGAGTGTTCTTGTGCGGAGAATTACGCTGTTAGGGGTAGATTCCCAAAATAACTCATGACGTTGAGTCTAACGATCCAACGCTAAAGTCGCACACTCCCTTGCCTACCACAGCTAAGGGAACTGTTACACTGCATGAATCGATTCATTTCATAGAGCTTCGAGGCTGGCGTTTTTTCTTACCACTAGAGTTGATTGTCACAAGTAGCAGCTTGCGTTTCTTAACTATAAAATTCAATATCGTTAGCCTTACTTCCCAGCATCTAGTGAGAGAACCTGAGGCCATTTCACAGTTTCCGTAAAAGAGATTTGGTGATTTGACCGGGCGCATCACGGCACGGATGCAACCTCATATTCGCCTAAATCTCAATATCTAGGCAAAGCTTGTTTCCCCCTTGCTTCAATAACCCGACGTCACACACCTCAATCTCAGACCTCAAATTGTGATTTGAGCTGGCAAATCTAGTTAGGCCGCGCCTTCTTGATACTTTGGGTGGCAGAGCGACGTCCACGAGGGCATGAACCCAGTGAGGGTGATCGGACTCAATATAGGGCCGTAATCAAACTCAAGCACTCGCTTGGGACCCGGCAAGGAATATATAAGTGCCTCCCCTCTCAAATGCGGCCCAAAAGGGCCAGCTTTTTTTCTCTTAAGAAGAATTCAGTACCAAGCTCTTTTTATTACATTCCACCTTCGAAAAAGCCCTTCGCAGTTGCACTTAATAGCTTTGGTTTCGACTCGAAGATACCGCATTGTTTGCTTCCCACAACACAAACACGGTGATATAGAAGTTCAAACTCTAAATTGCCTATTCGAGAACTACCACACTGTCCAACTCAAAGATGGTTGCCTGCAAATTCCTCCTCGCCGGGTAAGTGAACTCCCTCCAACTTCTTCCAACCTCCGAGTTCTAACCACCCTACGCATCTAGCTTCTTTGCCGCTGTTGCTTCTGCCCAAACTTCATCAACCTGCACCCCCTACAGCGCCCCCGCCGGTGCCTGCCCAACAGCCTATGACTCCTGCTGTGCCTTCCTCTGCGCCGAAGCCCAAGTCCCCTTCGGAATTTGCCAACCAAATGATGGCACCGGAGAATTTGCAACTTGCACAGCCTGTGCCGGTGGAACTGCAACTGCAATCGTGACCACCACGACAACTGACACAGCTACTGGGACCGCAACCGATACCATCACGGGAACTGGTACCCAGAGCACCAGTACTACTACGCTGACTTCTACTACTACTACATGTACTAGTGGGAACGCGACGACTTACACCGCTTTACCGACACCAACTTACATATCTGGTGCTGAGGAAGGATATATCGTCTTGAACGGGGTTCTTGCGTTTGGGCTACTTTGTGCAGCTTTTGTGATGTAAATTTCAAGCAGGTCCAGATAGTTCAGGGTATATTCGATTCTCATGGTTGGATCTCTTTTCATTGAATTTGCTGTATTATGGGGTATCCCTCCTACCTGCACCTCTAATTGTAAAGCAAAATATTCATTCTTGATTAGGCACATTGATGTTATTGAATAAATTACGTTGCAAATAGCGTTTCCGGAAAAAAAAAAGCTGCTAGCGCAGTAAGACCGAAACGAAGCAAAACTATAAGAAAATAAACGCACGAAGCCAGAAAGCTATGCAATTAAGACCCAACCTGTTGATATATCCACGGAATGCAAGAAAAAGAAGCTTTCGTACTCTAGCCCTTAGACTATGTATAGAATATCAAGTTCAATTTGGCTTCGAAAAGAACCCGAAGGGACCCACTAAGCCTTGCCCCGCCTCTGCCATATCTCGTTGAATTTCTTCAATTTCACTCTGGGGGACTTTATCGAGATCTTCTGAATCCAGATCTATGTCTTCGACCTTCTTTTCTACCACCACGACCTTGTTGAATGTCCTGTCCTTGAAAAAGGGATGACTCTTCAAAAGGGCCTTGCTTTGACAGTGGTATCCCATTGGGGTATGCAAGAAGTCCTGTCCTTTACGCTTCAAAGTCACCCACTCTTGTAAGAATGACAATGGCTTCCCAGTAAAAACGACAGCTTCAGCCATTATGCTTTCTTCCAGCCCCCCGCGAGCTCGTTAGTCAAATCAAGGGAATCCTTGAGATCAGGAGAGTGTTCAAAGGCAAAGTAAAGTCTACCCGCAATAATTCCCAACTTGACAGATAGCTTAACTGGTGGCTTCCAACCTTTAAACAATAATAAAATTAATAAAAAATTCAAAGTATCAAACTAAATCATCTTGCGAGTGATGGATACAATATAGGTTACTAAATGTACTGGAGATTTCTATGATCTATTACTAACATACGGGATCAAGTACTCAACCTCCTCTAGTATAATAATAATCGTAATATTTGTCACTATAACTGCTGAGGATTTAGTTCACCAGCCACTACAAAAATAATACTAATACTGGTCTTAACAGCAATTGTCGGATTGAACTTGTTCGAAACAGGGCGTATAATTTTGGAAAACCTTATGGACAAATATAATAACCTAAAAGTAGCATTGTGGTCAATGGAATATTTCTTTCCTAGCAAGCAAGTTCACCAAAATCTCTCCCGTTTTTTCGGGACTTTGACTCGCCGGTTTGATTTGCGAATCCCTTGGTTAGGCGGAATAACTATTCTAAGATTATTTAAGGTGTTAACCAAATATTGGCCGCTGTTCTGTAGGCTGAGTTTGATATTGTTAGTATTAGTTTTTTTGGAAAAGGATTGACGCAATGCTCTACTTTTTTGCAGTATTACTCCTATTCATCAGCGATATGGGCGTTGACCGAATCACTAGCAGCAGCAACCTTTTAGTTCATTTTACCAAAGAAATAATCATAGACAAGCCTAAGATTTTAGGAGCTTGCATTTTGGCTGCTTTTAGTTTTACCATGAGATAGCAGAGTTTAACCTTGAGGATAGTGCTTCTTTCGGGGTTGGTTTTAGTACAAAATTTGACAAAAAAAATGTTTGTAATAGAAAAAAATATATAAACTTGTATTGGATTGTTCCAATCCCAATTTTAGAGAGGAGCTACAGATGTTTTTGTAGTATAATTTTAAAGATCAACTAAATAAGATTCCTCCCTTAAAGATTGACACCATTATTCTAGCACATATTGTCACGAATTTGTTTCTAAAAGATTTTAGAAATAATATTTGTGCTAATTACTTTTAATAAAATTATTATTAGATTAGTGATAAAATTAAGCTCAATTGTATTACAGCTTTCCCATATTCTGGAAAATATTTTGTTGGTTACAGCAGCAAATCTTTTAATAGATTCTTTACTAATTTACTTAAGGAAAGACACAAGTTCTTCTTGAAATCCAGTAACATTGAAAATCGAATAAAAAATTGATACAACATTCATGGGAAAACCCCATTCTAAAACTGATTCAGCTTCGAAAGCTTTCTAAAACATTGAAAAAGTTTCGAATACCTCGAAAATGATAGAGTCGCCCCAAACCCTATTAATATTTTAGCATAGTTGAAAAATGATAATCTAATGATTTTTTATTTACCTATTTTCACATCAAACAACCAGAACAGCATTCTGTTTCATAACATAAAAGACTAGCTGTTCTTTGAAATCCAAGTAGTGGAGTTGTTGAAGAAGAACCTGCTTGTTCAATACACTATCAATACAGATTTGACAGTAGCTCAATAAAGATTAGTGGACAAGAGAAAACTCTTAATAGTATCAGTCGTAAGTAAAATCTCGGAATTCGCGCGTGGTTGTTGATAAGACGTTGAGAAAGTCGCTGGATATGGCATTGACGTCGTGATCCTCTTTGCCTGGGAGCTGGGCAGGGAGAACGATGTGATTGAAGATGGATTCGAGGGCGAGCGGTTGATTTTGGTCTTGAGCCCCTGCCATGTTTATCAAAATAACTTTTTTTTAGAGGGATCTCCACGTTAGTACGCATCCTGTACTTAGTTGATCTAAATTCCTCTTGGCACCACCCGTAACTTTAGTTTGACGCTCTTACTAATGTTAAAATGTATTTGACGTCGATATCGATCTTGGTGATATGATATTAGAGTGATGAAGGTTAAGAGGTGGCCGAAGATTAGCGGATTGTAGAGTGGTTAGTGAATTGTGTGGAGAAGAAGTAGTTCTGTGGTAGAACATAATAATGTTGGTGCTCCTCCACACCACCTCCACCACCTCCACCACATTTCAACAAAAACAGAACAGCTGACAACATTAAAGCACAACAACTGTGCCTGCATGCAGCATCGAGATGCGTTTCAAAGCAGTCTACACGATGCTATTGGCTGTTGGCTACCACACTGCACTGTCCCGAAGATTCAATGCCTGAATGGGAGCTATGTGGCACAACAACTAGCAAGGCTGTCCATCTGCAGAGGAGTGACAGTCCAACACAAGAAGGGCCACCGAGACTAAGTCACAGTATCGTGCCTGAACTCTGGATCGCTTCGGCCAACGTTACAGCCTCGAGATTCAATTTTTTGGGGGCTATCTGTGTCCTATTGATGACTCGCGAAGGAGATATAATGTACCAATATGAGGCTGTCTGTCTTGATCCTGAGGACTTCGCGGTCCATCAGTGTCTGCCAACACGAATCTTAACACTCTCCTTTGACCCAATCGAGAAAATTCCTAAATTGGTTAGGAGTGCTAGTCCTAGGTCACACAAAGTTTGGGTTCACAATACCCCGGCAGGCCGCTAGGAACAATTTTGGCTACGCGCGATGCTACGCGCGATGCTCATCTCAAAGATAGCAAAATTTGCAAAAGAAAGGATAGCATTGCGATCGCATCGCCCTTCTCGGGATAGGCCACGACACCAGCTTATCCTTTGAGATTCTTACGTAGTAGGCCGGTATCACATGCTAGCAAAAACGCGAAGAGGCTCTGGGGATTAGACGCTTTAGGAGTCCTAGGCCGGAACTGTGAACTATAGGTCTGGACTTGAAGCTGTTTTATTAGGACATAACTAGCTATGTCATCCTGCCTTTCCATGCGCCTAGACTTTGAGGCTCCTAAGTTGCCATCTTGCAAAGCGTAGTCGTAACTCGTATGCATGGAGCTTTTTGTATAGATTCTTGGCAGGTTTGTCGCAAGCTCCGAATTACCCGCGTACACGACTCTGGCTCGGCTGGGTGGATGCCTTCAGGACGGGCTCACCGGTATCTGTTGAGCTAGGAGTATTTCTACGCTACAAAATTTACTGAAGTAAAGCCACACTATAATCAATATGGTTGGTTAATATGGTGGTAGTAGATTGAGAATTTAATTTGGCGCCAATCTGGGAAAGAATCGGGGTGGCCATGCCGAGAAAAAACAACGGAACACAGACGCGATCTGAACAAAGTTCAACAAAATGACTTCAAGTTCACAAAGGGATAGATAACAAATATTCAGTCTGTCAAGGATAGATAAATACAAAAATTTCACCATTTTATCAGGCTTGGAACAAAGAGGCGAAGGAAGACCTAGAGAAAGTTTTATACTGCTCTGCCTTTGATGGTCCTAGTGACTGTCGTCTAGCAAGCTCAATCTGACTAGGTGTAGCCTGATCATCTAGTCCATCATCCTCCAGGATACCCCACGAGCTTGGTGACTGCCAAATAAAAGTCTTGTCATCTTGATTAACCGGCTTCTGCGCCCAAGAATTGAAGTCCAACACCTCATTCCATTTGGAGTTCTTAACATAAAATATGGTTTGCAGCTCCTTAACCATCGGTGCGAGATGCTCGGTGTTGAGCTGGCCCTTTTTGGATTGATTGGCGAACTTTAATAGATCCAAATGATGGAAGATGAGGTTGGAAACCTGCTCTTTAGATCCGGCACCACCGCTACCCTCTTCTCTCAATGACCAGAAAAGCCTCTCGGTCACGGATATAGTCTTGTTGTAGTACCCGGCGCTGTTATAAATCTGGCAGAGGAGTCTACCAAATTGTTGTGTTTCTGGCTGCAAGACCCCAAAGACTCGGGAATAGTTGTAATAAATCCTTTCCAGAACCCTCAACGCGGACTCCTTCTTACCCTGCTGCATGTAAGCATCGACAAGGCGACAGCCGATGGTGGTAACAAGACGAGGACTCCAGATGTCATCATGCGTATTTCTAGAGTCCCAAAGTTGCTCTAAGATTGTAAGCATGAAATCCCATCGCTTCTCAGCGCCTAAAAGTACCACGAGTTTATCGAGATCCCCCAAGTCAACCGAGACCCAAGATACTCCCATGTCACCAGATAATATTTCTTGGAGGATCAACTGAGTGAACTTTCCGATATCTGCTTTCAAGGCAGGGTTTCGGTCGGCCTTAACCTTATCAGAAGTCATATGGAACAATAATCGGAAAATGTTGGCGTGTTTGTGCTCTTCAGTCATGATCTTGTGAGTCCAAACAGCAATAATAAAGGCGGCCTCGATATCCCCGATCGCAACAGTAGCCTCAACGCGCTTCAATCCGACGTCAACCAAAGAGAGTGACTGAGAAGGGTGCAAATCAGCGAATAATGCAAGACATTCCTGGAAGAATTCTTCCAACATATCATCCGAGAACTGCAGTTGGATGCTTGTCTTCCCACTATTGTCAGGGCCAAACGTCTTGAATTCACGCAGAAAGATCGTTCGAAGGTCATTTTCAACAAATTTGAATTCAGCGTGACGGTTTTGAGCATAGAGGAAAGCTCTCAGTCTGGCGCCGGCAGCGAGGATAACGTCAAGCCCATCTCCGAACTTGGTTGCGCCAAGCCAAGCCATATAATGCTCAGACTCCTGGAGAACAAGACCAATGACGGAACCATAAAGCTCTTCTTCACTCTCGATCCTGCCGCCCTTCCTCATTACTGACTCGAACGTAGTAAAAAATACTTGGTACTTGCGTTCAGTCATCAGGCTCTGAGAGTTTCTAAAAACAAGCTTCTTGAACCTGGCGTCATGACTATCGAATGCTCGACGCTCTTCTTGTCCGAGACGGCAGTATTTCCGAAGATCTACAATCAATCGGGTCCCAAGATCCTGTTGACCAGCCACAAAGAAGAGTTTGGCAATTGATAAGGCGCTGTCAAACAGATGCTTCTCTCGTGACTCCATGGAAAGCGTATCCATGATAGTATTCTGAAGCAAGTCAATCGCCGTCTGAGTATCCTTTTTATGGGAATAAAATTGCACCAACTGCTCGAGGGCACCTAAAGTTGGCCGGTGAGTCGGACCATATGTCCCTCTGAACTCTTCAAATAGATTCTTGTAAAGGTCCTCAGCTTTACCAGCGGTAGTTTGGTCCAGAAGGTAGAGCTTTGCCAAGCTTTGTTGGATTTGGAGAATGATGCTTGTGTTGTCATCATGCCCGGTTGTTCGGAGCGCGACTTCAAGGAGTTTCTCATACTCTATGATGGTTGTCTTGGCTTTCGAGTGGTCGGATTCGAGTAAAATCGCATATGCGAGACGAGCCTTGAAAAAGTGAGAGCTTGATTCCCCAACGGTATGGTGATAAATGTGCATAAGACTTTGGACGAGGGCAACAACTTCGGTGAGAGGGGCGTTAGACCGTTCCAGGTCGAACCTATGCTTGGCATAAATTTTGAAGACAACGCCAGGATCCGGGTGGAAGTCCCAGTGCTTGGTCGTTGCCAACTTGCCCCAGAAGGCGCTACAAAATTCGCGGGCCTCGGATTCCTGACCTGGTGCATTCTCATAGACAGTAAACAAGGTGACAAGGATATCAAAAGTACGTTTCGTCAGTGTCGTTTGCAAAAGAGCGTATGATATCTGTTGATAAATCTGAATTGCATCACCTAATCTACGTTCCTTCTGGTACATCCCAGCTAAAGACAACCCAACTTCAATGGTACTTTCGTGGAAAATACCGGGATTCTTCCGTAAAGCCTCGAAGTACGATTTTGTCGATAGAAGAGCTTCATCGTGACGGTTGTAGTCTTGACAGAAAGTTGTATAGTCCCTGAACGCCTGGATCACTCGAGGCTGAGTGTTTGGCATCAATGTATTTTGACACGCTCTCCAGACGTTATGATATTGCTGACAGGCTCTAACTGGGTCTTGTTTTGCATGGCCCCGAGCTCCGAGATATGCTAACTCGATACCTCTGTCTTCATAGTGTCGTGGTAAAGTGAGGGTATCCGCATTATTTCCTTGCAAAATTGCGGGCCAGTACTTATCCAACCCCCTCTTACAAGAGTCGTCTGACTGGCGCCAATCATTGCGACCTTGGTAGAAACGCGTAAGCTGGAGGAATGCGTCCAAACCCACCTCGGTAACACTCTCTATTCCGGTTGGATTGAGAATATCCACCAAGCCTCGTAAGACATTTTCTTCTTCCTTTTGATCACCATGGCCATTCTTGCGGAGCTTGGCAAGTCCACAACCAACAGTATAGGCAAACTGGCTAGTACTCAACTCTGGTGTTTGTTTGAAATAGGACCAGAGAGACGAGTATAGCTCTTCAGCTTCTTCCAATAGATCAGAGGCATCCAACAACTCAGCAAGCGCTATAAGCTGGATGACGAGGCCCGTAGAGTGAGAGCGAATGGGCTTGACATCAGGCCGATACATTTGCCAAAATTCTCGGAGTAAAAGCACACCACTATCCCTGCTACCAGTTCGTGAATAGTACTTGGCATACTCGATGATGAGATGGATACGTCCATCGTGGATTCCGAGGACTTCTTCGCCTGTGTGTTCAACGAGTGCTGATGTTAGTGCCTTGATTGCCCTATCGAATGTCTCCCGAACCTCCAAGGATTTCCCGCAGTCTTCGTATGCACTAGATAGTTTTATAACCGCCTTGATGCGTTCTCTCTCCCATGCGTGCAGCTTAGCTTCAGTAACGGTTAACTGCCTAATGCAAAGGTCGAGATACTCCGTTGAAGATGGGTCTTTCTGGATGATAGGACCCATGAGATCCAAAACAGAAGAACTTCTTGAGTCTGTCTCGCCATAATTCTTGCAGCATTCAGTCCAAAGCCATCTATAATGTTTCATTGCCTCTTGGTCTCTCTCCTTTTTGATGAGACTCTCACCGTAGCGTCTGACAATTTCGACAATATCATCATTAAGACGCTTCGAACTCTGACTCTTGGTGTAGTTGATCATCCACTCGAAGACTTCGCTATCGTACTCCGTTTCTCCATGCTTCTTGCTGATTGCGTAGAATTCAGACGCAATATCCCAACCTTCTCTACTCGTAGTTCCGAAAAGCGTGAGAGAAAGTTTAAAGGCCTTGTAGCAGTCCTGCAGGGCGTTAACGATCTTTCCGTTGGAGTACCGGACCCTAGTCAGGTTCATAAAGGAGTGGATAGTTGCAGGAACATTCGTAAGAACCATCTGCCTAATGGTTGACGCCAACAAGAAATCATTTTCTGGAACTTTGTCGTAAACCCACAATGCATATTCTAGTTGAGGGAAGTTGGGTTCAGCCGGGAAGACAGGCATTAATTGACGAATCTGTCCTGACTTTCCAGATTTGGAGATACTGGATTGGCGGAAATGGAAAAGCCACTTGCGAATAGCGTAACTTAGAAGACTATGCTCCTCGAGAGCGTTGGTGATGATATCTTTCGCTGGAGGCCTGAAACCATTCTCTAGAGCGTGTGGAATATTGGCTGTTTTGATGTATGCAAGCATGCTGAGCACAACTTCGGTATTGCACTTGGCACGGGTAGGGAGGGATTTATCGGTTTCTGTCTTTTTCCAGAAATGTTCCTTGAGGGAGTGATGAGAAAACTGAAGCAGATTTCTGTCGACGACCACGAGAGATCCACACGGCTGAATGATGTCCTTTTCAACATCCCACTTTAGTCTCGGAGCTCTAGATGGAGCGCTATCGCCATAGCTCACTTCAAGCAGCTCTTTCATATTTTGAATCGACAGGGGTTCTTCTGAAACCAACATCCAAGATAATACTCTTACGGTGTCAGCGTTTGTGAAATCAATATTGGCCAGCAGAGTATCCAAAAGACCAGCTGCACCGGTGGAACTGATGCTTCCAAGAGTTTTCAAGATTTCGGCAATGTTCTTTCCCCTTTTAACATTTTGAATGAGCAAATTGGCAACGGGGAAAGACCCATCTGCTTGCTTTGCAAGAAGTTCGATGACGGTATGGCGGTCTTTCTGGCTGACATCTGAGGCTCCGAAGTATTCCTCAAGCACCCTCGTAACATGAATTTTGATGTCATATTGGGTATTTTCTTCGTCAATCTTGACATCTGTGAATCGTCCGGTAAGTGATGGGCTGAATGGCGCGGAGAGAAATACGCAGTTCAGGGAGTTTGCGCCGTTCAGGTCAATAATCTCCCGGATTCTATTGACGATGTCTTGAGCTTTATCTCTGCCTCCTGAAACGTGGTCTAGGCCATCAATGACCAAATTAAGCTGCCTTGTGTTTCTTGCTGCAACCGCAAAAACATCCCACAATGCTCGCTCGAGTTCTAGCTCAGTTGCAGCAGAGTCTTCCTGAGAAGACGCTGTAATATGAATATCTGCTAACTTTTTAAATAACGAGACATCTCCGAGGCTTTTGCTGATCAACTGCAAGAGCAGTGATTTCAAAAAGAAAACAGGGGAGGTCCCATTATTCACAGTGGTATCTAATAGGAAATTAGCAAGGCGCCACAGGGGACTACGCAGTTGATACTTACCGAATGAGAAGCTCATTAGAATATCTTGCTTGTGCAAACGGAGGCGATCCACCACCCAATTTGCGAGCATACTTTTGCCGCATCCTGTCTTACCAGTGACGCAGAGCAACTGATCCTCGCCATCTTTGAGATCAGACAAAATCCGATCGAACCACGTACATGTGCCTTCAGAGATAGTAGGCTTAGGTGTCTCTACTACACCCTGTCGTAGCCAAGACTTCAAGTCCTGTACGGGAACGGGACCCGTTCCTACCATATGTGTGTCAGCTCCCTATTTTATGAAAGTATAGGGCATCGATCTTACCCTGGACGATTGGTGATTCTCGAAGTCTAGTAACCCAAATTTCATGCTCCAAGATTTCTTTGTTGGCGGTGAAACTGCGCACAATGGCACTAATGATTTCTTCGGACTCGGTTATCAGATAGCGCGTAACTGTGAAGAGGCGTCAGCAATGTCCATGCACCATACTAATTAAGTATCTAGGAAATATGGGTTAGGGGTATTTACTTCGTGCGTTATGGAAAAGTAGTGTTATGCGAATCACCAGTTCCACAATGTTCCAGAAAATAGCTAGCAGTACACGTTGGAGTTCTGGAGAAGAGACATATACATCTCGGTGCGGCTCAAACGATTCTAAGGCGGTTGCAATCTTGTAGAGCTCATCGAAAAACCTTTGTAGCGCATCCGAGTTTTGAGATCCAATCTATACGTAACCCAACTCTTGTTAGTATGCCACTTTTCCATTGACAACAATTGAAATAATATATATATGTGATTGCAGGTATATGAACTCACCAGAAGCAACGACTTGCAGCACCCCAAAAGGCTCTCAGAAGTTTGCCTATGACTGCTTCCAGGAAAGAACAGTGTAAGCTGTTGGGCGAAAATCTCAATGCGCTCTCCGAACTGCCCAACCCATCTCATGCTGTTATCAGATACGCTTCCTTCGTCTGGCATATCCCGAATTCTCTGAGCATTAACAAATCTCTTGAAGCTTTCCAAATTTGGGCACCCTCTAAGAATCTTATCGGCGTCAGGACCAAGTTCATGACGGCATCGTTTAAAAATGGTTCGGATTTTTTCGGTATGATCGAATCCCTTTGATTGAGTAGATGCGGCGTGCGAACCTTGACCTTGGTATGACGTTGAATATGACTCCGACATACTCATTGTGGTTTTCATATCAGAATAATAGTCTCTATGGATACTCTTTGCTTCCCAGCCCATGGAACCGTTTGGCATTTTTGTGGGAGGTGATGATCGTGCAGGGTTCACGTGAACTTTATCGTTACGGTTGAAGTCTGACAACTTTGAGAAGTCAACCGGAGCGGTTGAATACAGGGCTGCTGGGTCGGTTGACACGGTCTCAAGTCCGGTTGGGAATGCCCCCGCGCCATTCATCTGAATGCTAGACTGAGAAAATAGAGGTGCACCATTCTGAATACTGGGATGGGAAAATGGTGGCCCACCATTCTGAAGATCGTGCTTCGGGGTTATCGCCGCGCCGTTTAGATGTTCTACGTGCTTTTCAAACGGAATCTCTTGCTTGTGAACCGGGATTTCTTGCGAAGAAAAGCTAACTTCATCACCTTTGTCTACGGGAGCGTCATATGTATCGGCAGGAACGTCAGGAATACTTTCTGATCGTGCGAGATCGGCGACCGAAGTTGAAGCCCCGGCCTTCAAGTCGTTGGCACCTTTCTTATCTGTAAAACGTTAGCCATAAACGTCAAACGTACTCCGCACTCAATTTTATGTAGATTGGAAATAACTTACTCTTGTTTTTATCGACCGCCATTTTAGAATATTTGAATAAATCAAAAGCTCGCCTGGACATTCATCAGAAGAATTTCATAGAATTGAAAGTAGAGTTTTGGAACTTAAATACATAATTCGAATACCATCTGAGGTTTGAGTGACAATTATAGGAACAATTGATTCCTGGCTACCCGCCTAGGTATTTTCCAACATTCATATCTTGCCGGCCATATCCTCATTAGCAAGGCTTTAGCAGGGTGCGAGATTGATGGTGTGGATCACATCAGCCGCCCTTTTGGATGTCACCGTGAATATTCGGGAACATGAACTGCTCGCCAGAAACTTAGCAGGTATCGATCTCCACTGCACTGTTTCTGAACGCAAACGGCCGAATTTGATCCATATGTACCCCGCCCTTGCATTTACATTCTTTGTACGGAATGACGGGTATAGCCTTCGCATTGACTGTTATAAAGACAATTGGTCCTAATTGCCAAGTACATATGAGCAACACAGAACCCTGCAGGACTGTGAGTGGTGACACCATGCACCATAGATTCGAGACTCGTCTGTGGCCCAAGTACGTTGAAGCCAATCCAAACCAAAATCTGGGACGGCAGATTGCATGCAACAGCGTTCTAAAGGAGGGAAATCGATCTCTTGGTTGCAAACCCCGATTGCGATAGCTGAAAAATCGGGTTCTCCTGCGTTCTTCGGTTAGCTAGTCTCGACTAAATGTTACGCACCCATGTTGGTGTCTAGTCTCTGATGTCACCATATCTGTTGGTAGCCAGTCCCGGCCACCTTTTCCTTCAAATGCCGCCCTCCGACGCACAGTTCCCTTAAATTTACCGTCTAAATGTGGGGATTTCGTCGCTTCGCTCAGGTATTCGAAGTCAGGCTGATTTGTGACAGGTGCCAAATCAAAGTCTTCCACCTTTTATACATTTATGAAAAAACAACGCGGTGAAAAATACCTGAAAATTCTGCCTGACCGCGGACGCTAATAAACTTAGTGTGCACGCTAGCGCTAGCGGCTCACGATTCTGGAGATTTCCATATTTTGGAGTTGGATACTTAAATGAAACGGATTGCGGGTATGGCCTAGTGATATTTCTCAGCTGAGGGATGGCGGATGGCCTGATTAAGAAGAGGGACGTTGTGAAGCCGACGCCGTGTGCAAGTTTGCAGAACCTAATTAATTTACTTGCAACCATTTTAGGTGTAGTTTTTTCTTAGTTGTTCCAAGCCGCTGATATCACGATTTGCTCCACTTCTGAGCATGTTGTTCATAATAAGTACATCGATCTATCAGGCACAAACTATTTGAGCCCGACGTACTATAGCTATGTAGCCTCAATTCTCCAAGCACGTATTATTATATTATATTAAGTAATGTGGATCAAGAGAATATATTATGTGAAGTATGATAAGAGCGATAATTGACGGCCTGGAATGCTATTTTGTCCACCCCGCAGATGCCGCAAATTCCTGTCCTATTCGTTATGTAAGACCCTGCCGTGTTACCAATATCCTAGGCCTTTTGCCCTGCCGTTTGTGCGGCTTGCAATATTAATATCCCCACATCCAGGCGGTCGAGTTGAACGGTGCTACATTACGTATACTCTGCACGTAGTAACTGATCCCCCGCATGTTCTTTTATGCGTATCAGAAGTGTTTATCGTGCAGACGCCAGTACTTAAGTATGTGCCAACTGCGAGATCTTGGTGCCCAAAACTGTGTGAAGTCGGTTCAATGCTATCATGCGAATAGGTAGGGTGTACCGTACAAGTGCCGCCAAGTCATGGAAATTAAAGCCTGAGCAATGCAAAGAACACAATTGATAAGCGCAATTGCTGAAAGCCCGGGGTTCTATGAAGTGTGTTCGCAGAAAAAGGTATGTTCAATTTCAGGCCGTCACCGAGCCTCCAAAATATTCGTATGTACATGTATACATGACACAGATGAGAAGAAAAGGTAAGTTTGCCCATCAGCTAATAACTTCAAAAGAAAGTCCTGCCTCGAAGTTCATCCTACAATATCAACATCTTACATAGTAAATGACTACATGGTATTTACCTGCACATGCTTACGGGCACTGAGCCCATTGCATGCCAAGAACGTACGTGAATTTACCATCCTCGGAATCTGTGGTCATAAGCCCGCTAGCTCCGCTGATAGAAGACTTGAGGTTGATTTGGGAGTTAATATTCAGAGCGCCGGCCTCACCACATGGAGACCAAACAACAGAGGTGCTCTCAATTTCGTCATGGATTAAGTAATCCTCGTCCTTGGGGCCAACCAAATTGGATGCTTTGCTGACCTGTTGTATTTTTAGTGTCAACGCAAAATCTCGAAGGTAGATTTTCGCCAAGGCAACTAACCTGCTCGGAGTACCCAGAGAAATAGTAAGTAGCACTTTGGGTGGCTGTAACTCCATTTTCGAGATAGGCTATAACGGGAAAAGTTGTTAGAACATAATTTGTCTAAAGATAGATAGGTATGAAATATCAACAGACCATATCCTCTATAGTCAACGCTGAAGATAGAGTACTGGAACCCTTGTGGGTAATGAATATCGATGTTGAGTTGACAGTTCTTGCGGCTTTCCGTAATCGAAACTCCAGTGCCAATAGCCGCGACGTATTTATCAAAAATCAAGGTGAACGTCTTGCGGTCAGAGGAGATGTAGATGCCTAGCATATGGAGGGAGTAAGGATTAGTATTCGCATTTCAACATTTTGTGCACACAAAACAGACGATAACGAAAATGGCAAATGTTTTCTTACCAACCGATCCTTGAGGACACCCAGTACCACCGTAAGTGATAGCATTCACATAGATCTGGGACAGATCAACACCTGGAGGGATGGTGTACGATGGTTTGGCAGATGTCGTGGTTGTGGTGCTCTTGGTGGTGGTCGCCGGGGTTGTAGTCGCAACCTTACTAGTAGTAGTAGTGGTGGTGGTGGTGGTGGTGGTGGTAGTGGTAGTTATCTTAGCAGTGGTTGATGGAGTGGTTGTCACGACCTTGGTGGTGGTAGTGGTTGACTTGGTGGTTGACTTGGTAGTTGTGGTTGTGGTTGTGGTGGTTTTTTTAGCAGTGGTTGTTGGTAACCAAGGCCATTGAGGAGCGGCAAGGGCACTGGAGACCCAGAGAAGGACGAAAAGAGATGAGATTCTCATTTTAGGAATGATTTTGTGATAACCTTAGTCGACAGTAGATACGATATATACTTAGTAGCTAATGAAGTCTCGAGAAGAGCCTAGCTAGCAATGCTTGTTGATTCTGATTGAATTGCTGATTAAATTTTTGAAATTAGAAGGAATAATGGCGTTTAAATACATTTTAGACTTTTGGTTTTCTGAGCGAAACCGATTGAAATACGGAAAACCATAGCGATGATGGTGGAACATGAGAGAATGGGTCAATATCGGAGAGGATTCCTGCCGGTCGTAGTTTATCGCGCAGATGAAGACCTGTAAACTTTTGTTCCCCGCTCTTCCCCTCAATTGATCAATTGATCACAAAGTAGATGGCCATCAAAATACTTCCGCTGTTAGAGGTAGTGTCCTCAGACGCCGATAGATCTAGCTAGTTCCAGGATTGGTTTCCTGATACCGATGTCGTATAAACGTGCATGCGCAATGGGCAATATCGATATCTCGATCCATCGTGATATTTCGGTCCGTCGGACCTATGATCATACCAATATCGTACTCTATAGATCCCACTGAGGCGGGGTATTAGAGTAGCATTTGATATCTATCGCTTATCCAAATTGTTCTTTTCCGTCATTGCCATAGTGATAAAACGCCACAAATTGCTCATCGTCTGTAAAAATAGCGATTCGCCCAATGAGATCATAACTTACCTAGTAGTTACGAGACTCAATAGGATAATGGGAAGCCGCCTTGCAGACTATTTTGGCGGCAGCCATCGAGAGATTTAAGCCGACCCGGAGAAATGCGATAAAGTTAAGCAAGAAATAGCGCCATTTTGTCCCCAATTCTTGGGGCGCCGGGTCCTAACGAGGTACCCCTGGATCCCTGTTCTAAACATAAAAATTATAAAACTTTTATTAAGTTTACACGTTTGTGCAACAAGGACATGGCTCCAAAAAGTGGGGATTTTGACTTTTATTATACCCGAAGGATAATCGATAATCAGCCTGCTTAGCTCCCCGGGAGGATGTGGGCCGACCATCAAGACGGAGAAATGGAAATCCCTCGCGTATAAATTGCGACGTCGATTCACTCTTGGCGAGCTCGCCTAGAACGGCTTGCACACATATCCATGTTCCAAGGACCTGGGTAACTAGCCCCGGAAAATTAAATGGGGGCTTAGAACGGATGAGGAGAAAGCTATAGACACAATGGTTCAACTAATCCTGTCTACGAAAACCTGAACTTCAAGATAAAGGTAATGGGGATTTTGGATTCAGGAAATTTCACAAAACTTCGCTCGGCAATAGTGATAATAATCTCTGAAAACCGGCGTTTCGGACCGGTATCTCTGATATTTGGTAATACGCAACTAGTATCTTCATCTAGAAATCGGTATAATTTTCTTAAAATAGACTCAATATCAAGGGTAGAAGATATGCAAAGGCCGAGGGAAGGTTACATCGATCGATTTGAACAACGTTAGGGTACTAAATTTTGCCAGCTGGCCGGCTACATGATTTCAAGCAGAAAACTTTTAAGGAAACCTTATAAATATTGATAGATCCACCGCTATTGCTTGCAAGAAACTAAGAACCAGATTAACACTTCCTCCATCCCAATTCAAAGATGCGACTGAGTTTTCCGGACTCCCCAAACTCAATAATTTCCCCAGCACCGGTTCCTGTTATACTAAGCTCTGATTTGATGTTCAAAGCAGTATCAGAGCCACATGGTGACCATGCAGCCCCTCCAACCACAGAAGCCGCTTGGATATTGTAAATGTACTTGGCAGCTCCATAAAGTGGGAGAGTGAAGGCCGTTTGGTTTGTGCTGCCAGAAAAGTAGACTGTTGATGTGTGGCTTGCTTTGGTACCCGATCCGAGTAGAGCAGCACCGGTGAAGTTTGTGGCGAGAACAGCGTATTGCCAACCAACGGGTGCCTTCAAGGCTAAGTTGAGCTGACAAAACTTACGGCTATCGACAAGGCTGCCGGTCCCTAGCTCGGCGGAGAATGATTTGAATCTCGCGGTGAATGATTTTCCGTCCGCAGCGATTTGGACGCTAGCGGATCCTTGGGGACATCCGGTCCCTCCGTAGACGATGTCATCGATTGTTAGATCTTTTGGAAGAGAGAGCTCCCGATCTTCGACGTCGACGGGAAGGGCCTGTGATAGGACCGCGAAGAGGGCGCAGAGGCTCAAGAGGAGCTGGATGATTGATGCCATTCTGTAGAATTGATTCGATGGCATCTTGTTTGAGGATGGAGGTATGTTTAAACAAACAAATAGGAATATTAATATTCAAGGTTTGTAATTCTTGGTCAATAGATTCTTGGTTTGCGATTGACTGGGAAGAATGTCATGGTCAAGCTTGAAGAGCTCTTGTCGCCTTTTTATAAAATAGTATTACTGGACTAAACCGATTTAATCGATGGGGTTATCCTCCTTTGCGCCTCGGAATTGCATTCCGAAAAACTCTTTAGAGATATTTTCGACGTCAAACCTGTCTATCAAAGATTAGATGTTGACTGATAATTAAATCCAACGGATAATCGGAATTGGATTCGATATGTCCATATGGAGGTGGCGTTGTCAAAGAACGCAAAGAGGTATCTTTTGCCGACAGTCCATTTTCTCTGCTCGAGAGTACCGTGGTCTGGTGGCGTTTAATCCTTGAACTTAAGCTTTCTGACATCTTCTTAAGAAAACTCAGGGTCTTGATGTATCGACGTTCCAGGCCAGCTCCAGGAGTTCGGACGGGATACCCCTGCATGACGGTGACCATACGTACGGGATCCCTTGCAGCAACGAAATTCCTGGTTCTGGATAAATAGATACTCGCATTCCGGACTGATCGCACTTCTTACAGGTCGAGCGCTATTGGAGCAGTGAAAGATTGGCATTCGAGGCCTTTCGTGAAGGAGAAAGTTTCGTCTTTTACTGCGCGCTGGGTGTTGGGCAGCACAATATTGGGATTGCTCTGCCAACTTCTCCAATTGCAACAAGGCACGGCTTCGACAACTCAGGATCCCGATATACGCCATCGGTTAATATCGATATACATCTGGACTTCATCTGAACCAAATGGCGTTATCTTGGATGGGCAGCCATGCATTCTAGAGTTGTTTTGTGATTGGCCAATTCATTTCGAAACGTCTTACAGGATTAACAGTCTTCTGCTAAAGGGTCGATATCTCAATGGAAATTCTAGACCCGGAATTGTACGTAATTTTACCATCGGCTTAGAAGATCATGGATCCGGGCTGTAACATCTTTGGCAATTTCGAGAGTATCTGAGTTATCAGGATGGGCTCCTCCGTGTGATTCGGTCCTCCTACGCGCTCACTACTTTATCAAAACATCAAAACATTTTTGTTTAAGACAGTGTTAAGTCTACGAAGATGTGTAGCTGACTCTCTAATTGCGTTAATACAAGATAAATGATTACTCTATTTCCCACTAACTACAATAGGCTATCTAACTCCATAGTGGGAAGCTACTCCTACGAGTGGAGAGAGGCCTACACAGGACGAAGCTACCGACGTGGGTTGTGAAGATCCGGCTAATTCCGGACAGAATGGGCCTATGAGCGAGCTATCTCGCTCACACCCGTTCCTTGCAGAAGATTGGCAGTAGTGCCCTTAACTTAGTTAAAGCTTATGAACAGGCCTGAGTAGGCCTGAGCGGAATATACGGACCTATAGCTTAACCTGTCAACTGTAGGAAAGTCCCTAAGACCATGCTCTCTAGGGATCCAGGCGCAAATAAGATAAAGATGATCAATCAGTAGTTTTTCGATAAAACCATCGGGATAAATGAAACCTGGCCTCTAAAACTTGAGTTGCATCTGTTCCGATAATTGAACTTGAAGGTGTAATTGATGCATTTGTGAAGGTAGACACACGCAGGGAAATCTTTAGTGGAGCAAGCTCATAACTGTGCCTAACTATAGGCTCTGAAACCCAAACCTTTAGGCTATATACACGGATTTCCCTGCGTCTATAATATATCAAACATTCGGGAATATACACGCAAGAAGATTAAAATCTGGCGTATAAATGCAGCCCCCATAAGTATACGCACCATTCGGACCAGTTCCGATACAAGAGGTGATTATTTGTCTCAACTGAGCCAAGCACATATAATGTGGCGCCGAAAACCCTCCAAGCTTGATATTTAATAAGAAAGTAGTCGCTTTACCATCCACCGGAAGCACGACTGTGTAAGGATTGTCTATTTCTAGCCATTTCCCGAGCTTCCAACTATGGTGTTACAAGCGGAGACAATAACCGCATCTAAAATACTGCTAATTGCAATTTGAGTTGGTGGCCCGAACACATTAGCTAGTGCCACTCGTGCCCGGAAATATGGAAACTGCTAGAGGAGTTTTAGGCGTAGTTGTAGTCGTTGTTGTAGTCGCCGTACTAGGTGTGGATGAGGTTGTCAACCGGCTGGTAGTCATTGTACTGTACAAACAAGGCGTACAACTTGCCTGAATCGTTTGGAGACTCGTCTGGCAGAGTCTATACGGCACCTGCACAACGGCACAGTTATATGTACACCAATCATCCGAAGTTACGGGACAAGCACCGGCGCTATAAGGATACCGACAACCTTTTGTGGTTGTCGCAGATGTATTTGTAGCAGAGGTGGTCACGAATACTGTTTTTGTAATTGTGACGGTTATGGCGCACGAAACACTAGGACAAGTGCTTGTCCCTGAGCTTGCTAAAGTTGTCACTCGGCTGGTTGCTGTCGGAATTACTCCTTTATTTTCTGTACAGTATTCAAATCCAACTTTTGGGCCATAACAGTCGCGCGCAAGGGCTGGGTTCTAATTCAGAAATTTCCATTGTCAACAAGGGTCGACGAGGCTATCGGAGGCGATATTATAAGTTCTGTCGAGAGATCCTCGCGGTTGTCAGAACAGTGAAATACCGATCTTCCACAGCAACTTAAACTTACCCAGAGTAGAAAGTCCGCCAGAGGAACACCATCGACATCGGCGAGGATATGACAATCATCTCCAGGGAGGACCTGAACCCATCTGGAACATGTAGCGATAGTATCCGGTTCCGTTGGCCATGGGCCTAATTATAAACGGAAAGTAAATAAAGATTGTTCTACAACGGTAAAATTTCCCGGCTTCTAGTGTTTTTGAGGCTACACTTACTTGGCGCTGCGTAAATTCGCTGGGAGGAGCCGCGACCCGAGCAAGAAGGGGAGTATTAAATGAATCGCGCTCGACTCAATGCCAATAAAAGGAGACCGATTCCTTGCACAGTTGAGGAGTCTGGCGGCGAGACAAGATTCCTTGGTTCAATGTTCGATGCTTGTTGCACGCCAAAATGATTCTGAAATAACGTTATAGCCTTATGTTCGCGGATCTCATTAAGACGTTATACGACGCGACTATAGCTTATTATACTGTAACCATTGATTTCCACAATTTCTACCACCGTATACTCATCAACTCGGATTCTCGGCGATGCAGTATCTCCACTATTCAATTTTTCCACTTGGGGATCGGGGCCGCTATCACAGGATCTTCTTGGTAAGCTCCAATCTTGACATTCGAATATTACACATAAAAATTTCTCGAGATAATCAACCTTATCAACAAACCAGAGAGATTCTGCTTTAGGCAGTTGTAGCTCTTACGGCTATGCAGCTTAAAGTCTGAATCAAGCAGGATGGATATGCGATAATTCCAATATCGACAAAACTCGACATTCGGCGACTCCGGGATCGAGAAATACTTCCACCACGTATAATATCGGAAATCTCGCTTTTCGTCTTACCGATCGAATTTTAGCACGCCTAGCGAAAAGGACAAGAGGTTGACTTCATAATGTCCTTCGGGCTCCGTTATAGGACTTTCCATCGTCCAGATAATTATCGCGGGAGATAGCGTAGTCTGGGGGTCGCTTCCTGGAGATAGCGGTGCTCTCCCGTTGCCGAATGTAGTTAGCCCCTGCATAAAAGCCTCCACATATTTTATAAATTTAGATACGGAATATTTCCCTTTTATGGTTAACCTGCTGCAGGCGTACTTGAAGACTGTCGATTTAGCTCCACATTCGATGCATAGCTGATATGTTTGTGATTCGACAATCGCAGGAACCTAAATAACATTTTCTCCTTGCATTAGAGATATTCATATGCTGTAAGCGTCTATGCAGCCCTCGCCGAAGCGACTACAAATAGCGAATATGAGGAAGTCCCTACAATTTTGTCAACATTCGGCAGTTCGATTAGTAGGGCCTTCAAAGCCAATATCGAGTCCCCACTCGGATGATATAAACTAGTCACAAAATTAGGGTTAATTTTTGTCGCGCACCGATAGTTAGTGTGGAGTTCCGAACATTCGCTCATAGCGAGGGGCAGGCCTGCACCAACCAGGTCAGGGGTAGCTTCAACGTTACGCAAACTCTGCATGCAACGTCGACGAACATGAAAAAACAGTGCCCAGAGAGTCACGAAGCTTAATTATAACCTAACTACCGATTTGATAACTTTAATCAATTGGTCCTGCTCAGGTTCGCGGCACGCGATCGGAAACTTTCTATCCGACCTTCTTTTGTACGGCCCGTTTGAAAGCTGTCCCCTCTTCAGCCGATATATGTGAGATGGAAGTCTAGGGAGAGAAATATAATTGTTTTGCTGTTCGCTATAGCATACATTTGAAAATCTTTGCTCACGGAATTAATATTGAACATCTTCATGAAATTCAATTTTCATCAAGCATCTGATATGATGCTCAGCTCATTTCGCAGTAAATATTCTTCAGCTAGATCCAGCATCCAGGTTTGCCATGTTAGGATCGAATGGCATTTAAACTAGCCCTTGTCCTGGCAAACCACATTGGTGACTCGAGGTATCTGCATGCTTACATGTAAACATGTTACCGGGTAGACCAATTAATAATTTCGCAAGCAAAAAGGTGTACTTGATTACACGAGGATGGATGTAACTGAAATATGGGTATGTTATTGTAGACATAGAGTTTCGAACCTGGAGCTTAATACCATTATTCCAACTGCCGAAGCATGATATCCCCTGACCTCGGCGAGACCAGGATTCCCCGTCGCGTGCATTGACGTCGACTGCCTACTAAGTATTCAATCGGTGAGCTTGTCAAAGCAAGTGCAAACAAAGCAAGATTATGTAATTAAAAACAGTACAATAAAATCAAATGTTCCACACTAAAAGCCGACAGCACCTGAAAACTCATATAAACGTCAACCAAAAATTTCGAGATATCTAAATACAAATATACATGTCTACATGAAAATATTGCTCTCTATTCGATATTCATGAGCTTTGCTTGATACACGAGCTAACTAAATGATGAAAGGGCTTTATTATTTACCTTTTTTACTTTCAGCCATAGATGCTGTAGCTGGAGCCGCAACTTATGGAAACCCATTTCCAGAATCTAGTAAAACTCACTTGAATAATCCAACAAGGCGAGAGCGCCTCCAAGGTCGGCAACGTTTGCTCCCCCTGATGAACCAAAATTTAATTTACCTCTCAAGCCCCGCGTGCGTAAACGCGCAACTGAAGATGAAGTTGCTGTAGCTAGACAGCTCGTCCAAAATACCCAAGTCAACCAAGGAGCGAAAAACCATTGCGGATTTAAAAACCCCGTTCGCGCGAAGTCTACATTAAGGCCGCCTCCAAAGTCGACCAAAAGCCTTCGCGCCAGTACTCTTGCAACAGATGCCCTTGTAGATACCGATCTTAAGTTAGTGAAGCCGCTGCCCTTATCGCGGAATTCGAAGCGCCCACGTATAATGAAGCGTTACTAGACCTTGGTCCTGGATTTCCAAAAAATCCAAAAGAGACAAGGCGATGGCGGTTTCTGGATGGAAGGTGCCTCCCATGACGCGGTTGCTATTGGTGGAAGCTCTGGCTACCAAGTTTTTCGGGACGTAAAAGACTTTGGAGCGGTCGGCGACGGGCGAACTGACGATACCGTTGCCATAAATCTGGCCATATCCAGCGATGACAGATATCTAGATGCGGTGCGAGCTGTGGTTCTAGCACTGTCAAGCCTGCACTTGTATACTTCCCCAACGGCACTTATCTTGTTTCCAAATCCATTATTGGATACTACAATACTCAACTCGTCGGCAACCTCAAGGGCCTCCCGATAATCGGAGCAGCAAGCTCGTTTATCGGGCTCGGCGCCACATCATCCAATGTTTATATAGAAGGGCAAGGCGGCGGACGGCTTTGGGGCAGTGACGCGAGCGGCCTCACCTATAGCGAGGATGCCGGGTCCTTCGGTGGTGAGGATCGAAATCGGGTGGTTATTATTTCAACCGCTCGAGATGGACCTCAAGGGTAGACATTCTGGGAGTACTATATGTTCTCTGGTCAAAATGGGGATGTTATGACAAATATGAATTGTGACTACCTTCGTGACACTGGTCCGGTTGGCACTGTGGAAAGTCCTCCAGACACTCACGGCCTGGGTAACCAGCCATTCAAAGGACCCGCCAAGAAGCTCAAAAGTATCGTTGTGGTTGGTCATAGGTGCACTTATACGACAACTTCAACCGTGTATTGGATTACCCGGCGTGAAAATTGGAGAATTATATTGCGAAGAATTCAGTGATTCCTTTGATTGCTTCAAGCCCACACCTCAGGTCACCAACCCCCCCCCAAAAAAAAAAATGGAGACGAAGTGTGATGATACTGTATGGTTTGTTGTCGGCGTCGAGTGTCCCACCCGCGAGTTTCGTGCCAAAACTAAAAGAGGGCTACCTCTCGGGGTAGAGTATGCGACGACACGTCATCTCAATCCAACTTAGTTGGAGTCACAAATGAGGAAGATTGACGGAACATTTCAGATTGACGGCGGTAGAGCTCAAAAAGACACTATTTATCACAAGCCATTATCGACAGAGAGGAATAAGGGATATCATGGGATGCTATTTTAAACCCAGCGTCTATTAGCAAACCATATAAAGGTTTGAGGATAGACCTAGGCTTTCCGACCGTGCTCGTGACCTGGAGAGCCGCGTACGGCTTCTGGCTATCTAGATCTCTGGGTATGTACTGGAATCAAAATCTAACTTTTACACGACGCCCATCTCGAGATCTCTAACATGAAAGATGATACAGAAGGATTGGAGAAACTCTGACTATGACGGACACATATTCCCAGGGCGAAACTTTTACGGTATTAACGATTGAAATAATTTTATTGGATGCCTTGGGGAGATTAGCCAGCAACTTTATTTTGCGGCCATGTCCGCGGCTTTCGCATTGCAAGGACGGTTAGTATATGCTGGTCGAGCCTCCATTAGATGTCAACAGTGTTTTGAGATCCAAGACTTGCTGTTCTTGTTCCGATCATATCTAGGGGCACAGTCTAAGTGATGACAGAGAACCCCGCTCACACGCAGATATTAACACGGCCCGAAAGTTTAGTTTAAGAATCATTGTTATAAACCGGCAGGGCAGCGATCCACATCTTATCTACCCCAAAGCTGTCACCTGGATAAATCCTTACCGGTCGGTGCCGCTTGTTCCAGGCTCACTCCCCTGGGATCACCCAATAACCAATCTCCCACGCGACCACGAGGAAGAGCCATGGGGCTCCTTTCTTCGCGATGTAACACCCAGAAAGAGAGATATAATCGATTCTCCTGAAGATGATGGGTTCTTGGTAGCAAACTACACGGTCTTAAAGGAAGACCCAGGAAATGACTCCATAGCTACAGCCAATGAGCGAAACCGGTCAAAGAGTAGGGATAGTGCTTACCAAAAATTTCCTGGAGTTACCCCTGAGCCCTTGGGCACTGAAAAACGCCAATTGAAGGAAGAATATACATTCCCGGACTACGAATACAGCCTCCGATGATTTGGTACTGACGAAGGCCGGCTGGCTCAGACAATCAAAATTATGTCCCCCATACAACGCCCAATTCCTAGCTTCCGATAATGAATAGGATGGCGAATACCGGGGAGAGCTATTACGATTGCTTCGGTACCGGTGGAGTTAGTAAGTTTATTTAGTTCATGAAATCACTGTGCACTTTAAAGTTCAGACTCGGAGAGCAAGCTCATGCAGTTCCCGACCGATTTAAATATCAATTGCTGATCGTTAATTTTTTTCGTCTTCTTTCTCTCTAGCGTATTACCCGTAAATTAACTTTCGAGCAGTGAAAAATAATGATATTCAAAGTTCAAGTATCTTTCTATCGTTTTGCCGTGGGCAAAGTTGTACGTCTAGTCTTTGTATTAGTCTAAAACGATTATATGCTGGAGGGGGTGCTACTGAAGGAGCCCAGTATATTTCGCACAAGTTGCCTCGCATGAGACGTATGGACTTACTCGCTTTATACAATGAGAGAATCAAGTTAATCTCAGCAAATAACATGAGATTCTGTTCTGGTATCGAGTTTGACGTAGTTAATTTCGACATCCCGAGCGGTTGCACTGCACTGCACGGTCGACCGGCCGTCGCTAGACATTACTTTGTGGCGGTGCAGATACAGGACCACAGAGGATTTGCTAGCGAAACTGCGCCACCGGTACCGCCACCACACAAAATACAACACTTTCTTTCCTCACCGTCATGCGTGTTGACGTCTATAGAATCTTAACTCTCACCTCATCAAACCACATCACCAAAGTTAGCTCCCTCAGAAGGCACCTCAAGACACAAACTGAGCTGATCGAGTGCACGTTTAGGGATAATGGAGAACAAATGAAGAGTTGACTACCGTCCGAACGATCATCAGCTAACCCTTTCTTGTTCCAGGCAGCCAAACTTGAATCTCACAGTAGGCCTGGAAAAGCCCTACCAAACATACCTCACCCGTAATCAACCACACGGGGTCGCGAGGCTCTGTTTCAAAAATACTCGACTAATTGTACCTCTTACTCGAAAACCAACATCGGTGCTTAGTGGCAACCCGCTTTTCAACCTCTTTGAACTCACTTTTGAAAGACTGTTGTCTTGCCGGTAGACTTGATGCCCTAAGTCATCCTTCTCCTCGTATGGAGTACCTGGAGATTTAATTTCTCCTTCACCTCGGGCTGGGTGCCTCAAGTCTAATTCTACGCCTCCCCGCGTAAGTTACTCTAGAATACATCCCTCCAGTTTTTAGCGTCGAACTACGAATCTAACTAAATTGTAAATCTGTAGCTCTGCCTCCAGGCACTGACCAAATACTTTCGGATCTTATAGGTTCGGCCCAACTAAATTTGTGTAAGTTATCGGCAACCGCGTCATTGTACCAGACAATCAGCCCATCACCGTAGTACACGGCTAATACTTTGGAATCCGTGATCGATAGATTTTCCCTCACCAACCACCCGGATTGTATAACAAGCGGGCTATTTAAATTCATAATCTCATTCAAACTAAGATGATATAATTTCCCCAACACTTGAAACTACCAAAAGAAACTTGAACTCCGTATGTGAAGTCCCCTCTTTCCGTTATTTATTTATTTTTGGTTTTTTGCAAAGCTCTCGTGAAACTCGGTTTGTGTCCCATTGAAGAATCGCCTATGTCGATTGGTAAGTACTTTTCACTCTCAAACTCAGCATTGTTGCTAAACTACTTCGCATCCTAGCGGAGAGGATGAAGGGCCGGAGTTTGGCCATCACGTGCTGATTTCTCAATAAACAACATGCCAAAAAGACCCCTGATAGGCTCGTATAGCGTGAGGGGCCCGTTAGTGAGCTAGAACCAGAGAGAACCAGCGTGAGGGACGACAACACGTACCTAAATTCCTCGAATTAAGCCATGGTAGCGTCCTTAACTCTTTTCCAAATTAAATGATTTCAGCCCACTCGCCGCATTCAACCTTAACTACTTTGCGAATGATCTTTCCAATAATTAGATAGTAGTTTGTGGCAATGATGCTAAAAACCTTTCACAAGTTGTCGCTTTCTTCTATTTCATCTGAAAATCGTTAAGCTTGACACCTGTGAAAAACATTTCTCCTAAAACGGATTACCTAGTGATTTGGGCTGTATAGCGCCTGAACTCAGGTCTAATAACTTATGATATCGGTCTTATGGTCACTAATATACGGCTGGTAGTAATAAGTATATACCTTAGGATAGCCAGGCAGCCATTGTCTCGTCGAGGCAGCCACTAGGGTTCTTATAAACGAGATAGTCACGATACTAACAAGATCGAGCTACTGTGAGAACCAGCCGTCGCAACCTGGGCACCTCCGGACACCTCCATTACTAGTCTGGTAGAGTCATCTAGCGTCGTTTAACGTTTCCTGGAAGCCACAGAGCTAGGGCCTTATTTACTTCCAAAAAAAGGACGAGAGGGGCGTAATCGAGATACAAGTCACATAAGTCGTACGACTTTAATTATTACCACATCGAATACGCTTGCGTTCATTTCATACGTAACTACCTACTTAAGTCGATATAATGCAGACTTTTACTGGGAATCAAAACACTAAGGGTGAACAGCTTGAGCAGTTAATTCACCCGATACTAGATAACGCAATACCAGTATCTATTTCGAAATTTCGAAAACGCCCAAATATAAAGATACAAATGCGCCAATGGGTAAAACAATAAAACATTCTGGAGCAAAGTCTCGATCACCATCAATCTATGTCGAGACGTCACTAAAGAGCCCCAGACGGGCTATCGCTTCTGGTATTGTATCTGACGGATTGTCCGCTGATTTTGTAAGATCCTTTCCTTCCATTTCCCTTTTAGCCATCCAATTCCTAATATGTTTTTCAATGTGCGGCTGCGACTTGTTACGTGTATCTCCTCGTGCAGCCCTGAGTGCGAGCTCGGCGCAATCAGGACGAACTTCGAGGAACAACGCAACTGTATCAAGTTGGCCCTCTCTAACAGCTTTCTCGACAGCTGTCAACCCATATTCCCCCTCCTCCACCCTAGCGCCCTCCGATAAGAGATATATGATCATATTGAGTTGACCGGAACTGATGGCTTTGTGAAGGGGCCTGAGTCCCTGTTTGTACAGTTCCTCAATACTAGGGCCAGCCGCTACGAGAAGTTTTAGGATTTCTAGACTGTGCTCAGCTGCAGCACTAACATAGGCCCGAAATGATGATGGGAACCATGTTATAAGTTGATGAGCCACCCCTGGAGCTTCCACTAGCCCTGCGATCACTTTAACCTTCCCGAGCTGAATTGATTTCAGCACTACTGGCTCAAAACAAGTCTTGTAGAACAGATATTGAACACTCAAGGGGTGTATACCCGTACTCTTTGGTATCCAGCGGCGCCGGACGCAATACCGCTCGCAATCATGGGAACCCGATACTTTAAGCTCCTCGGGACACCACTCTCCAACGGCACTTGCGAAGGCTGGTGAAGTTATGCTTGATATTAGGAATTTAGTAACGGCAGTATCAGCTGGCGAAAACAGCTCAGGCCTCAAATGCAATTGAGAGACCAGAGCCTCCCCTAGGAGAGAGAAAAATTTAACGGTTGCAGAATCCTTGGCCTCAGCGGGCCGAAAGATAAGCCTGGTAGCTTTATCGAGCTGACCTTGACTAACTGTGGCAATGACATCTTTGACGGCCAGTTTCAACCCATGTTCGCCCGATCCCGGCCTCACTGGTGAAATCCTCGAGCTCCATAGCCCTGAAATAGCATCACAATCTCGACTCTCTGCCGCAAGCCACATTGCTCCCGGTATCCTCCCCTCATCCCGATCCTCATCCCGATCCTCATCCCGACCTCCAAGCTCGAAAGAATCTTCTAAAGTTCGGGGATGCGCCCCACAGGAAAGAAGTAGGATAAACAGCCAAGGCGAAGATTTTCTAAAGGATATGTCGAGATATGTTTCGTTTCCGCTTCCCTTCTTTGTAACCCATCCCACATCTTCAACTTTAAAGGTCTTGGAAGCACCACGAACGAAATGATCGACGGCAAAGTCAAGGTCTAAGCCAGTTTCCTGTAGAAACCTTACCAATTCCGACAATCGTAGTTGGTCTTGACTGGCCGGCACCGGGGGTCGCTCAATACCGAACAATTCTCTCATAAAATGAGCAAAAATCTTTTGTCGATTGACATCGTCGACATCATTGATAATCTTCTGAATGATGCTTAACTTCTGGTGGAAGGATGGCTCCCCAAGGAATCGGAGAGGGGGTTTGAAGTCAAGAATGTTTTGTACGCTGATCAGGGCTGGAGAAAACCGGCCTGCCTGCTTAGTTGCAGCGTCAGTAATGATGCTAAAGAGAAAGCAATCATACTCTTCTCGTATGCAATTCTTAGCTTCATCGCTAGGTACTGGTGGCCACATCTGTATATATCTTTGCCATACCAGCTCGAACACTTCGTCTCTGAGGTCCTCCCGTATCATTCCTATGTAAATCAAGAGGCGAGCATAATTCTCACTAATGCTAAGCACGTGGCCTTTCAGCCACGTGCGCGGCAGGTGGCCAGAAATCTCTATGAAGGTCGCATCGCGACCTAGCTCTGGGGCACGATCGCGCCACCATTTAGCACCCTCGGGCGACATACTAGCTTGCCTCTCTTCTTGGAGCCATTGACAACACATGTCCTTCGAGCAGAAGCTATTTATAATCATGGTAGCTTCCCAAAGTATTTCTTGCGTTCGGCAGTCCCTGAAATCTCCTTTGCTATCGATATCAAATAAAAGCAGTTCACTATGGCCCTCCAACCACCAATTCGGATAGAATCTCTCGAGGCAAGCTTGAAATAGCTTGTGGTCCTTCTGTATTGAAGCTCTTAGCAGTAACAAGGCCTTGCCATGCTGAAAGCCTGCCGCAGATAATATTTCCATGGTAGAAATTGTAGTCGTAGCGAGAGGCATGTAAGGACACTCGGGGTCCAATGACTCTACCATATCTACCGGCACTCTCACGGGATCCCATACTTCGAAAAATAAACCCAGATCTTCCAAAACCTCTTCGCATAGGAGTAGTAACAACCTGGAAGACCATCGATCATAAGGAAGAGCTTTGTAACGTCGAATATGGTCTAAAACCAGCCTTAGGGAGCAGGAAAGCGAGCTTGTATTGTTGTTGGGGCGTGAAAGGTTTTGTTGTAATCGAATCTTTGAAGCGTTGGATAATAGAGAACCGAAAAACAGTTTGAATCTTTGGTCTTGGTGATAATTCGGTTGATCCCAGTCCACATCGGACTCAAATTCTACCGCGGGACATATAATTTGTGCTGCAAGGGAGTAAAGATCGAGCTCCAGGTCTGGATAAAGAGCTCGAATATGGCTGGTGAGTTCTTCGTCTGCTCTCTCGTAGCAAATGGTGATGAGATTGTAACACGCAGCTTCTATTGATATAGTTTTAAGTGAGAGGAGTTCCTTAAGCGGTTCTCTATATCCTAGCTTGTCCACGGAATCAAGAAGTGCTAAAATTTCCTCTTTCTTAAACAAGTTGTTTGAAAGCCGAAATATTATGACCCTCAAGAGGGCTAGCGAGGGGTGTGGTTTTGCCGAACTAAGGTTAGTGGAGTGGCTAGAGGTGCTGCGCCTAAATGCAGCGACTAGAGATACTTCCGATATAACAATCGGCAAACAATACAGAAGAGAGTACGGGATCTTAGGTTTGGGCGGGTTTAACAACGGGATGAAAGGACTAAGGCTAGGAGGAGAGTATACCTCAATCGCCCCGTCCCGCACACTCTCGCGTTGACTTCCCAGTGGTCCCGCCATCGCGGCGAATAGCTTGTCGGTAAATGTAATGTGCCTTCGTCTCCCTCTTTCCAGGGTCTGTTGCGAAATGCAAGTGCCACCATTGAGAACAACTTGTGTTTCAGTCTTTCCTAAGGCCTCTCGGGTAGTCATCTTTTGATTAACCAGGACCCATTCCTCTGTTTTCAAGCGTTTACGGCAGCGCCAGGGACCATATAGACGCCCTTTATATTGACACTCTCTAGAATCGGTAGCCTTTGTTACTACCATAGATTGGGATTTTCGGGGCCATATATAGATATAGACTTAAATACATATTAACTGGTACTTACGTTGCATTTAACCCAAAGTCCGCGTTGGACTCCTCCACAATCTTTCGAAGAGGCCAACCCAGATTGTATCTCATTATGATATCATCTTTGTAGTTATCGAGGTCGGGACATGCTCTGGCCCGTTTTCTGGGATTGGCTAAAGCCATAGTGGGGCTGAGTCGACACCGTGTACGTACGCGGAACCGATTACGATTTTGTTTTTCTGGGGACGAGACGCAGATATATAAAACGCAATGCCGAGCGCAAGGTGAGGTGAAGAGGTAAGAATGTTAATATTAACAGGTTTGTGACGATGCGAACTGTAGTAATTATAAATCGTCTGAGAAGAAGATTAGGCGGCGTATTGGTTTGGGACGGACAATTTGATTGGGATATTTTTGTGCGATCTGGCTTTTAGGTGAATTTTCCAGGTGGGAATAAGTAATCCTTTTATAAAACTTCGTGCACAATCGATCGATTGAATAGTGCAATGGCGCACAGCAAAGCTGCACAAACGTCAACTTCGAGAGCTTCGATACTGATTCATAACGTGCATTGATAAAATCTTCCAAGGCTTAAAGGGTCCCTGGGGAACCTACCCACACCTGCAGATGAGCAAACCTGCAAAAAGTGAAACAATTTTCGGCCTGAGCCAATGGCACCGTGGAATCGTTTCTCAGAGCCAAACCGCGCATAGGCGTTGCAGTTACCGACGTAGCTTGGCCCGGGATTAACATGTAGCCATGATATCCTGTTGAGGATAGGGATAAGTAGTACCCCAGTCGAAAAGGTAAGTACTCAGTGAGCTTTTCAGACTTCCTCGATTTCTGTTAGTGGGGCTGCAGAACATCCTCCAAGTACTGCATTCACGAAATTGAGACCGTAGTTTCTGAAGAAGTTTGCGTCCCAGCGATTTTGTGATTTTCTGCGAGCTTGGGCCAGCCGAAACTAATGCCGTCGGTTTTCAATCTCATAAGTTCATATGATCATTGCGAGAGTCTAATAACCATGCTAAGAAAGTCCCCCCGCTTACATAGCAATATGCAATTGCAAATGCTTTCAAATATCCGGTCCCAGGCATCACGCATTGTAACATCTTCAATAACATAGACTGGAATCTCAAAATCCTCTCAAACGTACATGCATCCTCTTTAGTTTTTTCGAGTACACTTCGGTTTGGTACCGCAGATGGTGGCACAAAGGTCCAGATTCCACTTCTCGCATTCTGATTGGCAGAGGCCGAGATTCTTTATGCACCCTCGCTTGGCAGCCAGCACCCTTGTGACGCCACCGCGCCGATATAATAGATTCAAGGCCATGTCCCATAACCCAGCCATCCTCAGATAGTTTGAAGGACTGCGGAATTAACATAGTATAGGGGACGCTCCGCAGAGGTGAGCGTCCCCAGACTACTGTGGAATAGCCGACAAAAAATAATCCGGTGGAGCTCCATGTGCAACGACAAAAAGTTGGAATGCCCGACTGTTTACAGGCCAGGAGGGATCCCTCTTGTAAACAGTCGGGCAATGTGTTGCCGGTATATTCTCGAAACCTTTCTCAGACTTCCCCTCCCCGCCCCGAGCTGACCGTCAGACTCAATTGCAAGCACCATACCACCCCCGTGACCCTCTAAAATGTCGATATCTATCCGCCTGGGCATATCCTGGGCTCCATCCTTCCAAACCTCGGAGCCAACCGACACCCTCGTCCTAACCGGCAAAACCTACTTTGTTGACCAACGTCTCTTCCCTCCACTAACCCCCACCACCCCCACTTCATCCACCATATCCTGGGCCTTTGCCGGCACCCGTTCATCCCACACCGTTCCAAACAAACCAGGCTACACCCAATGTTCATGGACTCATCTTGTCTCCTCTGTTCCTTTCAAAAAGGAAGATGAAAAACCTATGGATGAAGGGATATTAGGGCCTCATCCCGCATGGCCCGATAATCCAATATATGCGTTAGAGACCGGTAGGATGGTTAATCCGGATACCGGACTGATGACGGACTATAAGGAGTATTGGCAGGATAATGATGCTAAGGAAGGGGAAGAAGTTGTCTTTTGGGAGTATGGCAGTGATGAGATTGGACCCGAGGATCGCGGGTTTGTAGGAATTGTGGGGAGGTATGCATTGGGTGTTGGAAGAATAAGTGGGCAGTTTTGGACTTGGAGGGCAGAAAAAGGTGAAGATGGGAATTGGAAGCTTGAGAGGTCCGTTCTCGAGAGGGATGGGAGAAGGAGGGGGTGGGGACTATTGAATTTGGAGTTTGATAGTATTGTTCTTGGAACGACGACGGTTGACGATGAGGTTGTAAGTGGCCGGGGTTTTGATGGGGAGGGAGAGGAGCCAAAGCGAATTTGGGTGCTGAGGGAAGCATGGAAAGCACCAGCCAAGTAGTTCAAAGCCCTGGCCAATCTTTCATCTAGATTGATCATACGATTATACGGAAAGATAGAGTTTACTAGTATATTACTATGGCTAAGTAATGAATATCATTCTCCGCCAGACATGCGGTAGACTCTTCCTAAAAGAAAAGGAAAGCTTACTCTTTGAACCCCAAAAACGCCTGTAACTTGCTAAATATACATATCATGATATCAGAGGGATCAAAAAAAGTAATAAGAACTCCATATAACATGCATCCGCGAATACTCAAATCATACCATCCTCTCATATCCGGTCGCCTTACCACCCTTCTCACCAGCAGCCCCGTCAGTAACATACCACCTCCCCTGCTTTTGCGTAAACCAAAATCCAACTTTATACTGTGACCCCATAGGCCCAGTCCCCCCTGTACCTTTCCACGTTTCCTCATCGAGACCCTGACGCTTCTTCCCACTACTATATCCGTCATTTTTAATAGCCCCGCCATCCATAACTACACAGAACAAATTTTGTAGTTCCGTCCAATCAGTCACAAATCCATCTCTAACACACGAGAAGTATATAAGACAAAACACATTCATCAACAATACCCCAACAAGAACAACATAGAAAATAGGTTTCCAGCCACTCCCAGCTCCAGAGGTATACTCTATAGTTGCCAACTGGCCGTTAAAGTACTCCCGAAAAGGCCGTGGTACATCCGGACCGTACGGGAAATATGTTGTAAAAACCGAATCAACGGCACTTGTAATCATGGCGTTTCCGAGAATTACTGCCAAAGCTTCAGCTAATGAAGGCCTAGAATCGCTGAGATTGCTAGTTGGACTATCAAGCGCAAGCTGCGAGAGGAAGCGAGCGATAGAGGCGTTGCTGTTGCTTACACCCGTGTTTAGAGAAAGAGCGATTAATACACCTTGAGCGACATCTCTAAACAATACAAATTAATTAGGTGACTCTGAAACTTTTGTGAACAATACATCAGGGATACTAACCGGAAGTCATTTTGGACATTGTCACGAACTGGTTCTTTACCTTCGATAGGGTTTTCCAGCGTCGCTACTCCCTGCCGTCGAAGGTCCTCCTTGAATGCTAACTGATTGTCCAAATCGCAGTTCGCAGTCATATTCCCACCGCTTTCAAATGCCTGAAACTCGCTGGAGCAATTTGGTGTCACAAAACTCTTCATTCCACACAAAGTATACCCACCCACCCGAGGGGCGACGTTGGGTGATCGAATGAGGAAATAAACCGATGGATCTCCCACGGCGCTGTTGATAACTGTATTAAGTGCGATTGGCGCCCTTTTAAATCGAGGAGCCGCGAAACCATCAGTATCAGGAAACAGTTGCGTAGTCGTGTTAAAATGATATGTCGCAGTGTTGTTGAAACTGAAAACTTGCTGGATCAAAGGGTCCGAAGTACCGTTCCTCCGGTAATCCTTTTCGTCACTTTGCGCGAGGTACCATTCGACACGGTCAGGGTCGACCGGAGCGCAGGTGACATCAACGATTGGATTTGGTACTGCAGCTTTGACGATGAAAGACCCATATCCCGAGCCTATTTCGTCGGGCTGTAAAATGTCGTTCAACTGAGGGTCCCTCGTAGCAGCGACGATTCCAGGATGCGGCATTGCCAAAATAGCTCTGTTAACTCCATTCTCTCCAGTAACTTGTATCCAAGCTCCAGCATAATTTACGAGGTCCAACGACGAAGGCGCGGTGGGACGTTTAAGAGGATTTGGATACGATCTCCCCCGCCCTTCCGCCCACGCCGCATTCCAGTCGCTTAGATCTCTGTAGCCCCTTCCTCCGGATAATATACTATCGCAAGTTGCCCGCGAAAGAGGAGTCAGATAACCCGCACTGATAGGATCTTCCTCGTCAGAAATAGACGTTTCGCATCCCAAAATTCTATGTGTGCCATTGGCGTATGATGAACTCGCCAAACCTGTGAAATTTTTTGCCTCGAAACTGCCCCAAGCAAGTTTTGGGGATACAAGGGTATCGGCAGCAGTAGTATAAAAACTTGCAAAGACGGTCGCCGTTAGTGAAAGAGCGCCAAGAAATGTTAGGCCGGCGAATTTGACGGATGAAGTATGTGTGAGGAGGGTTCCTGGTTGTGTAACCCAACTTCTCATGGACAACTCAGCGATGTTCACACCTTTTGAGCCCGTCATGAGAGCTCTTCGGGAGAGTACTTGGCCAAGGAAGGAAACAAAGACGCTGACGAAACTCAATTCAACTAAAAAAAAAACAAAGATTAGTAGGCTGCCAAATATTAAGAAAGGCGGGGTCCCATGGGGGGCATACTAGTCTTCGCAATGATGGCAGATACCAACTGCGCATCCTGCGGCTTTAAGCCAGCGGTCGTTGCAATTCTCTTGCCGTATCGCGGACGAGCGACCGCAATCACAAAAAAGAAAATCGAGCCGATTGTTGAATATATGCATAGCAATAGAATGATGATACTCAACCAGTCGGCCTTTGGTCTCTTTTTCTTCTGAAGGGTGGCTGGTTCCGTATCGGAGTTGTAATCATCATCTGGTGGACCGTTCCTGTATGATATCTGCGGCTTGTTTCCACTGCCTTCGTCAGGCGAAACATATCGTAGACCTAGGCTGTTTCTCGGACTTTCGTTTGATACTGTATGAAATATTTCGTTGTCCTGATTCTGCCCATTCGAGCTTGCCCCGGGATCTCTTGTTGTGGTGTTTGTTGGAGCGGTGTCATTGTTCTTTACATTATTATCCTCTGCTGCTCCTTCATTTTCCTCCTCTTCGACAACTTGTTCCGTGAAAGCAGATGTTTTATATCTGCCCGACTCCTCAGAAAACTGCCGTCTATGGCTTCTAAACGAAGGATCTGGAGATGTGCTTTTCTGCCACGAAGCTCTTTTGAACGGACCCGCAAAATCGCTCTTGAATCTGCCAGGTCGCTTATCGCTAATAGGGGATGTCGGAACGGATGATGTCGAGATAATCGAATTCATTGAACCCCGATTCGACGAAAATCGCTGACCAGAAGGTCCCGTCGACACGGGCGACACCAAAGGCGGCGTGGTAGCCATCGTAATATCAATCCTTGGACTCGTATTAGATGTCGAATGGTGTCTAGTATGCGATCGTGCTTTCGAAATATTGATAGTCCGCGGTGGCCCCGGTAGATTTGGTTCCTCTGGTAGAAGACTTTGAGTTAAAGGTTCGAATTTCGAGGCAAATGGTAGTGGATCTGTCCTTGCAAGGAAACCACTGCTCGAGGGGCTCTGATCTCTAAATGCAGGGTGGGCATAGGACTGGTCGCTGGAATCAGTCGGAACCATGTTGTAGTCTTTCCTGGGTTTCATTGTTCCTTTTCTCTTATTCCCTACCCTTTTCTCTTTTTTCTTTTCGTTTTTTTCTTCTTTTCTTGCTTTATTCTATTTTCTTACTTTCTTGATGCCTGCAGGATTGGATTCCAAGTCGAGAAAGGTATGAGACAATCAAAGGAAGGGGGTTGATCGAAGAAAGGGATAACTGTTGCCAGCTGCTGTCTGTTGATCTCCAATTCCCGCCACGCACTCCACATGCACTGTAACGGCGCAAGCAACGTTAAAAGATCTTTAAACCCGGCGACTCCAGATTAATTGCCTCTACAGGGTAGCTATAGTATACCCCTACCGACTGGCAGTCTTTCTTCGTCTGACGTCGAGCAGGCTGATCTACGGCTGTGCAGCACGCTTTGAGAATGGTGTTGTGATATTTCAAATGCAACCCAACGCACCAGCTATCTGTGAAGCCGGACCAGGTGAGACACCGATTAGACTACTTTTGCTGAAGAGTGAGCATAAGATCGTGTTCTTACAATCCACCTTGTCTCAAAGATACTAAAATAGGAGCTGGCTCGGGTACATGCATACATATACGTGCAACCTGTTCAACCGCCACTGTCGAGTGGTCCGACGTCCGAGTTTGTGTCGAATTAGATAATAAACCGTAGTCAAACTGTCGGCTGAACCGATTGCTCGAGGCCTTTCGAGATCCCAAGTTTCGATTTTGGAACGGTTCTCAGCTTAACTCCAGTTTTATCGACAACTGATACCAAAGGAACCTCATAATCCACCGGTCAGCATTAATCCTATCTCAGGTTATAACAAACCAAAAGACTGAAAGTAGAAGGCCGTTTCTTGAATGAAGTTTCGGTTTCGATCGAAATTAATCGGCAACGGATCGCATCTATTTTAGATGCTACAAAACACCGCTTGTTTCGGGGCCAACCCACGCTTGCAAGCGCAAAGAAATGGAGAGATATCCTTACCGAAGTCGACGTCATACGCACACTTGACCAAAACGTCTTTCCGCGGGGCGCAAAATGAACAAAAAAAGGTCTAAAAAATTATTGGGAGAGAATATCGATGTGGATATATCGTGGTGATCAGAATTTCCTTTATCGTTTAGGGCTAACAGAAATCATTAGCGGGATGTCACCCTCCATAATATATGCCAACTTCTCTTCCCTGCTCTGCAGAGGATCTTTCACAGAAGCAGGCGGCTCGATCTCGGTGTTCCGACACCCGGAATCTACCATCTTGGGATAAACATTTTCTCAACATGTTTGTGCCACACAGACGCAGACTTAGACTTGGCCATGCATGTCGATAGATCAACGCCGACCTGGTGAGGGGAATTAGTTCCATCAGCTTGCCCCTCGCCTCAGTCCCTACTAATTTGCTTCTGGCTGGGTGTTTTCCTTCTCGCTTCAGAAGGCGTGATACGAGGCCTTTTCTATAGAATTCATCCTACACAACTACACAGTAAGCCGCTTCCTGCAGAGATTCTAAGCCGTCGACATTCCAAATTCACGGGTTGCGTCGGGCAGGCAGGGCAGGCGTGGGGCTGCAGCTTGCAGCAAACAGCTTTTCCCCCCTCTCGCTTTCCCTTTCCTTTGGGTCCAACCTCGCATATGCGAGGACAGGGCTCTCGCCAAGCCCCAACTTTTATCCAAAGCCGAAGTTCAGTAGTTCATGGTTTCCGATCTCGATCGTGATTAGTAAATTTATTCAAAGGTCTCTATAGCTATCATAGAACCCTTGAAGCGAATGAGCTTGCGAAAATCGAAGAGTACCTCGATGTACTGTACTAAAAGATCTAAAAGTCTTCGTCATGTCGAAAGGTTATGATAAAAGCCAAGATACCACCTGAGATCGAACGGTTTACGTTATCTTAGCCTCGATCACGATAAATATCCACTAAGCTAGCTCATCATTTCCCTCATCCGTATTTCCGTTTAGTGACACATGCGCACCTGCAGCTTCCCCATCGAGAGATGACCAAAGACTCGTACAAATGCGTGAAAGTGGAATCTTCATGGTACAAAAATAGAAGCGGCACTAGGCCAAGGAATCCAAAGCACTCCGGACCATAATGGGTAATAGAGCAGAAAAATATATCATATTGAACACCTCCAAGACAGAGGAAAGCGTCCCATAGACTATGGACACCTGGATGGCGAAAATCATCGATCGGAGGAAGTAGAAGTCCGTTTGTCGCGCCAAGACATATTTCCTGATTCAGTTATTGGGAGTGAAAATCCCAAAATAGACCTCATTGGGCTATTGACTAAGCCGAGCCTCACTCCGAGTTTGGTTTGTGAGATTGGGGGGCCAGACGTAATCTTTTTTTTACTTTTATTTTTTAATGAAGAGTCTAGGTAGTTATGACAACGTCAGACTGAAACTTTGTGACCAAAGTATTGGGACGCAAGGTTATCCACAACCCAACGCTGAACTATGGCTTGGACAGGGATTCCAAAAACGATCCAGGTCCGGTTCCGGACCGTTCACGATCTGATGCTCAGCCGAGAATACGCAGGTATATTCGTAAAGGCGTATACAATAATGTTTCGGCAACTAAAATAAAAATATTATCCCTACGCTACTCCAGATTTTGTCACATATTTATATTTTAAGCGATTTTATGGACTTTAAATGCTCACCACCCATGGTTATTCATATAATAATGTTTTCTCATCGAGGGCACCAGGTACATCTATGGCATGTGGATCTATCTTATCGCAGACTGGCTCCGGGAAAACTCCTGACCCGGGAGTAAATTTAACACAGCTGGACTCTCAATTTTGACACGAATATCTCCGGCGGGTATACGCATACCACAGCCTAGCAGCTGCCTTAATTTCTGCCTTGAGCTCCTTGTGTTGCTGTAGCTCATATGATCATTCCGTCGGTAATCTAGTAAGTGGTATATATTAGCCTACCACACTTGATATGGTTTTGCACGGCAAGCTTTGCAGGAAGGGATAGTATAAACGCCGCGTCAAGATGAATAAACCGATTCTAGAAGAATCGTACCAAGTAGGTTCGGACCCCAAAGTAGTATTCAAATGCCACAAGAAATGCGTAGACGGTCTCATCTAAGTACTACCAATTGATAATTACATTATTGCTTGATTCTTCAAAAATGCAGGATAAAGAGTAATAATATTTTGCATAAAATAGACTCTAGAGACTGTAAATTGAATGGACCAAACGGACGTTCCAACGGCCACTGGTATAGAGGCTATCTAGAAATGATTCCTAATCAGGACCTTTGCGTTGGCAAGACTAATTTTTATTGGATTTACAGAGCCTTAGCCTATGCAACAGCTCAGTCTGTACAATATTATTGCCCCCAAGGGAGTGTAGTCTATAGAAAATAGTTCTGTGTAGGACAAGAGCTCTCTGAAGGATGGTGGCCTATGGTGGCCTATGCTGGCCTATGCTGGTGGTGGTGGTGGTGGTGGTAATTCTGTACAGTGCGCAGCGTGAAATTGTCGAGGTATAGTTATAATTATGATTTATGTGGTCCGGAAGCCTGTCTATCTATATGAAGACACGAATGCCCATATTATGGTGTTAATAAACCTCACAGATCGGGACCTCATGGAACCTCATGGATATGCCCAAGTAAAAGAGGGCGCAATGCTGACCGAAGAAAAGAGTTGAGCCTGAGCGAGCCCTCGTTAAGCAAGGATACTAGTTCGTACCTGCCGCCGATTATATTATCACTTGGCTAACCCGGGCAGAATACGATACCATTTCTCAGAACCGACATATATAGGTTCAAAGTACCAGCTACAGCTAGCTATTGGCCGTTGAGCGATGTGGGAAACTGGCATCACCCGGCACCATTTAATTTACACATGATTGAAGGGTTTTCTTCGGCTTTATATATATTTATTTATAAATTTATCCTCCGATCTATCCATTCCAGAACCAGTAGACAGCTGACAGAACATTACATGGGGCAGCCTAGCTCCCGCATACTATAGCCTGTCGAACCGAATATAGCCTGCCCAAATTAGACTTCGGCGGGCGAAACCTTTCCCACAACCCAACCTGGTGATTCTGGAAACCGAAGGGTCTTGGTGTCTCTGTCAAACTTGGAACCTCAGACAAGAACCCCTGGTTTCTATCACCAAATAAACCAGTTCACCTCTAAAACTCGGAAATTTATGCACGTCCAAACCTGCGATAGCCACGGAGTGCGCCTTTCCGTTATTCTTCCGTCGCATATACGCTGGATTCTTCTCCTTAAGCCCGACAAGACTTTAAGGTCCTACTATATCAATTTGCTTCAACGTGAAAATTAGGTAGATATAGATATCTTTTTCCAGTCGAGTAGCCGATTTTTGAGCAATATACACAATTCAAAGGGTTTTGATCCTATAATTTTTTTTTTTTTTTTTTTTTTTTTTGGGGGGGGGGAGGGGGGAGGATTAATATTATCCAAGATCGAAGAGCTTGGCTGACCCCGAAGGTTCTATGTGCACGCTGTTATCGTATGGGCAGCTGGCAGGCGGTGGAAAAAACATCAGATCAATGACAGCCGCTTTCCGAATGGCGACAGCCCAAGACCCCCAAAATCAGTGAATAGGAAGGTATGAATTACAACTGCAACAGCGAGAATATAATACCTCCCTCGGGGAGAACCTGTTGCGCTATTCACGATGCTAACTCTCTGTATATAAATACGAAGCTTTGACTTCTGAGAAATTGCTATCATGAGCTGGCAAGCCCCCGTTCGAAATATCGGTCCTCATTAGCCTCACTCTCTTTTCAAATTGTTTTCACAGCAACTTATACGTACATCTATATCTATACCTTGTCTTATCTATACTATCTTTTAGTTATATTATTGTTCCTCAATGCCTTGTAGCATGAGGTTTTTCACAGCCGTAGCTGTATTGTCAGGTATCGCACCTGCGGTGGCTACGGCTGGCAAGCAGTATTTTTTTGATACCGTGAGTTTAATCTGTGTTGTTCAGTTCCGAGCGAATAGCCGCTTCGAATTTAGAGCTAACTAGGTATATATTTTGATGTTCGATTAGATCCCCGCATCACAAGAGCTAGTCTGGTATCCGTGTAATCAGACATTCGAATGTGCTCGTCTCTCCGTGCCACTCAATCCTCTTGAGCCAGATAATGGCTTGCGTAGCGAGATTCCAATCATTAAACACCTTGCGGCGGAGTCCAACGAATACAAAGGCATAATCTTAACCAACCCAGGTGGTCCTGGCTTCTCAGGCGTCGGCTTTATTCTCAACGCTGGCACACTTATCGCAGACCTCGCTGGCCAAGGCTGGGACATCATCGGTTTCGATACTCGAGGCACGGGTTATAGCAAACCTAATGGTGCCGTGGGCTACGGCAATATTCCGCTTGCGCCCGAACTACAAAATGCGAGTAACACCAGAGCAGACCGGGTCATCAAGAGATCAGTTACCACCGACGTCGGAATCAAGATCCCGGCTAGCCCAGACTCTTGGATTCAAAAACAATATGAACTGGGCACAGACTTGGATACCCTCATACAAAAAAATGCAAACGCGGACAACCAAGCGGTACCTTACATGACGACTCCTAATGTCGTTTTCGATATGCTGCAAATCGCAAAAGCGAATGCTCGTAGTCAAAATATATCCGATGAAGATGTCCTTGTTAACTTCTACGGCATCAGTTACGGAACAGTTCTCGGGCAGACTTTTGCTTCGCTCTATCCACAGCATGTGGGCAGATTTGTCTTGGACGGCGTCGTCGATATAAATGATTATTACGCAGGAAATTTAGGATTGACGCGCTTCGACGAGGGACTTTCCACTTTTTTTACCAGGTGCTTTAACGCTGGGCCAGAAGGATGCAGTTTCTATACCGGCCAAACCCGGAATGATATCCGTGATCGTTTCAATAATCTTATGACTCAGTTGGATAGTTCAAAAGCTGTCGCTGAAAAATGGGATAATGCTACAATCATCCAAGAAACCCGAGAAGCCATAAGAGGGCTCCTCATGTCAGCACCTTATGACGCCATAGCCAACTTCCTTTTATTGGCGGACAGTTTGACGGTCATCGAGGGGTGGGTCAAGACGGATGCTCTCTTGGGAAACCGAGAGACAATCCTTCAGTTATCTCCAAATCCAATCTCATTGCCAAATAGGTTGGAATACTTTTTCGAAATCCTATGTTCGGATATGAACAACCCATTGGTGGGAAGCAAGCAGCTCTCTAAAAATATTATCGACTCTATGCGACACTCGAGTGTTGTCGCTGGTGAAACCTATATCGCGCAGTACGCAGTTTGCTCTCGTATTCAACTAAAGGCTAAATGGAAGTTTGATGGCAAGATTGGAGGTGACACTAAAAATCCAATGCTCTTTATTGGTTTCTCTGGGGATCCAGTCACTCCTTTTGAGAATGCAGAGGTCGCACAAAAACGATATAAAGGGTCTCAGATGGTTTATGTCGAGGCTGATGCAGTAAGTATTTCTTGAAAAGAAAACCTTCAATAAATCAATTCTATGATACTGATATTCTTCTTAGCATGGAATTATTGGCCAGAGCAACAAATGCGTGCACGACAATGTCAGGGCTTATTTCGAGAATCTTGCCCTCCCAGGACAGAACAACCGCTGCCGTAGAGATGGTGAGCCTTTGCACCCTTCCGAAAAGAGTTCTGCCGGATTAAGCACCTTGGAATCCCTCAATACATTTGGGCGTAGCATATTTTTGATGCTTGGTCTGGTTATTGGGGCTGATGTTATTCATTATATTATGTAACGAAGTCTTTTGTTTTGGACGGAGTCTGCAGATAAATAATTCCTGCGAAGTATAAGGTGGGCAGCATGCAGCGCTGATTCTGTACACTCGTTTTAATGTGCTTTACAGTTTACTAATATTAGAGATTTTATATGTGGGGAAGGAGAGATTAAGGCATTTTATAATATGTAAATAGCTTAAACCTTCAATATGTTTCGAAGTCAGATAAATATTGGTAGTACTTCTTACCGGATGGGTTAGATTCATCAATTTCGTCCGGAACACTAGTGAAGTGCGCTCTGTCGACACCATGTCTGATGGATGAACCGCTGGCATGGCTTTTAATCCATTTGAGCACACTCACATCAAATCCTATCGAAAGATAGCGTTATCACCACCAGGCGGTGTAACTCTAAATGCGGGCACCAATGGTGTTCAATGCTGGGCGCCATGTCACCCTCAAGGAGAATTGTCTATCAGTATTTCCGAGCGGTCTCGGCCTCCGCTGACTATTTGGCATCACGTCATCCAACCGAGAACTTACCAAGTTTCTCGGAATTCTCACATAGATCCTCAGTTTACACCGCCGTATGTCCACCGTTACACACTTGCCCCACCAACTGGTTTCCAATTATAGTACCAGATGCCAGAATCTTCGATATTCTTCCGTATATATTTGCTCTCTTTCTCTCATCACTTTAGCCTAGTCAATAGCTTGGTTAGTTTCTAACGGGATCTTATCCTTCATTAGCCTCTCTAGGTCCACGAAGAATGTCATCCGTGCAATGCAATCCTGATTGGAGGAATACCAAATTCGCATTGTACCGATATATTCCATCAGTTTCCGCAGCAGTTATCTTCTACCCCTGCTTTTTAGCTAGTACGATCCTAAACATATTCCACATGGTGCAAATTAAAGTTTGGTCGTCGACGAAACTAGTAGTCGGATACCTAAGTAAGAACCCGGCCATTCTAACAAAATCACTATAGTATCCTCGAGATCCCTCTCAACATTGCCAACAGTTAGTTAGATTCACAGGCTTTGTAGCTCGCACTAGGTCGGCAAGACAAAAGCCAGGTTATTTGAGTATGATGCTCTATATATTATCCGAACCATGTATCTATCGCTTAGTCACGCTCTTTTTTGCTCTTTATATTTTATATAATTTTAGGACGGACCGTATTTTTCACAGAGGGCGAGAAAAGGCCTATTTTTAGATAATGCTAGCTAACCAAGATGCCTTTTAATCTCGAGGTCAACAAATTTCCAGCGCTCTTCAGATTCAGTTATCTCTTCTGTGAGCTTCCAAACCTCCTTTTTGTGATCTTTTTTGTGATATTTCTTCTAGAGGGTGGCTTCACGGCGGTAAGACGCAATAAGCTGTCCCTATCAGCTGCAAGTGGAGACAGAATCGTCGACGCTTCGTTAGGGCTTTAGTAGGCCAATTGACCTGGTGTATTTTCTTCGTGTTTGTAGCTATGATATCATCGGTACTTTGGTGATCATTCGGTCTTTGTTCCCGGTATTTTCATGATTATAATTTATTGCTGAGCTTATGAAATATTCAAATTTTTTGAAATCGAGAGCCTGTCAAAATTTACAGGCCTGTTTTCCTAAGACGGTATAATACTAAGATGCTGCGGTTGCGGTTCGTATTCGATCTTAGTTGGTCTACGTAGGAGATCTAACCTGCAGCAGCCGTTGCATAGCTCGAAGCTCGTAATTGCGACAACCCCACTTTGGGCCCCGAAAAAGTTATCCTCGAGCATACTCCATTCCTGTATTTGACCAGCGACAAATGCAGACTACCACGGGAACTAAATAAAACTTTGAGACTACTAAAAGTCGGTTTTATTTGAAAGCCCGCATATATGGCTAACCAAAACCACATAAAGTTAAGCTGGAGCCTAAGAGAATATAGCTTACGAAGTCAAATAGAAAGAATATAAAAACTGGGCTGAGTATTCGAATGATGGACGCTTTAGCCCAAGCCATAGTTCAGCTATTGAACTGAAACAATCTCGCATATGAATACAAGAACTAAACAGTTACGAACTAGTGAAAGACATAATATCAAAAATTCTCCCTACTCTAAAGAAATACACAAGAAATAGAAATATAGAGAACACTTCTTTGATTAATAAAAGCGTGTGGCGAACATACTGAGGGAGAAAGGGCGGGCACGATTGATAGCACTGACCTACTAAGAGCTAGGTGGAATGATAATACCCGGGTACGGGTTTACAAGCTCTCGTAGAATATACTGAGCAGCCCCGTTATCGGTATTAAACCGATTCGCGCGGGAGATAAACTGAGCTTGAGATGCTGTATACTCTTCAGCATTGAGCACCTTACTCTCCTCATGGAAACTGTCAACCCATCTAGTGGCTAGATCTGCAGCAGGGACTTGGAGGGCGGTAGTAATCTTATCAGCTATTTTCACAAATCTCTTATCGTCGCCTGCCCGGACGGTCAATTGCTTAACTAGCTCCAAGCCGTTTGGTGTTCGGGCTGTCAAGAAATCTTTGATTTTGGCGAGAAGGTAGTTTCGCATGTTAGTCTTTCGGAAACCAAACCTAATAACGATTTCGCCAAAGCCGGAGAGTTTAACAGCACGGAGGATGTGGGCGAATATCTCCATTATAAGGTTTGTTCGGTCTTGATCCAGAGGCTCCCAGGGCCACGCTCCGATAAATGCGTGAAAACTCTTGAGGTGAAAATTAGCTGTGGTGGCGGTCTCTATCTTATGTGGCCATGGAGATTTGTGGTGATATCGTGCAATCTCAAGTTCCAGCTCGTGAATTATCGACAGCTTTATAGCCTGAGGGACCAAAAGATCTGTAACCGAACTAGTTTCTCCTGCCTTCATTACCATTAACCCTGGGGCTGTCATTGCAAACAAAACTTGCATTCGCATGGCTATTGGAAGCGATGAAACGACTGCTATTAGGTGCAAGCTGTCAAACGCGTCGGCATTGTGTGATGGGCCGCTACAGATCATTAATCTATTCGCGACCGGAAGTGATTGCCTTACGATAACAACATTGACATCTTGTGGGCTGGGGTATATCTGGAACCGTTCCAAAGGAAATTTGGTTTTCAACAGTTTGCTTGTCTTTGCAGCACGTTTTTCGAAGTTGCCTTTGGTACGTGATAACCGTGAGGCGCTGATAGGGGCCGAAGTACCCTGGTTGTGTAGACCTGCGGCGCGGAGACCAATGACAACTTCCTTTTTGGTCTTGAACGGCAAGGGGTCAGTGCCGAACTGTGGGAATGTAACTGCTTTAGCCCATGCGTCGATAGACGGGGAGGGCTTCCCAATGAAGAGAATATTTGTTCCGTGATTTGCCAGGGTGAATCCAAGATCAGGTGGTATCATATCCGCTGCATTGCGAGTACCATTTTGCTGGAAGAAGTCAAAGTCCTCGCCGAAAAGAACAAGTCCCTTGCCGAAATAATTGTTCAAAACATTTGCGCCATCTGTAGGCCGGTTGAATCCTCCGTAAAGGCTAACGTTCCAAGTATCATAAACAACATTTAGACTAGAGAATAGTTGGTGCTGGGTCACAATTTGCTGTTTGGTGGTCTCGCAATTAACGATAAGCAAGAACGATGCCGTCGGTTGGTAGACAAATGGTGAAGCAACTTGAACCTTCAAATTGCCGACTTGAACCACATCCCTTTGAGTGCTTCGTGGGCGTCCTAGGTACAGAACAAGGTCAAAGTTGTGATGTTTATACGTTTCTGCAGAGCTATGGACTACAACCTCTTGGGTGTATGTGCGGGTGTCTCCAGGTGCCAGGTAGTCAATCTCAACCATTCTTTCAAGATTAGTACCATTAGTCACTGTGAGATCTGTCTCAGTACTCAAGTCTCTATTCCCTCTAAAAATGTACTCGACGTTGCGGGCTTGTTCAGATGACCGGCCGAGAGCTCTTGTGCTTTTGTTTGTAATCTACTCTAATATTAGTGCTAGTGCTACAGGAGGGATGTGTGTGAATTTAATAACATACCACCCAGACCATGGACACCTTCGTGTTTGGTAGAACAGAGTTTGCCCATCTGATACTCTCAACTGATATCGGGTAGCTGAGAACAACATCGCGCTTCCCAGAAAAATCACGGATAATACGGCCGTTGAGATTCGGTAATGCAGCATGGAACTCGATTTGGGTCGTTTCCCGGAATGCCCGGCCCCAGGGTTCCGGGGGGTACTTAATTCTGGCGCGAAGTCGGTCTTTTATGGTAACTACCCCCAATTCGGGGATACTTGGTGGAATAAACGCTGTTTCTCCTTCGTAGACTTCAAACCAAGCACTCGCGACAACATGGATTGGGATTGCCTGTGATGGAGTAGGCATACCACCTAAGAAAAATTATTAGGAGGCATTTATTTAGAGGGGTTCTTAGAACGAGCTGACCTGTATTTTGGATTCTGATGTTTTGGATGTAGATATGTTCGCCGGGCTCAAATATCCCGTCCTCATTCTCATCCACAATATCAAAGTCGACAAGTGTGAAGAAGTATCGGCTAGTATAAAAGTTATGTCTAGCGCCCAACTCTCTGGTGGATTTCATATGGACCTGGATTCTAGCGTTCCCCGGTTGGCCATGCTGACCGGCTATCAAGATGGCATTTCCATCCGCGCCACCAATTCCATGGCTACCAGAGCCCTTACCACCGTAGCCGGGGCGCCCTCCTCTTCCCCCAAATCCATTAGTTCCGGCGTTTCCGCCAATGCCACCTCTAACATCCCAGTGAATGGGTATTAAGAGATCCATGTCGTCTTCTTCGACTTCAATCTCGATATATGCACCGGACCCGCCATTGCCGCCGGAAGTACCATTGCCACCGCTAAAATAAACATTAGGGCTAGGTTTTACTTTTTAAATCGGGTGCAGAGAACTTACTTGCCACCAGCACCCCCACTTCCACCTCGCTATAGATTTATATATTAGTAACCCGAGAAGTCGACCTTGACCAGCGGGGCTAGCCCATACCGTTCCACTTTGATACTCATTACTCGACACACCATCCATCCCACGACCACCATCACCACCGTTCCCACCTTAAAACAGACTTAGCACTCGCAGTTCGGTTTAATTGCTGGATGAATTTTCTGGATATATCGACTCACCATGTCCCCCATGTCCCCCGTCACCTCCTTTAGCCTGAAGAAGGATCATATCTTGGGCTTGTAACAGCCATTCCTGTCTCGATGGCGTATTACTTGGTGTTAGGCAATGTGCCTCTATCCGCGCCGCCGCATCATGATATATCCGCCGTGATAGTTTTACTTTCATCTCACGAGCGTTCCCCCCGTGAGTTGCTTGTGTTGCATTTGTTCCTGGAGATCCAGCTATCGATATTTATTGGAGTTAATAATAGTTGAAGATGAATTTATTGAAGTGACTTACGAGCACCACTGCCTCCTGGCATTCCCGTCATACCACTCGAGCCATGACCTCCATCTATGCCACTCGCATCAACCAAACCGTGATAGAGCGAGTCCGTCCCAGGATAATAATTTTTACGCTCCATCACAATGTCTTGACGAAGGCAAGTCGTCTGCTAGTAGAAATAGCCCGGAGAAATTTCGAAATAGATAGAACAAACAATAAAGGCAGTTCTAGTCGAATAGCAGAACGCCCCAGCGAAAGATTCGGCGCAGGACCCTGTACGAATAAATAGTTTATTGCAGATAACATTCAACAGAGGACGCTGGAGTAATTAAGTCGTGCATTCACTGCTTCATCAAACTCAATAATGCGGCTGAGATTATTCAAGCACTTTATTGCGCCCGAGCTCAAGAAAGGGACTTCAATTAAAACGTTCAAAACGAGGCAGAAGTTGATGAATAAGTCAGCCGGCTTTACTAATACAATGGTTCTGCGGGCCAATGTTTAAAGTGCTCTTATATGCATGTGCCCTCGGCGATCTGCAGAGTAGATGCGCCAATTCTAAGTACCCAGTTACATGGTACGAACGTGGCATGCCGAATAATATCGCAACTTATACATACGAAGGATTGCTACTGTTCAGTGTCGCCGCCCCTTATGGACCCTCTATAACATATGTATACAGAATCATATCAGGGATTTCCTCTCACGCAAGCAAAACTTAATCAATCGCCTCCACTATTTTAGATGATGTATGTCTCATATCAAATGACTTGGGTTAAGAGATGTCGTGTATAATTGTGAGGTTCCTATCTCTACAACCAATTGAGGTAGAGACATTTTCAGGGATACATCCAGGTTTCAGGACGCTGGTGGCGAACTCTTCATTTTTCAAGCGTTCGAATACCTCGAGTATCGCGAATATGCACCACCTGGAGATTAAATGCATCATTCTAAGCATATAAAAATCGTAGCAACCGCTATCGCATCGGGAAACACACTCTCAGCCGTCCTTCTCGCCCGCAAACTGCAGGACAAGATGAATGCCTGACACGCATTAGTGGAATATTAATCGCTTGCAGAAGTTGAAAGTACCCAAACGGAAATCACCGCGACGCAAAATCCAGTTTTCAAGGAAAAAAGGTCTGCCAAGCAATTCCGTGGCGTCGCCGAGCGTGATCCATCCAACTTCCAAGTGATGTGGTTGGTTGGTTACACAGACCGAATGTGAGAGTGGTGCTTGAATTTCCCAGCCGAGCTAAAGGTTTTACCAAGGCTGGCCGATTTCACGTCTAAGTTGCGGCTCTGCTATATGGTACCCTTGCCGGTACGGCTCGAAAAGGATGGAAAGGAGCTAACTAGCGGCAGGGATACTAGTTCAGACTGCATATACTCATTTGCATTCCTGCTCCGCGGCGCACTATCACACGAGAGGCCTGGTGGAAGTCTTCAAGACTGGTCGACGTCCAAGCGCTCGTTGGAAAATATTCCGACTTATATGTAGGTTGCCACTTAAGCTGAGGGTTATGGAAGGGTCTCGTTTCGAGCACCTTAGAAACCCATTGGGGGTCAGCCGCACAATCACTGTAATCCGGATATACCTGCACCATATTCCGAAGACACGATGCGGTTAAAGTAGCAATTTCAAAATACCGAATGGTACAATCCCGCTGTTCAAGCTGGTATATTTAAGCGGGTCGCCCAGCCATGCCAGACTTATATATGTGGAGATACTGTAATGGAACAGGAGGACCATAGAGCCATTTAGAGCTGCTAGGATTCCTATTGACTGCCTGCGAACCCACCAGAGTAACTGGCTACCGAAAAAAAATGTCCGAAAAATATCCTTACAGCTATCCAGAAGCTGTTCAGAATGACTCCGTTCCGGCGCCCACTAACGATATGTCAATAGGTTTGGCCCTTGAATATTCCAGATACTCCTATAGGCCTACAGATGTCACGTCAAAAGTTTACTGAAGTCTAACTATACTACGCTACCCATGAACAGGTTATGCACCAACAGCCCCGACATATGTTTCTCCGACTTCTCCTGCTCCAACAACAACTACACAAGTCTCCTCTTCGACCGTTTTCCACAATTCTCTCCTCCAAACAAAACAAACACTAAACCCAGCAGGAGTACATGTTTTAGATGTTCCATACTCGCCCGGGCATGATCCGGAGGAACAAAGACAACATGCTCATCATCAATTCTCCAACGGCCAGTATCAGAGACCGCAAGCTCCAGGCGAAGAAATTCTACCTGCTTACCCATATGGGCCTACTGAAAATAACACAATCATCATTGTACAAGAGCCGAAGAAAAGAGGGACTTGGGATCGTTTGACGGATGCCTGCAAAAGCCGGGTCGGGGGAGTGTGGTATTGCTTTTCATCATTGGGTGAGAGACTCAATAACTGCAAATCCCTTGAAATTCAACCTCTTGACTGTATTTCCGACCCAATACTGACTAGTGACCATGCCTGTACCTACTTAGTGGCGTTCGTCCTATTGATTCTCCTTTTAGTAGGTTGTGCCTCTCCTGGCACAAGCTCATTCGCGACAAATCTTATCAAGTTGAAGAACACGAATTCTAGGTGGGTTCTAACCTTTTCCTGATCAAAAGTTTTTCTACCCTCTATTCAGGCCACAAAAAGCTAAATAAGGCATAATTATGAACAGATACTCAAGCTATGATGATAATATACTGTACGAAACCGATTATACAGCTTTTAACCCCTCTACGGGGAGAGTAGAAAAGCCGAGCTACATTCTTTTCGGCTTTTCGGGACATTGCAATGTCTTTGAGGTTGGCACGAGAAGTTCAGGCTCGACTCTCTTCTCTAGACAATGCGAACGTCAATTCGTTGCCCCATTCTTCATCCCCCCTCCGGCCGATAATGGAAACCGCACCACATCTTTTGATGGAATTATCGACATAAGTAGTGTCAATCTCATCCGCAAAATAGTAGTAGCCCTATTCTTCGTCATTATGTTCTACATTCTCGGTACCTCTATCGCCGTTTGTATGGGGTACTGGAAAACGATTTATAAGCTATGGTGGATCAACCTCATCCTCGTAATTGCCACTGTTGCGCTTTTCTACTTCGATACTTACAGCTTCTGGTCCCCAATAAGTGGGCTGGGGAGTTATCAATTTCTAGGTAGTGTATTCAATAGCGAAGTTACTGTTCTTGGGATGTACCTGTTTCACGTAGCGTTATTTGCCGTGCTTGCTGCAAACCCAATAGTTCTGTTGATATTCTTGTTGCTGGGAACGTTTGGGCTTATCTTGGGGTTTTGGTTGATGTGGTGCTTTTTAATTGCTTGGTTAGGTACTTAAGTAGCTAATCAATGGTTGGGCGGCTGTGGCAATATCTCTTTGTGTACGAACTACGATATCACTTTCCGCAAATGTACCACTTTGTTTCTAGTTAATTCTCTCTTGTGTTTATACATTGCCGGCAAGACCAGTTATATGCAAAGGCCGAAAACTAAAGATCATTGAAATAAGTAGTCTTAAGATCTTGAGATCCTGGATTGAAGTAGGTTTGCCACTAGGATCAAAAATAAAAAACATACACTAACGCAACTAGTTCCCGCCTAGATCACACGGCCTCCAGCTATTCCCACCATGCGCTGCGGGGCCTTGGAGCTTACATCAATAGTTTTAAATACAATGTAATAGCTCTGGAAAAATGAGCGTCCGATGAGCCCGAATATTTCATCGACATTCCGGTTGAACTTGCGAAAGATAGCAGGATTGATATATTGGATGCTTCCGCCAAAAAGTTTGTCTAGAGAGCGATGGTGGTTAGCTGTAAACCCGCCAAAAGAAACAAGTCATGAATGGTGTGCAAGAGAGCTCCATTTTCTGTGAAATAGGTTCTAAAACACTTAAGGTACTCACCGTCATGTGGGTGCTGATACGATTGCACAATCAACATATCCTTTCTAAGACCAAAGTGCCATCGCTTTCCCGACAAACCTTCTTGTTGCCAAACAGTGATACCAATTTCTGGAATACCGCCCTCTTCCAGATCGCAGGGGACGTAAAATGTATCGTTAAACGATTTGGCTGTAGAAATTTGGCTATAATAATAGTCAACCAATAACGGGTGCAATCTCGTCCAAGGAGAAGCGCTATCTAGGATCATTTTACCATTGATTTCTTCATTATTAGCAAGCTCTGGCCTTGAGTAATTGGCATCCCGACCAAGCTGGTGGCTTTTTAGACGTATATCAATGGTTGGATACAACTGGCCCTGCCATGGTTCTGATCCTGCCGGGCCAATGGAAATATACAAAACCTCAAGAGTCCACCAATTATATGAACTACCACCAAAATTAGGTTCAAACCAACTAAAGTCACTACGACTATCATATTGGGAAGTGTCGCCGTGGTCAGGGTGAACTCCAAATTGTAAGACCGCTGAGGTTTTGTTTACAAAGGAAGTTGCAAACGTCAAAGTTCCCGGTAACCGCCAGTACCTCGAAGCCGGGTTTAACTCTGCCGCGTTGTCTGTATGATTAATAATAGATAATTAGCGGAACCGCTGATGAATACGTCATTCACAGGCTCTAGAGGTCTGACTCCAATATTGAATATTTGAGTTGATAGCTGAAGTTCCTATGGGAAAGAATTAAAACAATAGTCGGGGCGGCAATATTACCTGATAAAGGCTTTCCTGGGACCGCCAAACCAATTATTCCATCCAGTTTGTCCCTTCCATTTTGAAAAGATAGAAAGTTGAATGCCATATTATCCACAAATTGAATATTATTCGCAGTGATATTATTCAAAGATCCACGTTCAGTATCGTACCAAGGCAACGTATTGTTGTTACCGGTCTCTTGGTAACGTTGACTATCGCCCCAGAAAATCCTCCGGTTTCCGGATGAGTCCTTCCCTTCTAGTTTTATATTCGATCCTTTCCAGGTCAGACGGCTCCAATCCTCTTGGCTAGCGAGTGGGTGAGACGCATTGGTCTTCTTATTTCGATGTTGTGTAAATGGTACATTGATAGATTGATGTGAGCCATCTATATATATATATATATAGAGGGTTTCGATGGGATGGAAAGTTAGTATACATCCTCGACTGCTTGGTCTCAAAGCCCAGGTATTTTCGTATATAGGATAGGCTTATTCAATTCTGGACAAGAATCCCTAATACAAAGGTTATAACCTACGTAGCAGATTCTGTGGTGGCAATCTCCAACATCCACTCTTTTGATTCATCTTTGCTCCGAGCAGGAACCTTCCCAACCCTAAACTTGCCATACCACCCGGCTTTCTCGTCAAGATATACGGGAAAACTCAATACGCCAGCTTCATCAACCGAAGCCTCTCGGGTGTGAGATCCTAGAAATACAATCATTAGTCCCTGATAATGGCAGAGCATTAACCTCCAACATACAGAACAACTGAAGTAGTACATGTAGATGAATGTGGATTGATTAGAGTCGTGAACTTAACCTACCATCCGTTCTGCTCATTTGGTTTCCTGACCTGGTGAAATTTACAGCGCTCCCATTGAATGAATGTTCAACGGCCGCTCTAATGTAATAGGGCCGAAGAGACTGGGTCCCTGTGCATGATGCTGCTTTCGCCAATAAGATTGTTAGAAGAAGCACATTCATGGGCCAAAGAACTGAGAAACTAGAACTTGTCGTAAACATTCTTTCGTAAGGTATTAGAACACAACCAGTATCCCAATTAAATCAGATATATATATATATATATAAGAAAAAAGCCTTACGTCAAAATAACTATAAAAGCAGTTTGCGCTGCGTCAGAATAGAATTCATGCAGCTGATCGACTTATAGTTAAGTGCTAAAGAGGTGCTTAATCCTTGCGAAGTTAGTTATCGCTCTTCTGTTATGGTAATGCCTCCTATTGTGACTTCTAGGAACGAGACCATACGGTCGTGCACTATTTAAATATTTATCAGTTTCCAGGCCTAGGCGCCTACGAGACAAGTTTATCAGCAATAATTATATATAAATTCCACTAGGCTGGGAGGCATGCAACCAGCAAATATAGTAGGGTATTTACCCAAAAATGCACTTTCGGAAAACACACACCCTAAACCGTGCCAGGCTCCCAATGACAACTGTCCATGCTAAATTTACAAAATCTCAATATAGTATGCATTAATTTCAGAATTGGCGTTGTCCAGAGCACTCGTTGGACGAATGTTGGCTGTTGCATATGTTGACGTTACGATTTTTCGCTGTGCTTGTTTCCAGACTACTTCTTAGGCCTATTCTTAGAGAGAGCCAAAGATACTAGTGTGTAGGTCTGGAAAATGAGGAATTTTGTTAACTAGAAGGAAAGAATTGACATAGACCTAGCAGCCAATACGCCGTAGTGGTTGATACAAGCTGTAGCTGATACAGGTGAAATATTGATAAGATTTACGGATAGTAGTTACATTTCTTCAAAAATTATAGTACAAGCAACTGACATGTTAGTACAGGTGTAAGCCTCAACAACCTTCTAAATTAAGGTGGAGCAGAAGTTTTAAAGCTAGGCCTTTAATATTAACGATATATGTAATTATGAACATCATTGCCGTGAAATCGGTCCTTTAGCTTGTGCCACCTTTACTTTCGGACAAGTTTTTTTTTGCACGATCATGAAAGAACTCTTCCACCCCATCTTTAAAACTCATCTACACCTCTCTCACACACAAATGCAAATGATAACGCCAGTAAGATTAACCATACATGGTTTGCCCGTAGGTTAACTAGGCGGCCTAGCGGATGGCAAAGCCAACAGTAAACAGTTTTAATATGTAAAATACAACTATGTTATAACATTGGTTGGCAACCTTAAAACTCATCTCAGAACGCCCTTAGAACCCCCATCCAACTCCTTTATTGCCAATGGTGGTGATATATTATAGACCCGATCTTATGTCTAAGCAATGGCAAAAAAAAGCTTAACCTACTTTCTTGAAACGTATTAATGGTGCTAGGTAGATCTCAATTTAACTGATTTGATATACCGAAGTTATATACCGACTCAAAAATAGACTAACAAACAGTTGGCACTCATATGATTATCTCAACTTCCACATATTTCTTCGATCTTCGATAACTAAATTAGTAAAGCACATTGAAATTCGATAATGAGCAGTACGAAACTGCATTCCATAGAACCTCTGATGAATCATGCCATGAGATTGCTTACATGGCCTAGGTATGGTTTATATATTTAAATGAGTGCGGTATGTCCTAAGCTCCAAGAACCGATAGTGTTTAGTTTCGGATAAGAGTCTCGCACGAAAGGGGAGTTGAATAGTGACCATGTAATCCTGAAATCGGTTGTTCCTTTTGGAATTACCCATAGTAATGATCTCGATGCGTAATACTGCTATGCCATTTGAGCAATACCAACATATCGCCGTCCTTCTTTTACTTTGGGGTCCTTCTTATTTTGAAGAGCATGTACCAACTTTTGAAAACCCATTGCCCTAATTCAATTCTTGCTAAGGGTACTTTATCAGGCGAGATTTCGGGATATTCTCGCAGATTCGGATCGCGATACGCATTTTGGATGGTGCCTGCACACAGTAATCCTTTGCATATTGTTAGTCAGGAAACTAAGCTGGGGTGAATTAACATGAGCCGGGCGAGGTCACAAAGACCAGCCGATCTGCCACTTCAAGGGTCTAGGTCCACTTCTTATGACGTCAAATCTCCACCTACCTGATTCGGGATGCGTGTAGCTCTTTATTACGAAACCTTCTTTTTTGACGGGATACCAGGTTGACCTTCCTCCTTCAGCGCCCCGAGTTTGTGCGATTTCAAAACTGATCTTTGGAATGGCATAACTAGGCATATCGCACGGCAGATAGTAAGTGGTATTAAATCTAACCACTCCCGGCATTCGGTTGTAAACTCTATCCACAACCCATGGATGTAATCGAGTCCATAAGGTACCGCTGTCTAAAACTGCCCCAGGATCCGGATAGGTAGTATTCAATTCCGGGAGTGAATCTCGATTCTTGATAACTTTGTTAGAAGTCAGGGGGCTTTTTAAGAGGTCACTATGGCCAAGAAAATATTCCTTAGAAAAGTCTCTCCAAGAAATTTTAATCCTTCTGGCAGCAATATTCCAATTGATAGCATAGAAGAACCCGTCGGCACTAGAGTCAAACCATGCTAGACGGCCAGTATATTTCGAAGTATCTCCGGTATTTTCGTCAACATTGAATTGAATAACAGGGTTTTTAGCCTTCTCGGTCGTTAGATATGTAGCGAATATCCCATAGTCAGACCAGTACTTAGATTCCGGCTCAAACCCAGCTGGCAGCCACTTTCTTTCGCTATTGTCACCCTTAGATCTAGAGCGTAGAGCAAGGTCCCCTATTTAATTTTTGGATTGTTAACCATTTTTGACCCGGCCAAAGCGTGGCTTCGGGCATAAAAGCTTGGTTAAACTTACAATTCTGGAACACATGTGTCGCCGGCTGCGGAGAAATCGATAGACGGCCGTCCAAAGTATCTTCGTAAAATTGGTGCGTTAACAAACAAATAGGATGCCGGACGAGAAAGGGAGCATCCCCGGATGTGATATTCGTGGAAACGCAATTCTTTTTCTCCCGTTGTGAGATATCGTCATAAGACTGGGTCTCGAAGCTTCTCTGACTGTTACCATATGTCGGTTGGATGCCAAACGGCTCTACCGAACGTTTGCATTGTAGAGCTCTTTGTGACCAAAGTCGAATATTGGATCCTTGGTGCCTGTCTGTGGATTTATTTGCTCCGAAAAGGGCTGCTCCAATGACTTGATGATCCTAGCGCCAGAAGTTTAGCTAGAGAACAAATGCGGTGACAGTGAAATGTGGATCAATTCCGTTGGGTTTAATTTTTCCTAATACATGAGCTGGGTACGAGACAAATGCACGGGATCCTCTTTCAATTTTTCAGGTGTCAAGAATCTTACGAAGATATATCTTGTGTACCAACAAGAAGCCTGAACTGTCTCGTAAACTCCGAGGAACTAGGTCCAATAGCCAAAGTTGCATACCAACCTAGTGTATCATTATAAGTTAGGGGGCAAATCGAGGACTACAGCTCGGTCTTGCTGCACTTCCGTATCGTCTTGAGGCACAGTTAGCAAAGAAGACTGTAGTGAATATAATATTCAGGGCAGTCATAATATACAAAGCTCAAAGTTCTATTCTAATTTCTTCGTATAGGCACTGAACCCCTAATATGATGTCATGCGTATGCACAGTGAAACCGGGTCATTCATTCAAGGGTATCTTATCTCCTTAAATTATATTCACACTTTTGGTTTGAGGGTATATATAAAACGTACCATTCAGCGATGATTTTAGCTGCGACAAACTCTCCCGCTCTTCCTCGTCTATGCTCACATCGGATCTTCTATGATAGCTGAAACCTTTTTCTTGGCTATTAAACGCTGTTATAGCCTGAGAAAACCCATAAAATATGACAAGATACGGGAGCCAATTCATTGTCCACCTAAAAGACTAAGTATCGTAGATAATGTCTGATGTTGCTCAATATATTAATACCGTTTCAAAGGGCTTCTTTCTAAGATTTTTAGAGAGGAAAGATTCACAATCGATGGGAACAATTGAAGTAGGTTAGCCATTGGATTGAAAGCCTGTGAACTATAGCGGACAGGTTAATCTAATCTTGTAACCAAACAGTGAAGTTAACTTAAGTTCTGCGCTAGAATCAGTCGTAGTATACTATACCACAGGAGTCATTGGCATAGCCTCTTACCCTAACGCTAGAGACAACACACCAAACTGTGCCACAATGTGTTGGCTCATCCAGGATCCAACAAGAGGCGCTGTTTATCAGACCAGGTGGTCTTGGCGATAATTCTTTGTGAAACCTGACTGTGATATCGATTCGAGCTTCCTAATTGCAAAGCTAAGCTAAGCCTCTGATCTTTGTGCTTTTTGCGCTTCTAGATGTGGGTGATCTCGATGGTAGGTTTCACTTTTGATCAGTCAAAAAATAATTCATCGGAGGGATCGGGGTGCCAGCAGACGCTCAGCTCCGATACCACTTTCTCGGCCCCTGATATATATCCGCCGATCCAAATTGTTGCAACGCCAAATTTGCAAATTTGCAAAGTGCGCAAATGGCCATCGGTCTATAAAAGCAGCTCTTAGGGACTTAGACTTAAAGGGAAAAGTCTATTTTCTCCGATATGGAAATAAATCATTATCAATTACCAGCCTGATGGTATAGCCAGTTAAGTAACGCAGTACCGAAATTCCAGGAAGAATGTCCACGAAAGCGAAGAAATATTATAGCTGGCTTTCGGCACCAAAGCGGGAACTCTCGCGGCTTCTCCATCGGCGCAAAGGTAGTGTCACGATCCTGCTAGTGAAAGTGACTACCGGTGCTATTCAGGTCTAACTATGAATCGCGCAGGTTATTCAATCCTTGCGCTTCCCCTTGATATCAAACTCTACCTTCTCTTTAGCGTTCCTGATTCTCAAACACTTTTTTCCCTCGCCAAAACATGCAAAACATTCTACGCCGCCTTCGCTGCTCACAAGGCCTCTCTCTTGCGCTTTGCACGACTAAAGGAATTACACGTGAATCGTCTATTCCTGTCAGGATACGCAATAAGCTGTCTATGGAGAGATTCCACGCAAACAAAGAGCGGGGTGCTGGAGCTATGTGCCTACATGCGTAGGACTTACTTTTACACACACGAGTTTGGCCCTAGTGGTGAACGTGGAAGCTTAGTGGGTTTGATGGAACAATTGGGAGACAGGTGTTCAACTCTCCGAAGGCTGGTGAGATCTCATGATCCCGCTATCGACGTGGCCATCAACGGAACAGGCACTAGCCCTCGATTTTACGATGAAGCGTCACAATCTGTTGACGTATTGCACGAACTAGTCGACCGCTTCTGGATATTTTGGAACCGCTTGCCCACTGAAGATAGAGACGAGTATTATGACTCGTACCTAGTTACGAGAAAGATTGGCATGCGCTCTATACTGGGAATGTGGATACTAAGGCTTTTACAAGCAGAAAATGGACCATACCCCCCACTACACTTTTATCAAGAAAACGGGATAGAAAAACTCTCGAAGGCAGCAGCCGACGACTCTGATACATGTATGATGGGATTTTTTGAGGAAGTGACAGGAGGAGAATGGAAAGGGGGGCATGAACCAAAAGTATGGTTTCAGCTGTTGGTGTTGTTTTTTCAAAGAGGTTAGTATTTGGTGAATAGACGGGCTCGATGGAGCTAAAGTGGATCACTGTCGTGTACTCTTGTTGCCCTTTAATTCCAAGCCTGTTGGGGCTGAAAAGAATTATAAATTGGTGTCCAATTTTAGAGCTCGAATGACGGTTGTTATGTCAATTAAGTTGCTTCATTAGTGGATCCCATGATAGATTTGCGTCTTTCATGCCCCTTGAACCCTCTCAACCTTGAGTAACCCGAGCGATTCTGGTGGAGTAATTTAGTGGCGGTATACTAACTATAACCCGATTTCCAGCCAGTCATTTAATCCTAGCATCAGGCCATGCCACAAATTCACGCGGGGATTGAGCCCTATAAGGTCAGGCTGTGATTGCGACTCCGACAAGTTGCAAGTTGCGAGTTCGACAGACCGCATACGGCTCAGCATGCTACCACTGGTTAGTGTTGTTTCCAAGACCATACTTTCCCACATTTTGCAAATTTGATGGCCGTGTAGCCAACTGTCGGAGAAGCCGCCAGTTTTAATTAGTGCGTTATGAGGAGGCATAACCCGCGGTCGTCGAAGCTTGCGGTACCTAGTAACATTGGTGATATTCTGTGACTTGTTGAAAGTTCTGCCACGTAAGGAATTCCGAGCGTTTCGATAGGATAGCTTACGACGTCTGAATACCAACAGAATATAACAGAAAGCGAGGCTGTCGGCTCTCAACTGTCCAACCCTGGGAGTTTAAGCCAAGAAAGCTTGCAAGCTTGGCACATACCTAGCAAACGGCGTCGATAGGGATTGGTTGAATAGGCGTGGAATGTGCTTTTCAATCCATTTCGGTCTGGATCAAAGCCTGACCCCAGAACAGTCAAATATTACACATAACAGGATATAAAATCATTGAATCGTCATGAGCTTATTAAGTTAATGATACTGCCATTTTAACTTTCTCGGTTGTCAGAGATATCAAGGATTTTTGTGGGAAATACTCAATATCAGGCCCTTGAAGTTTCCTCTCAGGCTGCTACAGACCTGAATCACACGCGAATGGATTCAATTCGCTCACGTAATGGTCTGTTATCGTATGTAGCTTAATCAATTCCCTCGCATTGTGAGCCGGGAGAACTCGAAATTCAGCCTCTGTAATTTGCTTTCTTTGGTGGTCATGTACAACCCACGTTTTCAGCAGCTGGGTTGTAGCTGGTCGCTAGCACACCGGGCTTGGCTGATCGGGCAGCTGAATCCAATTCTCGGGTCATAGGGATTATTTACTATCCACAAAATATCACATTTTGTGTCTCGTATTATAGATTATATTAGAGTTTTGGGTTAACGGTTTGCATTCCAGTGGAATTTGGTTACGACAGGTCCAATGGCCTCTGCTTAAGAGTCGTTGTGTACCTTGTCGGAGAGCCATCATGCACGAGGATGGCTGCCGAATGTTGTGTATTCAGCTCTAACAGCTTAGCTTCGGGGAGGGTCCAACTCCACGATCTCAATCCGGACCCATACCCGAAGGCAGTGTGCCAGATATACTCACGACAGCCAACCAACGGTTCTCTCCCGTCCGTGCGAGAGCTGGAATATGGCGAAAAGATAGGCTTTCTGATACTTGTAATTATTATGAAGATTGACAGCGTAATGCATAGAATTGGCGCTGATTGCTTGGCCTTGGAACAGGGGGTCAAAGGGCGTCGACACGGAACGCCCGCCCGTTCGTAATTCCAGGAAGAACCGTTTCTGAGGCGCTGTTCACCACTCTGGACCTCGATCTTGTTGGATCCGTCTTCCGCGTTTGCGAACACAAATGTGGATTATATAAACTCTTTCGGTTCCACCAGTCGTGGATGCTTGTAATACATCTCACCACCAAATTGGCCACGGCAGTTGAAGTTTAAGCTTGAATTGCGCCTGTCAGCAATAAAATACCACACACCACCCAAAGACACGGTACACCTCAGCACAGCGATCTGTCGGCAAATACATCATTCTATTATAGCCTTTGTTTCTGGACAAGGATATCTTTGTTCCTTTTATCAGTTAGCCCTTGTCTCTGCAACGAGTCCACGTTTTCCGGATACTCTCAAATCTGCAATTTGCAAAATTCTCCGTTACTTGCACTTCAACCTGCACTCCAAACCATATCCAAAGAGTTCAGACCGCGACCAGTTACACATAGCTAGCTGTGGCCTTTGTTTCTGTAATTCTTTAGCCGGATATTTAAATATCATACGCGCAATTTATCAACCAACATGCGATCGTATTCATCTAAAATTGAGGAGATTCGACAACGAGAATATGGGTACCTTAATGGTAAGCTTACTGCCCCTACCTCAGTACTGCCCCCTCTCAAAACGCCAAAGGTTCTATTCGCACTTCGGATTTCCGTATGCAATTGTGGATCCGTTAGAATTGTGTGTCTAGAATATCTATGGCCATATAAGACGTAGCTTTCCTACCCCGACATCCTAAAGTTTTCGCGTCCTCGTAAATATACACTTGAGTATGTATATCTACAATGTCTAAATGCAACAACTAAAATCCAATAAAACGCAGGCGTCACATACCTCGACCATGCGGGCTGTACACTGTACCCGACCACCCTAATGCACAAATTCGCTCAAGACCTAAGCTCAAATCTCTTTGGCAATCCTCATTCTGCCTCACCTTCATCCATGCTTTCATCGGATAGAGTCGAAACTGTTCGCTCTCGTGTCCTCAAGTTTTTCAACGCTTCACCAGAGCATTTCGACCTCGTCTTCGTCGCAAATGCGACCGCGGGCATTAAGATGGTTATGGACGCATTTAGAGATATAGAGGATGGTTATTGGTATGGGTACCATCGAGACTCTCATACTAGTCTTGTTGGAGTTAGAGAGCATTCGAAGGCATCCCGCTGTTTTGCAACTGATGATCAAGTCGAGGATTGGATTGCATCAACCTCGACAGCAGAAGAAGACTCGACCATGAAGTTATTTGCCTACCCTGCCCAGAGTAATATGAACGGTCGCCGGTCGCCCCTCAAGTGGTGTGGTCAAGTCCGAAAAAATAAGCCGAATACATACACACTCCTCGATGCTGCCGCTTATTTGACCACCGGATCCCTGGACTTGTCAAATTTCCAAGACGCACCCGACTTTACCTGCATGAGCTTCTACAAAATCTTCGGCTTCCCGGACTTAGGCGCCTTAATTGTTAGGAAGTCTTCCGCGGACATCCTTACGAAGCGAAAGTATTTTGGTGGCGGTACCGTAAAAATGGTCCTGTCAATCGATACAGCTTGGCACTCAAAGAGACAAGAGGTGCACGAATCCTTGGAAGACGGCACCCTTCCATTCCATAATATTGTAGCCCTGGGCCATGCCATTGATGTCTACGCAGAACTTTATGGGACCCCGAAACAAGTTTCAGCACATGCATCCGGCCTTGCCAAGGTTGCATATGAAAGGCTACTAAATCTACGATATTCCAATGGGGCACCAGTTTGTGAAATTTACAAGGATGAGAGAGCCTCATACAACGATTCGACAACACAAGGACCTACGGTGGCATTTAACATCCGTCAACCAGATGGCTCATGGGTTGGAAAATCAAAGGTTGAGGAGGCTGCAATTAAAAACAACATTCACATTCGATCTGGCGGTGTATGCAATCCTGGTGGAGTTGCGAGTTTTCTGCAGTGGGATTCTGTGGGAATGAAAAAGAACTTTGATGCTGGAATGACTTGCGGTGACAAAAATGATCTCATGGGCCCAGGGGGCAAGCCAACAGGTATCGTTAGAATCAGTCTCGGAGCCATGAGCAGTATGGGAGATGTTGAAAAATTCGTACATTTCGTGGAACAGACCTATGTGTATGGCGGAGAAATGATCGGTAATATCCAGCCGATAGCGAGGCTGAAGAGCGAGATGCAGCCGCTGACATCCGATGTTCCTTCCCGGGTCGAAGAAAAGAGAAGAATGCTGAAAAATATTTTCCGCAATATGACAGGTCGCAATTATGTTTCAACCTGATGCGGGCACAATTTTGACCGAGAAAAGTTTTTTGCCTGATTTATAATTTATGTTGTTTGGCCTGATCGTGCATGGATGCTGCGGTATGGCACAGGACTTTTAGCTTTTCATTTATCCTTTACTATTCAGATTTGTATTATAGTTTTCATTTCCATCGTCATCTTTATCAGTAACTATCCTTATGAATATTTATTCTTATTTACATTCCTTAGATCTGCTGCCTTGGTTTACTGCTTTAAAATGGGATAGACCTATCTGTTGATCATGAGTCCTTGCCCTTGTCAACATCGTAAGCCTATAGCTATAAATGTCTTCGGGATTGATTTGTGAAAGCTGACATTCCAACTTAATCCACCCTGACGACGTCAATCCTCGTAACTATCGCAGTAGCAACTGGAGGATATCCCGTAGTACAGCTCGCGCATCTAACAACAGGGTGCGGGATAGGGGTATGACGGGATCCACTACACACGCTACCAGTTGCAGTTCCAGATGCCCCGCAGCACACTATTGTTTCCCCGCTATTGTGAGCCAACACTATTTGAAAAAAAAAAAAAAAAAAAAAACCGTAAAAGTGCTTACGTGGGTATGTAGTATAATAAGTTTCCATCGGACAAGTCGTAGTGTTTGTGCAGATCACGCATCGAGGGATTGGGTGGTCGATTGTAGTGTGGCGAGAACCCCTGCAAACGCTTCCCGTTGCAGTTCCGGACGCCCCGCAGCATACTATCCATATTCGTTAGCAACTCAAATTCTTTGCAAAATTGTTTATAATTTTTTTACGTACGTGCATATGTCGTATAATAAGTCTCCATTGGACAAGTGGTAACATATTCTTGCCTCTTGATCTCCCTCACCGCCGTCGGCATCGGCGGAACAACTAGAAGACTAGTAGACGTCTTGGGGGGGCAGGAGCAAGTCACAGTTGTCCTTTGAATAGTTGGAGCAGTTTGTCCAAGGCAGTATGTCCTGCAATCAGTTTTCGTAGCCCCACAGCACCCTATTGACAAGATTGAATTGTCATATTAGCCGTGGGTTTTCACTTGCGAGATGGGTTGCCATTTTTGTGATCTCACATGGATAAGTAGTGCATGTGCTAAGCTGAGAGCAAGTATGATTAATAGATGTTCTGTATGAAGTCGTCGGTGAAGTAGTCTCCGGAGTTGGTGACCGTGTCGTGGGAGTTGGCCCGGGAATACACTGTGCGTAGTAAGAATTGTATGTGGTGCAAAAAAGCCCGTCTTGACATAGACCTTTCAATTCTGGTCTCCAACCAATACCGTCACACTATAGAGTCATATAGTTCGTTAGATTTTAATATGGCCTTATGACAGCATGCTTACAAAGATAATTAGGCACACTTACTTGCTGCCAAACCCCAGGAACTACTTGAGCAACTACAGTCGCTGCTGCCTGCAAGACGAAGAATAGTGCCGCACGTGACATCATTTCTCTGACGTTCTTGAGCTTAGCGTACAAGAACTCTGTAGAGGCGGTGGGTGAAGATTGGGATTCGAGGCTAAGGGATTTGGTGGATAGGAAAGGGGCTCTAACGGTCACCTTCGTATGATAACTATGAGATTAGTGCTATGGATAAAATGGGCGGGGAAGAGAGAGGTGCGGCGCTGTGAGGACTTTATAGACTCACCTTTAATCACGAACAGAGCTTTTAATACTCAGTGTAGTACAAAGTTGGTTCAGCCTTGGACCTTGTTAGCCGAGGATGGTAATGCAGTATGGTGGAACATCGTACCACGATTCCGATGCCCCATAGAAAAACAACCTTTACAAGGGGCATGAACATATAATAGAGGGAACATGCATTTGATCCCCGATTATTGAATCCCATGCCAGCGGAATTTCATATACACGACGGATCCACACCCTAGCATGACCCGCCTCGGCGCCGGCTAAACTAGTGTGAACCTTGAACATGTCAGCTCGCTTCTTCTCGCGTATTAAAACCGGCTCCTTAGGATAGAAGCTTATATCTACAAATCTGATTTATTTTTTGAGGATCCCAAATGTGCCGATAGGCCGATTATTGTCTTTGCTAGGAACATTATACTAACCCCGAGCTCGCTTCCAAATGAACCATCAAAAGTTATGATGACCATTATGTGTTGATTGTTGTATTTTTGTGCTGGAGTTGTGCTGGAGTTGTCCTCGTGCTGTCGTCTCGACCTCGAATACGGCGTCCCCTTTGTTAGTTATTCTAGATAACCACATAGGCTAGCTCATAGCTCGCATATTTTTGTATATAGAATATTTAGGAACGGTTAATCTCGTCGGAAAGCCGGGAACACTCAATCACTTATGTTGTAGCAACTTCTAATATATAGCCTAGTAGACCGCGGATGTAATTAATGCTGACGTGCTCGAGCTCGCTGATGATAATCAAGTATGATCCTCGCTTGTTCGCCATATAATATGCATTTGAGATCTAAAAAAGAAATTAAGCCCCTTACTAGGAGGACTAATCCCAGAGACCGACGTTGATTTAAAGTTTAAACCGTGTTTTCAATTTATAAGTTCAAGAACTAGCTTCATGTGCCCGATCGATCGATTCGATGTGAGGGTGGTGGTCACATCTAACAATGCATAAGCGAATCGCAGCTCTTCCTTCAAGATGGCGCGATTGTTCATATGAAATACGAAACCGCGTAGCGAGCAGCCAAGTTGGTCTAAAATTGTTCAGCCGCCACACCAGGACTTGGACTGCATAATATACTACTGGTAGACTTGCATGAGAAGTAAGTCATGCGGTAAACACGTTGGCGGATTGCACCCAGATAGGAGGTTGATTTTATGAAGACAATAAAATTCATTCTCAGATTAAACTACATTTCTGCGTTTCCAGAATATACTCTACTCTATCCTCAGTATGCTTCCTTTTGTCCCCCAGTTTTGAAATTTCAAATGCCGACGCGACATATGTCGCACACCTTTAGTGGTTTGTATTCCGCTATTGCATTTCTCTCAGCATTCTCGGCAGCTTTCCTTTTCTTTTCTCTAGTTTCCTTTTGATCTCTTTCTCCTCCTCCTCCTCCTCCTCCTCCTCCTCCTCCTCCTCCTCCTCCTCCTCCTCCTCCTCCTCCTCATCGTCATCGTCGTCGTCGTCGTGGCTAATCCCGTGACCACCTTCGCTTTTCTTTGCTGCTCTACGCTCAGCGTCTCTACCCTCGTTCAATATATCACCTTGGTCTAAGTTCTGTTCCATATCTCTGGACATAGGACCTTTCTTCCGTTTCTGTGTTGGGGCCAGTTCACCAATGGCCCCCTCACCATTGTTCCTCTTTCTTTTTGATACACTCTGATACTCGTTGCTTGTGGTCGTTATTGATCGTACTGACTTTTTGGATGTAATATTGTGTGCATTCCCATCGGACACTGTGGCTGGACTAATTCGGGTGGGGTTTGTCTCTGCCATGCTGTGTGCCTTCTCAGATGGATATAAGCTGGATTCAGTCTCTAAAACTTTCTGCTCCAGACACTCTTCGGTTTCGTCGGCACTAACATAGTGATTATCAACTATATCCTTATCAGCAATTTCCCTTTTTTTCTCTACGTGCTCGTCAACAGAATCTTGCTCTTGTCCATCATCTTGCTCAACCCGAACCCTCTTAACTGGCAAGATGATCGGCCTCTCTATACCCTTCCTCTTAATTTCAATATAACGCTCTTCGATGGTAGATCTCCCATGCTGATAGTAGCGAATTTTGGGCAGAAGAGTGTCAGTTTGTTCGATCATGACCACGTTGCCATCCATATCGTATACGGCTTTGGGCCCGCTTGTTTTCGGTTTTCGAGATTGGGGAGGGGGTGCTCGGTTGGGTTTGGAGAAAGTGAATTTGTCTTTGCCTGTGGGAATACACCTAAGGGCCGTGTCGGTTCGAAAGGATCCAGGCTCTCGCCCTCTACTTGGGGGCTCCTCTTCCCTTGCTTTAGGCCTGGAATCTGACGTTCTATTTAGGCCTCTTTTTCCTCGGTCCGAGCCCTTCTCGGTGTTAGTAGATCTCTTTCCTGCACTACTTCCGTCGTCACCGTCATCTTCCGAGAATACTTCGGGAAAGTCCTCAAGGGTATCAAACGGCTTCCGGCGAGAAATACTTTTCAAGAACTGGACGATGTTCGCGTGACCTTCTCCATCCACTGGTTGCCGTCCAGTGCTTCTGGTCCCTTTGTCTTCACCATTGGGTTCTGGTATCACATAAGCCCCCAGCATATGCGCAGCACTCGCATACCCGGCTCTCTGCTCTTCCTCTTCCCCTTCTTTAGCATCTATATCCCAAGGAAGTGTGTGGCCTGGTAACCTTCCATGAGCTAGATCCCAAGCAAATGGGTCACCTGTGCCCACAATAGTATTTCCATCCACCAAAGTAGTCCCTTCCTCGGCACCGGCTGTTCCCGACGCCAACGCAGATTGGACATCAGGCTGGTACCCAATCCTAAAAATTGTCTCAGCCCAATTGTTAACATCATATCTCGTAAAGGATCCGTGCTCTCGCTTCATTAGATCTTGTTCTCGCCACCAACCCTTTTGAAAACTGGGTTGTATTTGGTTCCACATCAGGATTCGATAGTAGTTGAGTCGTTCGTACATGGTCATGTCGTATGCCACTCCGCCATGTTCGCCTTCAGCAAGCATCATGGGCTCATAATTGTAGCTCTTCGAAAGGAATTCGCGAACTGTTGTTGTACTTGGGAAGCGTGCGACCGGCGTGAAAACGATTCTGTTCCAACACAGCGGTGGGAGTGGAAGAGCGTTCAGATCTTCTTCTTCTTCTTCTTCACCATCCTCTTCCTCTGAAGGTTTTGTGGCCCGTGGCATGACTCCCTGAGTATTTATATTCTGTTCAGCTGATGAAAGAAGCATTTCGGGTTGGAATAATAGTACTCCGTTATCGATGAACATATGGCCCGGGATTCCGGGAATGTGTGGCCCGAATGCCCCATCGATGTTCGGTAAGCATCGATTTCCGTGGATGTTATTGCATGTTGTGGACCCATAGTAATATGTTTCGTACTTGTCTGCGACGCATGTATTGTTGAAACACGGTCTTCCAGTATCATTGGGTACTGCAATTGCTTTATCGCCCGCGTGGTGGGAGTGTTGTAGGCAGGCAGGGTTTTGACAGAGTATAGTATTGCTACTGTTGTTGTAGGACTCCCAGAGAAGATATTCTTCTTGGCTTCCAATAGATTTGGGGCGATGGTGGTGGTGTAGATGCGGCGTATCTCTCCCCAAATTAAATATATATTTTTTATACTGTTCGTCTGGGAATGTGTGACGAGGATACAGCCAGATAGGGTCATCCGTTGAATATTCATCCAAAATTTCTCCTGCCGACCTCTTTTGTGTCCGTCTGCGGTTTGAAATATCGCATTTCACAGTCGTTTGCATTTTAATATTCTCCGACTTGGAGGTAGCAAACCGTCGAAGGAAGAGCCAATGCATAGACCCACTATAGAGGTGTGTGACATGGCTAAATCGTGTTATTACTTCACTCTGTTGAAGCTCGACACCATTTACTTTCCAAGTATCATTCGGCCGATTTCCGACATGAATTACTCCGCGACCAATAGTATCTATAATAATAGATATCATCGACTGCGGGTATTGGTTTTCAATGATGTCTGTAGGTTTTCTAGGTCCTCCTCCAACGGGAATAGATCCAGTGCCATTTATATAGTCTAGGTAGAGTAAGCAATATCAGAAAACTGTACTTCGTTTCCAGAAATTCGGAACAGGTGTGATTGCTAGCTGGCTGACTAACCTTCCTTTAAATAAGCAAATCGGTGATATTTATACCCTGGGTTTGCCTTTCCTGGATCGTCGTCTGGCATTGTAGCGAGTATATCGACTCCAGTGGTATCCCCGTCAGTGGCGGTCCCATCCGGTACCCACCAATCAGTTTGAGGATCATCAGCTGGATGTCTCCCTCTCTTTCTACCCAGATTGTTAGCAAAGTATTCGGAGTCTGCGTAGCATTCACAGATTATGCAATTTATTACCCATGTAGAACCGCCATTGTACCCAGTGCCAATGGGAACGACACGATATTCGGCTTGCTACTGTATTCGTTTAAATTGATACCTACAACAACCGCATGGCTCCCTTGGTCAAACCATTGAGAGAGTTGTCGCCAAACATCCGCGTGGTTTTTATGAAGAATATTGAGGATGCGGTAACCCTCCTCGGGTATTGTATCCGGGGTATCTTCATGGAAGGGGTATCCTCTCTGTTCCGATTACTGTTAGCATTTATATCGTAATTTAGACATTATACAGTAGCTCTTTCGACTTACTAGTTGGGTCCAGTCCATAAATCTTTGGATCTCAACCATTGTTTCATTTCTCACACGATTTTGGACTGATATCTGTTCATTGGATTCCTGGAGGAAATCCAGGTCCCGTAATGACAATGCAGTGGTTGGAACAGTAGCTGTGGGCACATTACACCGAAGATTATCGGTATCCTCCTCCATAAGTCTCCACATAGCCACAAGACGTGCATCTTCCAACTCCATCATGCGTAGCACACGGCCCATGGCGTGGATGACTTCAATGCCTGTCTGAGGGTTACGATTCATCCAGTTGAATCTGTTCCCATTGATCGTTACCTTGAACCCGAAGCGTTTAAACCGCCCTGGATGGTCGTATTCGTGAGCAGAAAGGGTACCATCTTGGAGGTTGGTCATTCCGGCGTCATCACTGCTTCGAGGGAAGACCACAGGGGTGACATGATGATCGAGCTGGGAGAGCTCGTTGCTCGCCAAGGAGTATATATAGCGAGGGACCTCTGAGAGAAATCGTTCGAATACTGTTCCGTCAGGAGTGGATGGTGCACTACAAGGATTAAATACCCATATGCAACGCTCTGGGGCGGCTGAATCCGTTCCATCTTTAGTTTTATCTTTAGTGGTGTCCGTAGTTTTGTCTTTGAATTTAGTTGCACCTTTGGTGGTGTCTGTATCCGCTCCATCGGCCTTAGGCTTACCACCGTCGGTATTCCAGCGTCGCTGAACCTGCATATCGATGACCATAAGCCACCATCGCAGCTCTCCATTGACATCACACGCTACCGGCATAAGATGCCATCTCTTTCTCCCGAGGTCTCTTTTCAACGATGGCCATATTCTACGACGGAAATCTGGGCCCTTCCCGCCTATATTCGAATGATATATTTCCCAAGGAATCAGAGTATCAGAAGGGGCCTTTGTTGTATCATTTGGTGGTGAAGTAGGTGCCGTGGTATCGACGATATTCACGATGTCGGTTTCATCGCGGCTTCTAGCCATTCGAAGCCCGCTTACCCCAAATTTAGCCCCGACTCTGTGGAGAACAGCACTATCCGACAAAGTCTTTCTCCTCGCGCTATGTCTAGCTTTTGACAGAAACGATATCGGCTTTCGTTTTCGAGTTGCTCTAAGGTCGCCTTCGCCAGACGGTTTTACTTTGGTTTCCTTAGGCTTCTTCTTTTTCTTAACTTTTTTTCCATCTTTAGCTTCGTTGACAAGTTCTTGCGCAGCTTTGCTTAAGATGCTGGATAACGGATCATCGGGGTCCACAAGCGTCATGAGGTCCCTTGTTGGAGCAGGACCAGGTGCTACCCAGTTACCACCACTATCGAGGGATAAGAATGGGCCATCACCGTACAAACCGGAGAGCGGGTGTTTGACTGCTCTTGTTCCTCTGGGTGCAGGATGGAGTTTCAACCAGTCTGGAGTGTCTTCATCGCTGCTATCTTCAGAGCTGTATTCTTCGTTGCCGCCGCTGTCTTCGCTGCTGTCGACGCCACCTTCGCCTTTTCCTTCGCCTTTTTTACCTTCGCCTTTTTTACCATCTGGCTCCGGCGAATCCTCAACATCAGCGCGCGTCGCCGTGTCGATAGGATGAGTGGTACCCTCAGGAACAGTTGGAGTGATCTTGTTAGGATGGACACCCGGCTTTGTCTCCCTGTGCCTAGCACTGTTCACATCCTTTCTACCGTATGCTTTCACGAATTCTTTTTTCCCCATGATTCCCGCCTTTGTGATTGTTATGTCGTCATGTTCGTAATATAGTTGAATTGGCGGGTGAACTCTTATCAACTTTCTTAAATTCGGTCCAAGTTGTATTTGCTTCATGAAACAGGCTACCACCATCGCATTCCACTTCACATAATCCCAGTTCCCACCAATTCCAGCAAGATTATCTTCTTGTCCATTTATAGGGAGGAACCAATCTTCAACGTCGGAGATTTGGTCTGGAGTCGCTGGTTGGATAAACGATCTGCTGGATATGGCACCCGAAGGGGCGGCTGTAGAGCTGAGCATTCGATGTAAGTCCTCTGATGCTTCCGGGCTCTCTAGGAACTCTGGGTGGAAGGGAACATCAAGCGGGATTCCGGCATTTCTTCGACGGCTGTAGGGAGCATTTGGGAAGCAAGGAAATGGGCCGTTGTATTCGTACAGGTCGCCGACGGGTATCAGATTCGGATCGATCGCCCGCCCGCTCGCCATAATGGATATTCTCTCACCCTTATAGGGTACAAACTTAAAGATCGGCCTAATGTAGTGGCTTACTAGATGTCGAAGTTAAAGGGGGTTCTATACGATGGTGTCGCAATTCTAGTATACGATATCTTGATCAGGTAGCAAATTCTAAGTGTGCCTGGGTAGATAGCAGACAATATATAGAAAAGAAGGGCGATTCTTTGAAACTAGCTGTTTTAATCATAGAGATAGATGATGCAGCTAAAATGAGGCCATGACGGGGAAATGATAGTACAAGGAGAATGCGGGAGAGTTTGAGGGAAGCCGGCCGGCTCGTATACCGTCGAAAGTTCTTTGTCCGAGGAAGGTTCCAGTCCAACCCGAATAAATCAAAACAGAAATATTAATTCGACACGTCGTCTCCACCGCAAGGAAAGAAGAGAGAAAGGAAACACGATAGAACACGAAGCATTTTTACACAGACGTGTAACAGATAACCGATCAAAGAAAAGTTGGTTAGCCTTCACTGCGTACTGGCCTGGTCGGGTCGCCATTGAATCAGGGCGGGACCAAATATATGCACATGTGAACAAAGAGAACCCACCAACACGTTTTAGTGTTGCATCACCATCCCGCGGAACTGAGCTGAGCTTGTTGGAACAAAGAAAAAAAGCTTGCAGCCCATGGTCCTAAAGAGAAAAGGATTTTTATGGCGGTAACTTATGGGGTACAATATATTCAAGCGGGCTCAAGGGGCGATACGAGACTATTCAAGGGGCTGGTGCATAGTAGCCATGGCCATATTCGATGTCATAGCTAGTTAAGGAGACTAGTATAGTCCGGCGACGAGGTAAACTCGATATTAATACCTATATACCTTACAATGGTTTATTGCTTTTTCAGGGCGGGCTAACATTAACATGGTCCTCGGGTGCTTCAAGTGCTTCAATACCACAATCATGGAAAAAAGTTACTCTAACGATAGCAGGAATTAAACGAGATATACCAGATAGCTCTTTAAAAAAATTATTTCGTGTTATTATATACATATTTAGTTGTTTCGTACCTGGACCTAAAAGTATATGTATATTTAGTACCTGATGCTCTTTCGATTTGTTTTCTTATTTAAATATAACTGCACAAGCTACCCTCCGCATGCATGCGCAGAGAAGCCGGGCTTAAAATTCTTATCTATGTACAGATATCGATCGATAATTCCCACCAATATACACTTTTAATCGAACCTGTAGTTCTATATTAATCCTTTGTGCATATGTCCAGCTCTAGCTTCTCATTTTTTTACATCTGCGTATACCAAATGAAACTTTAGTTGACAGCAACGGAATAGTCAGTAACTGTGAACTTAGCAGTGACACCAGCGTTGTTAACGAACGGCTCAGTTCCAGTTTGCACAGCTATAATTACACTTTGTTAGCGCCCTATCCCAATTGACCCAAGAAGCTTAAGAATCATAGATTATATCATTCCAACTTACTATTCAAATATTGCCCGCTTGGCAATCCTTGACTGCTAGTCAAATACTTCACAAAGTTATTCAAATCTCCACTCCAGCTAGTGACCGGGGCGTTGCTAGCCACGAAGCTGAAGACAGTCATTTGTCCGTTTGGTCCCTTATATAACTTCCACGAGATGCCGTCGATAGTTGGTGTAGCGATAGTATTACCAGTGCTCGAAATCGGTCCAGCACCGCCGTATGCACCAACCCAAACCATGATTTCGTATTCTGGGGTGTTGCTACCAGATGTAGAAGCTGTGAAGAGATCGTAAGCGACGTTGGCGACCATGCCGGCGGTATTAGCGTAGGTGTATTTCAAGGTGGTTGGGATGCTAGTAAGGGCGCTGAGTTTCTTGGGTGTGAATTTGAGATTGGCATTGGCGTAGCTCTTGACGTTACTAGATCAATCGGTTATCAGCATTCGTCTTACTTTCATATATAAATTAGGACAAAAGCTTACTATTGACCACCTTGCCAAGTCCAGCTAGTATGCCATCTAACAGTGTTTCCGCTAGCATAGTCCAACCCGGTACACTGAGAACCCGAGCTAGCAGATCCAGATCCCCAAAGATTGTTATAGATGATATAGGTGCCAGTATCCTTAGAGTCCCATTGGCCGCAGAAGTCGGCACTGGTTTGGACACCACCGGCCGTAGTTGTCGTTTTAGTAGTAGTAGCAGCTCGCGTAGTGGTAGTAGTAGTTCGTGCAGTGGTGCCGCCGCTGCCGCCGGGAAGGCACTGGGAGTACCAGTCGTTGCTATAAGTGCAAACGTATCCCGATACACAGGTCGTCGGGCCCGTCCAGCCTTGACCACCACCTGTAGGGAGTTGATCACATTAGTCTAGACAATCAAGGAAACAAGTGTTTATTGCAAGTGTATTTACATTGTCCCCAGGCTCCTGATTGGGCCTTGGCGAGGCCGAAGGCCATAAAAGCGGCGGCAATGACTTGCTTCATAGTTTTGATTCGAGCGGAATAACTTGGAGAATAAGCTAACGGGTGGGATTTGTTATCTTGATAAGACGGTTCCAAATGAATCTCGAAAGGCTTGATTACTCCAAGACTTATATAAACCGGCCTCAACTCCTTTTATAAGTTTACAGACCCCATCCCTCCTGGTCTCGTTTGGTTGCCAGATCCCCCCCAATTAAACATTAACCTAAAGCTGCCCTAGAAGTCATTCCTAACATATCGAACAAATACGCCTTGCCTAGCTACCATCCAAGCAGAGGAACCACGGTACCATCGGAATCATCGAGGCCGCTTTGGTACCATGGATTCCACACATGGGACGACCTACAACCCGGCTATTTCCCCGCAAGCAAGATTCCTGCGTACCAAGGTACTGACAGGAAAAACATCCTTGTATCCTTTCTTTCTTTATTGATGTTAAAATTGATGTTCAGTAGACCAGCGTTTCATAATCGCTATTCTACGGTTGCGGCGGGAGCTAGACCCGAGGAACCATGGTACCTGCCACACAAACAACCTCTCCCCGAGGCGAACTGCAACCACACACCAATATTTTGCCCTAAACACGGAGAATTTTTCGGCTAAGATGTATTATCTATTAGCCTGAATATATTTTCTTTTCAATAGCACTGAATAAGCATTATGCCAATTTCTCCAAATTAAAAAGTGGAAGTTTGGCCGTTTGTATCCACGTGTGCTTCGGTACGCTGTCCCGATTGGTGGAAAATCAGCGACGAACTGTTGATGCAAAATGTGTTGATTTCGCAAAATACCACAGATTGTTTCTCCAGGAGAACAGCGCTTGACAATAATTACGATGTATGTCTTTTAAAATATCATTTTTTAAGATATGAGAAGTCCGACCTAGGAGAAAGTTTGTGTGCTTTTCGACAGAGGGGTAAATGTAATTCAAACACGGACGATGATGATATGAGATGAAATATTCGCTGAGCAAGCGCAAGCGAGGCGAGGTGGGAACTGAATAGAACCAAATCTAACAGGCCTGGCTGGGGCAGGACACTAGAATTCAGCCAGAAGCATCCAAACCACGGATTCAGCTTCCGACCCCATAGTCAAAGCCGGGCGATTCTTTCCTTAGATGTATGGATGTTCGTCCCTGAAACCGACTTTTTTCTCGATGCCTACCAATATGGAAGTCATCGTCCCGGCCAGCTGAGAAGGTATCCCTTATACCGTCATCGATGCATCGGACTCAGACATACCGAAGCGAGACGGTTTAGCATGCATTTAAACATATAAGCAACTCAAATTAACCGGCCGACCTATCGCTAAAAGACTTCCAAGTATACCTAAGGCGATATAAGGTTTCTAGACTGTGACTTTTACGGCGTGTCGCGGATGGAGTTTTCGTCTCCAGGATTCTAGATGCAGAAGGATCAATATATCCATCCGATCGCAAGGATAAAGATATACGGCTAATACGACTTCCCCGATGTCGTACTGCATTCACGCCATTTACATACATATTCAGAAAGGCATCTATAAGTATAGTGCCGAGTGGTCACTGGTCTAATGTAAGTAACGAATCCCTATTATAGACATTTAGTCACAGGAATATATGGTAACTATACTAATAATAGTATACAATTAAATCTCAATTATCGTACGGTATAACTACACGGTGTACCTCAATGCCACCGCGAATGAGAACAACCAGGGGGAATCTATATACAAATGTGACCCAACTACCAACAGAAAAAGACTATAGGGTATATTTTCACACAAAACAACAACTCCTCATCACTCGTTCAACTGCTTAAGCCTCCAAAGCCTTACCGCAACCACCATGTCTGGCATGCTTGGTAAGGCTAGGGTTGGGGACCATAGCCTCAGCCAAAGATCCACGTGGGAGGAGCTTAGCAGCAGCTCTTGGGAATGGGAAGCCGGCGATGCTTCGTCCGTACTTAGCGACGGCGTCAGCCATACTCTTAGTGCCGGTGATGAATGCACCGTAGTCAAGGTTGTTGACATCATCGCATGCCTGATGGTAGCATGCATCGTATGGCTTGCCAGCCTCACCACCGAACAAGGTAGCTTCTTCGGCAGTCTTGATTCCTTCGGCACCCATGAAGACACCACCAGCGGGGACACCGATTTGAAGGAAGCCTTGGTAGTCAGATCGACCGTCGAAGGCAGTGGGAACAGATTTCTTGCCATCTTCGACGAAGAAATCGATGAAAGTCTTCTCAATCAAGGCGGAGCCATTGGTAGCGTAAGGGGATGGGAAAGCGGAAGCATCTCCGTCGTAGATAGCGTAGAGGTAGTTGGGGGAAGCCAACATGTCGAAGTTAAGATTCATGACGACCTTGGCTGCCTCTTCCTCTGGGAGGTGGGAAGTGTAATACCTGGATCCAAGAAGACCATCTTCTTCAGCAGACCACCAAGAGAATTGAATGGCGTTGTTTACAGAGAACTTGGTGAGAGCCTTAGCAACCTCAATCTGAGCAATGGTACCGGACCCGTTATCGTTGATACCAGGTCCAGCCTTGACGGAGTCGGTATGGGCACCGACGCTAATGATCTTGTTCTGATCACCACCCTTTGTGGTAGCGAGGATGTTTGCAGTTAGGCCGATTTCCTCATGGAAGACGTTTGCAACAGTTGCTGGGAGGGTGCCAGTTCCAAGCTTGGTAACAAGGGCTTGTCCATCAGCTTGTGTAATGAAAGCGGACACAATGAACTTGGTAACGTTGTAATCTGCTGGAGCTCCCAAGGTGGGCTGGAGAGAGGTTGGGTCGTTGTTCCAAACGACGAGACCAGCTGCACCAGCTGTTTCAGCGAGGGCGTTCTTCAAGCCGAAGTTGCAGCTTCCACGGTGGACAAGAGCAATCTTTCCAGCAACGGAGGCAGGGTAGTCGGACTAGGGATCTCATTGTTAGTATCCTCATACTACACCATATAGCCAACCCAGCTCGGGATCCATATTTCTAAAACTTACTGCGACACATCCGAAGTTGGGGATAGCAAGGATATCGGCAGAGACGGTTCCATTGGGGCTACCAGTCATTCCATTAACGCCGGAGAATGGAACACCCTCAACTTTGACGGAAACGTCGTCAAAGATTTGCCTGGTGATGTTGACTATGTGAAACCGAGACAAGTACTGTTAGCAAACTCTTCGCCTATCAAGTAGTACAGGTGCAACGTACAGTATTGTCTCTCAACCTTGTAGTAGTTCTTATCCACATGCGACTCGATCCAGGTTAGTGTGTCCCAGTGACCTATCAATTCCAGGTTAGTATGCAATTTCCCTACGGAAAGCAGCACCGTTTGGAATCCAGATCTTACCAGGTGTACCCCAAGCACGGGTTCCATTATTAGCAGTGGCAATGGCCTGAAGCTCTTGGGCTCGAGCCTTCAACTCCGACCGTAAAAGAACTCTTCGAAGCTTATTCGACTCAACGAGTGGAGCGCCTGCTGGTGCAGCAGCCACAAGTGCGGCGGACGCCAAAGCTGGTAGGATCAACGTCGAAACCTTCATTTTTACGATAGTTGAAATTTATTAGAGGTATATATGAAAACGTGGCTATGAAGGGAGTGTGAAGTGATCGAGTGAGTTGTAGTAACAGCTGAGGATGGCCACCAGGGATGATGATTCTAAAATATTTGGTCGCAAAGTCCCATCTTTATATCTTTTGAGGCTCGACACTGCCACGGACGATCCGGCATGGTACCTACCTGGATCGAGGAATAGTAGGAAGGCGATATGGGACTCGAAACCAATGGTACAATGGGTAGCTGCCTAGTATGACATCGATGTTAATGGAAGCTTCAAAAAACGGGCCAAGGCTCAAGAGACAGCATGTTTCTGATGCTTATCGTCGTAATGTCAAAAGCGAAGTATGAGCGGAGGAACGATCGCGCGATTCGAAAGTTCCCTGCGCTTGCCCAAGGTTCCTGCACCAACAAGGCCTTATCGGTAGTACAAATGGAATTAAAACTATATGCACCCATCAAAAAGAAAGTTGAAGACATGGTTTGAGAAGAAGGTGTGGATTTCCATGTAAGCCAAGAGCCAATGCACCTACCCGATTTAAGCTGTAATTCCAACCTTCCCCGTCCGTGGGGCCAATCCTGGTCCCTCCCGCCAAGCGAGTTAGCCAATCCACATTGACCTAAGCCATCCCATCCTGGCCTGGACCGAAACTTTTGGAGGGCAACAGAGCTTATCGGCTCATTCAACGACTCCCAGACCACGGCTCCTTGACAATCTTCAGCAGGAATTTAAGGTGTATGGATGTAAACCCAGATGGTGCATTAAGCTTGAATATTCTTTTTCCAAGGGAGCCAATCGCTGATCGACATCAGTGTTACTATAAACTTGTGAATGGTGGTCAGCTGCCTGGATACCCGACGGACTAAGGGTAGAATGATCAAGCTAAGACGGGTAGGATGGCTCAACGATTGCTCGAATTGTTTGCCGTGATTCCGTGAACAAAGGGATCAAGGAATGCGACCCCTTCGCTGTGTACGGAGCATACTTCAACGGAAGACAGCTGTAACCATAAACATGCCATTGAATAAGTAATATAAGGTTGTCCACCATGCACTATCTGTCATCAAACATTCCCATCGATGCAAGGAGTGGCAGTTCGGTCAATTACAATTGCAATTGAGTTCGAAACGATAGCACTTTTCGAGCATCCGAAGTCTGCTGTGCAACCTGAATCCATAACCGGTTCGACATCCATGCCCACGGCTAAAAGTGGGGCGAGGAATGTCGCATTGCAGGTCCAGGACTGTCGATGCTCCTCTGTGGAAGTCTTATAGTGGCACAGGCGTTTCGGGAATCTGACGCGGTTAACGGCCTCCACCTCGAGGAAGAAAACAGCCTTTCATTTAATATTTGCTCTCGTCATCAATCTCGAAGATCGTGATAGGTATGTTGGCCGGAAATATCACAATATAGCCGTCCGCGGAGTATTACCACACTACACTACACAGCAGTTAAAACAATGATGTTTTTGTCCGGCGTGGTTTGAATTGATGGATCAAATGTCAATCTTTGCCCTTAGTCGTCCTTCCGCAATGCTCTGGTTCAGAAAGTTCATGTGCAGCAACAATGAATGCTATGCAGCCAAGCAAAACCCGTAGCAGCATTTCCCCACAACCAAGGCGAAGCCCTGTTTTTTCCTCGGTTGGTTTGCGACAGTGATTTTGAAGTGCTTGTTCAAACCAGCCCAGACCCGGAATTTTAATAACATTATCATTGCATATGCAGATACACTGCAGGACCCGCATCTAGGCACCAATCAAGGACAACGGAAGTGGCGAACCTCATCTTGAAATATTCGACATCATGATGCTCGTAATACACATCGTATTGAAGCCCAATTTTGCCAAGACTCGGTATCGACAATACGGAGTGGAGTCGCCAGAGAATCACGAGACGGCGGGTTGATGTTTTAGAATTCTAGAAAGCCGGGTACCTGCGACCCCGCTCTCTGGCCTGCCTAACGAGATCGCGAGACCAACCGGCAGTATGCAGTCGGCCCACTGAGTAATCGCAAATTATTACGACGAAGACATGTCATGTCGACATATGCACAGAACAACAATCGACCGTCGCGAGGCCAGCGAGACGCTACATTGCATGAAGGCCATAACCACTAGTCATGCCAGGATCAATTTGCTGGAGCCCAGAAAGTTGGTGAGGAACTGAACATGTACATGTCAGTACATACATGCTCCTGACTTGTCGGATAGCAAGTTTCCAACAATTTTATATCTCACCTTCCATTCATTCGAATTCATTCATTGTTGAACCATCCGTTCATTCATCTCGGGGAGGACTTTGGCGTCTCGGTACAGCCCAACAGTGTATGCTTGGCCTGGAACTGCTCGCGTGCTCCCCTTCCTAAATCCGCAGGAAATTGAGTCTCATGCATAAACACAGCTGGTGGCTTTTCATTCAGTACGCGTGTTCAACCCCTCCCCGCAGTTTCGCATAGCCTAAAGCTCGTTAATTCTGCCTTGTGTAGGAAAGAAACATCGAGGCATTCGGTGGTAGGCAGTTGCCCCATCCAGAAGGTGGTCTGGTGTTCCAGGTGGAGATGTTGGTGGCAACACAATTCACAAGATCGCGACATGCGCATGCGAGTACTAGCTGAATGCATATGCTCCCAGGGGCCGTAATCACTGGTACCAGATGGCAGCTAGTGAAGAAGCTAGAAGTAGACGGATACGATACCTGCAAGTGCCTAGTATCATATATCTACTTCTGCACGGATGTCGCAATACGAGAATTGTACCTTAACCATCCCATTATAACTCATATGGCCATGAGCTTTCCCACAACGGGAAGGAGGTCGCGCTTTCGAAATCCCGGGATTCAGTTAGTTGATACCTCGGTCTGGGGTCTTCTTTCTGCCTTCCATGCATGATCTATCCAAACGAAACGCCGAATACGTAAACGTACAGGTACCCATATCAAACCCAGACTACTTACTAAATGGGTCCGGCTTCCTCGTAAACTAGCCAACGCATCTACGAGCCCATGATTCTGAAATTTCTCGGCCGTATATAGTCAGTGCAAATTAGGTTTTGCTATCTCCATCGGCAAACCTTAAGAATGGTAGGTTTTCTAGCTGCCGTTTTAGTAGCTTTATGTGGAGTCCAATCGACTATGAATGGTCTGAACTGTTCGGTGGAATCCGAATGAATCATATTTCGCCCATTTCTAGATTCCTTATCAGAGTACCCGATATCTGGGGATGCAAACATGGCAAACCACTTGGCTTTTGCCCGTGATAATTGGCGTAGGCTTAGATGTAAAGAATGAGATTCAAGCCAAGTACTAGCTTCGGTCAACATTTAAGATTGCATCTTAGATAGGACATGCATGAGCAATTGTTTCTTCATTTAAAGATTTACATAATGGTTTACAATGATATGGAAAGACAGTTTACAGGGCATCTTGGAGATACATTCTCATGTAAACCATTTATTGTCATGTACGTAGATTTAAGTAGGTATATTTGTGCCTGCGACTCACACTGTTACATACCTCTCACCGGGAATATCTGTAAAATCCCAGAATTAAAACCCAGGAAATCCCCCAGGTCGTGCGTTTATATAGATACTTGTATAGATACTTGTATAGACACTTACTATATATATGTGCCATCGTCTCCAAACTTGACATTTAAAGATATGTAGTATAAAAGAAGAATGAGTACAGGATCCTCTCTGCAAACCCCTACACCCTCAGCCTACCTCATTATTTGGGAGATTTCAGGTATATACATAATATTATGATCGCGATCGTGATCAACGGCCCTCCACGCGGAATAGCCACGATCAGTTGGATCCAAGATACCAAGTCCCAGTGTCCCGGGATACCAAGATAACAACGGCAGGACTACATAGTGTTGATCCTACAGCCATGACTTTGGCAATATCTTGGTAAACTTCCAAATACGTACCTGCGTTTTTGATAATGCTGGCCCATCCAACCCAATCCATGCTGCAGACTTTAGGTCCTAGGATTACAAAGCTACCTGCTTGCACCTGTCGACATGGAAATACCCTTGATCGTGCATGCATATGGTTGAACTTGGTGAGCTACCTGCTGTCCTTGCTTTAGCGTCGCCAGGAGAAACTAGTTAACTAGCCCACGGAAGCTCAAACCTATCGATACAGTTTCCCTGTAAATTTATAAACCAAGCTAATCCCAACAAAAATCCGGGACCCTATATTCATCAACGGCAGGCAGGTACCTAATCTAGCCAATCTTTTCAGAAAGAATTATGTACTTCAGTATTTTGGAACGACCCGCCGATGAACTGCTGTTCTTCTATACATATTATATTTAACCATAATTAGGGTCGTTTGTGTCGACTGCAACTACAGTACTGTATTGACCGAATTGACTGCTAGCTAATCGATTAATCTAAAGTATCTATAGCTACGGGGTATATATATCTGAACGCTATAGCTACTGAGTCGTAAAAGCTGATGTATACCAATGTATGGCAAAGCATGACCCTTTCTAACTTGAATATATATAGTACAAATCCCATTGATACCTACAACCTAAGCTAAATCTCCATGAACCCACGATCTGAATTTTTATTCCAAAGCGGCCAAATCAATGTAAACCCACGCAAATGAACCCTCAAGCCTATGAAACAAGAAGAATCGGAGACATAGTAAACAGTCCCGCGATCTCCTAATTGGTAATGTATTAAGTACCAGGCGGGATCGGGGCCTCATGTCTATCGCGGCCTACCGCTTTGGATTTTAGAACCGAGAGTCTCAACTACGGCCAAACGATTTGGATGATCGTCTGGCGGTACCACAGTAGCCCCCCCTTTGAAAACGATATACCTTGATACTTTCTAGGGCGGTACAGTACGAACTTGGAGCGATCATCCGGTTTTCATTGTGTGTTATAGTACAGTCACTCACTGTATATTAGTTCAGGGCATATGCGCATGCCCAACGGACCAGTGTACTTGGATAAAATGCGTATTGAATATACAGCGGTTCTAACTAGCCGTTGTATAACAAGATTACCCGCCCAACCATAGGCCTAAAGTTAACGCAGTGTTAATCTCGCACTTACTCAAAACCCAAATGCAAAATCTTAAAGGCCCAACGAAACCCTAACATATATCTAGTCTCATAAAACCGCCGGTCTATTTCCCGTCGCCTCGACCGCCGGGCCCTCCTGAGCCTCCAAATCCCGCTGTTCTTCAACCTCAATAATTAACCTCCTTGCTCTTCTCAGACCTCTAATTAAGAAAAGCCCGCCAATAACTGCGCATAAAGTTTCTACCAAGGTATAGCTTATGAGTATGCGGTATCCACATAGTTTCTTCTTGAAGCTGTACGGAGACATACGGGATACATACCGAGCGACAACATAATAACATTGATTCTCCATCCTCTCGCCCCGGCTGTAACTACATGCCTCAAAGTATTTCGAAACACAGTTTCATCAAATGGTTTTGTCGTGTCCAACGATGCAGCGACTGAAAGTCCATAGATATTAGCAGCATTCCATGCTCATGACCTTGCACTAGCTAACGTAAAACATACGCTTGTCAGCACCCCTCCCAAGCATCCATATTGTTAACGCCCAAGAAGCCATATGAGCCATAGGAAAGGCAACGAAAAAGATTAAGCCAAGGTTTCTGATTGTAACATAAAACTTTCTAGGAATCCCAGGAAGGCGTTTATTTCGTGTTCTATTGGGGGTTTCTTGCGCCGTTCCTTCTGTGGAAGCGGTAGGAGGTTCCGGTTGATTTGTAGGGAGTATGGTCGGTTCAAAAGCCATTGTTGCTATTTAATGTGTCGGTATGAATGATTCTATACTAAGCCTTGTGAATAAGAGGCGCTCGGAATACTTGTGTATCAGCGTCCATAGAGTAGATGTCGTCAGGTTATGGATGGGGTGCACGTAGCCAGGGAATTAAATAATATTGATCGGAGCAAGTCATTTATAAAGTCGGCGGGGCGATATATAAATCATATTTGCACGAACCTGGAGATCACAAGGAAAATCTCGACCGGCTTTGAATGGTCGGATCCTAGTAACAAATAATAGCAGTGTAAATACTTGACGCTTCAATGAAGATCACAAAGTGCAATAACGGCAAATTCGAAAAGAAATTAGGTATAGAGGCCGCGGATAAACCACATACATGTCAACGTCCGCCGGGTATACTACAGTATCAAGTGTTCAGCGAATAAGCGATACTGCCGCCCCGAGTATTAATCGACTAATTAAAGATGAATGTGTGTGAAGTCTTAATTTAATTTATGGTGGACTGAATACAGTCGTGAATTAAAATCATGCAATATCTTCGATTTCATAATCATGTGTATACTGGTAATTAATAGCGTCGACATTTTAAGTATTACAGCATAAAAAACAAAAAAAATATTCGAAGTGTGCTTTTCCCTCCCATATGAAAATTAAAGAGACCAAAACCCCAGGACAATGCATATCGCCAAAACAGCAAAAAGAAAATACAATCTATGTTCTATTAAGATAAGACTAAAATTGCAAAAGCGAGAACTCCAATCAAACCGAACGAGCTACTTCTCATTGCTCCTGCGTCATTCTTTGTCTGTGTTGGTGTCGGTGTCGGGAATGTTACAGTTCCATTATTGTTCGTTGGCGTGCCGGGAGCGCCAGTCGCTCCTGGTCCGGTCACCGAGCTGGTGACCGTCCCATTCTTAGTTTTATCCCCATTATTACCTCCGCTAAAGTCTTGGATACCCTGGCTACCATCACCCACTGTGTTCTTCCCAGACAAAAAGTATGTCCCGAGCACTGGATCTTTCAATCCCGCTGCTGCGACAAATTTTTCGGCGTTGAACCTGCGGCGATCGTTTCCGCCTTGGTATTTTTCGAACTCTGTGGGAAGAGAGAAGGTATTTTCGGGTTGAAGGAAGAGCAGAAATATGTAGTGGTGGGGGTCTTGACTTGGTGGGGCGGGGCCGCGATAAGGCACTATCGCATTTGTAGAAGTAGTGTCCAATTTCAAAAGATCCTTTCCATCTGGAGATTTGACTTTTTGGGTGTTAAGGGGGATTTTTACACCCGGTTGCATCCAGTGGAGAATTTGACCGAGAGAGTTATTGGAAGGAGAGGGAGCATCAGGGTCGACCATCAAGACGATAAAGGTTTGGCCAGTGAATGATGGGGTGTCTGGGATGTACACCGAAGGAGTAGATTGGACGGCTGTATAGTTTCTTGTTAGTTAGGTCCTCAATAAAACGCCAATTGGCCAAGTAAAAGGATTGTACATACAGCTTTTATCAAACAGTCCACCATTGGCAAAGAACTTAGGATTGGCCGATTCATCGTATGTAACTGGAAACCAGTCGTCGGCCTTCGGTACAAAACCTGATGGCGTCTGAGAGAGGGCAGTAGCGGCCAGCGCAAGTAGGGAGGTGATATATTTTGAAGCCATTGCGCTGCAATTGAATCTCTAGTGAATTTTATTTCTTCCTCCTATTTACCGATTCGACGTAGTATCTGCGTAGATACTGGTATATATTGAAACTGAAATGGAAAAATGAACCTTTTTCGTCGTCAAAGTGCTAAGCTAGCTTAAGCTTGTCCGGAAGGCTAACAGAGGGAGAAAGGAAAAACGGAATATGCAGACAGCCGCATTCTTAAATATATATGAATATTTTCCCGTTCCATCATTCCACTGGCAACAATGCCTCGTGGTAGAACCAGTAGTGGAAGTCGAGTGTCAAGTTTCACAATTTTGGATTCCGCAGTGTTTTGGGTGTTCTCATCTTCAGACATTCTGTCGCACCATTGGCACCCTTGGCGTGTCTAGACGGACAATTCCACGCATCTAGAATCTGTACGTCGACCCACAGTTTGCTGTCACAAAGCTGCAATTAATTCGACCGGGCATTTAGGCAAATAGAACCACAAAATCCGAAGCAGATTTGCTTTAATACTAGAATCACCCTAAACTTATCCCAGTTACACGTCCATATTTGGTCATGTAATTATAACGTTGAGGGTTGGGCTCGCTGGGGTATCGCGTTGCGATTGAGGCATTTCTATAGGAGCCTCGCAAATCAGACGCATTAAACCCGCTTATGTCCCATTCAGTCCATGCTGCCTGCTGGGCGTGAAGCAAATCTGCCTTATCATGGACCCTTCATGAATTCAACTGGTTGACGTTAACGTTCTTGGGCGGGAACTTCGTCATGTTAGTCAGGAGAGATTTCGAGTATCGAAACAGCCGGTAGGTTTCGAAAGTGCGAAGCCTTCGCCAGGTGGCCGTGTGTGTTCTCGGTTAGCCTATTTGGGGAACAAAATAATTTCCGTATTTGGTAATTTCTAAATTGAGTTTAACATAAAGCTTTCAAAAGCAGACAAGAGCTTCGCATTTTTTGTCTGCATCCTAAATTAGCTCTTCGCTCGTTTGAGGAAGCGCCTAAATCAGAAAGACACAGGAACAACACGAGTACTAGATCACCCTTCTACCCGCATCTATAGTATCGGAGTGAGCTAAAGAAGGCACGGTGCAAACTATCTTCATATATCGTCACTATCAGTTATTATCTATATCTAGGTCAAGATCTAATATTATAATATCAACAGAAAAAAAAAACATGTAACACAAGGCAGTAGAAATGTTGGCGCCGCTTTATGAATATTCCTGCAGGCCGACCTGGACCAGAAACATATGTTGGTGGATCATGAGAACCAATCGATGCTGTAGCCTCTTGGACCGTCATAACAGTTGCCACCCCCTGCACAGGTACCCCTGCAATGAATCTTACAAAAGACTACATCAAGCTAAAATAAACAGGATTTGAAATATAAACTCTGCAAAAAAAAACAATAACTCAAACAAAAATCATTGAATTCACAATCAAAATCTATAGTTAATATTAACTTTTTAAATTTTAATAAAATATACAACCAATAGCATAAAATCAATTGAATGTGTTTAGCAATAGAGAGAGTTTGTCGATAGTTTGTTCAAATATACGTTTTTTTTTTACTCTTTTTGTCTTAGTAAGTGGGTACCTCATGATGGCGGGTCGAACTAAGGGATACATCTGACACCACCAAATTTTCCAGCCGCGTGTGAGAATATACAAGTAAAGGGGACTCCCTCAGCTTGGATTCTGGGTCGCGGATGCCCTTTGCCTTTCATTTTCACCGATTCCCGTTCTTACTAATCCTCGGATCTACCTCAACTACAGAATAATTTTGGGATCTATAGACCGCCTAATAACAATAGAAGAACCTGCGGCCACAAGTCTATGGGTATCCAGCGCTACAGCTTGGCACGTTGCATATATCAATAACCACCTACTCTACTTATTATCCTTTACTAGTATACTATAACGTGGTGTGTGGCGACTAAGCCAAGTAACCAAAGTCGATTTTGATATCCAACAATGACTACGGTAGGAATTGTCGCGGCTGTAGTCGGTATTATAACGGGCGGTGGCAAAGCTGTAAAATGGCTTTGCGGAACCATAGAAACCATCGGCGATGCTCCAGATTCCATGATAACTGTTATGACAAAAATGCAAGAAACGGTTTCCATTGTGAATGGACTATATCAACTCCTCAATAGCAAAAGCGCTACGGATAGTGCAAAACCCTTGCTGATATCCGTGGAGCAGCTTGAAAATACAATAATTGGTATAATGCTATGCTTTTCGAAATTAGAGAAGAAGATGAAGTTTGCCCGGGACATAGAGAACGGAAACACTAAAGGATTAGTTCGCGCGAAATGGCTATACCACGAGAAGGCGATAAAAGAATTGATCGAACGACTCAATAGCCACAAAATCTCACTTTCGATGATGCTCCAGCTCCTGAGTATGCAATCGTACGTATCACAGCAATGCTGTCTTCCTTGATAAGCCTGATTAGTTGGTCTAACTTTATTTCTGGTCGGACATACATAGGCACGTATCCGAAGAAAAGAGACTTTCGCTTTCCATGCAAATCGAAAGGAGTGTTCAAGAAGACCCTGACATCCAAGCCCACTTAAAAAAGCGTGCAAGCGTGAACTTAGGAGCGATCCATGAATCCCGCGACTCTAATATATCGCTTTACGATGATGAGTTCAATGAAATCAAAGACAGCAGAAACTTCGACCCCATCATGATTTCGACGTCTGGGCCTGAGAAGAAACCCAAAGTTGATCTGGGGATAGCAACCGCAAACCCAGCTGATTATGAAACCTCAAAAAAAATTGGATCTCAGATTAATCAGTTTCCAGGTCTGGGTACGAGACAAATTAACCAGTCTGACTTCCAAGAAGTACTTAAGCGCTCCAGACCTTATCTCAGGATGCATTCCCTAGACCCAAGAGCGAGCATGATCAGTCGTGAAGGGTCCTTGCGAGGGGTAACTTATTCGATATTTTCCCAACAAAGTATTGTTACAATATCAAATATCGCGGTCTATAACCTTGCAATTTCTCCATCAGATCTCCACAACAGTGACTGGTATCACTTTGAAGGCCCAAAAGAATCAACGCACAGAAAACCGCCTCCTGCAAACTTCATAAGGGAAACAACTTCTTCCCATTCGTCATCTTATATAAAACATGGTGCCAGCAGAATTAGGCCGGCTACATCGCCAGATATCTCAATATCACCGCAGAATGCTTTAAGATTTAGTTCACGAGATAATTCTATGCGCTATCCTCCTACATCGCCGTTTTTGACCGAAACAAGGATTGGGAAATCTACTGAACCCATCTTCTACCACCCATCTTCACTCGCTCGGTACAACGAATTCTATCAAGGAGATTTCTTCGTCAAGAGAGAAGAAATAACAGGTGAGATACTGAAGAAGATAAAAGCATTGCAAAACACGGAGACACCAATGATATTCTTATGGGGTGGTTTTGGATGTGGTAAAACCACGTTTGCCTTAGATTTTATAAAAGACTTACCGCACCTCTCCAACGTCCAGAATGTGCGAAGAATGTTTATAAGCGCAAATAGAGGTCGCGACATTGATTTTGGATTGTCTCGTTTCGCTATAAATTCGGGAACGGGTTTTTCGATTGGGAATCCGCCAGGTACAGACGAGAAAGCAGGGGCAACGTGGTCTAGTTCCCAGACGTCACAAAGGGAGGCATGGGCAACGTGGAATTGGTTATCTACAACAAGTCAGCTCCCCGCTGCTTAATTTCCCTTCGCTTTCTTAGCGTCCGCTAATTCATATATTGAGGTAAAGAGGATCCCTGGGCCATAATCCTTGATGACGTGATGGATTTAGGTAGCATTTCAGGGTGGCCGCCGTTAAATCCGAGTGGAACCGTGATAGTTACGACCCGTCTCAAACCACCAAAAGGAACCGCGATTGCGATAGAGGTGGGGTTGTTTAACGAAGCCCAAACTATTGCTGTGGCACAGAAATACCACTCGAACTATCACAAATCTACAACAAAGCCTGCCGACCTAAGATTTCTAAACCATATCCAGCCTCGTGATCTCCTCCCCGTCGAGATCCCGGCATTCATGAAAGCCACAGCTGATAAAAATATCAATCTAGGAGATCTAGTGGAATTTGATACTCGCGAGCGTATCCGAAGAGAATGCACGGTTAAGCAGGGTTACGTCGTCGGGACGCATGATGTCAACTGGTCCAGCGATTCGCGGAATCGGAAACCTCTGTATCGAGCGATGTGGGACGACTTTAGTAGAAGAGATAAAACCTGGGATATTGACATGGATAGCAATAGGCGCTTAGATTCATGGTCGGCCCGCAGAATAATGACTGATGCCGCTGCATTTTTATTCCCAAGTTGTTGCAGTTTGAGCCGCCTTCGATCAGCCGAACAATACTTCTATAAGAACAACAGACCACAGCCTTCATTTTCCGACCATCTTCGGGATAGTGATCTCCCTATCATCCTCCTTCTAGACCCATCGGATCAAGATACAGCTAAAATACCGAAGCTATCGCAAGTGAGTTATATCTCTAGGATGTCCAGCATCAGGAAAGCCTATATCGTTCGCAACCTTGCTTCCTGGCTTTTAGAATCCTTCAATATCTGCGGTGACTCTCAAATAGATTTTGCTAGCACTGGTCTTCCCCGCCACGCTGAGTCTCTAGCCAAGAACTTTTTCTTTTTTGTAGATTCAGACACCCTGATCTTAGAATCTTATCTTGACACCTGTTTTGAAATTGTTCGAGTTCTTCGAGTTCTCCGCACTGCCCCTCAGTGAGTTCCCCCCAGAAGGCAAATGACTCACGATATCACTTAAACAAACCTAAGTTTACTGATAGGCTTTTAGGCTCCCTTCTACTAACAATGAACCATCGGAGATCCTCAAGCTTCTTACCAAGATTCTTGAACGAATAATGCGCAGAGTTAAACAAAAATTGAGTTCCGATTATGTACAAGGAAAACCTGAAGTGTCGAGCCACACGGTACGATACGTCAGCGAACTCGCGGACTCCCTTGAATTCGTAGGACGTGAGCAAGTAAAGGAAGGGAACCACGGGGTTGCGGTGTTGTGTTTCCAAAATGCCGGGCGTTGCTACAAGGCTCTATGGCAATATGAAGAATCAGACTTTTTTGCGAATAAATCCACACTACCCAATCAGTGTAAGTTTCTATCGTGACGACATAATTGCGCGCGTTTCGGTATTGTCACAAATTGAAATATTAAGAGAACAAGGCTAATTGGAATACAGCTATCCGCATCTACGATCAATCCAATATGCATTCATGCGAACTAAGTATCGCTAAGTGTTTCGAAGACCAAGATAAAGTTCAGGAATCGATTCAGTATCTCCAGAAGACCCGAAGAGAGATGGAAACTCCGGTGAACTGCGTATTGTAAGGATTCTCCTGTTTCCTTTCCTTCTCTAATTCGATTCCAACGTTTTACTGTCCATCTTAACTTATTAATGAGTTTCTTAGAGGTCTCTTCAAGTATTACGAGGGAAATCTCCATTTATCGCAGCAAAAATACGGTGATGCATTATTTTGCTACGAAGCTGCAGGGGTATCGTTTAAAAAGTGTCCACAAGTCTGTGAATCGCGTCTCGCCGCTATCCAAGGGAAAAGAGCGCAGATTTTTATCCAATTCGGAAAATGGAGAAGAGCGATGTGAGTTAAATAAGGGTAATTTGTGAATGTCGTTAACTAACCAATTCAATAGAAACTGTTTAGAATCCACACTAAATTGCATTCCAAACCACAAAAATTGTGAAGACGAACGCACCCTGCGGCAGGTTGCATGGATTAACTCCAAGTTAGCTTTCGCCAACAAAGAGCTATCATCTAAGATAGACGACCCGAACGCGCTGACGTACGGAAACTCCGCGTGGCAGGCGGCGAAGTCATTGGACCACGAAGCCCCAAAATTGGTGACCACGACACTTTACTTGACCGCAGCGAATCACATTTGGGAATATTATAACAACCTTTATCAGGAATTGGACCTTTATTCCCCTCACATTCGCGATTGTCCTGAGCTCAACTCAAAGTTAAAGCTTGCACTTGGTCAATGCGCCCTCGAAACTAAATTAGAGTCAACAAAAGCTTGCACTACCCCGCAACCTTGTGGCTCTTTGTTTGACGCCCTCCGTTGTTCTTCTAATACGTACTACGTAGGGAATGCGGTTTGAGTTCTGAACGCAGAACACGATCAACAACGTCGTATGGAAATCCAATCATTTTCTGCTCGCTTAAATCCTCAAATTTGCAAAATTTGTAACTTCTTTCTCTTTCCAATATGGGAAATGTTATGGAATGGCTTATTTTCTCCACTAGCCTGTTTGGATATTATATTTTAACCTTGTTTATATCGTTTTGCGACCTTTCACTCAAGATCTTTGTTTCCGCAAGCCATGTCAAGCCTTATTCAAAATGCAAAATCAGCTCAGTTAGTTGATAATATATGTTGGTGACCCTTAATTTATAATACCACACTATGAATATATTAATCTTCTGACGATGAGCATAACATATTAATAGGTATATAGGGATTACTATGTTAACGTATAACTATCGCAAACAAACTATTGAACTATTTGGGAAGTTTAGAGTTCCATACCAATGCCAACGTTACGTATCCCCCACGCACTTGCCGAGACCGAATCGATCACAAAACCTAGGCTTGGCAGGTCCAACCATATACCACGCTAACCAGAACCAGTTCCCAAGTGGGTACCTTCGACACTTGCTCGACACTTGCAGGCATAAGCATCACCAGGCGGATCCTATAGGCCTCAACTTCAACGTACCGTGCCGCCATAGTACATTAGAATAGGCAGAGAAATACCTGTTTTTCGCAGACGCTAGAAAGCTAGCTGCACCTCCCTCAGATCGTCTCAAACAAAATGTCCAACTTGCCCACCCCGCACAGCACAATAGCGAACCAGAGACATGTTCACACATTCGATACCACCCACATGCAACACAAAAGATGCATCTAGATGAGATCCAGACTTTCGCGAGCTCGGTCCTGCAGTGCATCAAACGGCTCGCATAACGTAGCACATGTTATATGGCCTTTCATATATCGCGCGATACAAAACCCTGGGCGGTAAGCCTCCCGACCTCCCTGGCCCCTTTCCATTGGACCGGCTTCAGAATAGCTGCACGGTGGTTGCCGCCCTTACTTTGGAGGCCCTAGCTCCCAAAGATCTCTTGAGATCGGGGTTAGACCAAAAATCCAACCCCGCAAAATGGGGTTGCATATGGGGCCTCGCCAATCTCCGCCAAAAAGGCGTCGGCTAGCAATTACTACCGACGCTTGGTACTGGTAGGGGAATTTAAACCGTTGAAACTGACCTTCCTCTTTGAAACTTCTCTAACTCCGGCAGAAATAATGGTTCGAGGGGAGAAACTCACTGTTAGTATGTCGACGATCGGTTCCATTGGTCCGCTAATCTTGTATCTAAGTTGATGTGATCAAGTAAAAGTCAACTCCGCTAGCGTTACTTCGGTTGAAATACTTCTTTTTCGGGGCAGCCTTTCTGTTCACCATGCTGTGCGACAGGAGCACTCGGGGGCGGGATGAAGAACAGAAAGAAGAAATGTGGGTGCAGGTGCTATCACCTATCACCTAATCTGTTAAGACATAACAAATATGATATCAGAAGTGGATTGCCACTGAAGCTAACGCAAGGCGATAGTACTGCAAGGAAGATGCTTTGTAGCTATCAATGTTCGAGGTATATATACCAGTCCACTTTTCCCGTTCCAAAGCACAATATCGATCGGTAACCCTAAGATCTAGTAATTCTTTAGACCAAAATCGCTATATCGAGGCAGACATATAATTGTGAACGCCGCCCACGACACTGAACCTTTCCGATCTTGTCTCGTCTACTGGTCGAAATATGTCGAACATTTCGAGCAACTCCGCACATTTCCCCGACGAAGTTGACATCATTGTCGCTGGAGGTATTTTATACTCCCCTCCATGCATATAGAGTATTCATTAGGGCTCTGCTTATACCAGTTCAACAGGTGGATCCGCCGGCTGTACTCTAGCTGGACGCCTCGCCGCCGCTGACCCCAGCCTCTCCATCTTCGTCATCGAGGCCGGTATCAATAACAAAGATGTCCCCAACGTCGTCCACCCCGCCATGTATCTTAGCCATCTAATCCCCGGTGCCCAAACCACTACCTTTCACAAATCCAAGAAGAGTGAAAAGCTTAACAATCGAGAAGCTATCGTTCCAATTGGAGGTTGTTTGGGTGGCAGCTCCAGTATCAATTTTATGATGTATACCCGAGGTCAAGGGATTGATTATGACGATTGGAAGACTGAGGGATGGTCAGGGAAGGATTTACTCCCTTTGTTTAAGAAGGTATGGAAAGGTCTTTTACACTCCTATGGAGGGCCATGCTGACAAAATGCAGATGGAGACGTTCCACCATGACCACCCGGGTATCGACAAGTCCGTCCACGGCTACGAAGGTCCGTTCCACGTTTCACACGGTGGCTATGCGTCAAAGGGCTTCCAAGATGACTGCATCCGTGCCGCCGCCGAAACAGGGCTCAAGGAAGTACCTGATGCGAACAATCTCACGGAGGCCAATGGTATACAGGTGCGCTTGCATACCCGCAAATCAAGTCCATGACTATATGCTGACCCTAGCTTCTAGAAATGGCTTAAATGGATCCACCCTACTACCGGCCGCCGTCAAGACGCCGCCCATGCCCTTCTCCACCCTATTTTAGAATCGAACCGCACTGGTCTACAAGTTCTCACAGAACATAAAGTCGTAAAAGTTATCACCTCCAACGGTCGCGCGACAGGTGTAGAATGCATTCCAAATATATGCGTTCAAACAATAACACCAGCAACCGAGGCTCTCGCAAATCCCAAAATTATCAAAGCCCGGAAATACGTTGTCGTATCTGCGGGCTCGCTAAGTACTCCCTGCATCCTCGAGCGATCGGGTATCGGCTCCAAATCAGTTCTTGATAAGGCTGGTATACCCGTTGTAGCTGAAGTCCCCGGCGTCGGTACGAATTACATGGACCATAATCTCTATCTTATGGCATACGATTCCACCCTAAAAGAGGGAGAGTCTTTCGACCCATTCCTCGACGGCCGCCGCAGTTTTGACGCCGAAATTGATGCATTCTCCAAACCCGGATGTTCAAACCAAATCGCCTGGTCAGCCATGGATGTTGCCGCTAAAGTGCGCCCTAGCGAGGCGGAAATTGCGTCTGCGCCCGAGTCCTTCAAGAAGCTGTGGAGACGTGATTATGAATCTCGTCCCGAACGTCCACTCATGGTTGCAGTGTTTGGCCCAATACACTTCGGCGACCACTCAGTTCTTCCTGTATCACAATACATGACATCTGCTATCTTCCTTTCGTATCCTTACGGTAGAGGATACATCCATGTAACTGGTCCAAATGTTGATGATGAAAGAGATTTTGACTCTGGAATACTTAGTGATGACTGGGATCTCGATGCTCTAGTAATTGGGTATAAACGCCAACGCGAGATCGTCCGTCGTATGAAGTCGTTTGTTGGAGGAGCTGAGAATGTTATTTTGGGGCCAAAGTTTAGAGAAGGTAGCAAGGGTAGCAAATGGGATTACCCTACCGCTAATGGTGCGGTGACACAATATGACGCGGAAGATGATGAAGCGATCAAGAACTTTATTCGAGACACCGTAGCGACGACATGGCATAGCTGCGGTACCTGCGCTATGAAGCCACTTAAGGATGGTGGTGTCGTAGACGGGAAGCTAAACGTATATGGCATTGAGGGGTTGAAAGTCGCGGGTAAGTTTTGCGCCGCCCTTTAACTTATCACTATTCCATTCCTAACGAAGTTTCGCAAAACAATAGATCTTTCCATCATGCCATCGAACATATCCGGCAATACTTATGCAACTGCATTACTCGTAGGAGAGAAGGCAGCGACTATCCTCGCCGAAGAATTGGGGATCCAAAATTTTTAATTTAATGAATATGTGTTAGCTAGGAGGTGTCGTAATTTGGAAGCGGTCAAGAATGGGGACTTGACAGGCTGGGGTCTTTGGTTTTGTTTGGGGATAATGTGTTTTATCATCAACCTTAAGAGTTGATCAATTGATTAATAGGTTGAAAACCAATTACCAATGCATCCACCCTCTGACGAATTTTCAGCCCTTGCTACCCATCTTAGATCCCACATAGTAGCTAAAATCTCAGCTGAACAATTGATTAGTTTCAGGTGACTGCCCCAAAAAATAAGGTTTGTGAATTCAATGGAATCTCCATTTCGTGGAGCTATACCATGTCGAGGGCTAGCGTCGCGCGCAGCTAGCAGCATAAAGCCTTGGCGCCGACTCGGAAAGTTCGAAAACCGACACATGTACTCCGTACATGCACACCATAATATTCCTGGGTTCCAAAAATCCTTTTTACCCATGGTTTCAAGTCTTCGGCTAGTTCGACCTACGCATATGAAAAAAAATCTCCAAAGCAAAGCAAAACAAGCGTGAATCTCGTAGGGTTATCTTAGAAAGTGATTTGACGAGCACGGATTAATCAATATTCTCTTAGGAGCAATGGAGGAAGGGCCAGCTGCTAAGTTCTCGGGTATATCCGAATATATTTTCCCCAAGTTGATGAATCCAGCAAAGACATGGACGCGTATTTGGATAGCAGGCGCCTCAATATATCAATATATTCAGAAGGCATTTGTCTATACATTAACCTAGCCGATTGTAAAACTTATCCTAAGGAAAATGCGATATCTAAATATTAAGCTTGTATCTATGTACAACTGTAAGTTTCACAAAATCGAACAACTCCTCTTACAAAACCAACCCGAAACTACACATGACAAAGAACTTTTTATGCCGAAAGCGGTCGTGTATATGGCGAGATCGAGATGATGTCATGTATTAATAATAGGAGTCTCAGTTACAGACCTTTCGCATATCGTAGGAGGATCATTATAGCTATAAAATAGTAACAGCAGTCTATTGCGGCCTTCCGACCATGGTTTTTTTTACCATCATGGATGTTCGCTAAACCTAATAAAATGCTGGTGACAGAATGGCCTTGATCTCCAAGCTAGATAATAGCTTCATCGATGGCTAACATGTTCGTCGGAAATTCGTTAAATTATAATCCAAACGCAGTCTCGCTTTTTTTTTTTTGCCCCGCCTACCCTCAGTTCTTAAGGTGTATTGTAGAAGTATTCGGAGGAGTCTTCCATGTGCAATTTTCGTTGGTAGAAATTTCAATCTGAGCGAGTCATAGTCTCACAAGCTCATATGATGGCTGGGTATGCTGGTAGTCATTACCCAGCATCCTGCGGCCAAAGTCCCAAACCACCGATATGTCTTCATACCGATGTCAGTTCCTTTCAAATCAGCACTTTGTATCATTTCGCTCCCAATCATATGAGTATCACAATCCGTCTATATGTCTCAGCCAACCAGAATCGCAAAACCACCCACCGGCAGCCACAATACCCGCCATACATCCCATTTCCAAACCGCCTCCAGTGTTTAACACCGTCCCCCTGTCAAAAGAACTAAGACACCGCCTTTTATGCATGTCTCGGAAAAGCAGGTCTGAGACAGACAGTAATGCTTACGCACGGGTCATATGTGGAGTGATGTCTGACTTCTGAGATATTGCCTAGACAGGTGTGTATTGGAATGAACAGTACGGGGTATACACCGTGTATTACAGGACAAGAGAGGATCGGTAGATCTTTTAGTCCAATGAAAGTGTTCTAGACTTCGTATGCACGTCTTGATGAGAGTGCATATGTCGATGTCTTGCAGCGCCGTTATTTCATCGATCGGCAGTGTCAATTGGCCATAGGACCATATAAATATGAGTTAGGGAATTGGGAACCGAGGACAGCTGGAACGTACAGAGACATCTTGGCCAGTAAATTCTCATTCTTGGTGAAATCTAAACATCGAAAGTCACAAATATTAAATTTTAGCGATCGATGGAATTGAATATGGTGCACTTAATATCCTTGATGGTCTTTACGGGGAATCCAGCAGATTCAGCTTCGGCTGCAACGCTTTTGTCGCGATAGTTTACAGATAACATTCCGTTCACTCTTTCAAATTTACTAAACCTCATCCGGACCGTTCAGAGGACTCCACAAAAGTACTCCTACGACAAGCGAAACACTCGAATACCAAGTCCGACTCGGTAGTCCTTTCTCCGAATAATCATACCAATTGAATCAAAACAAATCATCCGTAACAAAACGTATGTCCATACACCTTCGAACCACAAATGAGGCGTAAAGTCTCATATGCAGCTCTGCCGCGCCTATGTATGTGTAATTCCGTTAACCGACCGCATGATGTATTGCAGGTAGAATGTATGTATGTACATGTGTATAGACCTTACTTTCTTTCTAATGCTTTGAATTCTAAGACTCTAATTGTAAATAATACTTCTAAGCTTGCATTCCACGCATGTTTAATCCCATCCAATAGGCTAATTTCCACAAGAGTTGAAGAGTAAAGGGGGCTAGGGAAAAAAGATTGAGAACACAACTAAATCACCAATGTCTCAGATTCTCGATCACAGGAGTGGTGAACCAAGCGAGTGCCCATGTTCCTTAAAAACGGCACGGAAAAAAAAGAAAAAGCACGGACTCAATCAAAAGGAACCAAGTTCGTCATCCTACATTTCCAACTTAGGTATTTTAGAACTAACTTTCCTTCTTACCTATACGTACATCGTAGAGGAAAATCCTAGTCTTCTTTGATGACGTGCTACTAGAAGCTTGTATTTTCCATCATAAGCTGACGTGAATTCGAAGGGTCGCATAAAATGCTCCGTATTTACAAGCTGATTCCGGGTTCTAGCTCCGACACACAAGCGATATCGATACCAACGGCTGTTAGGAACCGGCTACGTAGACATCCATTTGAAGATGTGGCTAGATTAGACATTCGTGATCCGCATACTGCCGAAACGTCACACTCTTTCCAGTTACAAAGTCCCTCAGTCTAATCATGAACCCCAGCAAGGCGGCCTCTCAATTGATCAAATCTGCGTTGTCCTCGCCAATATCCAACATTCGAATTCTCGTAACATACGATTCTCATCATGATCACAATAACAACATTACAATCCTCCTGAGCTCTGGAAGGAAAAAAAGAATTTAAAGACAAGTTGACTGTCTCCACCAACGTCCCATCATCATCGGCTGCACGCCCCCGACTTTGTATTGGTTTTATATTGTCGAGTTCCCCACTTACCCAAGAAAAAAGAATCTGGAAGAACGAACCGAAGAAGCAGAAAAATGTCTTAGCCGTGGTCTCGGCTGTCTCAAAAAGTAAAAACTGTCTCAGATTGACGGTGTCACTTCTTGCCGAAAACAGGCTGGATCCGCTGGTGGGTGTCTCAGATTCACGTGGACGAGAGCTATCTTAACTTATTTGCATGCGCAGGACCTTTTCATATGGCTGGAATCTTTCAATCTGTTATTTGCTAGATCGCGATCGAGATGCCTCTTTCGATATAGGATTCAAAGATTCTGGGATGGGAATAACTATCGGAATTTAAACCTTCATATGCAAGCCATGATATATATCTCCAACCTCAAGTTGATTCTATATACCCAGGCACTTAGCCATATCGATCCACTTAACAGTGAAGTGTCTAGAACAGATCCCAAACAGTCAATTAAAGCTCAAGAGTTCTCCGCATCCAGCAAACAAACCCAATGTCTCACATCAAACACTTGCATCAAAACCCAACTCCACAATGAATTACCCCCCAGCCAGCAACTGGCAGAAAGCCAGCTGTATGTATGTCTAAGATCCAAAAAATAAGAAAAAATCCAAAATGTCTCGCCTGAACCCCATTTACCATTTAAGACGCAATCTAACGGAAATGCCCACTTCCATATGCTAACCACCCCCCAGTCTATAAGGCAGAGACCACCACTTAGGTACCTTCAAAAGACATAAAGACTAGCCCTATATCAGCATCTGCGAAAGGGAAAAAAATTAATCAATTGCACATCTTGTTTTCTATCCAACATCAATCCCAACATCCTGTTGGAGTTGTCTTTTTTTCTTCCTGTTTGTTAGATGAAGCGCTTTTCGAGCTTGTGACCTTTCTTCCACGCCACCAAAAAGTTCAAGGGACTTGGGGACTAGGTTTAAATGGTCATGGGAGATATATACCCTTCCTATTCCCTCCTTCTCTTAATATAATATTCAGCTTCTTTTTCTTCTTCTTCTTCTACTTCACCATCTTCACAATTACTTCGACTACATTGAATTCAAAAAATTCTTCAAGCAAGAATGAGGGGTCAATAACATAACGCCAACCAACAATCACCGTATCCTCATCCCGACTCCGACAAGCCAAACCTCAACCAAACCGCCCAACCCAACCCGACTTTAAAATACCACACCACCAACACAGAACCGCGAAAATGCCAACTCTCTCAACCCTCATAACTCCTCTAGCCCTTCTCTCCCTCTCCCTTCCCTCTCTCATTCTCTCCGAGTCCCGGGCTATCTATTTGGGTTCCGCAATTTTCAAACTGACAGCGTCCAGCGCCTTCGTCTGGCGTTCTCTCCTCTCCTCTCCCTCATCAACCCCCCTCGACCCATCAGTACTTGCCGCAAAATGGTGGATCACATTTTCCTTAATCTCAGGCCTGATCGGTGACTTCTGCCTCATCCCTTCTAAGAAATCCTACTACAACCCTTCGGGAGGTCACGAAGGTGATTCTATCTGGTTCAAACTCGGAATGTTGGCGTTTATGATCAACCACGCTGGATACATCGGTGCCTTTTTACAATTTATCAAGGGAGGAGTAATGGAAAACATCGACTGGAAGATCTTTGGCGGGGTTTTCATCGTTTGCATTATTTTGGGAGATTTATGTGGTATGCCGGTACCATGGAGAGATGATGCATCGTCTCCTCTTCAGAGTACCGCTGGGAATGGAGAAGGAAGGACAAGAAGTGGTTCACCGAGATTACCAACATCATCGGCGGATACAAAACCCCTTCCAGATCTTTCGAACCAAAAGGCCTTTAAGAAAGGCCCTAGGCATACTCGTTCCGACTCTGGTGTTACCGATCTATCGATTTCAATCCCTTCGACTCCAAAATCCGGTTCTAACAATAACTCACCTACGACCTCAACACCTCTACTCTCTTCTACCACCACCTCATCCACAACTATCGGAGGTATAATCCCTAAGATGGCGATCCCATCGGATATGAAACCTCTGATTATAATTTACCAATTAATCATTACAACCATGGTCGCATCTGCAGCCGGGACTCGAGGAGCTTTGTCGGAACGTCTGTTAGGTGCTTTTATGTTTATGGTTTCAGATGTTATGGTTGCTTGGGATACATTTGGGATTAAACCTGTTACTCCAGTGTCAGCCTCCACTAAGGCCGAGGAGAGGGTGGTGAAGTCAAGGCAAGGGTGGAAGAGCAGAGGATTCGGATGGGTTTTGTATTTCGGTGGGCAGTATATTTTGGCTGCATATGGTGCAAAATAAAGTTGAGGTTGTAACAGTTAATAGTGGAGGAGATACCCGATTTTCTATTTTGTCTGTCTTTTTCTATTACATCATCGATATATATATATACCCGTTGCCTTTTCTTAGGTATAGCACATGAATTACGAATTTTCTATCTCTTTTTGCATCTTTCGGTCTTTATTTCTATAAATGAACGTGGCATGGGTGATAACGATATGAATGGCATTATACAATGTATTGGTTCTATTAAAATGAACTATATCAAATTAGAAACATACATGATGGCTAAGTAGGAATGAATTCAATTCATGAAACGTATGTCGCACGTAAAGTCTTTTAGGAAAATAATAACAGTGTAAGAAAAAGCCAGGTCATTCCATCGCTCAATAGCCTTCAATCGTGAAAAAAAAAGTCGCCTCAAATCATTCTTTCTAGTGTGGAAGATAAAGAATGCTTAAGAGCCATCCTACTCTGGCTTGCGGCCATAAACACGGTGCCTATATTCAAATTTTGTTAGCTGAACCTTTCCCCCCATAACGAGAAATCATGGATGGAGCATACAAGTCATAATAAGTATGATAGTTCCTATTCTTCAAGTCCTTCCTAACATCCACGAGCATCAACTGGCACTCCTCCGGTGACAGCTTCAAGACGCCAGTGAACAACCTCAACGTCAATCCTTCCAACGCCTCTAGAAAGCTAGCCATATGGTACGCCCCGACTTCCTTAAGGTACTTATCCTTAGGCCAGGGGGAATTGGGGAGCTTGAAGATGTCTTCGTGGATATCAACGAATCCGGCCTCAACCATCCAAGTTTTGTGTTTCGGAGCGGCAACGAGGGAGCGGCCAGCCTTTTCGACGGCCTCGATGAAGAGATTATTCCATTTTCGGAGGATGCAGTCCTCGGGGAGGGAGCCGTCGTCACAAAGGATGAAGGAGCTAGGTTCGAAGATTTCGAGGTAGCCGCCGGGTTTAATGGCCCTATTTGCTCCGATTAGCATTGGCTGACTCATTCGGATATAATTAAGTAGACTAACTGGTAAGCTTGTCCTATGAGCTTTGGCCAATCGGCGATGCTACCGAGCATGTAACGAGCATAGACAAAGTCGAAGGAGTTGTCTGGATGGGTCCATTGGCTTTCTGCATCATCGATTTCGAATTTGACGCTAAATATCCGGTTTAGTTAAGGATCGGTCGAAAGCTATGACAATTGGCATACGCACTTTGGGGGAACCCTATACCGTTGATTATTAATATAATGAATTTCTTTGAATCAATTTCAGAAGGACATACCAGGTGGGTTGGATTGGACTTAGGTCGTTGCCAATGACCTACGATGATCAGCTTCCAATCACGTGCCTTCCATACCAAAAATATTACTTACGACAGCGGATGGGTATTTGTCGGCTATGCAAACGTCAGTAAACCGGCATTTCAATTCCCGGGGTAAAAAGTATTTTACTAACCCATTTCAATTGCCCAAATACCAGTTCCAGTGCCGATATCCAAGACCTGCTGCGGCGCATCCAATGGGGCACCATGCAGCTCTCCCTTCTGGACAATCGTCAACATGTGATGGTGCATGTCCAAACGATCTTGTTCAGTCTAGTTTCATCGTTAGAAACCTCCCCAGCCAAAACCCAAATACCCGTTGCCTCATACCTCATCATTAGGGAATGCATATTCTGATTGGTCTCATTAGCATGCGACACATCGATTGGATTGTGTTGAGTGGTTGCGACTTACGTCCTTCGCGGAACTTATGGTAACGGCGACCGTTTTCATATTGATAGTCGAAGGCTGAATCCGACAAGCTAGTCGTGTAGGTCTCTCTGCGGATATGTAAATCGCATTAGCCAACCTCTGTTCCCAAGATATGATGTCCAGAATCGGCTCCAGGAATTCCCGCGAAAGGGTAGAAACATACAGGTCAGAATCACTATATGACGAATCGACGTCGCTGGCGCTCTGCATGGTCGCATAACCTCGTCAGAATTCCACTTTTCAAACTCTCCCAAGACTTATTTATATACTATCGGAAGAGATCAAGGGAAAGAGAGGAAGACAAGGCATAGTTACATCAGCTTCGATTTCAGGATGATGTGTCGTCGTGATCTGGCCTTCAACGACCACATTCGGCGGGGAACCTGTGGTCGCCATTGCGTGTGCGATATGGGATGGTTGTCGTGGTTGTCGTGGTGGTGGTTGCGGTGGGAAGCTGGTTCGGGAAGTAGCTAAAGGGAGGTTGGGGGGGTGATGGAGGTTTGTGGTCCTGTCGTAGGTCTTTCACCGGTTTGAGAAGTTAAAATTATCGTGCTCAGGGCGTACAGGCCTAAAGTTCGGTAAGTTGACTGAGTAGTGAATGCTGGTCGATAGTCAGCTGGGGATGATGTCGGGTATCTGATGTCGGACCGAAGGAAAGAAGAAGGTCGTTAACTATCCTCCAGCTGGCACTTGGCACTCGGTTTGGGTTTATCGGTGATGTCGTGGGAGTCGATGATGTGAGCGATGGAGGAAAATATAAATTCAACTGAGCTGTAGCAGAAAAATCTCCTTTCAAACTTACTCCCCAGAAATATTATGCAGCACACGGACCTATTTAAATTAAGCACTTCTTGAAGGATGTTTAAATCCAACAGACCTGCACCGCACTGGCCGGCTTGTTGGTCAATCAGAAAAAAGCCCACTTCTGGCTTGCGCGATGGCACATGGCACGGTGGGCATGGGCAGGACAGGGCAGGTAAGGCGGCTGGAGGGTCCTCAAACAACCACACCCGGGCCACGTACTTGCATGGTTTCCGTCTTCCCTGCAACAGGAACTGTGCACTCATGATCTCGCCCTCTATCGATGCACAAAATCGGCATGGGGTTTGAGTACAAGTGGCGTTAGGTACAGTCCTGCTTAAAGAAAAACCCGCGCATGTTCCTCTCCCCCCTTTAGCAAATGCTGGGGAATGTCCGCAACTTAACTAACTGGTATCGTATCTAGAGACTTTAATTGTGGAGCGAGTTTGACAAACCGGTGCATCTTTCTAACGGAAATGAGAATCCCAAGCGTAAGTCGCAAAGCTTGGGCGAAAGCTGATTGGGAGATCACAAGCGAAGGGCAGCATTGTGGCATGATTGATGACAATGGCGGCCTCTCTGTCTACGGGAAACCACCAAAACTACCGCCCCTCCACAGAAATGAGTGCCGACGTGCGTCTCGCAAGATTTTCTCCTCCATGCAAGAGCCTTTTCACGCCGGTTACTTATCTTGCTTCTTCGTGATAACGTGTCAGGAAAGCAACTTGCAAAAAGGAAAGGCTGTTGGGGGCCCTTGTTTCCAGTTGGCGCTAGACGGGCTCATAACTTGCGAAAGAAAGAAAAAGAGACGAGAAGGCATGGTCGCCGCTGCAGGTATGTACTCTGTAGTAAGGCTATAAGACCCATGAACCTCGCAAAAATGAGGCAAATACACAGTATACTGAATCAATATTCTCTTTTCGTTGAACTGCAGTTGCAAGAAAAAAATGCTGTCGATGCACCAACAGCATTATATGTAGATGGACCCGAAGCTTTGGTCGACCCAGTTTCAAAAGCTGCACGAGCTCTGTCGGTTTTTTTGCAAGTGTTCAGTTGGATACCACCCTCAAGCGAACAAACTTTGCTAAAGTTGGGGAAGTAAATTCTGGCCCCACCTTAGTTCGAGTCCAGCCCCGTTTGCTTGGAAGCCCGGATTCGCCCAAGGGCTCTCGGAGCTGTTTGGATCGAATGCAGGCAGATTGGGCAATGCATGTCGGGCCTGCCTAATGGTAATGCCAGCACAACAAAAACTATATCCATATCTGGCCGATATACCTTCGTTTTCAATCTCCAATATTCGACTCGGAGTTGATACTCAAAAGAGGCCCTTAGTCGTATAGAACAGAGCATTATCATGTCAAAGCCGGAAGCTCAGACGGATTCCTGGTGGAGTCGGGGATGATAGCAATGCATCCGAATCCACACCAGGGTTCAGGTTCAAGGGAACAGCTCCACTGGACCCGTTCCGCCAGCCTAGCTCCAAGACCCAGCTAGCTTGGTCCCGACAGAAACAAAAAAGCTCATTATTGTGATTCCCAATATCTGGGATGCATGAGATGTGATAGATATAACCACACAATGGAAGCAACCTTGCTTAGCTTAGGCCTCTCTGTAGGCGATCGGCTGGGGCGGTGTGGATTCGTGTGTGCAACCCTAGGTCTCTCCTGGGAAAGAATCACCGTCAGGCCAATTAGCCGACCAATCGTAAGCTGACCCGGCGAAGTGATAGCTTCGTTCTCTGCGTGGGGAGAGCTCCAGATTTCGTGAAGTCATCCCCATTCCTAAGCAACTGCTGTGGGGGTCCGCGAATCGAATCGAAAACAATGACAGATTGGCGATATCGCTAGTTTGCGGAATCTGCCGTCTTTTGACAGCGGGAAATCTATTGGCGTAGAATTGAGGAGTGATCATGCAATTTCCTCGGAGTCGCCAGCCTTGAGACCGAGATCGAGATGCCCTCACAAATGGGGAAATTGAATGAGGTAAAACTTTCGGCGTCCGCATTCGAACCGGTCTCGACTCCCGCCAAGCCAACAGCAACGCTTTCTCTTCGATGCCTAAGAATTCAGAACTTCATGAGCTGCAATGCGCTGCAAGAAGCTATAGGAATCTAAGCTACAGCTATGATCCCTAGGTCTTAGGACATATAGGTAACTTTCGGTTCCGAGTATCTAAAATATAATTCCAGCTCCGCAATCGATGCTCAGACATACGCTAGCTGGTTCACGAATCCATTTCCCGAGCTGCGCCAACTGGCCAATTGCATCTGCAACCCATCTGAGACCTCGATCTAAATCTAACCTAGATCCCAACCCGGACAAGGCCCTTAACTTGCCCTCAAATCTAGCTTTCTCCGGCCATAATTGAATTTTCAAAATCTAGAGGAGGATTATAGCAATTTATGAAAAAGCCCATTAGTTTATAATATGACTAGTACTAGTGTATAAACATCTTAGGATCTTCTGTAGACTAGCCTGCACTCTCCGATCGTGTATGTTTTAAATGGGCTTCGAAACTTATAGCTTATCCGTTTCCGAAGTCGGCCGGTGTATGAATGTGATATAGTAAACAACTTAAAAGTCTGAATTTGTATTTATTCTCGCAGGAATTCGGCTAGCCAACTGCTAATAATTAACTTCATGACCAGCCGGAAGCCCCCTGCCTCACGCGTCCGATCCTATCGAATCCGCAGAATTTTAGGATCGCGATCGATTGATTTACGATACGTAACTAGGCATCTGCGAACACCAGAAACCACCTTCCACTATACAAAAGCTCATAATTAAATAATCTCGAGCTCCCATCCGTACAATCATTATCCTAGCCCGAAATTAGGGTATATACATTAATCTTAAAGGGAAAGGAAAGGAAAATGAAGGAAAAGGAAAGGAAAATGACGGAAAAGGAGTAAAGCTCGAAAGAGAAGAAAACCTTGAAAACATTAAAATAAAAGACCACCCAAGGGTATAAAGAGATATAATTACGTACAATGAGAAAGAAAAGGGTATAAGAAATAAAGCCACGAATTCTCGGGCTAGCCAATTGGCTAACAGACGTATTCTAGCGGCCTGTCTATCCAGTCGCCCGACTAGAGTCTTTTGTAGAGAGGAAATTAAGAAGGAAGAAAAAAATTAAAAGAAGAAAGGAATATAATAACCAGCTGACCACGGTGCAAAACTGACAGGATGTCCGGGCCCTTGAAAATAGAACCTGCACCGGTGCACCTCGTTAACAGGATTAGAGAAATTCAAGGACCTCGTAGACGTATTAAGTAGTCTTAACCCTCTCCGGCTCTACCGGCATCTCCATATCAACCATATCAATCACCTCGCCCTCCTGAACGCCCTTCTCAACATCAATATCCCTCCCCACCAGCTCCAACTCTCTCACACTACCCACCTCACTCCCGCCCTCCAAGTCATCTACCATCCCTGCTTCATAAGGATGTACACAACCCGAAGAGCCTCCCAATGTCGTCGATCCATACCTTGTAAAAGTAATCCTTCGACTTTCACCAGGACTTACACCGTTTCTAACGGCATAAGAACTTCGGTCGTATTTACTAGTACAATCTGGATCCGAACCTCCGGCACAGCAGAGGAAGTGAGAGATTACGGGGATTGGATGACGTGTAAAGATCGTACGGATTGCGGGGCAGGAGGCACAGATCAGTGCTATATTGACCTCTATTACTGACCAGAAAAGAGAGTTTGCCGTCGTATCTATTCTAGTATTTAGTATGATCATATCATGGCTATATATTTTTGAAAATTAAGGTGGAGGGGAAACCACTCACAAGTAATGTCTAAATCCTGTAATGTCCTCAAACTCACCATCCGAATAATACTGCTCGCGCATGAAAAGCCGCCAACTAAAAACAACAGACAAACCGCAATTTTTTTCCTCCTTGGTAATCTCAACCTCGTAATCGGGACAATAGGTAAAACTACCACAATCCCATCCGTAAAAATATTCACTGCAGTGCTAGCATACAAGTAAGCCTGCATATCCACACAACTACTCCTCCCGAGATACATGATTCGAAAACTCCAAGCTCCATCAATAGGATTACACTGAAAAACACTTATAAAGATTGTGAGAATAAACATTGTCCAGCAAACTGATAGAATGCACCACATTGTCCGACGGAACCAGGGGTGTGCGTCAAAAATGCGATTGTACAGGATTATTATGGAGGTTTTAGCGAAAGAGAGGGAGAAAGAGTGGAGTATATTGCAGACTATTAGTTCTTTGATGATCTTTTCGGAACGTTGGATCATGGTGGAGAAGGGGCCGTCCCAGAGATGCTTGCCGTAGCCACTTCCTATCACTAAAATGTGGTGTTAGTAACACTCGAGTATTCTTCTCAGTAGAGATGAATGAGAAACCTACTATGTAGCGCGACGGAAGAGAGGGCGAGAGATCCTGCCTACTCAACGTCAGTATCCAGTCCTCATCCATCGAACTCGACTACGATGCGCTTACGGTTCCAATAATAGCAGCCACTATCAAAAGTATCAGTCTTAATATAGTCCCAAATCTCAACAATTCACAAAGCGACATACCATCATCACTCTCCAGTTTCCTAAACACGGAAATCTTCGAATACAACCTCAACCCCAACGCTATGAAGATCAATACCATAAATACGATATTGACTACAAGCACCGGTTCCTGGAAGACTGTCTTATCCTGCCAATCGACATTCTGGTATCTAATCCAGCGAGCAGCGTCGGATGACATTTTGGGTCGATAGTCGTGAAGTACATCCAACAGGCGCTTTCCCCCCAGTTCAAAATCGAACTGTTTTAAAGAAATGTTCTATTTTTTGACTTGTTCAGGATTAGTAAGATCTCATGGCTGGCGTTTAAATATATAATCAAACGTTTTTTCAAAAGGGAAACGGACGATGTAACGACGGTCGATAGAAGATACCTACGACCGGGCTAATAGACGGCTCGATCTGAGACGTCCAGTTGGGAGCTTTGGAGGGGTAAGGGTGGGGTATACGGAGTGTACCGATATGTTCCATGGATGGTAGTAGTACTTTACTTTGGTAAAGGTATTCTAAGAGATCGAGGGGGAGGGGTAGTGTTAAGTTCGACTTCGGCAATCGAGTCGATTGAGTTTTTTCGGTTGAATTTAAGTGGCGAGAAATTAAGGTAGGTTGAAAAAAAGAGAGAGAATATATTTTTCCCATATAAAAATGTAAAAGAAACAAAGTTTTGGAAGCTTTTGATACTTTTTTTTGTTCTTTGGAAAGTGAGATAGTGTCGACGGCGATAATGGAGCTAGTAGTTAGTTCTGTCTCTTGCGGGTACACCGGCTTGTATATGTAACCCTTCTGGACCAGTAGACGTTGGGAATAGGTTCCTTGTAGAACCTAAGAAGAAAAAAATATATTCAACGGTCGACGGGTAGAAATTGAGGCCAAAAAAGAGTTTCCAGGATCCAGTCCATGGATCCGACTAGTCGGCAGGTACTTGTCTTCCCCTGGCATATATATAGATGCCGCCGACAGGTACTAGTATACTCATAAACCTGCAGAAAATTCACGCGGAAAGGTCCATTCAAACGGGTTGTATAACAAACAAAGCATCAGCCCGTCGAACGGCTGGTACTGAGACCTTATTTGTTGATTTCAAGTCCGTGATCACGCTAGTGGCTGGTTATCTGGGCGCTCGGGCGCTCAAAGGAAAAAAGAGGGTTACGGGATAAACCGTCATTACCTGCACTGACGGCTGTGGCGACACGATCAATATCCAAGTGGGAACCCTCAAATTTTACCTTGGCAATTTCCTTTAAGATGTTTTCGCCTTTTGAAATTGATGCTGATTTGAAATTCGAAATCGAAATGCAGAAAACTTTAGCACTAACCGTAGTAACGCATCTATGGCGCTCAAGCGGCTGAATTTTTATATCTCGAATCGCTCGGGCCATCCTGACTAGATTTGAAGCCTTTGCAAAAACCATTCAACCTGGATTATCTCTCATATCTGCATATGTGGCTGCATGGCGATGTGAAACCTGCAGTATCAAGGACAGCTCTGGATGTTCACCGGCAACAGGCGAGCCGCCTTCTGTAGACGCGAAAAGCCACCCATCCACGATGCTCACCCTACACCGTGCTCCCGATGTAACACTACAGAATTTAACATCTTATCTTACAGGATTCACAAGAACTTCGACGAACCGAAGATTTTGTGGCTCGCCGGCCAACTGACATGGCTTGAACAAAAGTGGGGCCAGACCTTCTCAACGCATCCAAATCCGGTAACGGCCTTAATCGGGTTAGGGAAGCGGAAGACACCGTGTAACCGACAGCGACAGTGGGTTTCTCCAGACCCTTCGAATATAATGGGAAATATATTGGGCTAGTGGAAGAAATTGCATCTAGGGTCAATGGCTGCTATGTTTTGATTTCTCATCATGATGGGGCAAATATCATTCATTGATTTCTTCACTCTTGACTCTTGAGTAAAAAATTTTTATTTTTTTTTGGCTTCCAGTTTTGGTCTCGTTGGGAAGGATTATGACACCATCTTGCGGAGGTGCTTGTCATTTGGCGATTACGTCTAACAACCTCGTTTCGACACTGAATTCTCCGACGATATCCATGTTTTCATATTGACAATCATCTCCATAGACGAAGATATTTTGGCCGCTATAAAAAATACTTTCCGGAAATAACAACAACATGTTTCTAAATGGAAAATGTTCTATTGAAAATACCATAATATTGTGAAGCTAAGAAGGAAAAGGATGACGATGTTCTGCCGGCATCCGTTATCCGTCCGTCAGATGTGAACTAACCAGCCCAGTGAATTTCGCATGCATCCCAAACATATTCACCAAACAAGCTTCAAATCGTCGCATTCCATAGCGGGACAAAAAAATAAAAATCACTGCAAACCAGAAAATGAGGTCACGTTTTTTTTTTTTCGTTCTGAGAAACAGTATGCACATGCTACACGCAAGCGACATGAAGAAAGGGAGAGAAAAAGTACTTTTAACATTCCTGGCAATTTCCACATACGGCAACCCTTACCTTCTCGCCTAAAAGAATGAAAAAAGTATGAACAATTACGATGAACAATGTTCCTAACCCGGTCTAAGTTAATACTATGCTATCAATACTACGCAATCGCTGAAAACATTAGAGAATCGAATATCTGAATGGAAGGAAGCTCATGAAGCTACCTTGGCTCGGGATGCTCGGAAAGTGAATGCGTCCAGGAATATTGTCATTTTACGGAATATGGCGAGCTTTGATTTCGAAGCACGAAGGATTCGATCAGGAGCTATGGAAATGAAGCGCATTTGGGGGGGGGGTGGGACTAAGCGACTAAGACCGTGATGTGTAAGTATGTGCATACTTTGAGCACGAGGCCGTATGTACTGTACATTGATGAATGCTTAGCTATCTCTGAATATGACGCTACGAGTATTCTCAAGATCAATGAATAGCGAGAAGTTGGAGCATAAATAGACGCCTCAGTCCCACTTCTCAACAGTTTTTTTTTCTCCATCATCATCAGCATCTCCATCCTCAAGGACTAAAGAGCTCTGAACGATCATACAAATACCTTTTAGTATTTGCACCACATTCGCTTCCGCCCTTCAATCATATAAAATATAAAAACAGCCTTCGCACGAAGCAGAACAGTCAATCGCCCATCATGCTTCGCAAATTTGTTGTTCTCACCGCCAGTATGGCCGCCCTTTCTGGGGTCTCCGCCAACCCGGTTGCGAACCCCGAACCCGTTGCTGAGCCCGAAGCTGTCGCTGAGGCTAACTACGGATACTATCAACCTCCTCCACCTCCAAAGTACTGGCAACCACCAAAGGAGGAGTACAAGCCAAAGTATGACGAGTACAAGCCAAAGCCATATGAGCGCAAGCCGGAGCCATACAAGCCCAAGTATGAGCCGCCAAAGTACGAACCACCAAAGTACGAGCCAAAATATGAACCACCAAAGTACGAGCCAAAGTATGAACCGCCAAAGCCAAAGTACGAGCCAAAGCCCTACGAGCGCAAGCCGGAATACGATGAGTGGAAACCGGCACCATATGATGAATGGAAGCCAAAGCCCTACCAGGTCAAGGCATATAAGCACAAGCCCAAGTATGATGATCACAAGCCCAAGTACGATGACCACAGGCCCAAGTACGATGACCACAGGCCCAAGTACGACGACCACAAACCCAAGTACGACGACCATAAGCCCAAGTACGACGACCATAAGCCCAAGTACGACAACAAGCCAAAGTATGAACCACCAAAGTACGACAATAAGCCAAAGTACCAACCACCACGAAAGGAGTACAAGCCAAAGTACAACGACTATAAGCCAAAGCACAACGACTATAAGCCAAAGCACAACGACTATAAGCCAAAGTATGACGACCATAAGCCAAAGTACGATAACAAGCCAAAGTACGAGCCACCAAAGTACGACAACAAGCCAAAGTACGAAGCACCAAAGTATGAGGCACCAAAATACGAGCCACCAAAGTATGAGGCACCAAAGTACGAACCACCAAAGTACGAGCCAAAGCCATACAGGCCCCCAACCTACTACGACTAGACGGTTTTACCGCCTATCAATAATAATGATTCTCGGTCAAAAGACGATTGGGTAGGCAGCAGATTGAAAGAGAACGAGTAGTACGCACGCAAAAAATTTCAGAAGGATGATGGAAATGACTTTCTATAGTATAATCATTTACTATCTCCATAATTCTAACTATCCTTAATGTAATTTTAATACTAATACCAGGGGCGTCTCGAAGCATCTTTTTGCATGAGAGATCCTCTTTTTTTTTTCCCGGTTTGATTTGGATACATGCGAGGAAAAGTGGTTTAAAACTCGGAGCTTGTAGTTTTAAATAGTTGCTTATAATTAGTTAATGGAAAATGCAAAACCGCAGTGTCGTTAGTCAATATCTCTTCTCCATTCTTGATAGCCCGTGAGATCCCGTCGCTTCATCAGGCGCTTAATCATCCCTGTGAACCTTAATACATATGGGATGTTTTCCAGCCCGAAGGGGGTGACTCGACTGTAGTATTTTATGTGTTGCTGAGCCTCAAATGAGGTTATACCCATTATTGGTATATATTCCTCCTAATCTGGACGACCCTTCTTGCGTTTGTTACTCTATTCATTATAACTACTTAAGTACTAAGTAGTAGATTCAACTAGTATGTAAATACCGAAGTAGATATAGATTAGTAGTTATTAACTCGATCAACGTGCAATGGGCAATATGACGATAGGTGCTGGCAAGAGAGGTTTTATGTTAAAGATATTGAAGATAGTAAGAGCCTAGTACCTAAGCTAAGTTAGCTAGGATACGCACTTAAATACATCTTAGGCGTTATATCGTGGTCTTCTAGCCACTATTTAATTCCCACCTCATCACATCAACAGAACCCCATCTTCATCTCTATCTTCGTCCTAATAATTCTTCTCGTCTAATCTTTCCCTCCCAGGATATCTGGATCCTTTGGCATCTTTGTCGCTATGGATCCAATGAAGGGTCGCACCCCACCACCCCCTCATTCTTCCTCCCCTCACAACCCTTCCTCTTCTCCTTCCCAAATCGCCTGCTCACCGACCAGTTTCCCATCACCTCAACCGCCTTCGATGCAAAACTCCATCCTCGCCTCTCCTCCTCACAACTCCTCATTCCGTCAACAAACCCCATCAATTTCTGTCCACGAAGCTTTGGGCCTAGAAGAAGAAGACGGACACGAAACCGAAACCGACACCGATACAGAAATCCAAACAGGTAGTAACGGACATATGGACTACATCATGACTCCATCTCCGACTCCGTCTTCTCGCGATATAGGCAGACTCAGCGTTCCTCCAAGCAGCAGTATTGGGAATGCTCATACTAGATCATTCGTTAGGTCTACTGGAGCTCCTTCACCGTCCCCAAATGCTTATCCCATGTATGCGAGTTCTTTCTGTGGTGCATCTGACGATGGAGAAGAGACATACAAATTTTCTCACAAGGGAGATGGGTCTGATGAGAGTGATGGTGCTGTTGATGGCATTAGAGGTATTTGCTATGATCTAAATATGTTTGAAAAGGTTTATGGGGATTATATTAATCGTTTCGATGGTGTAGATATGATACGTTTGAAGAAGTCACAGATTCGAAAGTTGGAAGAAGAGGTGAAGTATTTGGAGAAGGTTTGTGAAATGGCTGAGAAAAAGAAGAAGAACGGGGTGTCTATCAACTAGATGACCTTTTATCCAGTTCTTCTCGTTACTTCGCTTCTTTTCCAGGATAGGGTTTCCTACTCATGGCAAAACTATCCAACGTATCCTATATTTTCCTATAGGAGACTTATTCATACTATTCTTTCTCGATCATAGAATCTATGTTCATAGAGGATCATGGTTTAAATTTCGTACCCCACGATTCGTTAAGCGATATCTATGTTTCCAAATGATATTGATAACATCGATACAAGATGGTTTAAATGCAAAATATGTACTTCTAATGCAAAATGCAAATATTTACAGGTTCTCTCTATAATCTCTCTCCCCTTCCAAACTCTCTTCGAAATCTTCTTTACCGTAACTACGCGGAACGTTACAACTATCCAGTTGCAAGTCGACTGCCAGGACCTTGCAACTAGCCAAGGCGAACAACACAAACTTCCTCAAAAATCCAACAAGGTGTTCGGAATTGCCCGTTCGAACCTCTCTGTTAGGAATGTAAGATCACCGATGTATACCCTCAAAGGTATACAAGGAGGAATGTGACGACCACACGCCCGCGCATACCTCACCCCTCACCGCTATAGTCCACAACTCCATACCGGTGGTCCAGGAACTTCGTATTCTTCAGGCAGCGTCTACTCAACTGCGTTAGCATCATCAGATATTCACTATAGTACTATACTAGTCTCTTGAGAGCTCTCTTTTTCTGGAGAAAAGATCGAAAGATCAACAGAAGATCGGAAAAAATTGAAGGAGCTCACCCAATTTCTATGTATATCCAGGAATAATCCAGGATCATTGGAGCTGTAGGCTCCAGGGAACGAAGTATAAGGCCCTGGAACTCCATTTCCGCCATTGACAACTTTCAACTGCGCACATGCTCCAAAGAATTCATGTTGTCCTTCCTCAAAAGCGATGTGGAGTGCAATATGCTCTACTCTGAGTAGATAGTCACCTGTTGATAGACATGGTGGGATTTGAATGTGAACTTCTGCCGCGTCTGTTTCGGATTGATAATACCATATATTAGCGTCCTAAAATATCGATCGATCGACCTCGGAAAAAAAGACCCGGGGGGGCGGGGGTATTACTATAATATGGCCATTTGTATAGTTCCAATTCCTCAGGAACATTAGTAATCACTGGTTTTGTCTCGTTAATCTTAACCCAAACCGCCCCAGCGCCTGTCATACTAGCGGCCGTTTGTCTAAAGCCTGCTTTCGCCATATAAAAGAGTAGAGGACCTTCGTGTATTATTCTCCCGCTGACCTTGAAACCTACTGTGTCGCCTGCTGATACAGTTAAAGTACCGGGATTGGGGAAGCTGCCGTTTGTGAAGCATTGGAGGACGGGTGAGGTTAAGTCGAAGAGGGGGTAGTAGTTTTGGTAATTCCAGGTGCGACGGATGTAGGTATAGTCTGGGTATTGGGTGCCCTTATACAGAAGGTTTGGGAATGTGTCTAGATAAAGGTGTTAGGTGGGGCTGGCCGTGGTGGGGTGGAATTATTTGGGGACATACAGTGGGCTGTTGTGGTGGAAATTATAGTTGCGAATGCAACTGTCAGGGCAAGGAAGGACAGCATTGTGACGTCGGACCAATTGAAGGAAAATAAGACCAACAAGCAGCACCTGGCCGGTAGTAAACTAAAGATGTACAGTGAAGAAAAGAAATCGCTTTATTCTGTTCTTACATATGAATTCAAGTCGAAGAGTTGGGTTATATACCATCGGTCGTAGCCGTACGATATAGCCGCATCGATCCCAACGGCGGGGTTTCAAAAACACGCATACAAAGCCGGTCCATGCTCATAAGCCTTGAAACTCGTGGCCAGAAAGGAAAAGGTTCCGGAAATCGGAAGACCTGCAACAAGGGAGGCTCTACGGTCCGGAGAGAGCATTTTTACAACAGGGTTGTGTGTATATACCACTAAATCTCCAGATTGAATATCTGCAAATATATGTAGGGTTTTGCATATATGGATAGTATCGGTCGGAGTTCCCACGAAGATTATGATGTAGTCTGACACGGATATATATTAATAATGAGGGAACTTGAGAAGGTATAGCCTTATGTCGGCTAGAGGCTTCCCTGTCAATTAATATAATCTATATTAGCCTACTCAGTTAAAAGCCCTTGTGTATACATGTAGATTTATACGATTACTGGGCTCTTAAAAGATTCCCCGCCATAGAATACGTAGCCACATCTACCCGGCCGGCATAAAACATCGGAAATATAAATCGGCATATAGATTAAAAGTTATACGATCGTCGAGCTAGGGCTAAGCTAGTATTTTATATGTTTATGTGGAGCTGGATACATAAGCCTTTCCCCGCGATATTATGGTCCGGGGTAGGGATTGTTAATTTTTTTGGAGTTTTAAAACGTTTTTAGCGGAAGCTAGGACCTTTGAGCCGTCGGCGTTGTCGCATGTTTATCGATAGACGGGGAACCTAACTTGAAGGCTCGTAAAAGGATCTCTTAGTTCGCCGACGTCATCTTACAAGGAAGTAATAACTTGGTTTTACATAGAGTCTTTGGAGTGGAATATATCAGAGACCAGAACGTCAGCTGATTCTGACGGAAAGAAGAAAAGATTTTCTGAGATTTATACCTTTTGGAAAGGGTAAAAAAGAAACCGGGTAGGTCAGTTTAGGATATATTAGGATCAGCGTTTTGTGAAGTCTAGAAATTCTGGAAGGCCGTTGAGGGTTCCGACCGGCAAAAAGCCAAGCATTCGGATCGACGAGCCAAGACCCGTGATGAATTTAGAAATACATGGATTAGTTAGCCGGGATGAAGCGGAGGGGTGGGGAATCGATAGGATCTGATAGCATCAAGATTTGAGGTCTGTGCGTCAATGTATTAGTCAGAGGGAATTATGGGACCATGGGCTGGCAGTCAACACCGAAAATATAATGACGCTGTAAATGCAGCTATGAAAGTCAGATAAATACTCAGATCTGCAGAGGGAAAAGTATAGAAAAGTTATCAGGCCCAATGTACCCATTCGCCGTACAATCTTCCTGCATCTGATCCACAGTCGAGGAGTCTGGCGACGAGACAACATCTGATCCTATGATCCTTGCGGCCTCGCCATATGTGCCATATGTGCCATATAATCCGGTATGTCGTCCGCAAACCGTCACTTCTAATGGCTCTTGCTGTTAACTTCCAAGACTATCCTACTCTAATCTCTTACACCCTTGCTATGCCTCTGTACCCCGAATGAGATGTGCTGAGTTAGATTAGGTTAGGATAGTCAAGCTAGTTTTGATTTTAAAAAAGGGAATTTTACAATCGTGTGCCTATGACTTGGCCTCGAATCCGGGCGCGCTGGTAATCGCATATGTAGGAATATTGCATATACGCATACATTGAGAGAGGTATTAATACATATTGGCGGATATCTAGATTTTGGAGGATATATCTTGGCCTCGAGAGGTATTTTTCTTGCATCCTTATCTCCGTAGTAGTCACGGGAAGGCAGTTCGTTCAACTTTATGGTGGATATGCGTCTGTGGCTGGTCCTTTGAATTGAAAATTTGGCCAATAGTACCATAGTTAACAGGCTGCAATGTTCGGCCGTTGCCCACATATTCACACCTAAGCTTCCTCTGCATGTACATACATAAATCGGTACCGACTTCGTTAACAAACCATACGTGCATACGCATATCCTATCCTGCTGCGGATATGTTGGTGACACCACGCTTGCATACAAACTAATTCCATTTGACTTGAGGAGTTAACCACGACGGCACCAAAAATTTTCTCCATAGAGGTCGTCGAAGTAATGTTAGTGGCCGTTTTCGAAATTTTCAATCTGGCGGCATTAGTAGGCTGGAGTACCCTTGGTAAGGGTATCTTTTTAATTTAACACCCGCGCGATCAATCGGGTATTTGCACGATGCCATGTATACTAGTCGTGGGCCAAGCCATCTGCTATTCTGGACTCTGCGCAGATATTCAATTATATTGGATCTGAATCCTACAGTTATATCGATAACTTCAGCTCAACTGGGTCAATGTACAAACGTTATCTTACTAGGTGGTTAGTACCTTAGGGCCTTGTGAGCTTCTAGATCTACAGGGCTTCCTTCGTCTCACAACTAGACGAACTAGGCGAGTGATCATATTTCAGGTTTATCGGTCCATATTTCTCTCTGTGCTGTGGATTTACAGGCCCTCTTACCCAGAGTTCCCAGGCTCTTTTCCGTCTCTCATATCTCGAAAAAAGTGAAAATTGAATGAATTGTATTTAATTGAGGTTGAGTTCTGAGTTCCAAAAAAAAAGATTATGATAATATAGTGCGTAAGTTTTCATCCACTATATATAGCGATCGCGAGATTGTTCCAAGAGGACGCCCATAAGACCCCGCGGGCAGGTTACTCAATCTCAACCCCGAACAAATTGCCGTATAGCGATCCAAGGCCAATTGTCTGCAGTGACACGTATACTTTGCATTTGCATTGAATATTGGGTTCGTCCTTTGATCTTGTTCAAGGATCCTTAGACTCCCTCTAAGATCTGTGTTTGGGCGTTTCCACGATGCATGAAGCCGTGTCCCACCCCGTAGGGATGTACGCAGATATAGACACCTTCCGCGATTTGGGGAGCATCATAGATTCTTGTAAGACCTCGAGCGCATTCTTTGGCTTCATGTTATTTGCACGGCCCAGTTTCCCCTCATCAAGTTCCGGGAGCTCCAGCCACCGGAAACTGGTAGGATCAGTTGTTACAAAGACTTTTATAGTGTCGATAAGGCCGGTTGCACCATCAGGTACCGTCAGTTGTAAGGGAAGGTATAGAACTTCATCGGATGCCAGTGGCTGGTAGATCACGCCAGGGGCGTAGGGGTATATTTGATCTATCGCCCAAGACCGGTCAAGATCCATGACTGTGATGTATAGTTCTTTCCTTGATGTGTTCTTCGCCTTAAGCAATAGCCACTCATCGTTTGTTGTTTCGCAAGTTTTCGAATATGGGAAAGTAGCTGGGCCTGATTTATCCTTGGCCAGTCGCGGTTTTTCTGGGAACGAACGGCGCTTTTTCTCCAAGCTGAGAGAGAACCACTCGTCGGGTATGCTTCTTTCCGCATTGGATAACTGGAGTATATTATAGTACCTTGTCAAGTGAATTATACGACGGGCTAGTGTTTCTGCCGCACGGTCGACGTCTATGGCAAGTGGTGGTACTGGGTTTCGAAGTTGTTGGTCTTGACCACTTAATATCACGTAGTTGCCATTTTTCACATGAACTCGGAAGGAAGTATCGGCTGTATTATCCGATAAGAGGATTCCGTGCTGATGAAAAGCCTCTTGTGCTTTTGTTATGGCATCCTGGTAAGCGCCGAGAGGTTCGGGGCGGACCAATTGCACATTCATTCGCGGTACCACATGCGGCCGAGCTAGAAACCCAGATTGTAACGGGAGCTTCGGAGTTCCATAATGTTCTGTTACCTCGGCCTTTAGCGCGCTGTTTTCAACTTCCGTTACCCTAAGTAATGCTAGTCGTTCCGAAGGCTTAAAATCGAAGCATGACGAAGGCCATACATCTATTCCGGCACCTTCAAGGATCCCTTGCGCTGCTCCGACTTTCATTTCCACAATGGTCCCCTGTTTGGTTTCGGTGACTTTCGTTATGGGTACCACGTAAAAAAGTTCGCGGCGGCCAGATGCGAAAAACAACCGGTCTGCTTCACCACCCAGTATCACATTCTGCTCGTCATTATGCTCACGGACCTTCATAGCGACGAGGTTCCACAATTCATAGTATGTGAGATGTGATGGGCTGTTTTTGAGCGCGTCTATCATGGTATGGGTGAGCAGCCCTTGTGCTTTGCCGTCGAATATATGCTCCGCTGCATACTCGTGCGCGCGGCACGCGGCGATGAAGGTATATCTCCGAGTTTCCAACAACCAATGGTTCTCCACTCTAACAGTGCGTCCACCACCGGCTCTAGACTTTCTCCAAGCTTCTTTCAGCTCTTCTTGTGAAGCCAATAAGGACTTATCGGATTCAAGCTTGTTATTGTCCACCTTTTTAATTCCTCTTACAAGACCAGAAGAACCGCGGTTCGCCCCACCAGAATGGCAGCAATCCAGCACTAGTGTAACGATGAGACCTTTATCCGCCATTGCTTCAAGCAGATATGCGATTTCTACGTCTCGAAGATAACGTCCGGTGGAGGAAATATCGGTGGGTACGAGAGCTTCGTCGATTTCGTTGGGTTTGAACTCTTTAAAGGCGGTTTCAACCTGCGCACCATGCCCTGAGTAGTGGATATAGACTAAATCATTGGGCTTCGCTTTCTTCGTTACTTCTTGGATCTTATTGATGATATTCTCGTACGTAGGCCATTCTGACTGATCCTCTTGAGGTTCTTCCTGCTTACCGCTAGGACCAGGACTTGTGGCTGTTAGTCGATAAATGAAAGGCTCCTTCAAGCCGAAAGACGTACGGAGTAGCTCTTCGACTCGACGTACACCCTCCACGCAGCCGTTCAGTGGAGTAAAGTTCATTCCTGGTCTGGCATTGCCGCTGCTGTAAAAGTTCACTCCGATCAATATAGCCCACTTGTTTGCCTCCATTGCTGCGTTCAGGGCTCTGTAGGTTTGTAATTTTGGGGGATCAATGATTGATGACCTCGATAAGAAATAAAATAAAGAAGATATCGAACGGATTATTGAGAGATTTATTGAGAGTCCTGCTGGTTTTTCAGATTGATAGACTTGACGGCCTGAAGCCTGTAATAGGGAATTTTGCGGGGCACTGCATGATTTCAATTGGCCGGGCCAGCAGTTCTCGTGTCAAGATCGGATTGATAATTCTGGCAAATTTTATTGTTACGTTCGTGAGGTCGTATTATAGGCTTGACTTTGCAGAGATAGTTCTCGAATAATAGTGCTGCAGGATCCCTCGAGATTATTTCTGGAGCGCCTCGCAGGTACCATATCCTAGCATATGCATATGGCATTTGTGGAGGAAGCCACCGTGAAGAGAGCAGCAAGTTCGCTGCTCCAGCGGGGTATTGAATTAAGGACCGTCATGGTTTGTGTTTGTTCTCTCATTGGGAAGTAGTCTGCTGAATTCTGATCTTGATCCTAGCTTCTATCCTACGTGAGATCAGTTTTTGCGGATAATATACTCAAGGATATCCCACGGTTGATAGAGAAGGCTGCACGCCTCAGCTGCAACAAAACTGCGCTTTTGGTTTATTTTTTCACCTAATATGCAATGGTAACTTGCTTAACAAACGAGACAAATAGCTAGCACATGCACCCAGATTCGAAAGTTTGCGCCTGTGTTGATGATGTTGCAAACTTTATCAGGTCGACTTTGGTTACGTTTTGGAAGTTTTCGTTCGATGTCAGTCGGAACGATTACCGTCCAGATCATGCACTCAGGTGATCCGAGGTTCAGAAGGTCTGGATATGAGAGAGAAAAGTACATGTATAAATGCACCTAAGTCGTTATTCTGTAGCTATTACGGTCGTCGGACAATAAACTAACTCCCTAGGATTTCATGCATCTAGCATCTATATTTATCATCGGTAATAATGCAATCTGCCTTCCATGATCACTCCATAATGTTTGATAATGATCTATCTTTCATAAACCGTTATAGCCTCCTGTGGATAATTCCTAGATTTTCGAGTTCGCCTTCTGTAAGTGCGGCACAATTAACTAACCCTAAGCACATATTTTTCTTCGCTGACACCCGACTCCGAATTTCTTAAGTCGGAAATACGCGAGGCCCTTGTTTTACTGTCTAAAATCCAGGGTTTTGCTTCGGGATGAACGAAGTATCTGGTGAACGTGCTTGTGTACATATACCTACATTGTTTTTGCATTGTGCGTACTGGCACGATCGTTTACAATTTTGAGTCTGGTTCTGACTGAGGAATTTGATCCTCACATATTCTGGGAACTCAAAGCTATATTCCTGGCTGTAGCCATGGCTTGATCCTGCATGCGCATGCCGTTCCTAGAAGTTTTAAAATTTCGATGCAGGATTTTCTGCAGCTGCGAGCCTACTACATTATCTGATATCATGATCTAGAGCCACCAGCCAGTTAAACCGCACCAAACCTCGTGAAAAGCCGTGTAACCTGCCGTGTCTTTCCAATGATAGCTGATAATGCGCCACCTTAAGCTTCTGCACTCCAGGATATCCTGACGCGGATAGTTACCTGGTTTGTGAATATGCTTTTAAATTTCTGCAAACGCGAGACAACTATAATCCTGTTATACGTCGAGTTAACGCTGAATTGCGTTGCATTTCCATAACCAGTTAGATGGCAACACGTCATGGTTACACTGCACAGACAATTATAATTATATGTATATTACAAAGCGCTGTTGAGATAGAGTGGAGGTTAACTTAACTTTTGCGATCCTTCACAGAGTGCTATTGTCGATTCCAGGATACCTGTAGAACTGGAGTGCATGCATGTAAAGTTGGGGCTTGGTAATACCCTCTGACTTTGGTTTTGCGCCACTTCGTCCGCGTCCTGGCTTCCCCGGTACTTCGGTCCCTTTTATAAATATGGGTGCTCAAGCTTCCTGATAATTTTATTAACACAAATAATAAACTTCATCGTGTAGATACACAACACATTCATTTTGGTGGCCCTCGGTCGCCCGTCTAAACTAGACTAATCGTGTACCTAAGCTGACAGTCGGATACATCTTGTTCTATCATGCGAAAATATAGTTTTTGATATATCTCATCTCTTATATATACGGATCGATTCTCTCATACATTACTTTGATTCCGGCATCGGCACAAAGATCGGGGCTCGGTGCCAATCTAGAGCGGCCCCAAATACAAAGATCTTGACCTCTTCTTTATAGAGTGTTAGGCTCTAGGCTAGTAAATTGGGGTGCTATAGTTAGTAGCGCTACTAAGGCAAGCGTAAGGTATGTCCAATATCTATTTTAAGTGGGACAAGATTATATTAGCCCACTCAGCGACCAGATTGACTAAATTTTAAAATTTGTAGACTGGTAGGCTCAAGATGTCATCAGCTCAATATGTGGGCGGGAAGGAGCTCCATGTATCGGCACAAACGACGAGAATTAGGGACCTCGAACACGAATTAGAAGAAGTAAAAAATGACCAAAAGATCAGGGAGCTGCAGTACCAAGCGGAAACAGTCAAAGCTGCATGGAAAATCAAAGATATCGAATACAAACTGCAAAAGCTGAAGGAGCTCGAGATCGAAGAGGCGAAAAATTGGAAGGCGGAAACAGAAAGGGAAGGAGAGGGACTCGTCTTTACGCCAGCTGAGAGTACCGAGAGTTTGAGCTCCATGGTGGAAGAGGTGTCCGAAGCACATCGTGAGGCTCACTTTGATGAAGCGAAAGTCTTGATTCCTACGATAACCAACGTTGATGCTTCGGGCGAGACACGCATTTTCAATGCTCTTGGGGAAGCTTCCGAGATTAGTGCTTCTATCGACGTAAGTCAGAGTGGGAGCACCGAAAAAAAGACTGGCGTGGCAAAAGAGATGGCTCAAGAGATCGAAGGAGTAAATCACAGCCAAATAGCATCTTTGATCCAACCTAATTCGAAGCCTGGCCGGACCAATCCTTCATCAGACCCCTTTCTCCCAGCGTCGAGCACTCTAGAAGACGGTAGTCCGGAGATCGACCTCTCGCTACAATACTACGGAGACTTGGATTTCCCCGAGGACGCGATTGAGATGTCATTTTTAGACATGGATCTAGAACAGCTTTATGAAGTTGCAAGCGATGTAGAAGCGGCTCTGGAATCGGACGTCGAAGTGGACCTAAAAACTGATGCTCAATGTGATCAGCTCAGCCTACTCGGCAATATCCACTATTTCATCTTTTCGAGAACTGGCGCAGTAGACGACATCGAAAATGCAATTAGAAACAGCGAGGGGGCAGTAGATGGTGCAAATACCGATGGTCCGAAATATGCGCCCCGTTTAAGAAATCTGATTACGATGCTGATGAAAAAGTATGAATGTACGAATTTGTTGGCCGATCTCGATCAAGCTGTGCTCCGAGCCGAAACGATGGCGACATTGGGTCGCCCTGACTGGCGAGCTCAATTTCTCGACCTAGCTAGAATGAAGGGCAGAAAATGCTTGCGGATGGGCTCAAGGGAGGAGATGGAAGAACTGATGGTCATGTATGAGATGATGGGCCAACCCAACCCAGTTCGGCTGTCAACACACGACATGGAAGAGAAAGTAAGAACCCTCAACAGACTTACTGAGAACATTAACAACGCGAACGAGTCCGGGGAATCTCACAATTTTGATGAACTAGACACGGCCTTAAAACTATGCGAAGAACTTGTGGCATCAATAAACGACCCCCTTAAAAAATCAGCCTTACTCTGCGGTCTATTCCAAATCCTTCTGGTTAGATACCGCCAATCTCACGATCTCGATGATATAAACAAAGCTATGAAAATAGGCGAGGAAGCTCTGGTGATAATACCTGATGATCATCCGAGCAAAGCAAAGCTCCTCAGAAACTTAGCAGAGTGTTTTGACACTAGATTCGAGAAAACAGACAACCTTGAGGACTTAAACATGGCTATCGAATTAGGCGAAAAGGGTGCAATAGCAGCTTGCAAAAGTGGCCCTGAAGAAGAAGAAGAAACATTGCGTTTCTTGGCATCAGCTTTTTTCCAAAAATATAAGCGGACTGAAAATCTCGAGTATTTGCGAAAAGCTACTGAATCAAATCAGAAAGCCCTCAAAATGCTGGAAATTCTGCCCAGAGACGATTCAAAAATATTCAGCGCATTGTACAACCTAGCAAGCTGTTATGGTGTTAGATTCGATCGCGCTCGCAACCTCGATAATTTACATGCGGCTATCCAAGCGAGTACAGAAGCTCTAGAGTTAGCACCCCACAACGGCACTTACAGGGCAGACTTGTTGGCAAATATGGCCGAATATTTTCATTCAAAGTTCGAAGAAAGTGGCAATCTCCACGATTTACATATTGCCATCAAAAAAGCAAAAGAATTTCTAAAATCAGCTGGTCTTGATCATCCGGAGAAGGAAACAACCATAGCCAATTTGACTGGCTACCTTGTGAAAAGATTCGAATTAACCGGGAACCTCGATGATTTACAACTTTCTATCGAGGCGAGCCGAGGAGCCGTGTCTAATGGAAGTTTTGGAAATCTGGCGGTAGCCCTTATTGAAAGATTCCAGCGAACCGGTAACTTTGATGATCTGAATTCAGCCATTGGCGCTACTGAGGAAGCCATCAAAATGACATCAAACGACATCGTTAAGGAAGTAGCTCTTCTAGTTAATCTTGGTTCATATTTGTCAAACAAATTCGCCACAACACAGGATATAACCGATCTTAATAAGTCCATCGAAACCTATAAGCAAGCTCTGGAAATGCTGCCTCAACACGCCAAGGACAGGCCAACAGTGCTGACCAATTTGAGCGGCGCGTACCACCATAGATTCGACAAAACCAAAAATATAGATGATTTCCAACTGGCTATACAGACAGGCGAAGAGGCGTTGGCAGAAATTCCTCACAGTCATCCACACAGGGCAATCATCCTGCTCAACCTAGCTACGTCTCAAGCAATTAAATTCCGGCACTCTAATTCAATTCATGATCTCGAAAAATCACTTGCCTTTTCCGAAGAAGCATCAAGATTTTTGCATGCGCCGCTACCTATTCGAATGTCGGCGGCACAATCTACGTTCAGGCTCCAAACCAGCAACGAAATGTGGATCGAAGCAGCTTGCACGGCAGAATTTTCAATAAACCTTCTTCCGCTACTTGCTCCACGCCAGTTGAAACAGAGAGATCAACAGCATGTGTTGGAAGAATTTGCTGGTTTGGCCTCAGATGGCGCCGCTACAATTTTAAAAGCGGAGAAGGATGTACATCGGGCCCTACAATTGCTCGAGCTAGGTCGAGGCGTCATTACAGGCCTGCGGTTTGGTGCTCGGACGGACTTATCTGAGCTTAGGCTGCAGTATCCAGAGCTGGCGGGAAGGTTTGAACAACTCCGGAGTATACTAGATTCTGGGACGGCTGCTAGCGCTCTAGTTTCTCTCGAAGAGATAGATGTCAGCTATGATGCAAATATTGAGTTCGAGAAAATCATTGATAGCATTCGCTCGCTACCTAACTTTGAAAATTTCTTGCTGCCTCCAGGAGTCGATGAACTAATGGACGCCGCATGCCAAGGACCCATCGTTGTTATTAACGTCAGCGCCTTTTGATGCGATGCATTTCTCATTGAAAGTTCCGTCATTCGATCCTTACGTCTTCCTAATTTGCGAAAAAAAGATATCGACAAAAATGTCGAATTCATGAAATCAATGCGCTCCATTCATGCGTTGCCCCTCGATGTTATTCGCCAGTTGTCCCGCATGCTAGAGTGGCTATGGGACGTAGCCGTCAACCCTATCTTGAATGAATTGAAGTTTTCGGCCCCTCCACTAAATGATAACTGGCCTCGTGTCTGGTGGATCCCAACCGGTCAGCTAAGCTTGCTCCCTCTACACGCAGCAGGGTACCACGCCCAGGAGGCTATCAGTGGATCTGGTCCGACGCCCGGCAAATACAATACAACGCTTGACAGGGTCGTATCGTCATATAGCTCCTCCATCAAAGCGCTTCTATATAGTCGGCAAAATTCACAAGCTTCTAAACTCGGTCTAGATGAGGCACTGCTCGTTTCAATGGACAGAACACCGGGACACCCCGATCTTGAATATGCTGCGGAGGAGGTGAACGCCCTAGTGAGCCTTCTCTCGAGCCAGATTACAACAACAAAATTGGAACGGCCATCCAAACAAGCTATCCTAGACAGCTTAAAGTCATGCTCAATCTTTCATTTCGCCGGACACGGCGAATCAAACCCGTCAGACCCGTCAAAGAGCTCTTTACTCGTCAGCGATTGGCAAGAAAACCCATTAACCGTTGACGACCTCATTGAGTCAGACTTTAGACAGCAATCTCCTCTACTTGCATACCTTTCAGCATGCTCAACAAGCAACAACAGCGCAAAGAAACTACAGGACGAAGCCATACATTTGGTAACTGCGTGTCAACTCGCCGGTTTCAAGCATGTGGTAGGATCATTGTGGGAGGTTTCCGACAAATACTGCGTTGTAGCTGCGGAAGAGATTTACAAAATGATAATAGAAGACGGCGTCATAAATGGCGACAAAACCGCGTTAGGTGTGCACAAGGCTACAAGACGCATAAGAGAGATTACGAGGGGTAGGGGTGAAGACAGCCCCACAAATCCTCCGTTAACCGAAGGTCTATCGAACGAGGAATCTGGTGCGAGAGGTCCAAGGAGTGCTAGGCCCGCCGGATACCAGAATCGAATTGATACTAATAGCGAGCTAGGTAACCCGCTTATTTGGGCAGCCTATATCCACGTCGGGCCGTAGGGAGTGGTTTTTGGTGACATTGTGTATAGGGATTAGACTTGACATCTTCTATTGGGGTATAATATTTCCTTCAGTTAACCTCTTTTGTGGAATCATATGTGTCGGCCAAATATATCTGGGTTGGAGGTGCAATATGTGTTTTCTTGGTGATGTTATGCATGGCGGGGCGTGTATAGTGCTTAAGGGTTTTCTAGGGTGAGGTTGTCTGATTGTCGGGTTTTAGCTTACATCTTAGCTCTGTTTCTTTTGCATTCTAATTGCCCTCATACCAATATTGTTTGTTGAATACTTCTACCCTTTTCTTAGTTTGAATTCATGGCCCCGTCGCCTCCAGACCAGGTTTATCTTTGACCAGGTCCCGTCATGTCTTGATATAATTTATAATGTCATCTCGCCAAAGAATGTTGTTGTTAGTGTTGCAAAAATATAGAGAGTCGGATTTACTGCTTAAGCCCGAGAAGACCACCCCAATTAGGCAATCTTACCTTTCAGGAACCCCTGCTCGGTTTGGGTGCGCAGGTTTTCTAGCATTCTGCGATCTATCAAATCATACCGATAGATCAAGTACATACGCCGGCCAGGATTGTATTATTATCAAATCGAAGATATAGAATCTAACTTTAACTAGGATGCAGGATTCCCACGTTGCCCCTATGCCTAGTTAGTAGCCAAACAGTCAGGCGTGACCTGCCTACCATCTTCAATCTCGAGATCTCTAGTAACTACTTGGCAGACTTCATGGTCACGTAAATGTATAAACCTATGTGTTAGCATGCGCAGGTGTCCACCAAAATCTTGGAAGTCGTCTCGGCGCTCATATCCCTGAATGTGGAGCTTAGTTCGTTTTATTCTTCCGGCCATCTACTTGCATTGTATGCTTCTCTAAATGTAAACCGTCTGAAAAAATCTGAAAAAATCTTTATCTTGATATAGATCTCGCATAAGACAAAGAAGCTTAAACAGCACGAGTATCTCAAATTAAAAGACAACAGAGAACGGATAGGATCCAGATTTCAGCACTCTCTGAATATCCACGAATGACTTTTCGTGACATTACAGCTGGCGGATATCCGGATAGCGCACAAAATACACACTGTATCCAGTATATTAGTTAGAATATCCTGTCGCATGCGAACTGCACGCCCATTCTGCAATAAAAACCAGCGCTAGTCTAGAACGGAGGCTAGCTCGTGCCCAGATTGTGAAAACGCCACTCTTGAGGCCGCTGCGAGAAGGTGCATGCCTCATAGTTTGCTACTCCAAAAATACAACACGTTAAGGTATTCCTTAATTAATGAAACCCGAAGGTAGATACAAGCCGCCCCATGCACCGGCCCTACCAGCCGACGGGAGAGGCAAAGTTCCCGTACAACTTGCGCATGGTACCTGACCAAGGCAGTCCCAAAACTCGCCTAGATCTCAAAATGATTGGTACCCAATTGCCAACCGGTTAGCGAAAAGCCCCCTTGGTTAAAACCTGGGGTATAGTATCGCATTACGAAGGACATCGAGATTTGAGGGAATTTTGTGTTACCGTCTTCTGAAGCATAGAAAAAAAGTCGCATATTAGCCGGTAAAGGCCGGCCGGCTTCGCTAAGATCAGTTTTCGTTTCACCGGCCTAGCCTAATATAATATCCAAAGATATACTTCCCGCAGCCCGCTTTCTAGCTTGGCTTGGTATTGCAGCTGGGAGGATTCCGACTCCGTTGCGTTTATCTAGCTTATGAGCTTTTGGCTTCTCGTTATGACAAAGGGAAAAAACGAAAGATAGTGTAACGATAAGCTGTGTGCGAACAGCTTATGTTATCTTTACGGCTGAAAGGTTCCGTGGATAATTTATGATTAGAAGTGCAGATGTTTCGTTTATAAAAGGGTGAAGTCGTGCGCAGATGAAATCGAAGTAGTTGACAATTGATATCTTCAAAATCTTCAAGTACAAGTAATATACCCTAGATTTTTCGATACCAAGTTTAAAATCAAAAAGAACAGACAAGATGAAGATAACTGCTTTATTTACTACTCTAACCCTCGCGGCTTGGTAAAGTCTCCTATCATACCCAATTTATCACTGTATATATACTAACCCCTCACAGCATCTCCGCTCAAGCCGTCGACCCAGCAGAACCCATCCTCCCTACCATAGTCACCATAAAGCCAATAACCAGATCCCTCACTCTCGTAACAATCTCCCCACGCCCAACCCTAGTCACCACACGTACACCCCTTCCCACCAAAGACTGCGGACCCTGTCCGATCTCGACCACTTCAACCGTAACACTCATCTACAAACGACCACCAATCTGTCCGGAATACCTTTGTTATCCATGTAACTACAGCCTCCTCGAACTCGAGAAGCGTGAGGCCGAAGCCGTGGAGAAGAGACAGTTACCGACTACGACGGTGTTGGCGCCATGTTGTTGTGCGACTTTGCCGCCGAGTACGACTACTATTACGAAGGATCCTTGTCCGAATCCGTGCGCTTGTACGATTACTACGACGGCGGTTCCGACGACTTGTTTGAGGCCTAGTGTTACTCCTTTTTACGGGTAAACGGCCTGATATCATATTGGGAGGACGTTGGTTTGGGATAGTAGCATGAGGTCTCTCGGATCTAACTCTTGTCATTTATAAGATTCATGAATTTATTTGATTATAGTTTATGAGTATCGTGGATGTAGTCGCCATGACTCCAGAGAGATCATTTTCTAGGGGCCCATATGGCTAGTATGTATAAACAGTCGCTGATAATAGCATATACTTTTATATAAGTCACGATGAATAAGGTGAAGAATCATAGGCCAAATTTATAAATGCTCAGAAGCCATAGGCCCAATTAATTAAATATTTCCACTGAGCCGGATCCGGGGATAAAACAGCGCAGTAGCAATATTAGTCTCGAGGCTAGACACTAGCATACCGGGAGGTAAGCTGCTCGCACGATCACCCATCGTTCTTGATCGTTGGGTGAAAGCCTGACCTCGAGACTGTAGCAATATATAGATCAGGTATAATTCGGGAAATAATATATTGCAACGCTGAATAATAATATAAAGTTGCGCATGTGCGCACGCCTCCCTTAGTAAACATTGGCTGCGTGGAAATGTGCTAGGAAAGTACAACGCTCGCCAATAAAAGATCGATTCCTACGTATGAGGTTAGAAAAAGTTAGTTCATTTATCCGTAGTATATACCTTTAGGTTCTGCTAGGATAATTACCTACTATATATACTACCTAAGTATGTTATATACCTTCGCGCATAAGACTTTGAATGCATCATAAAATAGCTGATCTAAGTCATCAACCATGTTCCGTACCATTGTAAAAAAATCATGTTCTGCGACACAACAATAACGCCCCTTCAACGCCCTCCCAAACCAACTCTTCCCCTTTCCCTACCCCAACGCCTCTCAAAACCTCCTCAACACCTCTTCTCATCTTTCTAACAACATCCTCCTCAGTCCTGACTTTCTCCTTGTTCGCCTCTCTCCATCTAACAACCGCACTCCAAGTCCCCAACATCATCTCCATAGAATCTAAGCTCTGCGGTTTATGTTCCGCAAGAAATTCGTTCCCGGGGAGGGCACTAGGAGTGCCCGTCCCCCATTTCACCCGTCCGAAATGGCGTTTCTTGAAAGCCATCACAGGCTTCTCTAACATCCACGGCATCCGAAGGTCAACGTACAAGCCGACATTAACTTTATTCCCTAATGTCTCGTAGGGATTCAGCTCTTGCATCATCTTCTGCATGACCTTCGTAACCTCTTCATATCGTGGCGTCGGTGGTGCAGCCTTTAAATCGCATGCACCAGTCCAAATCGCCACTGTGCCACCAGGTTTCAACAATCTTGCCGCCTGTGTCCAGAAAACGTTCATATCGAACCAGTGCGCCGCTGTGGCGACGGTGATAACGTCAACCGAACCGTCAGGTAGGTTGAGATTTTTTCCAAAGTCCATGGAGACTTCGAATCGAATGAGTTCTGACGTCGATGTTTTGCCGCCTAATGATTTGGCGGTTGCGATCATACCTTCTGATGCATCGATCCCGATCGCGTGCTTGAAGGATTTGGCGAAGGTGCGGACGGCGATGCCGGGGCCGCAACCTATATCTAGGAGGGTGTTTAGCTCCCCATGCTTTGAGGTGTGATAATCAACGATCTCGTGATAGAGGGAGGGATGATAGTCGCGACGATATTTGGCGTAGTCGGATCCTTGTGAGTTTGTGAAAGCACGGAATGTGGTTTCCGGCTGGGTGGTTGAGGGAGAAGACATGGTTGAGGGTGTTTGAGGATGTTTTGGAGATGGGTGGAAAAGAAGATCTTGATGTCAAGAAAGAACGAGGGAGAAGATACTAATGAAGCGTTTGGAGAATATAAATTGAATAATTGAACTAACAAAGGACCTTTAATTAGGCAATAGCTTTGAGGAAGCTCGTGGAGATGGGAAGATGGTTTGGAATGATGGGATGAAATACAAGAAATGGAACAAGAGCTTCCAATTGAGGGGATTATATACCCCTGCTAGGATTTTACGAGGGTTTGAAGCTACATTCATGATATTCCTTCTTCGGAAAGTTTCAGTAGGTGCGTACAAAAAGTTTTCACGATTCCTACCCGTCTTTGAGGGTTTGTGGGGCAAAAATCACGGGATTTGAAGATTCGTGCAATGGAACTTCAAAGCGAGCAAGGTGAGTGTTGGGGCTGTTGCATTCTGGTTGCTTCGATCAGCTCGCATGGAATAGTTCTCTATGACTGTCTATTGGAGATTCCCCAGGAGCGTGTAGAAATTTCACGTGAGTTCCACCTTTTCTGAGGTAGGATGGTCCAAGGGACCTCGCAAATCCACGCCACAAGACTTCAAGAGAAAGAGGGGTTCGCTGTATGTCCCGTTTCGAAGATGCTAGCTCTTGCGGATTAGTACTAGACTCGACAGCGCTACTAACTAGCCAAAGGCAAATTAATTCCTCAACGCTAAATAGGGCTTCTCAATGCTATGGGCTTTCTCTCTTCTGGGTTAAATGATGAGGTTAAATCAAACCAATAGATTTGTCTCGAGAGTTACTAAGAACAACATTTTGCGATTTGATTTTCACTATCACCGCGCGATAGCAGTTAGCCGGCCGAACTCGGTTACTTTCGGCCAGTGTAGAATCACTGTGTGGAATCACTACGTAGAAACAGTGCTACAGGCAACAATTCTCAAGATCAACAGGTTATCTTCATAATAATATGTCCCCTAGCTGATGATTCAGTACCTAGTTTATGCACGCAGGTATACTATACCAAAATGTTAATTATTCCTTGAGTATTACTATTATCATTATCACGTCCTCAATATCGCTTCTCTCGTTCTCGAGTTTGTTCTCATTGCCATCCGGCGCTAGATATCAAAGAAGTATGAAGGGTCGGCCCTCCAGCTAGATATACAATGAGGGCTAAAAATGACGATAATGAATTAAGATAAAAGTATTGGTTAGATCAATGCTATCGCCAGGCGCTTCGTCCCCTTTTGCAAACCGTTTCGATGCTACCAATTTTTTATGATAATAACATGTAATTAAGTTTTTGTTGCACCCACGCAAGAGCTACGATGAGCATATACATGTATGCATCGTACAAGCGGGGTCGAACTGACGACCTCGTATACTCTGAGAGCCAAAGTCCTTCATACGCGCTCTACCAACTGAGCCACAGTGCTAAGTAGCCTTGGACTTCCTTTTTTCTCTGACCGAGTTCTGATTTTGCCATACGAACATCTATAGCTAAGGTCGAAATTTTAGCTATGCTTGAGGCTAAATTAGTTGTAGCAATAATTATATAGACTTTTACCCCTGTTCTATTAACACAATTGGTACCCATCCCAGCAGTCAAGAAACGGGGCCTCGAAACTGGGATATGATCATTTTATTAAGCCCTTTTGACTTGTCTCGTACCCAGCCCCACGCCAAAAAATCTCCTTCTGACTTGATTCTGATAGGGTCTGTTTTTTAATCCCCGACGTCATTGATCAGCATGGACTAAGGAAATTATTAGTAGGTTTTTAGAAAGAAAATAACGGCCTGTAAAGGGAACCAAGTGCCCGGAAACTTACTGGTTGATCAATGTAATAGGGGAGAAGGCGGAGAGAACTGGAAAGGAGGGTGGCGCGAGAAGTGATGAAGGGGGTGGGAGAGACGAGAGACGGACAAGACGATAGACGATAGACGAACGAGATTTTTGATTATGATTTTGATAGTGATATTATTGATGGATGGATGGTTAGATGGTTGTAACCTCGAATCCAGGCTCTGGGTACGAGGCTAATATGCACACAGACTCGTCCAAGTTAGCAACAACACAAACTAGTCGACCCCAACGAGCTATTTATTAGCTCTTTTTAGTGGAATTCGATCGATCAGGGGCTTGCCTTAATTAATTTGTATCTAAAAGACGACCGATCGTTCAACGGTTCTACCGAATCCAGCGGTGTATATGGACATCGCTGGACTTCAGGATGATTGTACATCGACTCACCGAATACGAGAGGCGTCACGTTTGTATCGATCAGCAGCTTGCCAAATTTCTAGTCGTAAGCATGTCTGTGCATGCCTGTTCGTCTGTGAAGAGTGGAGAAAGTGAAACATATAGTTAGGAAGAAGGAAGAGGAGGATGTAAGGAGGGCGGAGGAGTCAAATAAGGGAAATATTGTATGTTATAGCACACATAACATGTGGACTAGACTTACTAGTATACTAGTATACTAAGGTATTTATGTAGCTATATCCGTACGTAGTACTTACTCATATAGCTATGCAAAATAGATCAGCAAACCACCCCAAGTTTACTCAATCTAAAATTTGATTGAATTATTTCAGATAGTCTTTCTATGTTTGAGTTTCCAAAGAATAGGTCGATCGCATATGCCGCTTAGGCGATTTATATCTAGTACTAGTTCATGGATTCGATTTTGATTCGAAACGAAGACATTCCACCACAAATAAGTTTACAACAATAGAAGTTTACGGGATGCTTTAAGGTAGCTACGTAGTTCCTACCTAGAGGGATATTTACACGACTAGGCGCCTTAAGTGGCTAGCTAAGTAGATCTAGATATCGACATAATTATAAGTGGGTATACGTTTTTACCCAGGTAATTATAGCTAGTACGTAAGTAATTATATTAGAGAATGGTTAACCTTCGGCCCGTTCTACCTGCATACCTATGTAGACTAACCACTAAATTATAGGAATAATCCAACGACACTAGAACAATATATGATCACAGGAATCTCTGTGTTTTATTTACGTAGAGTTTGTACTACGCCGACCCTAATAAGCATACGTGCACGATCGTTCGGTTTATCTAGATCTACGAGGGAGTCCTCCACAATATATTAATAAAAACAACACATAAAATACAACAAACCCGTCTTCTCTTTGCCTTCCTATTCCATCCACGCACCGACACCCTAAATCCTTGAGGTTTTCAAAACCTCCCTTTTTGAGGTCAAAAGTTGAGAATGATAGGCAATGTAGGTGAACTAGACTAATTAGATTAACCTGCTTTCTCCCGCAGCGTTTGGGGGGGAGAGGCTGTGTTTGAGTTAGGTTGCCCATTTTTTAATATGTTCCCTTGTCCTTTGTATTTTTGATTCTGTCGGCCGGAGTCGAGGGTAAATTCTGAAGGCTGCTAGATGTTATCTTTTTGATGGGCGGGGTTTAATGCATGTGTACATGCATGATGCACATGTCAGGCACCCTATCGAGATTCTTAGAATTCCCACGCACGCGGGGAGTTTTTACACGCAGCTATTCAAAGTTAGTATACCGATAAAATTACACAGGCAAATTCTATGGAAGAAGCTTTTCGCGCATAAATCTCTTGATCGATTGGTCCAAAATCTCATTTTCTACAAAAGGATCGACCACTAAGCTATCAACTATCGATAACTCCCCACCCCTGTCAAAACCAATCCACCCCCCAGGCACCACCCCGGGTTCATCCAACCTCCCACATCTGGCCAATAAATCAATGCGTTTTATCCCACCGTTACTTTCGAATTAAAATACCATAACTGGTTCATTGGATGCAACCGAGCAATCACGTACCCTCAGTTATCAAGGATACTTTTTTGAGACGTTAGAGGGGATGCCAAGGTTGGTATAGCGATTATCGCAGGTGTGTAGCGTGTGGTTGACTTAAAAGGCTTGGAGTTGGTGAATGTTATGCTTTTTTTGGGAGGTGTGTATTTTATGGATTTTTGGGGGGAAGTGCGGGGTGGGATCTTTTTGGGGGAGCGTATAAAATATTCAATTGTTCCCGTTTAATGTTCATCTTTTGAAGCATTGAGGATTGAATAATTGGTAATTGTCTGACTGGGATCGGGCAGGTGGTTGTTTTGATACCTTTGCTCTTCTTATATATATACTATATGCTGGCATATCTTCATCCTCAATAACAGTAGTACTATTGTTCAATCACAACCAAACCGCCAAAATGCGGTCCTTAATTCCATTTCTCATCTCAACAGCCACTGCTCTGGTCGCCGTCCCCCGTCCACCGCTTTCGGATATCAAAGATCTGGATTTCTACTCCCTCTACGATAAACGGTCCACCAATGTCTCTACCGCCCGTGGTCTCGGCACCTCAGCCGACATGTACATTTTCAACGACTGGTCCACCCCAATAACCTTCTCCTCATACTCTCACTCTCGAATGTCAAAGTCACCGCCTGGCTCAGTTCCATTATCCACCTTTTCAGCAAGCTCGGGATATGCAATCGAAGCTAGCGGGTGGATTCCCTTACAATCTTCATTTCAATATTCATTTTCTACACCTTCTACTGAAAAGGGAGAGGTGAAAGTAGATATCGGGATGGCACCTTGGAAGACCGGGTATTCAATTAATAGCGGGAAAGAGTTCGAGACTGGGGTGTTATTAGCCCCCGCGAAGATCTTGGCAAAGGGGAGGGACTTTGATTTTTATTTCTTCAGTGGACCGGGTGTTATGGGACCTTTGATTAATAGCGTTTTGGACGCGAACCTCGGGGCATTTTTTGCGGGTATTAAGAAGAATCCGCAGAAGGTGGCGGTGAATGGGGATATTGATCTTACTATTAAGGAATTTTTGAATCCGGCGGTTAGATGCAAATATTCCTCTGTTACACCCGGGACCGGGGCGAATTTGTGGACTGTAAATGCCATTCTTGATATTACTTCAGAAGTCAAGATGAAGGTTCGGTATAAAAAAGTTAACCAAGACGCAGTTTTGAAGTTGAAGAATCTGTCGATCTTGGTTAGCGCGAATATGGACTTCAGCGGGCTTTCTTCCGCCAATCTTGCGAATGTGGCGAATATCAAATTGAGCGTTACGAGGTTTCAAACATCGGTTGAGGGGATTGATGTTGATGGAGATATTTTGGTTGATATTGTTGGAGTGTTATATCCGGTTTTTGCGCCGGTATTGAGGTTACCGTATAAATTGGCTTCGATTGTTAATACGAGTGAGAATAAGAATATTTTGGGGATGATAAATGCTGCTATTAGCAGTCTCGGACTACGACAGACCACTATCGCAGGAAAACGGTGGACGCTTCCTGAACTCCCAGGTTTACATCTCAAAGGACTTTTCAAACGGTTTATTTCGGCTTTGTCGACAAAGAAGACTATTCGGTCGATAGAGAATATCTCGACTTGGATGTCTAATCCAAAGATCCAGGAGTTAGCCTTATCGTCACTTTATATACCCGGAACCCACGACTCACACGCTTACGACTTCGATCACGTTTTGTCGTCAATGAAGTACTCTGATATCGCTTTCCTATGGGATTTTGATTACTTCCTACCTGCTCCGTCTGATGGATCGTTCAATCCTTTGACAATGACACCGATACATTTGGGACCGGTGTTGGGACAGTACACCATGAATTCCGTTGCTCATATCGCAAAGGCGCAAGGTAGTGATATCCTATCACAACTACACGGCGGAGTCAGACATTTTGACCTGAGAATCTACTACGACCCTACCGCGGATACATTTTATTCCCAACACGGTCTTCGTGCTAAACCTACGTTGGTTGACCTATTGACGCAAGTTCAAACGTTTTTGGAAGCGAATCCTTCGGCTGCAGAACTGATAATCTTGGATATCTCGCATACAAATTTCAATCAAGATTTTACGCTAGAAGACGAGACGGTAATACCTTCTGTTGAAGTACAATTCAAGTATTTGGGAATAATCCGTCAACTGGAGTCATGGGCGTACATGCCCATCAACGCCCGTGGTACCAGGAAATTCAACTTCCAGACGTTAAAGGATACCAAACTCTCTCAGATCACGCAGGGGTCTAATAAAGTTCTGTTCATCAACCCCGATATTGTATTACCGGAGATATCGGTCAATACTGATGGGTGGATGTATGTTCCATCGTCTGGGGTTATGCCAAAGGGAGGATTATATGAGATTAGTACTGCGGCGGCGTTGACACCTGGGGAGATATTGGGGAATGTATTGAATGGATTGAGTGGGCAGGGGGAGAAGGATATGTTGAAGGTTAAAGCGGAGGAAGGGAATGGGAAGGTGGTGGAGATGGTTAAGAGACTGGAGGGACAGAAGGGGACGAAGGTACAGTTGGTCAGTGTGGATTGGTGGGATGTGGGAGGGGTTGTGGACGGCGTCGTTGGGTTGAATTATAGTTAAAAGTATGTTAAGGAGCGATTAATTGTAAATACTGTATATACCCGATTGGAGTATCTATCTAAATACTTATAAACGCGCGTAGTTCTGGAGGTTGTTCCGGAGCAGTGGGCGCCATTGAACTAAGCATATTATCTTAACATCATGACTAGTCTCTATACGATTTCTTCCAGAAATAAAACCATTGCTAGATTGTCAATTTACACAAACAGCCGATTATTATGACAGACATTGTGACGGGCTACAGCCAAGAAACCCGCTGTTTCAGTAAGTGCATCTCCCGCAGTACCCACAGTCATCCGCAGAACAAGCTGTGAAATCTTTGGCGTCATCATCGTCGGAATCACTGTCGAGATTGTAGTTGTAGTAACCACGGGGTAGGTGAACCCCTTCGCTCTCTTGCAATGACTCTTGATCGGAGTCGGGCTCGTCCGCGACTTGTAAACCTGCATTTTCCCATTCCTGTCTTAAAGACAAGGGCAATACATGCGACTCATCCCCATGCTGCTTGCGAATCTCAAGATAATCAAGGGAAGGGCGATAAATCTCGAGCCGTCCGCACTCATCCATCTTTACAACCTCGATGATCTTGCGTAGGAGAACAGAAAATCTTTCCAATGCAGACTTGTTGTCAATTTCCCACTGCCGGATTTTCTTCTCATAGTTCTCAACTTTGATGTCTTTTGTCGGAAAAAGACCAGCGCCATTGTGGTACGCGACGATAAAGTTGGGAATTTGCTTGAGGTAAAGTAGAGGGAGGATCTGTTCCATATCTATTGATTGAGCATGCTTTCCTGAACGAGTCTTGAGGTCGAAAATCGAAGACTGGGGAACTTCGGACCCGCCGGTTTTGATGTTGAGAGTGTTATTCTGCTTTGGGAGGGACTGACTGACTGATACCGCTTTCAAGGCTTGAGCTAGGTCGTCATCCCCCTTACGGATTGATTTTCGCGGTCGGGCGGTATTAAAATAACCATCGCATTCGAAGCGCAGTAAGAATCCGAGTCCGCCGAATTTGTATTGCACAATTCGTTGATGCGTCTCAGAACCCTTGACATCCGACTCCCAAGTCGTATACGCCTCCGGGAACGTATGTCCGAATCCTCGCACCCCGGTGATAAGTTCAGTTGGGGATCCCTCTTTACGGACGAAGAAGACAGTGTTTCCGATCAGCTCAACCGTGAAGCGGAAGGGTTTATCATCATGTCGAGCGAAACGAAGGAGGTTGCCCAGGGTACTACCACAGGCGAAGACGTCAATCTCGGATGTTGAAAAAGCAGTGTCGACTCTGAATATAGCCTGAACGGCGGGTTCAATGGGATACGATGGAAACCTAGCAGCATTTGGATCTCGGTAGAAATCGCCACTGTCTTCATCTAACTGACGCGGCACCGAGAGAGGTGTCCACAATGGAGGTTTTCCTTTTGAGGAAGTCAGCTGTCAGCTTGTCTTTTTGTTCGTGTTCGCCATTAACTTCAATTCGTACCAGGTGCCATGATAGTTGAAGCGCTCTCATTCATCCAATTGTAGGATGCAACATATTCACAATCGGTGATAACAGCGGTCGCAGAAAGGGTATCACCTGAAGCGGTAAGATCGATATCTTTACTAGTGATTTTAGCAACCAAATTCCCAAGAGGATGCTTGACAATATCGGGCTGTGGAGCACTCTGCCGTCCGCCTCGTCCGCTTCGACCACCACCTCGACCACCTCGAGGCGCGAAGCCAGCCCTACCGCTAGAGGAAGCACCTCTCCAGGTCGACATTTGAAGCTTTTTATAAACTAGACTAGCTTTTTATGTAAATTTTCAAGAGGAGTTCAGAATTGAGATAGAGTAAGAAGAGATATGATACAAAGCTGAGGTCCAGTAGATGACCAGTCGACAGTCAAGCGAATTAAGTGGTGGGGTGTTGCTGGTGGCACAGCATTCAGCTGATAGGCCTCAAATGATGCCTGAAGATGAATTGATGACATTCCAACAGATGCAAGTAGCAGATACTTAATTAACAAACCGGTCTTAGAAGTTGCATCAAGTCCTGGTTACGAGACTGCGTCAAGTCCTTTCTACCCCTCCTACCCCTCCCTCACACCTCTCATACCTCATACACGCACTCTCTCTTTCACATACATTCTCTTTTTCACACGCTCTACTATTATACATACTAGTATTTGTTGACCCGACTCTGTTCAGGACTCTCTCGCACTACAAAAAAAGTCTGGTCACGAGACTGCTCGCACTAATGGGTGATCAAGAGGACTCCGCCAAGCGACTGGTGAGGCAAACGAAGCTCTTCAATGCCACCATACACGGACATCGTGAGCTCAAGACTGCCGCAGATGGAAGCCGCTTTTTGGAGTCGTTGTGTGCCCAGGAAGACGTGGGGAAATGCGTTGAGAGTGTTGTCGCCGCAACGGGCGGAATCAATGCTGTTGCCAAGTCTTTTCGCTTTTCCCGGGAAAGCGTCTTCCTCAACGGGGTGGCGGCCTTAGTTCTCCACCGCCTGGCTGATCCATCGCTCAAGCAGCTCTACGCCGGAGAATTCCTCAATCGCATTCTCGAGGCCATTGTTGAGCCACCGACGTTCTGGAACACGCTTGTCGAGGCCCACCAGGCCCAGATCCTCAATGATACAGCCACCCACGCGTTCGCTTGGCTTTTACTTGAAGTTCTCTCCTCCCGTTCTTCTGAGAGGCTGCCAGATGTGCGGGGTGTCGCTGAACGTGTAACGGGGAACGAGTCCTTGATCAATGGCTCCTCGCTCGAGATTCGCAACCTGGGCCAGAAGATCAAGCACCTTCTCAGTAGCACTTCCTCGAACGGGGTTGAAGAAGGCCCCGGTGGACGCCATGATAACGACTTTGTTGACTATCGTAAGGTCAAATTGCTACCTACCCCGGATGAATTCGCCTCCCGCGAGCGACCCTTCTATCGCCGGGCTGATGCCGTGGAATCCGTGGACGATCCAAGCAAAAGCCTCGTACATCTGGACAATCAATTTCGTCTCTTGCGTGAAGATTTCCTCGGCGAGCTACGCGATGATTTCCACATCGCCATCGGCCAGAAGAAGGGAAAACGTAGATTCATCCTTGAAGGCTTGGAATTCAACGGTGTTGATTGCGGAACCATTAAGAAGCGTAAACTCTGCTCTGTAAAGCTACGGTGCAACGGTCATATTCCTCAACTGAAGGGCCTCAAAGGTGTGACTACCCGGAAGGACTTTCTTCGCGAGAACAAAAAATTCATCAAGCATGATTCCTTCGGATGTCTCATCAATGGTGATGAGATCGTTGCTTTTGCAAACGTCGACCGCGATGAAGATCTGCTTGCCCAAGAAAAACCGGTCATTGTTCTTCGCATCGAGGATGAGCAATCTTTCAACAAGGTTCTTTACATGTCAAAAACCTCCAGTGAGCTCAAATTTGTCCAGGTTGACACAGCATTCTTTGCCTACAGTCCAATTCTAAAACGGCTTCAATCGATGAACGAAATCCCATTGCGAGACCAACTTCTTGGCCTCGGCCCCGGTTCAAACGAAGTCCTCTCTGGTATTATGCCTACAAGTGTCGTCAACAGCATTCGGATCAATTTTGAGGACGACCTTCAAAGTATTCTTGGAACGAGAAAAAGCGTAAAGCTTGATGTTGCTCAAGCCAAATCGCTTCTCGCTGGATTGAGGAAGAAAGTAAGCTTGATCCAGGGGCCTCCGGGTAAGTTGATGATGATATCTCTACGATCTTTCGGTAGTGAAGTTGACTAGACTCTTGCAGGTACTGGGAAATCCTTCATTGGTGCATTGATCGCGAAAGCACTTCACGACCACACCACGGAAACAATCCTTGTGCAAACATACACAAATCATGCGCTTGATCAGTTTCTCGAGGATTTGATAAATATAGGCATCCCAATTGATTCTATCGTTCGACTTGGCTCGAAGTCTACCGCCAGTACGAAAGCTTTGAGCCTTTTCGAACAACAGAACACCTATAAAGAAAGTGGGCCCACATACAGGATGAGGCAAGATCAGAAGGCACAAGCGGAAAGCTATCACGATTCTCTGATTAATAAGGTCAACCAATATATGACATTTCGACCGACGGAGAAGATTTTGCTCGATTACCTTGAGTTCTCAGATCATTCCGAATTCTTCGATGCCTTCGTAGTTCCAGAAAACGAAGAAGGTATGACCATGATCGGGGGCAAGGGCAAGAAGATTACCGCAAATTATCTACTCCAGCGCTGGATTTCTGGACATGATGCTGGCGTGTTCCATCACAGTGCGAAGCAACAATTTCCGACCGTATGGGCCATGGACACCGGCGTACGTGCGACCCATTGGAAGAAATGGATTCGAGAGGTTTTTGAAGAGCAGACTTCTGAGATTGGCAACTTAATGCGCAAATACAATGAATGCCAGGAGCAACTTAAACGGATACGCCAGCTTCAAGATACTCACATCATCGAAAAGAAGCGCATCATTGGGTGCACCACAACAGCAGCCGCGATGCACACGGACCAGTTACAGAAAGCTTCGCCTGGAGTTGTACTGGTCGAGGAAGCTGGCGAGATTCTCGAGAGCCACATTCTCACAGCCATGACGCCGAACACGAAGCAACTAGTTCTCATTGGCGATCACAAACAACTTCGCCCTAAAGTTAACAATCATGCATTGACGATTGAGAAAGGCGATGGTTATAACTTGAATCAATCACTTTTTGAAAGACTTGTACTTTCTGGAGTGCCTCACATTACCCTCAATCGACAACACAGGATGCGTCCCGAGATTTCATCGCTTGTCAGGAATCTCACGTATCCCGAACTTGAAGACGCTGAAGGGACCAATGGGAGGCCCCGATTGCGCGGCTTCCAAGACAGCGTCATATTCGTCTCTCACAATTGTCCTGAACTCAACGCTACACGAATTGCCGACCGTCGTGATGATGGATCAAATTTGAGCAAGGAGAACAAATACGAAGCTGAAATCATCATCAAATGCGTTCGCTACCTTGGCCAACAGGGTTACGGTACTAACAATCTTGTCGTGTTAACTCCATATCTTGGCCAGCTATGCGTGCTGCGCGAGACCTTGTCTAAGGACAATGATCCTGTCCTGAACGATCTGGATTCGTTTGAACTAACACGGGCTGGATTGTTGTCGCCCGCGGGAGCAGGCGTAGGGAAAAGGCAGATCAAAATCTCAACCATCGGTAAGATAGAAACCAATTCGCTTTGACTTGTGGCAAAATGCCGCCTAGACGTGGCAGCTCGGCATTAATGGTGCTGTTGGCGACTGACTCTGGCGTAGATAATTACCAAGGCGAGGAGAGCGACATCGTCATCGTGTCTTTGACAAGAAGTAATAGTATTGGCGACATTGGCTTCATGGCTTCTCCCCAGCGTGTCAACGTTTTATTGTCAAGAGCGAGAAATGCCTTGATCATGATTGGTAACGCCGATACTTTCATGAATAGCCGTAAGGGCAAAGATGTCTGGATTCCGTTGATGGAGCAGCTGAAGAAGGACGGGCATGTCTATGATGGGTTCCCCGTTCAATGCGAACAGCATCCTGAAAAGAAGGTACTGCTGAAAGACAAGGAAGAATTCGAAATAGCATGCCCTGATGGAGGCTGCTCTGAGCCCTGGTAAGAACGTGACCGCCTACCCTATTTTTACAATACCTCTAACACCTAGAAAGTGGAATACTACTCAATTGTGGGCAACACAAGTGTCCTCATCGTTGTCACCAACTCCAAGATCATTCGAAGATGGAATGCCCTGCGGTTATCAAGTCGAGGTGCTCCCGGAAGAAGCACAACATCTCGAGGGAGTGCCACGATAAAGCCGCTGCATCCTGCAGAAAATGCGAGGCCGAAGACCGGGATCAAGAGAGACGACAGCAGCGAGATCACAAACTTGACCAGGAGCGCCTGGCAAAACAAGTCGCGTATGCACGGAAGCTAGCTGAGATTGAAGATGAAATCGATCATCAGAAGCGCTTGCTCAGGGAGAGGGGGGACGATCGTGACCGAGAGAACGGTTTATCACAGAAGCAACAAGACTTAGCAAGCTTGAAGACACAAGTTAAAAGACTTTCTGAAAGGGGCGATTCCGGCGCTTCGTCTAGCGGCCGAGCGACTTCTTCTATCACTACTGCAAATACTCAACCCGCACCTCAAACCAAACCAACCACACCTCAAACCAAACCAACCACACCTCAAACCAAACCAACCGCACCTCAAACCAAACCAACTGCACCCCAACCAGGCCAAACTTCTATGAAAGGGCCGGAGAACAATGAAGACCACAGCGAATGGGAAATCGGCGAATCGAAAGATGATTGGGCATGGCAAAAAGAGTTTGAGGGCGCTGAGAACGAGGCTCTCGATTCTTTGATGGACATGATTGGTCTAGAATCAGTTAAGCAGGAATTCCTTGGGATCAAAGCCAAGGTTGACGCCGTGGTCCGACAGAATGCGTCTCTCAAGGACGAGAGGTTCGGAGCCGCATTATTGGGAAATCCAGGCACTGGAAAGACCACAGTGGCACGGCTCTATGCAAAATTTCTGGTAAAAGTCGGTGCACTGCCTGGCAGTTACTTTCACGAATCATCCGGATCTTCATTAGCCAACGATGGCGTCTCCGCGTGTCAAAAGCATATTGAGAAGATTCTAGAAGAGGGCGGAGGCGTTTTCTTCATCGATGAGGCATATCAGCTCGTGTCTGGTAACAGTTATGGCGGCAAGGCAGTGCTTGATTACCTCTTAGCCGAAATCGAAAACCTCACAGGCAAAATCGTCTTCATCCTCGCAGGCTACCATAAGCAAATGGAGGCTTTCTTCGCGCACAACCCTGGGATTCCTAGCCGCATTCCAAAGCGTATGGAGTTCCAGGACTACAACGACAAAGAGCTACAGACGATCTTTTGCCATTATCTCAAATCCAAGTACAAAGGAAACATGAGCGTCGAAAATGGCATGGCCGGACTATATGTTCGAATCGTAGCCCGACGAATTGGTCGAGGACGTGGACGCGACGGATTCGGGAATGCCCGCGAGGTCCAAAATAGGCTCGCCCAAATTACAGAGCGTCAAGCCAAGCGTCTTCGGAAGGAAAGAAGAAAAGGACTCAAGCCGGATGACAATCTATTAACTAAGGAAGACCTTATTGGACCAGAACCTTCAGCAGTTCTTAAGAACAACACCGCGTGGGCTAAGCTGCAAAAGTTGATCGGGTTGAAGGCTGTCAAGACCACAATCCGTGTCCTTTTGGACGGCATTCAGTTCAACTATCAACGCGAATTGGATGAAAAGCCTCTCGTTCAGTATTCGCTCAACCGCTGCTTCATCGGATCACCAGGCACTGGCAAGACATCCGTTGCGAAACTTTATGGGCGCATATTGGCAGATATCGGCCTTCTTTCTGATGGAGAAGTGGTCGTCAAAAATCCAGCGGACTTTGTTGGAAGCGTGCTCGGAGCCTCAGAAGCGAACACGAAGGCCATCTTAGCCTCGACAGTCGGCAAAGTTCTCATCATTGATGAAGCATATATGCTAGCAGGTGGTGCTGATCCATACAAGACGGCCGTCATCGACACGATCGTTGCTGAGGTACAGAGTACGCCGGGTGAGGATCGTTGTGTGCTCCTCCTTGGGTACAAAGATCAGATGGAAGAGATGTTTCGGGATGTCAATCCCGGTCTTGCTCGACGTTTCCCGTTAGAGTCGGCTTTTGTGTTCGAGGACTTCAGCGACGATGAGCTACGCCGGATCCTGGATCTTAAACTCAAAGAAATAGGCTTTGGCGCTACTGATCAGGCTAAGAATATTGCAATTGAAGTGCTCAGTCGCGCGCGAAACCGACCGAATTTTGGAAACGCTGGCGAAGTTGACATTCTTCTAGACCGAGCCAAGGCGTTGCACCAGAAACATCTGTCAGCGGGGGAAACAAAGAATTCAGATATATTCGATGCTGTCGATTTTGATCCAGACTTTGACAGAGGTACACGAGCTGCTACTAACCTTGTACAGCTATTCCAAGACGTTGTCGGATGCGAAAATGTAATCAAGCAATTTGAGGGTTACCAAACCACCGCCGCAAATATGAAAGCGCTCGGGATGGATCCACGAGAACAGATACCATTCAACTTTCTATTCAAAGGGCCTCCAGGCACCGGCAAGACAACAACAGCTCAAAAGATGGGCAAGGTCTTCTACGACATGGGTTTCCTTGCTCACGCGAAAGTAGAACAATGCTCCACCACTGATATGATCGGAGAATATGTTGGACATACCGGACCAAAAGTCAAGAAGCTATTGGAGAAGGCTATGGGCAAAGTTCTGTTCATAGACGAAGCTTATCGCCTTGCTGAAGGAGGATTCGCAACCGAGGCAATGGACGAGCTTGTTTCCTCTCTTACGGACCCCAAGTATGCTCAAAAGCTTATCGTCATTCTTGCCGGCTACGACGAAGACATTGACCGCTTAATGTCAATCAACCCGGGTTTAACCAGTCGATTTCCAGAATCTGTCGTTTTCAACCATATGGAACCCGGATCCTGCCTTGAATTGCTCATCAAAATCTTAGACGACCTGAAGAAGAAAAATAAGGCACCGCTTGATCTCTCGGTGCTTGAATCTCCAACCGCAGAGCTCCGTGAGACTATACTGCGCCTCTTCAGAGACCTGTCGCAACTAAAGTCCTGGGGCAACGCGCGAGACGTGAAATCTCTCGCTAAGAATATGTTCAGAGAGCTCATTTCTCAAGTAACTGAGCCTATCACCAATCTGGTACTCACGGAAGATATCATAATCAAGGTCATGGGATCCATGTTGGCAGAGCGTGTTCGCCGAACTGAAGCTGCAGGAACTACACGGCACGGACCGAATCACACAACCCCATTTCCTCGGCCCATGAAACAGAATGTGCCAAATCAGCGTGCAAAGGAGACGAACATCACCGCTTCATCTTCTGCTCAGAATGGTAGCAACGAGGAAAATGGGCCGTCGCCGAGTGGTCCTCCTCTAAATATTGAAGAGAAAGCGGCCGATCCCTGGGATTCAGCACGCCAGCCAGGACGCGACGCGGGGGTATCTGATGAAGTATGGAATCAGCTCGAACTCGACAAGAAAGCCGCTATCGCGCGCGAAGAGGAATATCAACGCCTCCAGAAAGAAAAAGTTGAAGAAGAAAAGCGGATCGAAGAGATGAAGAAAGCAGAGCTACGGGCTCTTGTTGACGGAGAGAGGCGGAAGCTTGAGCAAGAGCGTATTCAGATGGAGTTGGCTAGGAGAGAAAGAGAGCGGATTTTGGCTGCTTTGGAGGAACAGCGGCGGAAAGACATGGAGACGCAGAAAAAATTGAGAACAATGGGACCATGTCCAGCAGGCTACCACTGGATCAAGCAGGCTGGGGGGTACCGTTGCGCTGGAGGAAGCCATTTCCTATCCGATGGGGACGTCGATCGCTTCTGTGTCTAAGTCCCTTTGCTAATTATTTTTTGGGGTGTGTTGAATATTTACTATAGGTGCACTTGAGTATTCTTGAAAAGTATTCTGAGATTGAAGTTTAGTATTTAGAATTATTTGGGCAAAAGTTTCATATTAACTTGAGTACAGTCTGTTCCAGTCCGCTCATGTAGTATGCCCGACTGAAAGGAAGGGTCTTTAATGGTCCTCCCCGTGTCCGTGCCCCGCCCCTCCCAGCAGAATTTGGTGGGTGGGCCTCTCAATTTTCTATATAAAAAAATGTGTTGTTTTTTCTCGGCGTGGTATGGCGTTCTTGGCTTAGTCTCGGCACCAACGAGAAAGAAACTTTTTTGCTGATAATTGAGTTATTTATTTAATTAAACATATACTTTGTTTTTGAGTTTCAGATTCTGAATTGAGGGAAATTTAACTTTGTGTTATTGATGTTGTATTCTGAAAGATATTGATGTTGAGAGTTCTTTCTTGTTTCAGTCGGGTTTAAGTGCGACCGGAGGAAGCCTCAAGTTTATTATATTAGATCAAAAAATGTGTTGCTAATTTGACCGACTTTTGAAGTTTAAAATTGTCACGTGATATATACAAACAGCGATGTGTTGCTAAACGTGTTATTCCCAAACGGGAATTTGGCGACAACACGTTAGCTTGATTGAACATTCGCGATCTCCCAAATAGACTGTGCTAGCTCTTCTTCTTCGCTTCAACTTCATCCTCATCCTCACCTTCACCTTCATATTCATCGGATCACCTACATCGTCTCCATCACCATCCCTAATATACCCACTATAATTGTCTACAGCCTAATCTATAGCTGGTAGACAAGAGGGCATAAGCATGATACCATAAGAGCCACACCATGTTCCAATTCATCCCTCTGCTGGGTGCCCAGTCCGCCTCACGCGCCTCGGCATCTCTCCTGCTCCTCGACAATGGCATCAAAATCCTCGTAGACTGCGGTTGGTCCGAACCGTTCAACGTCGATGACCTCCAGCAGATCGAGAAGTATTATTCCTCATCTCTCTGGTTTGTTTTGTAAAGAGCTCTTGTTAATATGATACAAACGTATAATGTAGACACGCACCAACCATCTCCCTCATCCTCTTAACCCATCCGACTCTCTCCCACATCGGCTCGTACGCTCACTGCTGCGCCCACATCCCTCATTTCTCTCGTATCCCCGTCTACTGCACCTATCCTGTCGCTAATCTCGGTCGCTCCCTCTTGCAAGACGCATACCTGTCCACCCCTCTCATCACCTCAACCTACCCCCCCACCTCCGATCTATCGCCCTTAGTCCTACGCAATCCTCCGTCATCTGATGATATAGACCGATACTTCGACTCATTCAGCTCATTAAAATACTCCCAGCCATTCACATTCCCTTCTCCACCTCTAGCGGGACTCACGATCACGGCATACAGAGCTGGTCATACACTCGGTGGAACAATATGGAGGATCCAACATTCGCATTCTTCGGAGAATATATTGTACGCGGTATCTTGGAATCATCTGCGTGATGCGCATTTATCATCTGCATCTTTTTTACCGGGCCCTACGGGTGTTTCTGAGGAGTTCTTGAATCCGACAGCCTTGATATGTTCGCCCTATAATTGTTTGCCGGGACAAGTTTCCACGCCTAGGAAGAAAAGAGATGAATTGCTACTTTCAGCGATCAGGAAAGCGGCTTTCGCAGGCGGGACGGTATTGATTCCCACCGACTCCTCAGCAAGGATTCTGGAATTGGCGTATCTGCTAGAACACGACTTTCGTTCGAAATCCTCAAACTGGGGTTCCTCGGGTGCCACAATATCTCTTGCAGTTCGTACTGCCGGTCGAACATTCCGTTACGTCCGAGCTTTACTAGAATGGATGGATGAAAGCATGGTAAAGGAATTCGAATCGGTAACTCATAACAACAACCCTTCATCCCGTCGAAAACCGAAATCTTCAAATACAGGAGCTGGTGATAAGGAGGACGATAAACTATACGGACCCTTCGATTTCCGACATTTAAAACTGGTGGAACATAAACACCAGTTAACCAAGATCCTGTCCCGAAAGGGCGGAAAAGTCGTGATTACGAGTGATAAGTCGCTAGAATGGGGATTCTCAACGGAGGTTGTTAAATCCATCGCCGATGACGAACGAAACCTCATCGTTCTAACAGAAAGAGGAAGTGAAGGCACTGCCGGCGGCTATCTCTACAAAAAATGGCGAGAACTCTGTCTTCCCGTCTCCAAAAAGGAAGAAATAGGCGACGCGAGCATCATGGGACAAGTCGTCAAACTCGATAACGTTCTACTAGACATGAACGTTGGCCTCAAAATTCCATTGAACGAATCTGAACTCCAAGCACACAATGAATTCCTAAAACAGCAACAACTATCTCACGACATCAAAGACGCCGAAATTTCTCTTTTGGAAACAGCAGAGAATATAGCTGGCGCCGTGAACGCCGATGACGATGACGATATTGCCGGCGTTAGCTCCTCAAGTGACGAAGAAGATGAAGATGAAGATCCAACGTTACAAGGGAAATCACTATCTACTGGTATTCAGGCTCGGAAAGCCGTCGGCGGCGGGGGGATAGTGGATGAAGGTATCAACGTACTTATGAAAGGGAAAGGGGTTCACGATTGGGACGTCAGACATGCGAAAGGTAGAAACAGAATGTTTCCTTTCTCCGTTCAAAGACGAAAATTCGATGACTATGGTGAAGTCGTCAGAGTAGAAGACTTTGTCAAAGCAGAGGAAGACGTTGCAACGGGTGGTGGTACTACCGGTGTTAAAGGCGAGAAAATTGAGTTCTTGGGAGGAAGAGGTAGTGGAGTCGTTTTACCGGGTACGGACGAGGAAGGCGGTATAGGAAGGAAACGAAAATGGGATAAAGTCTCCACTACAGCCAACAAACGTGGTGGTAACATTCACGCATCAAAGAAGTTGAAGCAGGGACGAAGAGGGAGGGAAAGGAGTCTTAGCGTCGAATCTGAGGATGGGCAAATATCCGAAAGCGATGAAAGCGATGACTATGAACCTGAGGATGTTACTAGTACGACAAGCGGGGTTTGTAAATTGGTCATCAACACCACAACAGTGATGTTGAAGAACAATCTAGTCTTCATAGACTACTCCGGTCTTAGCGACGGACGAAGTTTGAGGATGCTGCTACCTCAGTTGAAACCCAAGAAGGTTGTGTTAATCGGGGGGACTATAGAAGAAACCGAAGTATTAGGAAAAGAAGTCGAGGGAATGATGGAGAAAGAAAGAAGAAAGTTGAGAGTTGATAACGATGATGGCGAGGAAGAACGGGAAAGGGAGGTGTTCATGCCAAAGATCGGAGAGGCCGTGAATGTGGGTGGAGAGACAGAAGTATGGAGCTTGAAGCTCAGCGATGGATTAGTCAAAATGTTGAAATGGCAGAGCGTGGGTGGATTAGGAGTTGTCCACGTCGTCGGCCGAGTAACCGTCGATACCTCCACCGACCTCATAAAAGCAGAAAACATCAAGGACGAAGACACAGCGATGAAAACAGAAGAAGAAGAGCCCGACAAGAAGCGACAGCTGGTTTTGGACATCTTACCAACAACGACAAATACACCTGTCAAATCGGCGAAACCTATTCATGTTGGGGATATAAAACTGCCGGAGTTGAGAAGGGTATTGCTGGATGCGGGACACACTGCTGAACTTACCGGCGAGGGAAGGCTGTTGTGCGATGGAGTGGTGAGCGTGGTCAAGGAAGGGGTAGGAAGGGTGACCATCGAGGATGTGGGAGGCAGTGGAGGGTTGTTGAGCGGTAGAGGCAAAGGGAAGGGGAGGTTTTGGGAGGTTCGGAGATTGGTCTATGAGGGGTTGGCGAGGGTTTCCGGGAATTAATCTGCATATGGGCGTAAATTCACATCTGTCATATATCTATGTCGACTTCTATATTTTCATCTTCATTTGCATCCGCATCTATCTGACGCGGATCTCAAAATTTCGATATTCAATTCAAGAACTTGTGATTTGTTTCGACTCACGTATCGCTCGCTGCAATACTTCTTGTTTGTTTTTACACACCAAGCCATAATGAGGCGAAGGCACCCACGCATAATGTGGCTTCCTCACAAGCAGAAGCAGGGGTGGGCTTAAAAGAAGGGTGGTTTCAGAGCAGATATGATACAGGAACACCGTCGAACAACGGAGTCTCTGAGACTAAACTATGAATAGTAAGGTAGACTACCCCAACTAGTTTAGCTTGAAGTATGGAACTACCAATTTGAGGTTTTCAATGCACGCCATAATTTCGAATTTTCTGTGCGGCGTTATTTGGACTTTTTTTGACGGCCGTAACATATAAAATCTTTGGATTGCAATTGCAATTGGCAGGGTAAGCCACCGCGAAGTTGAAAGGATTCAAGACGCCGTATAGCTGTACCTGCATACACTTTCACTAACCCGTAATTGTGCTCAGCTTTTAACGTGAATGAAACTGCCATGGCCTTAAGGAGTCTAGAATAGTCCTTGAACTAGAATAGATGATTATTTAATAACTAGCCGTACCCCGAAGAACTAACAGCGAAGTCTAAGGTCTTCAGGACTTACCCTCACCCACGATCCTTTCATTACAATTCTACAACAAAAACAACTCTCAGGTAGAGTTTGTGTATAGCAGTTTCCCTTCTATTGTCACTTTCATTTTATATATTTTTATATCGCAGTGCGATTCATTCTACGATCCTGCCGTTTTCTCTTACTATCCTTTAATAAAAGCTATCAAGTCAGATATCATCAAGATGAAGTCATTAACCCTCCTTACCACTTCCCTCCTCCTCACCACCACCCTCTCCGCTCCCGCAACCCCATCTCAATCAGAAGACGAATACATCGTCCTCCTAGCCTCTGATAACAAAGACTCCTGGTCTTCAATCTTCTCCTCAATGGGTTACAACCGTACAACCCGTCACGTTTCTGCCCACAATACCTACGGCGTGCGTACCCTCGGTGCCACATTCCTCACAAGCCACGGGATCAACATCCAAACCTTCGGCAATGGTGAAAATTTTCGAGGGTTTACGATGAAGATGCCAAGAACGCATAGTGTTAATGTCGCTGGGATGGAAGGGATAGCGATTGTGGAGAAGAACCATAGGAGAGGGAAACAGATGCCTAAAGTTTCTTTGACGCATTCCGTACGGAATATTAAACATTCTCCACCTTCTTCTTCCTCTCCTTCTTCATATTCTTCTCAGGGAGTTTATAGAAGATATCTTCACCGTAGACAACAGCAACCGGCTACGAACCCGAATTCTACGACAGGGTTTACGACGGAATTAATCCAACAATCTACCGCACCATGGGGTCTTCAACGAATCTCTTCTCAACCCCCAATACCCGCGGATGGTCGTAACATCACGGAATTAACTTACAAACACCGTTTCGACCGAACCGCAGGAACAGGGGTTGACATCTACATCGTTGACTCCGGTATCAAAATTGACCATTCCGACTTCAACGGTCGTGCCAAAGTTCTATTTTCCGCGTTTAACGACAGCGGAGATGATAAAGACGGTCACGGAACGCATGTTGCAGGAACAGCGGGGAGTTTACATTACGGAGTTGCCAAAAACTCGAATTTGTGGGGGGTTAAGGTGTTGGATGATAATGGTGGTGGGAGTGATTCTGGGATCGCGGCAGGTATTGACGCTGTTTTGGCGGCGCATAATAAAAGGAAAGGAGAAAAAGAGTTTGCGGGGTCGGTGATTAATATGTCACTTGGTGCGCCCGAGACTTCACAGATTATATTTACGGCTATTAAACGGGCTGTGGAAGCTGGTATTCATTTTACGATCGCACCTGGGAATGATAATAAGGATTCTTGTACAGATTTCCCGGCGGGGTTTGTTACACAATTACCATCGTTGATAACGGTTGGAGCAACGGATATTGATGATAATCGCGCGGATTTTTCTGATTTTGGAAAATGCGTGGATATTCATGCTCCAGGGGTTATGATTGTTAGTACTACTAATGATGGGAATATTGCGGATAAAGATGGGACTTCGATGGCTACGCCTGCTGTTGCTGGTGTTGTTGCGGATCTGTTGGCGCAGAATGAACGGTTTAAGTTGGATCCGATGGGGATGAAGAAGTTTTTGCTGGAGAGGTCGTTGAAGGGGGTTATTAAGTTGAAGGCTGGGGATAGGGCTACTGATGGGGGTACTGAGAGGGTGTTGTTGAATACTGGTGTCGGGGGCGTTCCGAAGTAGATTGTATTTTTGTATTCATTAAGATTTTATGACAGGTAGATTGGTTCAGCTCCTTGCAATGTAATATATCTGTTTACAGGGTTAGGATGTTATGGGAATCGTTCGGAATGTAATACCGTCGGTATAAACTCAGTGAATTCCATCTGTGAGTGTAGAGGGGATCTAGAAGTAGTGTTTTAACTTTCCTTTCATGGTTGGAAGTCAAGCCATCAAGAGACTTGGTATTTAAATTTATCCTCACGTCCTGTCAGCCTTACGTTATGGGAAGACATTCGATGGGGTATTGATAATAGCTTAACAACTCAGAAAGAGGGAAGCTCTCCAATAACCGGAATAACTATACATCTTGGGGGGGTTTGATATTATGACGAGTTATAGGGGTTATTGGACTGTGCTTTTCCCTTTTCTACCTTTCGACTTTTATGCGAGAAGCCGCATGATACCACGGTGAGCGTAGATTTGATCCCATATCTGGTTTATAACGTTGGCTATATTATGACTTAACGATTGATATATCATGATATGATATTAACCGGCGTGCGCGTGCATACCGGCCTGTTATCCTACCCCACAATCTTAATCATCCGATTACAATCGAACACAAGTTTAATTCCGTTCATACCACTCGAAGATTGATATATCTATGCAGCGGCATATTCCCGGGCGCTATGGATTCAGGCGGCCTATGACCGTACAAGCCACATGACCTAAAAAGATGTCTTTGAAGAATCGCATTTCTCCGAGAAACTTTCGAGTAAGGCAGACTTACAAGGCCTGGGGTTTTAATGGCCATTTCGAGTTAAGGTGTTGCATGGTGTTGCATTTCTTGGACAGTTCAGCAGACTCAATGTTACAGAATTGAGCGCCTCAAGAGAAAAAGCTCCACCGAGGCAAATGCTTGAAGATGCTTATGAAAGCCTCCCAAGACGCTTAAAAACCAACTAGTCAAGATGGATGATAGGATAAACTCCCATAAAACCATGTAAGTAATTACTACATGTTCCCAACCTCCTTGACATGATTCGTGGTGGTTATAACTTTTTGTTTTAAGGTTCTTCTAGAAGCCTTCCTTCCCTCGCTTTTGTTTCCAAAAGTCTGACCACCGACGGATAAATATCCTTGTCCATAACTACAGCATTTGGGGAGGGGAAAAAGTTACTCCACAACTTTAAGCAATCCTTGTCCCATCGGCACTCCGGGTGTGGATGCAGCTTTTAGCTCTATTTCCCTGGTACCAATCCCAGTTCTGGAGTTGCGGGCCTTTAACCCGACAGCCCAATCCGAGATCATGACATCGTTACCAAACCCCAGATTTTTGTATCGGTGTGTCTGGTGCTTGGACTCGTGCATGGATATATCCCTACATTGCACAAGATATTTTACATACTTTTGTAGATGGGTATGAACAGGGAGACGCGTGGTTCTCGGACAAACTTTCTGGAAGGGAAATAGAAGATCCTTACGATATTCAGGTGTTTTGTTTCTTATTATTCATATGCGCCTGCCAGATTCATTGGATCGAACTCCACCAGTGGTGCTTTAGCGATCGGTAGGAGTACCTCCGATACCGATGGCGGCTATATACAAATACTTCGTATAGATTGATAATGGACATTGGCGTTTGCATTGGCATTCTTTTGGATCTTTTTCCCCCTTTACCCCCGCGCGCGATCAAGGCCCGCTAGCTAACTAGCTACTAGCTTCGGAGAAAAAAGGCTGGGGTAGGGACTTATACGGATATTCCTCCAGCTTCGAATGCATATATAAGTCCACGCGAACGAAGGTTGTCTTTTTTTCCCCCTCTCTTTCTTTCTTTGTGAGATCATCAGTTCCTTCTAGAATTGTTCCTCTACATATCCTCCCTCCGTCAACGAAAGAGAAATATAGTTCACGATGGCACCCGCAATTCCAACTATCATCTGTTCCCTCCTCCTCGGCCTCGCGTCCGCTCAAGGACTTGCCGGAAAAACTAAGGAGAAGCACCCAAAGCTCGAAACCTACAAGTGCACCAAGAAGGGCGGTTGCAAGAAACAAACCAACTATGTCGTCCTCGACTCCTCGACTCATCCAATCTACCAGAAGGCTAACCCAAGCCTTGGATGCGGTGATTGGGGTAACGCACCAAATGCCACCGTGTGCCCCAACGAGAAGGATTGTGCTAAGAACTGCTTGATCGATGGTATCAACGACTACTCCAAGTATGGTGTTACCACTTCTGGTGATAACCTCTTCTTGGATATGTTGAAGGATAGCGATGGGTCTGTTCTCAGCCCCAGAGTTTATCTTTTGGCTAAGGATAAGCATAAGTACGAGATGCTCAAGTTGACCGGACAGGAGTTCTCGTTCGATGTTGATGTTTCCAAGTTGCCATGCGGTATGAACGGTGCTTTGTACCTTTCTGAGATGCACAAGTATGGTGGAAATCACCACTTGAACAAGGCTGGTGCCGAGCTTGGTGCTGGTTATTGTGATGCTCAATGTTATACCTTCCCATTCGTGGATGGTGTCGTAAGTTCTCACCCCTCCTCTAATAACTATACAAAAACTGTCGGGTACTGATAAACATATTAGGGAAACATCAAAGGAAAGGGTGCCTGCTGCCCAGAGATGGACATCTGGGAAGCCAACCGCATGGCTCAACAATACGCCCCCCACCCTTGCAACATCACTGGTCCTTACAAGTGTACCGGCGAGGAGTGCGGCTGGAGTGGAGTCTGCGATGAGTGGGGTTGCGGTCAAAACACCTACCTCAACGGAGACCCAATGTTCTACGGTCCCGGCCCAGCCTACACCCTCAACACCCTCAAGCCATTCACCGTCGTTACCCAATTCGAGTCCAACAAGCGCAACAAGCTCATCTCTTACCACCGATTCTATATCCAGAATAACAAGAGAATTGACCCTCCTAATGCTACTAAGGAGCACTTGCCTGCTGTTAACCATATGGATGATGCTTATTGTGCTACTACTGGTGGTGCTGAGAGGTACCTTGCTCTCGGTGCTACTGAGGAGATGGGTGATGCTCTTACCCGCGGTATGGTCCTTGCTATGTCCATCTGGTGGGATGAGGGTGGTCATATGCAATGGTTGGACGGCGGTAACTCTGGTCCTTGCAACCCTGAGGAAGGTGCTCCATCTGTTATCAGGGCCAACCAGTTCGATACCAATGTTAGATTCAGCAAGATCAAGTGGGGTGATATTGGATCTACTAACCCTAAGTTCTGTTAAAGAATTTTAGAAGGGGGGATTTTCTATCTTGTATTCTAGACAAAACTTGTATATTATAGAAGACGGATAGAGGAAGGGAGTTCTGTACTATAGTCTTTTTTGTAGAGGCAGTAACTCACTTTTTTGTATATAAACCTTTTGGATTCTGATAATTGATACTGGGCACGAGTGGTTTGGTAGAGTTACATTGATATTCTTGTTCTTACATAAATAGGTCACTTATGGGAGTGCGCGAGAGATTAGGTTGCCTGAGATAGCTACGTATGGAAGAATATCATAAAACTGTCGATCTCGATTTGGAATTTCGGCGGTAAGGGGTACCGGTTACTGAAAGACCTCTAGAGCGTGGTAAAATCGAACTCTTATTTTCATCGTTTGATTATAAACTTGCACCGCATACGTATACATTAGCCATGGCCCACTTAGAAGCTTCCCGGCGTATTTACATTCAGCCTTTTGGTTCGAACTCAGCTAGATTCATTCCGGCAAAACTACGGATGTCTACGAAAACTACGGATGTTTACGATTGGAACTATTGTTATGACTAGAAACCCAGATCTTATATTGAAATTTGTATTGAATGACGGCTTAAAGTTAACGATTTAAGAAAGCAGCTAGCCTTGAAACACTACGCAGTTTTCTTTGCTTTATGCGTGCGTCTTTTAGATATATTCTAGTCTCTGATCTAGAAGCATATCTCTGTAGCTTTCCAAAAAAAAAAGAAAAAAGAAAAAAGCGAACAAAAACAAATGGGAAAAAAATTACAGATGTGAAATCAATCCCTCGCGCTCACATAATTCCGCATTTCTCTTTTTGTGGTTCCTTCCCAAGGGAACCTTCAGACGAGGTTCCACCAAGGGACCCCATAGACGAAAACTTCCCAGACGACCCACCACTCCCAGAACTACCATCACTCTCTTTCTTCTTCTTCTTCTTCTTATTGTCATTCAATCCGTAGTTAATCTCCATACCCCCAGTACACGGGACAACTTCGATTTCACACTCTCGAGGTCCGTCTACGGTTTCAACTTTCTCGTGGGACATGATAACGGTTCTACGTTTCTTCATGGCCAACATATCGCGTTCAACATCCTTTGTTCCATGCTTGCAATTGGTACACTTCTCTGGGATAGTGTATTGTTTCTTGAGGAAGGTTTTGCATTTCCTGGGAGTCGGGCATCCGGTACGGACGTCGACGACTTTGTGACCGCAGAGAAACTTTCCGGAGTGTGTCTTACACATTTTGGGAGGGCTTTTTTGATGAGTATTATAGAGGTAGATGATGGTTGGTATATAATACTGTGGTTGATATATTAGATTGGGTTTTGGGGGAAATGGCGTGGAAGGGAATGGGCAAGAGGCTTAGTAGTATGATTATTTCGATGGAGGCTATATGGTTTGATGATGCTGGTAGATGGATCAAGATCTAGATGAAGTGTAGTGAAAAATAAAAAAAGGAAGTGGAGATGATAGGTGGTGGAGTTTATATTTAACCCTCAGCAAGTAGGGATCAATCTAATAGTTTGGCCGATCAGTTTAGTTATCGAGTTAAGTTGAAATAATTTGTTTGAATCCGTATGGAAGAATATACGACACTTCATACCAAACTTCGTGAATTCGATTGTTGTCAACGGAACTCGATTATATCATAAGAACCTTTAACATACATAATATTGATCTCAATTTAGTCTAACTTAATATTTCATCGGGTGATATCTTTTAATTCATGTACATAAAAGGACTATTTACACGCCGGATTCATCTAGGAAGTCGATATGATATTGGCGATAATCGACGGGAGATACATATTCACCTCGAGGATTACACTATGGGATTCCAAAGAAAGCCAGCAACCTGCTTTCCCAGAACGGAGTCAAATGGTCGACTCCAGCGATCAGATATCCAACAAGCTTATTCCCAGTACCATAGATACTTTCCGTATACCCCTGCCCCGGCTGATTGGTATTCGTGGCTGTCAAACTAAGTCCGAGTACATTACTCCACTGCTTCAGCTGCTCCTGGTAATTCTGAGGATTGATAATAGTATCTAAACCACCGTTCGTAATCTGAAGTCGTGGACGGCGGCCAGTATATCCTCCAGGATAAGCATTCCTCGCAAAATCACCCCACTCTTGTGGAGTCTTGATGATACCCCCGCTTGCACATGTATTATTAGTCGTAGGTTGGAACTGCGTAGAAGCTCCAGCTCCGGCAAAACATCCAGCAGGGGTGCCACCGTATGCCGCACCGGCTTCGAAGAGATCTGGATAAGTAGCCGCAAGATTATTTACCATAATTCCGCCGGAGGACCATCCGAAAACATAGACTCGATTTGGATCCCCGTTGTAAGTTGAAAGAGCATATTGAACCTGTTGGGCAAGACTTTGGGTGTCTCCTCCCCCATTGCGAGTAAGACTTTGAGGACTGTGGTTGTCCCAACAGTAGCCATTGCTGGAGGGGAAGATTAGAATGTAGCCGTATCGGTTGGCCCAATAGGGGAGACTGGTTACACCGTAGAATTGTTGGCCACTGCCTCCGCATTGGTGAAGCTTTGAACGTGTGATTTGTTAGTGCATGTAGACATTTAATCAAACTCAAATGATACATGATACTCACACCAAGGATAATAGCAGGCTTAGCTGGTAATGTATCCGGGACGTAAATGTTCATTTGGATTCCTGCGGGGTTTGAGCCCCATCCGGTAACGGTAGTCAGGGATGCTCCATGAGCAGTTGCACTGAGGCCAACTATGATACTGCCGACCAGAGTAGATAGTTGCATTTTAAATTTTAGATATATATAGTAGGCAATTCTTCAAATCAAAGCGTACGCCTTCAAGTGAATGTCTTGGTGGGTAAAGTAACTAATAAGGGCAGAAACTTGTTCAAAGTATCCTGTTTCTTCAAGATATCTTCTACTCCAAACTCAATATTAAAGGCGGAGATTTCGACATCTTTATAGACATTTGTTTCTTAGTTTTGCCCTCCCATAAGTTTACTCTCAGTATACGGTCAATATCACCTCATTAATTTATAGCAAATCATCCTATTCGCTCTATACCAAGCTATATATCTACAGTCAAGAACCTCTCATTTGCATATATATGCAAGTTTTGACACTACGAAACATTAATAATTATTATCAAAGCAGCTTTTATGATGTTTACTAAACCATATTGGCCCCACAAGTTTCGGGTTTTATACAAAGCCATATCCGAAAGGGTGGGGACAGACTGCGGGGAAGAATCACGTCTTTTTGTTTATAGAACATGGCTATATGGTATGTCTATAGTCGCTATTGGTTCGCTATTCGGAAGGTGGCTAAATTGTCAGCGATCGATCGCGGTCCGCGAAGGTAGCGGAACATGCATGTGCGGTTGACTTGATCCCCTGACTAACTAAAGTTATTATTTAGGGCTTGGTAGAAAAGTCGTCCGTTCAGTCTAAATCGAAGGTTAGTCAGCCGAATGACTTCCTCTTCCCTGGGTTTTATTACCCTAATACTCTTGTAGAATCAAAAGCTTGACGCAATTGTCCCAAGCGACCTCCATGGATCAGTTTGCGCCATCATTATAACTTTAAATTCTCATATATCTTCAAGTGCAGGGCAATGATATCTCAACCTCTATTTTTAAATGAATTTATGGGAAACAAAATATTGATGCACAAGTAAGAGTTTCTGTACTATTCGTTGCAGTGGTAGTAGCTACGTAGACAGTCGACGGGATACTCAAGAAGTTCCCCGTTTAGGCTAAAGATTGAGGTGTATATGTCGCTCAAAAAGCAGGGTTGTCAGCGAAGGTGTAGGTGCCGAAGAACCGTGATCGTTGACATTATTTTCGGACCATTTCCGAGAACTCGAGAGGATATAACGGTAAACGGCTATAAAATAGGTTATATCCTTCGAAATATGAACTTGTAAATTTAACAATTTGATGCCTTTTATATACACATTACAACATTAGCATCTATTATAGTTTTAACCACGTAAACGCGCAGATATATTTTGCCGATACGCGATGATAATATGGTCGAAACCTGCGGCCAAAAACTTGTGATATAACATTAACCACCTGGCGGTTATATATGAGCGAGCAAAAGCTAGATCTAGGGATTTATATAACTGTTCAACACTTTGAAAGTTTCTAGCACATAACCATGATTGAATTTATGGACGAGCAAAGTCCGTTTTGGTGTTTTTAGCACCTGTCTAACACCTAGACTAGCGATAATCTATAGACAAAAATTAAGAATGAGGTTATCAAAAACACTCCGACATGATCAGACATAGCAAACAGGCACACCGCACACAGGAGGACCGATTATATTAGTAATAAGCTAGCTTATTTACCAGTTCTAGAAAAGATCAAACGGACAAGCACCAAGTCAATGCAATTATATTTATAAAGTAGCAGCAGTCCTAGCAGAAGTTCATCTCAAGGCCCGGCAGATGTAAACGTGAATGAGTTGGGTATATGAAGCTAAACACCAACGTAGTTACATCACCGTCACCCGGCCCCTGTCTTAACGTTAGTCTCTAGTGATTCCATCACAAGCTATCCCGACCACATGGTGACGAGCAATCCCCCAAGATTCTTTAGACGCTCCTATCAATCATCTACGGTGTCCATTTGGAATCAAATGACACTTTTGGGCAAAAGAAGACAACACAAAATACTTTTTGGGGTTGTAAACTAGTAAAATCAAGTCGAACGAGAGAGTTCGAATCATCAATAACTTCATGAATACACTAGATGATTCGATTTTGAAAGCTGAAATAGAGAGAAAAAAGGCAGAGGGAGACGTTAAAATTAAGAAGTGCGGATAATTTGGTGGTGTGGTTCGTTGGTTGAGAGTAGTTACAAAGGGAGCCTCGTCTTTGACGTGGGTTGCATATGAATTCAGCCATGGCCAGGGTAGTTCTATGTTGCATCGCCGTGTATGTACGCATGTTCATGTACCTGCATCACGGCACCAGTGCCACCGAAGTTTGAAAGTGGCAGTCTGACAAGTAGGCATCCCGGCCAGGAGAAACCTGGAAAGTTCAAAAACCTATCATGATATTAACCTAGCTAGTAGGTCTTGATATACATATATACGCTATGAGGGTTGTGAATCTGGGGGAGTTATCCCTAGAAATTTCGAAATGAGAGAAAAGCAGGTCTCTACTAGAACTGAAACATCGTTTATAGCCTTCGGAATGCCCTTACGAGTTTCCAGCTTAGACTTGGTAGACAAAATAAGCTCCAGCCCAGTACTTGCTCCCCGACTCCCATTCGCTTAAGTTTAAAACTAGGGTTGTTCCTTTAACCGCGGAAACAGACACTTGGCACTCTCGATCCTGGGGAACTGATATTAACTTCCTGATGTTACAGTGAGAATCCGGGATTTCTATCGGACCGACCACCCATTTCTATGGTTGGTATTGCAGCTTATCAGAGCCTGAGTAATACTATACTGTTTAGGGGTGCCCGCCCCTGCTGAAAATACCAAGGGCGTATAGAAAACCACGCGTTGACGGCCGAAAGCGAGATTTCGAATATGCATGCCATGGTATGCTAGCCAGCGAACTAAAACCGAAGGATTTGATACACCATATTAATATTCTCGTATCAAGAACCTCAAACAGCATATTAAATTGTAGGCAGTCTACGCACTTTAAGCACGGATAAAAATCGCGCATCTCCGCTTAAGCGCTTCCGTACGTGAGACATTACGACGCAATGCTGCAGCCTGAGGCTTTCATTCATCTTGCTTCAACCTAGTAAATCTAAACAGTATTATCAGTCTATACACGTACACACTATAGAGAATTTCACAACATTTGGCGGGAAGACATCCATCCGCGCAGCCTAGATGATTAGAATAAATGACTATAAATACAGGTCTTTGCTGGTGAAACTTCAAGTCATTTAGTATCCTCAAGGCGTCCCCCTAAAACTTAAAACATTTTAGATTGTGTTTGAAAGATGAAGTTCTCGTTGATTTCCCTGGCGGCATTAGCTACTCCCACCCTCGCAAAGGTTTTCTACGCTGGTGTTGCTGAGAGTGGTGGCGAGTTTGGTGTCTGGACGGATAATGGCGTTGGCCGTGGTATGTATCCCTAGGCTCCTAGCGTTATTGTTCTTTGCCTCGAAACCAGTATCGTTCTCGTGTTTCGTTTCGATTGTTCCACAAAGCCTAAAGATAGACACCTATCTGATAGCTGATTTTTGTGTCATATAAGGCCTGCCTGGGAGATTTGGATCCGACTACGCTTTCATCAACAAGACCGCCATAGATGTCATGATAAAAGATGACAAGATCAATCTCTTTCGTATCGCTTTTCTATTAGAGCGTATGTGCCCACCTTCAATTGGCCTCGGAGAAGTCTTCAATGAGACGGTAAATATATATTTATTCTCCATGACAGTCTAGAAATGATTGCGGCTACATACTGACACGCCTTCTTTTAAATTCAGTACTTCGACCTCTTTTACGACGCTGTTCAATATGTCACGGTTCGGAAGAGACGATATGTTATCCTTGATCCCCATAACTATATGCGTTACAATGACCCCTTTGCGCAACCTTACTCAGGCAGCATAATTGGCGATGCCAGTGACCCAAACTCCGCCACTACTCAAGACTTCAAGATCTTCTTCACCGAACTCGCGAAGCGCTTTCGCCACAATACCCGTGTCATCTTTGGTATTATGAACGAGCCCCATGACATGCCCACTTCATTGGTCCTCAAGAATAACCAAGCTGCCATCGATGGCATCCGTTCTACTGGTGCCAAGCAGATGATTTTGGCTCCTGCTAACGCTTGGTCTGGTGGCCACGCCTTCACCACTGGAAACGGCAATGAACCGTCATCTGATTACCTTCATTTGATGAGAGATCCACTCAATAACACTGCTATCGAAATCCATGAGTATCTTGACGACAACTATAGCGGAAGCGGAGCCAATTGTACCCAGCCCGTCACCCGCCTCGATGGTGTTACTAACTGGCTTAAGCAACACGGAATGAAAGCTATGATCACCGAGTTCGGCGGCGGTGTTAATCCAGGCGTAAGTGCTTAATGATTGGGAAATCTTCCACTTAACCGTACCCGAAGACCTTTTCCTTATACTGATAGATATCTATAACAGTGCGCCCAGGCTCTTAAAGACTATATCAATTATCTCGAGGACAAGGAGGTTTGGATTGGATGGACTGCATGGGCTGCTGGCCCACTTTGGGGACATTGGTCTCCTTGCTGTCAAAGCGGTCAGACTTTAGGTAGTTTTGAACCTGGGAGTCGAGCTGGAGATGGTGGCCCAGGGTAAGTACCTAGCTTTGGCTTCAGTCTCGAGACTCGGTGATCGGACTTAAGCCAGCACAGCTTAATAATCCAACGTCTGCAACACAAAACTAGCGAATCTGTTCAAGATTCAACGGCTATAGTCCTTTCGCCAGGCCTTCAACCGCCGAGCTTCCTATAGACCGAAGATGTTTGTGCCTAACGAACCGAAAGAAGGTTTCGTTGGCAACAACTAGGATTCGATCCGATTTAAAACTACACCAGCAAGCGGGTGTCGGGAGCTCCTACGGGGCACTATTTCGAGTTCACGTCAAACGTGGTCACTCGGTTCTTCGTTTTTCTTTCTTTCTTTCTTTCTTTCTTTCTTTCTTTCTTTCTTTCTTTCTTTCTTTCTTTCTTTCTTTCTTTCTTTCTTTCTTCTCTTCCGAAGATCGAAAAGTGGGAGAGATTTATGCTAATGTCAGTTTCTGTGTAGATTGTATGATCTCCTTTGGGTTCCTGTCATCCGCCCCCTTGTTCCCAAGAACTTGGGGACCCACGGAATATCCAGCGTCAATGGAACAACGGATTAGTATATACTCAACGCAGCCGACGCTAGATCCAACGCGGGCTGAACAGACCGCTGACCAGTCCGCAAAATGGAGAGGAGGGGATGGGTCTAGACCAATTTCATTTCTCTTCGATTTCAAGCTTCATTTCAAACTTTGTACAGCTGTGAGAATAAAATTAACACTACCTAAATACATTTCGCCATGTGCATGCCAACCAAAGCTAGAAAGCAGTACTATTTCAAGTGCAACAAACCCAACACGAACAAATAAACATCAGCCCGGATGCTAACATAAACATTATATAATCTCACAGATTATGCCATAGTAATAACTTTTCATCCCATTATGCTTCGTTAACGTTCTTGACACTCCAGTTCTCCTTAGCGCCGGCGGAAAGTGGTCCTCAGAACTTTGGAGTCTCCCTGAGCTACCTTGGAGGACATGTGTACTACTGGCGCCCCTTTGACCACCCACCTGCACCAGCTTCAGCAAGCGCAATCCCCCCAGTATTGTCCGGAAGATCTTGTATCCCACCAATATGGCTATCATTGTTTTGGTGTTGCTTGTAAGGGCCGGACAGATCCCCAAAGCCTCCATTCTGCTGTCTACTCCTTTTCCGCTTCCAGGAGAATAGAAAGTACCCTGCCACCGCAAGGACTATCACCACGCTAACAGTGACACCGACTGCAATGGCAATAGTTCCGGTACGTCCTTCATCAGGAGTCTCACCTCCACCAGTTTCGGATGGCATTGCGTCGGTTCCCGTCCTCGAGCTAGTACCAGCACCAGAGCTAGTTTGCCTAGGGCCCGTCTCTGTGGCAATAGTGACCAAACCACTACGGATATACGGTTCGAGATCGCCCAGGAACTCTTCTGGTAAATCTGTTGCAACTGGCTGAGCGTCGAGAGGGAACTGGGAAAAGTCCGATGCTTGATATTTGACTCTAATGGGGAAATGTACAGCCGAATGACCCTTTCGTAGGTCGGTGGTATGTACCTCACCGTTCAGCTCTCGAAACTCAACAACGATCCCAGTTGGAAGAGGTTGGTAGCACATTGCCTTGGTGTAGTCGTTGTCGGTGAACAGAGATTGGGCTAATGTCTTAGGTATAAAGTTTAAGGATCCTTCTTCTGGAAGGAGTGTGTAACCCTCCATGCAACAATATGCATACATGGTCCGACTGACATACATCAGTGAACCCGTTGTATAGCTTAAGGGGCATATCCCAGGACTATAGAATGTTTGTGTTCCCCTTCCTCCCACATGAACGATACTATAATTTTCGGGCCAACATTCCTTTAAGGCAGAAGTAACGCCCGGTGGTGGGCCATTTGCCTGTACTGCGTCTGGTGTAAAAGTCCCAAAAACTCCATACCAATACTGGGTTGAACAGGTTTTCGGTGGGATAAATTGTGTTGTGAGAGGGTATGATGTGGTGGGGGTTGGTCTCGAGCTACTGGTTGTTGTTCTGCCGGCCATGTCCTTTGTCGCGATACTCTATATAATTCTAGAATAAAAGTATTCTTGCGTGCACCGTGGTTTGAAAGACAACTGCAAAAAAGTGTGTTAATTTTTTGACAGATGTTGAAGGGAAGCATCCTCCTTTTGAAGCTGCTACTATAAAATTTCAGGAGTTTTCTAACGTTATGGTCGCAAAGTCATGATGATCCGCATCCTGGTTAGCCTCGGGCTGCAGCCAATTGGGAGACTTGATCGCTTTCGGTTGACCAGGGCATCCCAGGCCGTTACTTGTCATGAAACTTGGCCTGAGCCGCTATAAAGATTCACAACAGCGAAGGCGAGCCTGCTTTGTGAAAGGATCTTAAATCCCTTGGATGTAGACGTCTAGACATAGAAATTTCAAAATTAATCTCGCTCCTCTCTAAATCGGGGAAAGTATCTTCTACAGGCGTTGAAGAAAATTAAACTTGTCAACTTAAGAAACCCTAGTTCATTCTTGTTACCAAAATGGAAAAATCTTGAAAACAACTCAATAACGTTATAATCAGATTCGAGGGAGCCGGAGTTTCATTTGAGACCCACACGATATCCTGCGTCATGAAAATTCCATAAGTATCCTCGTAAGCAAGTGGGGTTTTTGAATGACCATATCATATAGATTTTTGACTAAATAGAATATGACATGATGCGTGACAACGCGATATGAGATCCTCGCTGCCAGTGGTTGTTGTATTTTTTGCGTTGGTATTTGTGTTTTAGGTACCACTACAAATGAGGTTATTTCGAGATCAATTCTGAACTATACGATCATATGACCTTTGAGTATTAGATATATAGTCAAGTGGATTTGGTATTGCAATAAATAAAACAAATTTTGTATATAAGCTAATTTCAACGTCAAAGGAACTTTGTAAAGGTGTTTTAGAATACAAGAGCCTTCCTGAGGCCAACGTAAGAAATAGAAAAATATCCAATAAAACAATAAAACCGCTAGCAAAACAATGAACTAAAAGAAAAACCGGATTTTAAAAAAAAAGAGATTGGGGGAAATTTAGAATAGATAAAAGACCATGAATATAATTTGAAACTTCAAGACGCTGCAATGCAGGACCGCTAATGTTGAAAGGCTGGTATATATAGACGCTAAAACTTGGCTTTTGTGTTTGACGGCCGTTAAATTCGTAAAATCCGCACTCGAACGAACCAAGTAGCCATGCCGGTCTAGTTTCTAGTAGCCGTTATAGCCGTACTGGGGTTGGCCATAGGGATGACCATTTGGTTGGCTGTATGACGCTTGGTGGTAGCTTTCCTGTACATAGCCTGCATCTGGATATTGGTTGTGTTGACTGTACCCCTCACAATAACCCTCAAAATGTTGATGAACAGAAGGACCGGCTTGATAGTTGTATCCCTCCTGGTATCCAGCCTCTTCTTCGTCAAAGGGATCATAATCTGGAGAGTTCGAATCCCCTTCAGTGAAATCGTCGCCTTGCGATCCACCCGAAGATCCTCCTCCACTGCCGGAGCCTTTCTTTTGCCTTGGCAAGTGCTTTTTACTCGTCCGGGCAGAGCATGGTAAGTCCTTCCTCACACATCGCGCACAGCGCACCGGGTCAATTTCAGTTTGTAAGACACACTGCATGAATGGGTTAGAATTCTCTCTTCTCATGTTAAATAACCAGCGTCTTTGATGGAGTGTACCTTTTGGCGGGCATCACGGCAATAAGAACATTTGTAGAAGTCTAAAATTCTACCCTGCCTCTCCCCTTCGGTGGGCTCGGCGAGCGTGCAAGTGTATTTGTACCTCTTGCAACGTTCACAGGTGGCAGCCGCAACGGGATCATAAAGATCACGAACGCACTATAATTTTCGGCCTTTGGTTAGATTTTCATAGTTGAAGATGAGATAGTTATATATAGCAAAACCCATATACGAGTAATTTCATTGCATTGGGAAAACTCACGCCTTGGCGGTCGTGACGGCAGCGCCAACACGTTGTGTTGTTTCTTGGAGGCATTATAATAACCTTGAGGGGCGAATCTCGAGATGACTTTGGAAATAAAAGATGAACGAAGATTGGAGGGGAGAGAATGTGAATATGAAGTGTAGGCCTTAGAGCTTAAGAGGTAATTGTTCTTTGTTGTTCTTCTTGGTTCTTGCTGATATCTCCATTTTATCGTGATGCTAAATCGTCCCTTATATACGGAACTTAGCGCGCTGCGGAATTGAGGTCTATATGAGCGAGGATTGAGCCCGCAGCATTCAGACATTGTGAGGATAGACTAATCAAGCGATTTACGCTGATTAGGAATGCGGCTGCCAGCTTTCCGAAGCTACGAAAAAGGTTTGGAGTGGACGGGCTGGTACCCTTCGTGACATAGTGCGGGAACAGTCCCCGCCAAACAGGTATTCGGTTTGTTCAGGAAACATCTACGTCTGCCACCACAAGCTGAGCGGGGAGCTGCACTAGCCGGATGAGTAACCCAGCACATCAGGTACACCAGGAACTTTCATCATGTTGTGGGTCCCGGATCCCCTTCACAGAGGAGGTTGACCACCTCATGCTAGCTTCTCCTGTAAGCGAAAACCAATGGTCGGTTGAAAGTTGGTCGGTCCTAAATGCCCTCCAACAGGGTGGCGCTTTCTGGTATGATCGAGCTAGCTCAAAGCTCCACACTTCCGACACTGAAAAAGGAAAGAGCCATAATGCGATCGCGAAAGCTCAAAAATGTGAGCCGTGTAAAGCGGAGTCCGCAGTCGAAACATGGGAAACTTGATGCTAAACTGGCGCAATATTCGGAAAAATATGGTAGGTTTCCCTGCAAGGAAGTTTGACATGGGTGAGGCTGACCACTTACATAACGAAACTTGTACCGCGCCGCCTTATCAGGGGCCGTAGGGCAGCCACTATGCCACAAGTGGCTTGAAGCTAGTCAATCACAGCCGCATGCAGCAATTACCAGTCAACGGCCGGCCATGGGTTGGATGTCACACAGATTTGCGGGTTGAGGGTGCCGCACTTACTTGTTTCCTCGCTGGATTCCAATAAGTCTGGTTCGTCAAAAGTTTCCCACATCGATTCACCAATTGGTTTCTTTTATACATGAGTAATAACAAACTTTCGACCTCAATATCAAATTTATTCATGGAAAACTTTTCAGCCACACATGCACATGGAGCGCTAGGGTGACTAGTGCTTCGATGCTGTGTGGCGTCCATTTATCTTTGACTGGTATCAGCCTTAGCCCAAGTCTCTAACAAGATCCTAGAACCTTGACCATGTATGCCGCATCGCAAACCGGAACCGGTGGGGTCATGTACATGTGTATACCGCCAGCGCCTCCCGAATTAGCTTGACGTTTGATCCTGTCTATCATTTGAGGCTTTACTTTCATATGTCGGCTGCTGGAAAAGATTTCCTGCAAGGTCTTGACTTGTTTCAAGAAGTCAACGGAGACTTACAGAACCTTAGATGATTGGTCTTAGGTGCTTAAACTTGCCGTCTGTTCCTGTATACGTTCCTGCATAGTCGATCATCTACGTTTAAGGCTTAAATTATTCTTGACTAAAAGCCGCACAACGGGGACAAGGGTCAGTAGTATAACAGCCATCTACTATTCGCCGTTGAATCATGCATCGCCAACAAAGCAATGGCGATATTCAGTAGTTCAATATAATCCGATGTGATGTGATCCAATTGAATTTCAATTCAGCCTACAAGTTCGTCTGCACATCTAGAATTGTACATACAGCCGAACATAGGAGCCTTCGCTTCGGTTGCATGAACACTTCGAAAGAATTCCGAAGCGCATATGCGCATGAGGTATATTAGTCTATGAGCTCAAGAGAATAAGCGAACCAAGTCATTATCACCAGATCTTTGACCCATAACCTGCATCATATCCTATGTGCTCGAGACCAAGATTACACATCTAATGTGGGTTATATGTATGCTTGTACTTACTGGCAGCTGGGATATGAATGGTCAGCTGAAAACGGATGTGCAATGCCTGTCTCTGGAGTGTAACTTCAACCAGTGTTCTTGTTCAGTTATTGGACCTGGTGTAACCGTCCGGACATTACAAATAATGAAACTTCAAGTCTAGACTTCATTAAATCACAACAGGACTGCCTGGTACCGATGCGAGATGCTTCACTACCGAGAATAGGAAAGATATACCCGGGACTAATTGACAGGGTATTACCGAATCATAGCCGTGTCGCACCGAGGGTGACTCCAAACGAGCTCAGATTGATGCGTTCTAACAACCAAAGCCCGCATAAAGAGCTGATAGAAATGGTCATATGGGTAACTAATGTAACTTGGAAGCGAGCCCGTAGTGAAATCATATCAGGTGGGGCACACGAGTGGGTACTCAGCTAATTCTAGATCATATTCCGAGAGTCAACTTCAAGAAGGTTCGATATTGTGGTGAAATCAAAACATTGGGGCTGTTCCATTGCATTCTTACTAAGGGGGTTTCTACAAGCAGGATTTCAGTCACCATAGCCTCGATACGTGCCCAAATGCAACCGAATTAAAACTTGTAAATTAATCAATATATGGAGTCGTGCATAGCCTGAAAGACTAGCGAAGCGAAAGAATTCTCGGAGAGGAAACTATGGCCGGGAATTAAAGCCGGAAGAAGTGTAGCCCTTCCCAGACAGCGGAATAATTGCTTTATTCGTCGCGCGATCATGGCTTGAATCAAGCTCGGGAGCGGATCAGCTAGTAACCTTTCAAAAAGTATTGTTGCACGAATGCACGAATGCAGTTTACGGTCGAAAATAGAGTAGACTAATTCAAATAATAGGCATGATAGTAGAAGTAATAAGGTAGCTCTCAGCCCCTCGGGGAGCCTTAAGGGTCGTGGCAGCAGTATTGACGACCGTTTGCATTGTGGGGCTCTAACCTCGCGCAAAGTTGCCGAATATAATATTCGACATCGCGAAGTGAGTTTTCGGCATGCCCGTCGAGGATACGGTGCATATTCACCTTGCATTCTGTCGCGTCTGTTCCGATTTCAGCAAAACAGTCATTGGTTAACTAGGATATGCAGGACTATTGTGCTTAGTTAATGCTTGTTGGGACAAACCACACTTGACCCGAAATCTTGAAAGTAATACCTTAATTGATGTCATTTACCTTAATTTTTAGCCCAACAAATACCCGTTTTTGTGTCATTTCTTAATGGAGAATTTCGAAAACTCACAGCTGCATTTCCCGGCTATAGCTGGGCTGCATGCTGCAGCGGATTGTCTCCAGCTTGGAACGGTCGCAACCTGCAAGACGATACAGAGAGTCACGTACACGGGACAGGACTACCGGCTAAGACGGGACTTCCCCTCTGGCGTCATAATCCCTCACGAAAAGTCTATTCCGGGGGCAGTTTTGCTCTTCTTCAGGGAAAGATAGTCGGTTTCGAGCTGAATGGCGTTGTACTAGCAGGGTGGGTCTATTCCGAAGCGCGCCACCAATCATCTTTGCGAAATCCCACTTTTTTTGGAGGCTTTACGCTTGGCAACATATACCATCCCTTCTTCTACTTGGAATGCCTAAAAATCCCCACCATTCTCATGTCTGGTACTGAGGGTTGGGCTTCAGAAGCTGCGAAAATAATCCATTCTTAGAGGCTAGCCTTCGTGGCTTAGAGAATCTTTTTCCAGAACCCAGGTGGATCGTGCCCACTGATCCACCATTCGACTAGATTATCACCGCATGGACCATGAGAACACGAGCTCGAGCTCGAGCTCCAGCCCTGATGGCGGCGGCTCATACTCAGGTTCCACACGTTGCATTGAACGCGCACGATTGCGTAAAATCAATAACCTATCCTTAGAGCTATGGCTGCAAGCGCCCATCAAAAGCTCGGTGATTTCTCTAGCTTCTGAGCATTCGCTACACAATCAGCCACCCAAGCCGACAATACCCATTCTGGATACAAGAGCGAAGAGGCTGAAAATTCCACATGATCATGCATACGAGAAGTGGTTGGCAACACAATACCACGACTTTGAATTAATTGAGCTGAACAGAAGTTTTCCGGGTCAAATGAACCCCGATATCGAAGGTATTTTCGGCGACGCTCGATCTACGAATCAATGGCGAGGACAACTTTCGCCGGGGTCTTTCAGTCGGCATGGAAAATTAGTTGTGATATTAGAACTCTGATATATCTATATCTGCGTGCCTGCTTCCTTTCGATAGGTTATGCTAACCATAAGTAAACTATATATATAATAAATAATACGATAAATTGGAAATCAGTTCTGCGCTCACATCCGATTACGGGAGCCGAATAAGGTAATTTCCTTGGCTAGCTGCAAGATCCCTCGATAACCGGTAAGTTGGGCTCATTAAACGAGGAACCGTGCAGGGGGGGACGCATGGTGCCGTTCCTTATTGGCAAATACAACAGTGGATACCTATGGGTACCTCTGAAGCTGGAAAGAATGCGTGCTTGCGGAGGCTAGCCACGCTACCTCGTGAGTATCTCAGCTCGATTAGATGATTGGTTCATCGACTTAATAGCATATAACGCTGGAAAGCTTGGTAATCCTGTAGAAGGCCCCACAATGCCACGGTGTGTGTCGGTAAAACGTGGCCCGAGTGTCGCCAACAATCTCTGGATCGCACTCGGAACAAACCCTTAAAATTTTAGAAAACAAGGGGCGTGTTTCGGAGACATGCTTGGTCCTGTACAAGCTACCCTCGAAACTCCTGTGTTGGTATCGCTTCGGACCAGAAATATATCCTAATATTTACGACATGGGAGCTTAAAAGCTGTCTCGCAGCGGACATTCTAGTGTAGGTTAAGGATCTGGAATGCATATGAACTAGTGTAGCAAGGCCAGGAAGTGGCAAACTTTAGGAGCGGGAACAACAAATGGAAATGCTCAACCAGAGAGAACTAAATAATACAAAAGAATAGCAATGCCCTGCACGAAGAAAGATGTACCTTTCACCCATGGTCCGTCTACATGGGTGGTGCCACATTGGCCACCTGTGGAAATGATTCGACGCCCAGAAATTATAAAACGAGGCCAAATAATACATTGAGAAGAAAAGACGCTGACAAAGGAAAAGAACACAAAACAGAAAACGCTAGACTCGCTAGTCAAAGAATCAAAGCTAGAAGATTAAAAATGCAAGATGCAAATCCTTTTCCGTCCCAGTCGGTATTATCCCTTGTAAAATATTCCAGCAAATCCGCAGTCCAACCAACCGCTTTCTATCCATATCCAAATCACAAACTCCGAGCCAATGTATGGTGCAGGAGACCCAAGGAAAAATGAGGTTTTAACAAAAAATATGTGTGGGTACCCAGCTATTGAGGGCTCTCGGTGGCGGGAAAATCCCGTCTAATGGCGCATGAACAAAGGGCTGTCAGAATAATCTGAACTTCCGGAATCGGGTGAAAAGGGGGAGGTGTAGTTCATGTGGTACATTGGATGTGAGTAGTGATCTTGCCATTGGGCGTTTGATTCAGCTCCCCAGTCATAGACGTCTTCTTCGTAGCCGGTAGTGTATTCGTACTCAGCCGTATATTCCGCATATTCGCCGCAATCAGCAATCGAAGAATGGCAATCGCTTCCGCTGTCGTGTGTCGAGGCTCCTCTGCTGTTACGGACGCGGGAGGGTCTTGTTGGAGCTGAGCACTGGCTTCCAGCTGTTCGGGCGCATCGGTCGCATGGGTTAGGCCAGGGACCGTAAGAGAATGTACACTATTCGTTATTTTGATCAGCCTCGAGATACCAACAGTGCTAAGATTCCCCAAAGCTTACAGTCTTGTGGTCCCGACGACATTTATCACACTTCAAATCGTTGAGAACTCTTTTTTTACGCTCCATTGGTTGAACCGAGGGGTCTGTAGAGCAGTGGCTGTAGTTGTATTTCTCGCATCGGATGCAAACCATGCTCCCATCGATATCGTCAGGTTGTCTCAGACACTAAATTCATAACATATTAACCTCCATTCAGAATTAACTTTCGACTTTTTTTAATGTGCCAAGTTACCTTCTGCTTATCTCTCCTACAATTGTTACAAATGAGGGTATCCCGTCTTCCACGCATATCGGGCCTGGATCCAGACGCTTGAGAGTATGAAGACATATAGAATATTTGGAAGATGAAATGTAGAAACTGAAGGTCTGTGAAGGTCTGGTATCGAAAACTCGGTATATAACTGAGCTATTTAAATGCGGCTTTGGTGTGGATGGTGGTGGCTTAATACTGGAGTTATGCTCGCGTATCGGGATATCTTATTGAATTAGAAGGCTCGCTTGTTGAAGATGGTTGTGATGATGTTGAAATTAATTGAAACCGAGATAGCGGGATGGATACTTATAAAGATTATTTTTCGCCTCATGGTTCGCACACAGGACCTATCCGGCCCGCATTTCTGGGATTTAGCTTCCGTCGAAGCTGTCAAGCTGGCGTATAGCGCCCAACGTTGAACGGGGTCGTGGTTCCTGCATACTTTGAAGGTGACTGGCTCGCTTGTCAACCTGTTTGACTAGCATAAGGCGAACTACAGCAAGTCACAACCTAAAGTTCTGAAAAGTAGCCTCGACACTACCCGAATCTCTCCCGCATTTTAGAGCCACAATTCAGGTCGCACCATGAATGAGCCCGGTGTAAAAGACCAAGGGTTCAATACTCGTAAATTCCCCGATTGCGACGCATGTCTTATAGCCTTGCAGAATGTGATAAGTCCCAATAACGTGGGTTAGAAAAATTTTCTGGAACCGGGCATGCTACTAGCTCTGTGCGCGTCATAAGTAACTTCCTAATAATCCTAGGCTTCAGGTTCAGAGTATCGGTGTAGAGGGGGTTTTCTGACCTGGTGGTAGGCTGAGCTACCTTGTTGTGCAGATACCAGTGCATCCGGGCCTTGGCTCGATTTGGTCTTGATCCGACCCCACGAACACTCCTCGACAATTTCGTGCACGAGCAAGGCTGTCCCTGCAACGCTCAGCCCTAGACATATGGAAGGGTATCGGGAAAGGTTTCAAACATTACGTTAGGTCAAAAAGTCTCAGCTTCAATTTGCCAGATCGTCGACGACAATCTCCAACCTCGATGACTGGGGACCTTTCATTTCTTGTGGTATGCAGATCCGAACCATATACCAATACCTACTGGGTTGGTTTGTCATTCAGGCTTTAGTCACCACCAGACTGGCCTTATCGGATGGGTCAAACCAGAATTTTGGTCCAAGCCTCTTGGTAGAAATGCCGCAGACCGTAAAAATCAACCGAACACGCTTTCATGGCAGGAAAGACTAACCGATAAGACTTGTTCTTTGCATAGTTGGCGCACTAATAATCCGCTTTTAGTCAATCAGAGCCCTGGATCACCAATCAGTCCTGCAATGTTCGGTTGGTTTCGGACTTGCGTTCCCTGTTCTGGGAAATTTACCGAGTTTTAGTGCTGGTGTCAACAGCAAGGGTGGGACGAGCAAGCAGCAAGCGCTGCATTTCTGCAGCAGCTCAGCTAAGGAGTTCAAATACTCAGCTCACCCAGTGAATTTATCCTGCGCCAGTAATGTCGGCATTGTTGATCACGCTATTGATTGTGCTAGTTCGACGCTAAACCTTGGATCTGATTGACCTTTCCAGTCTGTTTCCTAACGTCTACTAGGACGCTATAGGCAGTACATATGGCCTGATAATTTAGGCTGGAATGGCTTTGACTCGTGTCGGGGCTTGCAGTATGTAGGACGGAGGAACTTCCGAACGCGAGCTTCGAAACTAGAATAGAAACCGCAGCTGCTTGTTATACAGAATGCTGAGCTTGGTGTTTTTTGTAACTGAAATGAGATAATATCGCTATCATGTTAGGGATATCTAATATGTATGTTTGATGTCATATGGCTCAGATTTCAGCTGCGGAAGATTGTTCCGGCGGGTGTTTGAGGCAACTCAAACGGCGACCGGGTATGGTCTTATTGGCCGTACTACCGAGCCACACTAGCGGCTCTTGTGAGGCTAATATGTGGCACATCAGATTGGGTGCCACATCTGCCGCCACGGTGAGGCGCATGCATGCATGCATAAAAATGCAAAATGCCTTCCAAGGCGGAAACACTCGAAAATAGTATGTTTGAAGCTCTTTACATATGTGGTATGCAAGCTGTCGCGGTTCGGATCTCTCTTATCTAATCATTTCTGCAGAATATTGGGAATCAGGCGAGTTTTCGGCGAAAATTACTACTCTTGTTGTGCGGGAGATCATCCACGACCAAGGTCATCCAATAGTCAATCAACCCGCAATGCGATCCCTGAGTTCAATGCCAGGCTGCCCTATAGTCGTACATTATGTGCCTTACAGTTAACCAGCTGCATACTGTGGTGGGGCCAGGCCTAAAGAAAGTGGATAACAGGTCAGTAGGTACATCATGCATTAAGCTTGGACTTTTATGTGGAGTTGAACTTTGTGTTGTCCCACCGGATTGATGTTGGAGCAACGCAAAAAAAGCAACAGTCCTAATTTGGCAAGTCACACATTGATCTTCTGGCCAATCATGTTGGTGGATAGGACAAGCTGGGCTTTGAGGATCCTAGTTAGGATCCTTAATTGTGGGCTATTATTCTGGAGTTGGGCCTCGCCCCTGGATTACCGGGTCTAGGAAGCCGTAAATTAGGTTGGCGGCATCGATCCACCGGCGTGTTCGACTTGGTGCACGTAGGCGGTTCGCCTGGCACCGTGCTAATCTCGACGCCGCGAGATTACATGTACATGGATGCGCATGTACATATGTACGCCCCATCAGACATCAGCTATCCCGCCTAGTATAGGCCTATACAGGATCCATACCTTCATAACCAATCTTAAGGCATCAAAGATGCTAGATTGTGTTAAATAATGTCGGGTATATTGCCGGTTTCGCTGATTTACACCAACCAGAGGCCGGACTTTGGAGTGGCTTCATTCGGATGAGTTATGTAGATTAGGCCCATGCATAAATGGCGTGATATCATTGAAAGCTTTATATCCCTCAACCTTGGCCTATAAAGTAGGAATCAGGAAAATAATATATGCGTACTACGAACGTTAACCTGTCATATTGTCTCGGAAATCTGAGATTATAATTTGCCTCCCTAGTTGTTGTATTGATAATTAGGGAGGAGGTATGAACCTAGCCTGTACCCATTACGACAGAACCGAAAGATCGATTTTAGTTATGGAGGATCAGCAGTTGACAAATGATTGGACGCACCAATATTCCAACGATTTGGTCGTTGTCTCTCCGCGCATAATGATTACAAGCGGAGGTAGCTCTCTAGTATAGACCAGTGACTTCAAGCTAGCCCAAGGGCCCTGATTAGAAGCCAAAACTCCCTGTGTGACTAGTGCCAAGGCAGAGGTGAGCATCCCAGACTAGTGTGTCTGTGTAGGAATCGAAGACAGCAGGACGTATCTCGACCTAAACTTGATGCCAAACAGTGTGTCACTCTAGTAATAATCGAATCTCCGGTCGATCAGCCGGTTGCCCCTTGAACTTCACCCCATTATCAAAATCTAGGCTACTAAATCAGCCATTTTACTGAGTACTTACGTTTAAGGTGGGGTAGTTAAGATGTACTATTGGAAATTGTTTTCATCCAATCAAACAGTGGGGGTCTTTGTGAAACGATCTAGCAGTTCGATTGAAAACACATTGAGATCCTCCAGGTTAAAAGAGTGCACCGCAGCATTCTTGGTTGGTCCCGTTCTGGGGCCTCCTAGCGTTCCATTCCTTTTTCCAATTGTTTTTTAACACCCATCAAGATCTTAAGTTCGTTCATATGGATTTGTTTATATTAATAAAGGACACCCTAAAGTCAGTAACAAGAGTCTTACCTCAGGTCATACACATAGATTCACCTACCTTTTCTGGATACTCATTCTCCATTAAGACTAAAGGAAAATATCTGAAGGGACACACCTGGAAATTATTCGCTGTATCAAGTAGATCTATTCGGCAGGCTTTACAAATAGTTTCAGCGTTGACATAAAAGCGGTATATACACTTCAAGGAATGGATCCATACGCTAAAAGCTGCCAAAGGCAAGTTCCACTAATCTTTGAGAGACCTGCGTAGGCCGCCCGTTAGAATCTAGACTCCTGATGGGATATACCTAATATTACCACCACTGGCGCCTAGTATTCAAATCCATGGCCTGATTTGTGGCTCCTCGATTTAGATCCGCGAAATTTAAAATTACGAAATTCCCTAGCGATCGATCTGTACTTGTCCCACTCGGGTACCCTAGCCTGTCCTAACACATTCTATGCATATATAGTCAATGCCACCAGTGCTAGTGCTCGATATAAACGCACTTATATGTATTCGTGCATATAACTTTAAGCTTGGAGTGCAGTACGCTTCTGATTTGTTACAAAAGATTAGAAAAAGGTCGGGAAGGACGCCATGTACCCCGATTGGAGTATGTACTTGGAATTAAACTAATGCAGGAGGATATCCTAAATTACCTGGCAACTGCAGGGGGCTATGATCATATGAGTAGCAGTCGGGGTCCACCACTGCCACTCACAGGCCGCAATTGAGCCGTGCTGCATTTGTTATGCGGACACCTGCGGTTTCGTATTGACCCCCTCCCCTCCCCTCCCCTCCAATGAAAAATAGAACCTTATACTTTGGCTGTTGAACTACTAGTTGTTTCGTCAAAGGATATACCTGGTTAGAGCCATTTTAATTTGACTAGTTTAATTCAAAGCTGCCCATTCCAAGGTCTTTAGTAGATTGGGTCGAGTTTTTTCGTCCACAATTTATTATCTTTCGTTGTATTGTAAGCGGGCAAACTTCGATTGGTCATCCGTAGCTTCTCATTAGATTGGCTCAATGGCATATCCGTATCCGTATACGAGACCGCCTACCGGGCAAAGGGTTGTTCATCCTATAAGAGTGTTCAATTTCCCCTCACATGCAGATTATGGTTTTAGTGCCCAATTTTGATAGGGAGCTTTCTATTTTTCGTATGTCTAGTCCCTGCCCACGACTCGTGGCTCTGGACATCGAAATTTCCTGATAAAATCGTTTTAATGGGAACCTCTACAAAGTGTACGCATTCATAGTGCTTTTGAGTCTGAACCATGATTTAGTCAGTATACAAATCGTCAATTGGTTCTATCTTTATTGCTAGTGAAGATGGGCGATGGAGTTAATTTTACATAACGCCCGACCAAATGCCATGGGCCAGCACACTACCAATTGACCAATTGATTTTGTTGCTGTTATTGGCGTCAGAAGAGCCAGGCGGAAGTGAACAAACCTAGTAAGCCTTACGAGAAAAGAAGCGAGCCAAGTTTGCAAATACGGGCTAGTATATTCGCCTTATAATGGGCTAAGTCCAGTTCCTTGGCCCTATTATATCTTTTAGAGGTATGACGTCTAATTAAATATTTGAACCGTCTACCAGGTCAGTATCGATTCAGCTACAGTCAGCGCGGGTCCGCGGACGAGGCATCTGCTTTGTAGAGAACTATAGATGAGGAATACCCAGCGACTCTAGTGTGCGGGAATAACATGCATGCATTAAGGAGCTCACTAAGATCGCAGTCGGGCCGGCCAAAGGTCCCACTAATATATCACATCTGGCTAGTCATTGGCTTGGCTGGTGCAAAGATATGAAATCAGAGAGAAAAAACTGAATTGCGAAAACGATTCACCATTTAAACATTCATCAATCTATAGGTCACTAAATATTTGGTGGGCAACTTATCTTCCAGGGGCTCGATACCTTCAGCTTGGTAAGGTGATTGTCTTTGCAATTTAATTGGTTGCTCAGGGCATGATAAGATAGTCAGCGCAAAGTTTCAGCAATTGGGTCCCCCGGCTCAAGCTGGAAAAAAGGCCGACAGAAGGGGGATCACACGGCGCATGGCAACATGCACATCTTCACATGTATCCGTATACGCCTTGCATACAAGTATATAATAGGAGGGATGTCGAATGCCCAATCTACCAAACCCTTTATGACACAGACTTAGAAGCTACTTATTCGTCGTATATCTCGTATAGAAATGCTACAGAAAGGAGAAAATACTTTTTTATATATGAATCTTTGCGGCTATAGTCTAGTCCGGACGTCTTCAATTTTACTACGAGCATGGGTTCTCCAGTGCTCTTCGGGCGAATTCGGTTTTTATATCCAACAACTGCAACGCAGTTACACAGATCTTCGGTCTTGTGTGACCTTTCCGAAAACATTATTTGGACTGTTGCGAAGCGCATTAATTTCAGAGAAAAGGCCTAGACCTACTGAGTGGGCGAATATACCATCTTCAAGCATGCTAGCAGCTGGGGATTCTCTGAAACGACATGTGGCTGGACAGCGTTGGGAGTAAAAACTTGCAGCATCGGTCGGCGTGGTCGGTGTATGAGATTGGCAACACTTCTCTGGTGTTGTCCTGGCTTTGTAGTATCTTGCGTCAGCCGTCGGTGGGACTAGCTTCAAATGGTTCATATTGACGGCAAAAACCCGAATCCCAAGCCTGTCTAAATACGAAGATTTTAACTTATTAGGGGCGTGAGCTGATATGGGAATGTGATGTTGATGGTACTGCAAGTTAAGTTACATTTCGCTTTCAGCACAAAATCTCGCAAACCCTAAATGCTTCTTGGGAAGATCTTACGCTTATGGATAAAAAGGCAAAGAGATGCATCATGAATCTAGATCTATTAGAGTTTTGGGTGTCGGTTCTTGACGAAATTTCTGTCAAACGTGGAATTGGTGATTCCGATATCCCTCTATTAACAAAAATCGAGTACAGGCATCATTCGAGACCGGTGGATATTTTCTTTGGACATTAGTGCGACTTGTTAGGCCCGACAATTCTCTTAAACATATCTCCGGAATGCCGCTGCTTATACTACTACTATTTGTGGCCCAAGTTTGGCCCCACGAAACGAACATTGTTCTCACGGACTCCCTTGACTCTGTCACTTGTAAACTCCCCGCCTTTCGATTTTTCCAAAACACCACCCTCGTTTTAAACGAACTAATTCCTACGGTTACCGATTTCTCCACTTGCTCATGGCACGATGACATTATCAGTGCGGCTGAGATGTGTGGGGCTGATGGCATTCCTTACCAATGCGCCATATACACCGATAATACCTGTGGGAACGGAAATATCGAACATACCAACGAAACGATACACAGCACCATCATACCTGACATTAGCAATGTTTACAAAATCGTCTTCTCGGATCCAGATGACCAATGGGTGAAGGCTTCGTGGGATGGTGATGATCGACAGCAGACTATTAGATCGTATCATTGCAATTCCAGCACGGCTTCCGAATACCGGGCGTTTATGAAAGACGGAGCTAATACAGACACTACGGGAACTACGAGTACTACGAGCACCATGGATACTACGGGTGGGGGTGTGGATAGTGGGGCTAGTGCTACAACAGAGATAGCTAATGGTGCCTCTGAAACTGCGACTGTGAGCCCTATCCCGTTACTACTTAATATGCTATCAGCTACAATTAGTTTAGAATGCCGCTAATCAGATCTTGGCGAGAAGGATACACCGAGCGAAAGCTCGTCACAAATAGAGGCACGATTGGTGGGTGCATTGGCGGGTGCAGGGTTCGTATTAATGGTTTTATATATATAATCTACAGTTCCTAGAGCTCACTTGTGCAAGCCCCAGGCTCTTGGAGTTAAGGTTACCATATTACCTCTGTAAACATTTCTGCATAGATGACAAAGTAGAGATTTTTATTAGAGTAAAAGGAAAGACAAGAAGGAGCTCCTATTTCCTAAGCTTCTAAAATTACAAGGCAACAATATTTATAGTACCTCAAGGCAGTTATATGTTAGGAACTTAGTATACATTTCGATATTTCTCCAACATTTTCTTTAGAGCCTGCTCATCCTAGATTTCACAAGGCTGGAAGTATAGCCAATTTGAAGCCCCTCTAGCAGTTGTAATAGCACCTAGCGCTGTTGTAGGTAGCGCCCAACTGATAAGCTTTCTCGTTCTTATTATTGTCCGAGTACAAAGTAATATATCCGCCTGAACAGTCGCCGCTTTGATAAACTGAGCAGCTAGTGAACTTTCCACTGCTGCCATAAAGCTTGGCAGAAACGGCGCCACTGGTGAATGGGAGACAGGTGCCTTTGCAATTCGGGTTTCCGTCCTTAACAACGAGGTTGTAACCGGTATCGTGGTAAAAGGCGTACCAGGCAGCGGATGCACTGTTAGCCAAGATGGCGACGAGGGCAATGGATGGGAGCTGGAAATGCATTTTGAAGCTTCGGGGTAGCTTTGTTAGATATCTAGATATTTTTTTAGACTAAATTTATAAAAAGTATCTATGTATAGCATCATATAACTTAAATATCTATAGACCTACTCACTTTAGGTGGGATATTATCCGATTGATCTCGAAAAGAAATTGTAATTATAGTTGGAAGCTAGTTGATTTATTGTGGGACTGTCCGCTTAACTGTAAATGTTATTGCTGTTGAACTGATATTTGGATTCGAGGATAATGGAATTTAAGAGGTTTATATACAATTTGGTGCTTGAGGATTTCTTTTGATAGCGCTTTGGTACATGTACTATATAGCAAGACGGAGAACCATACTTCAATGATTTCGAAGAAAGAACAAAGTTTTTCGTACCGATGACTCCGCTCTTCTCAGATCATCCCTGATTCTATAGATCACGATATTACTTTGCACCGGCGCCTGTAGTAGCATTCCGAGTTGAAGTTGTTGGTGTTACAAATTCCAACAATACCTTCAGGGGTCTGGAGCTCCAAGACCCCTGTAAATTTACAGGTATTATGCACAACCAGCCAAGATTAAGACACTCGTAGACAAGTGCTTACGGGGCTCGCAATTTTTTCCTTTCCACGTGTAAAGGTGAGTGTGAGTTTTTTTTTTGGAGGTTGAGAAAAATTAAATGGTCAATATGGTGGTTGCCGGAGTGAACCGAAAGCGAAAACCGTGCACTGGGTAACTGGGTAGTGCCTGTTATGCGGATGCGGATGCGGCTTCCTTCGACATTCCATCCACTAAAAAGAGGGCGTAGGAAGCCTTCAGATGTGTGTTGCTTACTGCTGGTGTTCCAATGCATAAGAGAATAAGGATGGGATCTGACACCGACTTCAATCGGCTTCTGTAGAACCCAAGGAGTTTTAATTAATCTAAAAAAGCTTGTAACCTCATACCACATGATTGTATAAACGATAAGTAATCAAGGTTACAACACTTAGGCGAGAGCCCATTCCCTAGTCAGGAACACTTATTGCTAGACCGACTATGTGGGGTTTAGAATCGATCAATCTAATTGAACTTTAGATTTCATGAATAAATTTTCGCGTACAGTATAGTGCGACTCGAAGTTTCTACATATGCCTCTAGGTGTACGAACTAATTAAGTTTTTGATCTAGCAAATGATATCAGGAGGATATGCGCCAAGGTTGGGGACATTTTGAGTAGCTTCATGAGGTCGGGTTTAAAGGTTGTGGTGCATGCGTATGTATTGGTGTGTTTACAACAGCGAAAAGTCTAGTCTAGTCATAGTTGTTTGCTTCGTATGGATGCCCTTTTGATGCCCGCATCTCCGCGCACCGAAAAAGAATTGCGAGGGTCTGAGCTTCTCAGTCGTTGTTTGGTTGATTTTTAAGCCTCAGTGGTTCTCTAGGCCGGATTACTCAACCGATAGGCCTAGGCGTCCCGTCTATAGATTTTACCTACTTTCATTAATAATATTCGGGTGAAACCGATGGCAGTCGGAAGCCGGAAGGGATGCAGTTTCGCTTTGCGATTCCAACACATGGCTAACGAGCTAAATGCATGGTCTAGCAGAGCGGGTATAATTAGGGAAATCTCGGAAGTCGGAACACTCAAAGAATGTAAGATTGCGAATAAAAAAATATATCAACGTGCTTAAATCTTGTTACATCTCGAAGAAACAGTCCGTGGAAATGAGAAGGATGTATATGACGTTGCTCTTACGAATCGCGCTCTGTTCATGATAAGTCTAGAACAACTCTACCTTGCAACTTGCCTTCTTCCATCTCCTTGAAGATCTTCTTGATTTGTCAGTACATATTTTTTCGATTCTAAAGAGCTTACGCCCAGAGGAGTTCAATGCTACCTACCTCGCCTAGTTTTTCCATTTTTTCAATCCTGACTTCAACCTTTGCTTCTCCCCTCTCCGCTGCTTGCAGGCATTCCAATGTTTCTTCTCGACTTCCTACTGCGGACCCAATAATCTGCTTCTGAGATGTAGCAATATGGCTTGCGGTCGCCCCGCTGATAGGACTATCCACTCCGTCCGGAATGCCAACGCATACCATCTTTCCACCAGGCCTTAAAAGAGCGATTCCTTGATCATAGCTCTTCTGCGATCCTGTAGTGACGAGGACTACATGTGCTCCAGCTCCACCGGAGGCTTTCTTTATGGCCTCAGCAAGTTCTTCGTCTGAGTGAGTTTTAAAGTCGAGGAACACGTCCGCCCCAAGACCTTTACAAAACGACTCCTTGCTACCGGCGTCAATGGCAATGACGTTCGCTTTGTAGCTGTTCTTCACAAACTGTACGGCGAGGTGACCGAGACCACCACCTGCACCTGGGATGGCGACCCATTGCTTTGGTTGTAAGGATGCTTTTTTGAGGGCTGACCAGACAGTCATACCACCACAGAGTAGCGGGGCGGCGGATGCTGAGGAGAGGTTCGCGGGAATCGGAGTTACGTAGTTGGCAGCTGCAAGTGTATACTGCTGAAAGGTTCCTGGCGTATAGTAGCCGCTCACTGTGACTTTAGGGCAGGACGCATCGAGAGAGGAGAGGCAGAATTCTATTGAGGAAATCAAATATGTAAGCCTACAGTACTGAGATGGGAAAGAAGCAGTCTAACCCACCACATTCCGTGCAAGCTGAGTTGAGCCATTTGATTCCAACTCGAGAGCCTATTATGGAGCTGGGAACATCTGCCCCTGCTGAAACGACTTCACCGATACCTTCGTGGCCGCCGACTTGGTCTATTTTTCTTGCGTTAATGCTTACGTCATAGATTTGAAGCCATATGCAAGGACTTACTAGGCAGTGTCGGATACGGCAGATAACTCCATGCATTTTTACAGACAGCAAGGTCACTATGGCATACTGTGGTGAGCAGTAAGAATCTTGTCAATCACGGTGTCATCGAGAAGGAAGAGGGAGTAATCATGCCTCCCGAGTGCGATCTTTGTCATTCGGATTAGAATATTTATCAATGGAAATTGTCATGTGGTACAAGTAGCTTACAGCTTGACTAAGACCTGGCCGGGCCCTGGTTCAGGGATCTCTAAGTCTAAAATTTTGATTTCGGTCGTGCCGGGGTTGGCATAAACAGCGGCCTTGTTCGTCTTTGTCATAGCTGAAGCAATAAAATGAGTTGAAATTGTGGTATATCTTTTGATAAGTTTTTGTAGTAGCGAGTATTGAGGACGACAGTTGTCTCGGTTCAGACTGCACTGACTGTTAAGATCTCTAGGAATAGGGTCTTATATATAGTACATCTAGCAAAGGCAATTACTTTGGTGGTACTAAGTAACTGATCGTCTTCTTGTGATCCCACACATCCGAGGGCCGATATCTATGATCAACCCCTCCTTAAGCTCTCTAAGAGACTGATCTTAGATGCGTATTAAGCCACGGCTAGATAGTGCTCTACGTGGTACACATATTCTGACCAAAAATGATCGGAAGGCCTTTGATCCGGTTTCTTTTGTGTTACGAGGGACGACATCGTCATGTTTGGGGTAGCAACAGGGATCTTGTACTTAGGTCGAGCTCGGCTTCCCCGCATTTCGCTTGCAGCTTGGCCGACTAGTGTTTCGGGCCCACCGGCCGGCATGCGGGTTTCGAATGGAGCTGCCTACATATTTAGTTTCGTATTTCGTGGTACCTAATACGACGGCCGAACGGATGCACCAATGCAATCTATCTTTCTTTTTTGAAGGAAAATTTGAGCCATGGCTAAGTGCTCACTTAGTTGCATATTCATGGATTGTTTTTCCGGGAATCGGGCGGTGTAACATAGAGGATGGAGGGGTTCCCACCGGCAATAGCAGGAGGCAAATGCATGGGAATATATGTACATACGCATGCAATATCAAAAAGATTGAAAAGTGGCCGTAGTACTGCGTGCATGCATATTGGTCTCGGACTTGGGTGTATGAAAATTGTACAGCAAGGCTTGGCTTGGGCTTGGCTTGGGCTCTATCGCCTAGTTTGGTGCATCAATGGCCATTCCTGCATATTCGATCGGTGTCGAGGATCTGGTGACAACATAACTTAGCCGACTTCGAGATTGCTCCAAGAACAGTTTGCAACTCAAAGAATACAACGCTCTCCGAAAACCCAATGGCTAAGGCGAATATTAGGCTACGTTATTTAGCGATGTTACTAACATGCCCTAATAGACGATACGGCGGTTAGTTTGATCTCGAAAAAATTCAGTAGAAGTAGCCATTTGACTTCTCTGTGGTTTTTTTGCGGATTCTGCTTAGCGCCGAAGGTCAAGAGCAGATTATCTTAAACAAGTATAAAACGTTTAAACAAACTCAAGAAAGTGTTACACCGGAAATCTAACGTATGCAATATTAGCTTAACTGTTTAATACCAATCTTATTACCGATGACAGTGAAGGGGCAAAAAGAAGGGAGATAGGGAGAATCACAATTGTGCAAAGGCGTCCCCAAATTTGTTAAAACGAAATTTGACCTACCACTTCTAAATATAAACGGTTCCCTTTTAATTCCTTGCTGAGGTGATTGATAATAATGATCAACTCACCCAAGATACAGAACCCTCATCGAATTTGGCGTATCAACTGGAATTCTAAAGCGCCTTCAGGGCCGTTTTTGTACTGTTAGATGTAGTAAAGTGCTTTTACAACCTCTGCGTTGTATTGGAAGATACTGTAAGACGTAGATGCTCAAGTATGAACCCTCCCGGATGTGCATTCTACCGGTGAAAGACAATTCGATGATCGAGTCTGATAGATAACGGAGCATCTAATGTGAGAAACTGTATATAGCGTGACTGGTGGTATACATCTTTGAAGGGCACCGACTACCTCTCGTGATGAAAGCGGGCTTTCCTGAGTCGCTCTATTGTACCGGGACACTACCACCTCCTGTAGCAACAGAATAGTGCCGTTGTAGATTCCCTCGCCATGCCAACCTCCTCATCGAGCGTAAACGTAAACCGCACGCAAATAACCCTTAATAGGCACGTACTTCTCGGCAAACATCTTGTCTGTCAAAGTTTCCCTCATGTGTTCTAGGACTGTTATAAAAGCTCCAGACACCTTCTACTCCTTATCCAGCTCCTCTTTTCCATTCATCACTTCTCTATACAGTCAGCAGCATTCCCATTGTATCTTAAAGATCGTGCATTTCGTATTCTCCAATAATCAACCAGGCTCTATCCTGATCTCTCTTCTCTCTTCTCCTTTCGCCTCTTTCGTATCCTTTCTTGTCATATAATCCCAATAGTCCGAATTATTGTTGGGGAGTGGCTTTGAGGGTTGCTTGGCTTGTTCTTTGTTCTGTCTCCCTCTGTTTCTTCTCTATTCCCTCCGAACCGACGTCTCCTTTAGATTCCACGCGTTTGGATAACGTTCTCGATATCTCTTTGGCATCGAAATACGCTACTGAAACGAACATTTTTTCTGTGATGCTTCCACCGTAAGTGTTTGTGCTTGTTGAGGCCGGTAGCTATGTGCCGCTGACGGACCTTTAGGCAAGTTATTAGGGGACCGGCCCCTCGAGGCGTTTGCTGGGCCTGGCGTAAAGGTTTCTGCGCCAGAGGCCCGGATTGTATCTACCGACACGAAGAAACCTCACATACTCGGTCCGACAAGTAAGTCCTATCCTTATCTTCCTCCCTCTTCACCTCCCAGGATCTAATGCTCCTGTTTCGTGTTAGCCGAATATGTCGATGGGAATACGCCACGAGGTGCCACTCACGCGGAGGTTGTGGCCAGAAACACCTCCAGCTCACCGTTTCTGGAGTTGCAGCGAGGCTAGACTACTTCAGGTCCTTTGGTCGGAGTGGAAAGGACTTGACGCAGCGAGATCTTGCTGAATTGCTTCGTGTTGCCATGGGGCTGTTCGTTGATGGTGATCAGGAACTCCGGTTCCTTGTCGTCTCGACTCTCTCATTTGGGTGGCATTTGGAACAAATGAAGCTTTGTTTACACCCAAGCTTCTTGTTCCAGCCCTATCCTCCACAGATTAGCTGGCAGGATCATGTCGTCCCTCTCTTGCGGATTATGTCAGACCCAGTCAACACAATCCATGAACCTAGCATGGAGAGTCTTCGAAATCTGTACAGAGTCGCTCTTGATCCTAGGCGTCATGCCTTCTGGAACCGTGTCATGAAATTCATCGAAGACTCGTTGAGACTATATCCGTTTCGTGTTGCTTCTCAGATCACCGGTGTCATCACGATCATGCTCCTAGCCATCAAGTTTGATGAGCAGAACTTGAAAAACCCGATTGTCCGGGAGTCCGTTCCTTTGCTCGTGCGAAACCTTGAGGCTTTGCGGGATATCTATCAACATGGATATCTTGCTCCAGTTCTGTCTGAAGCACTTAACACCCTGAAGCTTACAGTTGCCGGGAGGCTCCCAATTGTTAAGGCTATGATTACCGTCACCAATCAAATTCGTCGAGGTGATCGACCTCGTGGCTCTAGGGGTCTCGCACCAGATGGACCTGAGATAGCAGATACTTTTGGTAAACAGAAGAGTTCTAAGTTGCCTGTGGAGCCACTTGAACAGCGGCTTTTAGCTCTCGCGACGGATAACTTGATGGCAGGCTACTTACGAGGCCTCTCAGGGCACACTGTTAATGGTGGCTTGATCGCCGGGATGGGGTTCGTCGACAATGATGATGTTGATAATCAACAGATTGGGACGGAAGACCTAGAAAAAGAGCAAGTATATTCTTGGTTGATGAAATCAGAGAGGTTGGCCGCTAATATGATTGCTTCTGGTAGGCTTGAGAAGATTCCATACTCACATGGACGTCACGGCGACATCGATATCCGGCCGAACCCCGGCGGCATATTCAGTATCGGGACTCGTAAAGGTAAGATCCAATGTTTGGCCCCTAGCACAATTTTTGATACCCATTAGCGAAAAACCTCGTTTTGACATTCATGATGGTGTAGATGCAGCGAAGCCAATGGTTTTTACCAACGACGCCGGCGACGCTTTGTTTCAGCGCTGGAAAGAAAGGGCTGCCGATCCCGCAAAGCTGAACCTCGACTGGGGAAAACATGCCAACGCCAACTCCATGAAAGATTTCCTTCAGTTGACTTTAACACTTTTTGTATCTGCTTCCACAGAGACTCGACTCCAGTTTATCTCGGAGTGTCTTTTAAAAGACGAGTATCTGGGGAAACTATGGGAGTGCCTCAATGTCAAGTTGCCAACAGACGGCATCAACCACCCCTCTCCAAAATACAGCGACCACGTCTCGACCGTTATTTGTATAATGTCGCACCCAGATGTTGTCGGTCGTCGTGAGTTCCATGCTGTTAGAAAGGAGCTGTCAGGGATGTTTGTTTCCATTCCTAATTACCTTTACGGTATCTTGGAATACATGAAACTTCACTCCAGAAGCAAATCTAAGAACACAGAAATGATTGAAGCGTGCGTCAAAGGCATTGTTCTCATTCTTGAAGGTGTTTTCAAGTTGACTGATCCCCGGAATATTCCCATGGAGTTTCGCTATGAGGCCAAGGAGTTCGTGAAGTTTGCGATCTCTGTAGAGAATATTATTCCTTGGGCTAACAGGACCGATTCATTGACAACTGAAGCAGTCCAGAGTTTCATGAGAGCGGATGAAAAGCTCTTCCCTGAGTCGAACCCACCTAAAATTTGCAGTGATCGCCAAAGGGATCGAGCCCGAGAACAAGCTCTTATTGATAGAGGGACTAAGAGGGGAGATATAACTGCAAACGAGATAAACGAGAAAGTCAACGATCGCGTCAAATCTGGGCACATTGTAATACCAGTGGACTCGTACCTTGATGAGAACAAAGAGGCGGTTAAGAAAGTTTCTCGGCAAGAAAGACAGCTCAACAGTCGCCAGAAAGATCACGAAGAGGGCTGGGATGATGGAACACCCATTATCCATCGAACCGAACATGATCCTCAAGATAGAAAAGTACCCACTGGGGAGGTAAAAGAGGAGTTTGAGAAAGAAGCACAACCTATGAATGATACCGAAGCTTTGCAGTATCTTCAGAAGATTAAATGGGGATCTGAAAAAGAGAAGGTGCTGGAGGCCGAATCCAGGACCCTACTTCATGATCGTGCTCCTCTCAGAGAAAGGGGCTTCGCGGTTGTCGACCAAACTGACAATGTTAACACTTTTGAGTAAGTACCCTTTTGAGTTTTGATATTCTTATCCTTTTGGTTCAGTGGTGTGCATCGAATGTTGAAGTTCTTTTTGCTTCTTAATTTCTTTGTTTGCGCCGCAAGTGCTAGCTGAGCGGTGCTACTATTGATGGAATGCCGTTGCGGAAGTTGTTGGGTTGCTTAGTGGAGTCTACACGATGCCGATGTTGATTCGAGACTGGTACTAATACGAGTGTCTTCTCGGCGTACAACTGGTACCGGATTGATTTCAAAGACTTCACACGGCTCGGCGTAGTATGGGAGGCTTATAAATACCCTTCTATTCCCATCATTCTCCCTTCTCTCTTTACCAAACCTCCTCGCCTTCTTGATCCCTCCATACCATCGCCAACAATTCTGTCACATTATTCTGGGAGTCACAACTACCCGTTCGTCGGAATCCAAAATAGGATCTCCTGCTCTTCATACCCCTAGCCCAGTCTCGGACTCAGCTAGTATCCCCTCTTCCTACGACGGTGCTTTTGGCTACTCTGATAGCTTGGCAACGAATGTTCCGGCGCGTGGGACTTGAAGGCATCGTAGTCTTAATTTATCTTCGGGCTCCGGCCCTTGAGTTCGAACAAGTGCTCAAATCATCTGCTTCTCTAGCAAGGAACAAATGCTAATGAGGTCTTTTCCTGTAGGAAACAAAAGAAACAGCGATCAGTCATGGATGAACAGCCCTTCCGTAATAACGGGGGCTCGGTCCTTGATGGAAACCAGCCCGCTGGTGTGAAAACATGCTCTCGGTTCCCAAAACAAGGTCCGAGCCAAGAACCCAGGGACGATAAATGCTCTGGCGACTCTGATTTCTCAGGGTCGCCACCAAACTGTGGGTCGGTGTTGACTTACATGTCAAAACGGGGGACATCAGTCCCGCTAGATGAATCCGTCCTTCAACGACTCTACGAGTTCCAAACCGCAGTTCAAATAATCCCGCAAGAGGCTGAAAACCAAGATTTGGAGCGTGGTAGGTACGCTGAAGAAGCTGCGTCGTTGCGGAATAACGCACATGCGCATCAAACAGATCTTTGGGAAGAGGCTGGAACTGAGTCGCAGCCGCGATCTACTGAGTCTGTAGAGATTGAATCAGGCGGAGAATATATCAGCGTCTCAGAGCCATTAGCTCCACACGCGAATGGTGTGAAGTTTGGCCCCCGTCCCCGAGATAAGGCTACTGCCGACTATTATCGGGCTATCCACGGGACTGGGTATCCCAAGTTCCATCTTGATGATCCCAACAAAACCTCAAAGCCAGCCACAATAAATCCCTCGCCAAGAACACAAACTGAGGGTGATGGTCAAGAAAAGGACAGAAAATATCATGGGTGTCGGATCGACATGCAAGTGCCTGGCACGCACCATAAAAGCTTGTCCCCACGAGTACATCGAGGTTCTAGTGAGGCGCATCATGCCCACTCAGCCGAGGAGCATTTGGCAGAAAATGGAAGCCAGGTCCAAAGCTTAGATGTAGAGCAAATGATGAGTCCACCAGCTGAAGCAGAACATACCGCTGATTGCCAGAAAAGAATTGGAAGAGAGCTAGCGGAGAATCAGTCGGCTGGTGCAGAAAAAAAGGAGCTTCAGCCAACGCTCGTGGATATTAAGCATCCCAAAATAGGGTCTGCAACGGCACCACCAGTTGGGACCACTCCCAAACAAGAAATTTCCCAGGGTAAAAATAATAACGGTTCCGCCATCCTGAATTGCGACGACAATTGGGTTTCTTTGCCACCCCGTCCACTAGCGACAAGCAACAAGGATCAAATTGTTTGGCCAAACCCTCAGCTGGAAGCCGCGGAAGCGGAGCGCGGGCGACCCATTGGTCGTCTCACTAGCCACCACGACCAGGACTTTCTCCCTCGTCGTTTGTCAGAGATACGAAATCCGAATGAACTCAAAGAATACCTTCCTTGTGGTCATACCCGAGGTTTGAACCGCAATGAAAGCTACTGCAACGAGAGGGTTAGCAAGAAAACACCCTACTGTGGCCACGAAGCTAACGTGGAGTGTTCAAATCCGATGAGGCGTTGGCAATGCAAGACTGTTTGTGGAGCACCTCTCCCTTGCTCCCATTATTGCAAAAGGGAGTGTTTTCAGTGCCTCTATGAAATCAAGATCGACAATACTCCAGTCTGGAATCACAACCCTTGCCAGACTTGCATGAAGATTCATGCTGCAGAGGAGAAAAGAAGGAGGCTAGGAGGGAACAGGAAGAAAACCAACGCGACCAACGTCGCTGACCGTGCGCAAGCATTAGAATAATGCTTGACGTTGACTTGCTATTGAAGGCTCAGATGGCGTCCCTTCTGATTGATATTATTTTCCTTTTCTGCGAGCCTTCTACTAGGCCTCAGCAGCGACGCCTAGGGTCTATACTACTTATTTGCCGTTATTTATTTGTACTAAGCATCGAAATTCTCTCAGCCGTACGTGTAAGTACTATGTAAAGAATAATGCTTTCTCTTTCCTGCTCGCATCTATTGGTGCTAACCACAACTTCCCTATGAATAGGTTACGGCGGGAGCTTTTGGAACACCGGCTGGCCTCGGGGCTTATTCAATCAATCTCATTTCGCATTTAGTTTTATGTTGCGGATGCTGTTCGCTTTCCACCTCGAATGAACTGAGCTAAGCTGGTTTAGTGTCGAGACTGAATGAATCCTGCTAGTAATAATTTCAAAATTTTCCATGGAGCGAATATAGCCATTCTCGCTGTATTTCTGTGATTCTTTGATCAGCGTAGCAGCTCCAGGGCCGTTCTGTCAATTATTCCCTTCATACCAACATTACTTTCCCTCCCCGTTTGTTCTCTTCGCACCATGAACTCGCTTTTTACATTAAACCCAAGGATATCCTTTCTCTCTTATTTCCCCATGCTTTTAATTTTAAATAAACCCTACATTACTTCCACGTACATACTTTAGCTAAATTCTATTCCCAAAGCTAGTCTATGTGAACACCAGATTTCCAATTACGCGAAGAAGAAAAAACGCTTTAGATCTTCCAGGTCTGGGTACGAGACAAGCTTTAGATCTATATAGATTAAATTATACTTCCCTCGAAGCTGGATGAGACGGCTAAAGATCTTAAGAAAGAGATCATGGGAATTCCACTTCTTGGGTTATCTCATAGGACTAGCACACCTAAGTACGTCCACTTCTAAAGCAGATAATTTGCATCGCTTATGGCATATGCTCTCGTTGTTTCATCATATCCTAGCTATAGAATATAGAATAAACCAATATGTGGAAGTTCGAAGTCAGACTTTATCTCGTACAAATTCAATGCTTTCAGTTATGTGATGTGCTCTTAATTTTGTTATGAGACCGATAAACCTCCATTTTAGGAAATAAACAAACGGGCAAACCATGAAATGCCACACAACACATCTTAATAGTCCTCGCAACAGTGAAGAGAAAGCTGATAGTTAAGACTGAAGTCCTGGAAGATGCACTGTGTCTTATAATATAGTCCGATTTATACCTAGCATAATCCTGAGGTCTATCTCGCCACTGACTGGTATGTTTCGACTATGAAAGCGCGTGGAAGCCGTATTGTGGTGGTTTTCCAAAGTATGCCTGATCTTTTGGGGTGGCCAGGTTACGTTGTAACTCATCACTGGATTCCTCCTTTGGACAACCAACCCAACCTATCACCAACCCACCACCATCATCACCGCTCCACTGTATCGTCTAACATAGAACTTCTTTCCATACCAGAGATCCTTCGTTACTCTTCACAAGATGCCTCTCACGCTTCTTACCCTATTAGACCCTAGTCAACCAATTTTCTACACGGGAATCTTTGACCATCTAAACGTGATGGATACCATCAGTCTACTCTCAACATGCCGTCAAACCATGGCACTCAAGAGACACATTTTCAACGTCAACGCGTTGTTACGACCATTCTTCAAGGATCCTGTCCAATTCCGTCAGATCATGGCCGACAATGATTTGATTGTTGGAGGTAGTGTGGCTCTTCGGCTTTTCAGTCGCGAACACTGGGCTTCAAATGATCTTGATGTCTATACCGAGTCTCACGAAGCAGTACCAATTGTCGCTGCGTTTCTTGAGAAAAAAGGATACCGCTTTGAACCTTACTTCTGGCAAACAGAAAGCCTCAGCGAATCACTCAGCAGAAGGAATAGGGTTAGGCCAGATGTTAATGGGACTTATCAACTTAGTAACGCGCACAACTTTATTGCTGGAGCTAGGGGATCCCCCTATGGGATTGAGCAAATCAAGGATGTTAGTGGAATGAATAAGCCATAGCTAGTGGCTCTGGTACCCATTTTCTAATGCGAATGCTAATCAACTATTACATAGATCTATGCTTTTGTCAACAAAGGGACGAAAAAGAAAGTCGAGGTAGTCCTGACCAGGGGTAGCGTTTTAGAACTGATCTTTTCATACTACGCTACTTTTCTGATGAACTTCTTCACTTATCGTACTGCATTCTCCCTTTTCCCATGGCCGACTTTCCGAGACAAGACGGGCTTCTTCGTACCTCCACAAACGGGACTCAAGGAAAAGACGATGAAGGGTGTTCGGAAGTATCGCGATAGAGGGTATGAGATCCAACTAGTATGGGATGTCCATCATACCCAAGTGAATCATTTGCGTATTCGAACCGTTGGAGATAGTGATACATGGTCTTTGCCTCTTGGCACGGATGGGATTAAGATACCGTCTCGCGAAAGAAGGCTATCGGGCAAAACGTTCAGCCTAATCTTTCAATGTGGCATTTGGTCGGGTCAAACTTTCAGGTTTCGATTTGCTAGAATTCATAAGCAATCACTTGAGGAACAATTGCGTGAGGCCGATCGCCTAACGCTAGAGGTGCCTAAATATCGAAGAGTCGTTTAAGTAGTACCCTCATGCGCCTATCTTCGGCGAGTGTTACCAAACTGTTTCCTCAACCCTTTCTACCAAAATGTGTTGTTTGCTGAACCACACCAAACGATATTTGGAGATGAAGTGAAGATGGGTGCAGTCAAGTTTAGCAGATGCAAGAGGCATATCTCAAATATACTTATCGACGAGGAGGCGGTCAAGATCTATTATTCAGCATTTACTTTACACTGATAGTCCAGGGCATTCCTCAATTTCACCTCACCCTTAGGCTAAGGCACCCTTCGGCGCCTTTCATTTCTTTAACTTCGAGAAGCCTTTCTTTTTTCCCGAAAGTTCTACGGGTAAATATATCCACTAGGCTGTGAATATTCCAGTGCGTTGTTTTTGTGGGAGACGTTTCCAAGGTTTTCTATCGTCGTGACGTTGAGATTCATCCTTTTCTCTCCCGTTCACACTCCCACTCTCCCAAACTCCTGTGACCATTACTGTACTCACCATAGATATCCTACACCCAGGCAGATAGATCCTGCGGCTAATTAATCGACGATACTTTTGTTTTTCAAGTCGTCAGAGGGGGGCTTCAGTCTCAACGTTATAGGGTCTCGGTCTCTATAGCTCTATCGTGATAGCTTGGATCTGGTAGCTGGTAGATAAGGTGCCTGATATCTTAGCGGGGAAGTTTGTGAAGGTAACACGAAACGAACTGCTAATTTTGGCCAAGAAAGACTCCCTTCCAACACATCCAGACGTTGCATCTTGCGCAGCGCTCGACGGAACCTCCATCCGCCTTCCAACATACTAAATTACCTGGACACCTAGGTAATTCGTAGTTCAAATGGCGCCCCTCGGGTTTAGAATGGAACATTCAGTTCTAGAGCAAAGATCAAAGAAGAAAACGGCTCCCACAATCCTCGACATCCTAAACGCAAACCTTGAGCCATGTTACTCTAGAATCCTAGACCACCTAGAAATCCCAGACATGCTGCATCTCTTCTCAACCTGCAAGACAATCCACAGCATAACTTACTGCATCTTCAACATCGACACCCATCTCCGTCCCTTTTTCGAAAATCCTCTAGTGTTCCGTCAAGCGATGGCGGATAATAATCTCATAGTAAGCGGCAGTACGGCTTTGAAATTATTTACCACGGAGAGGTGGGTTTCGAAGGATTTGGACGTTTATACGAACTCTAGGGCGGCGTTGAAACAGACAGCTAATGTGGTTGAGAAGGAAGGGTATAAGTTTGTGCCATTTTGTTGGCAGTCTAAGAGTCTTGAGGCTTCGATTGTGAACACTCGAACGACTACTTTGAAGAAGGAGATGGAGCAGAATGCGGAACTTCAGGATAGGAGGGTTATTCGGGAGGCATCTAATTATACATATGATGGGGCTCAGATACAAGACGTGAGTTGCCTTTCTCTTCTTGATAACTATATTAGTAACTTAATAGTGGACTAAATATTAATATGGCGTATCGATTTAGGTCTTCCGCTTTAGTAAAGAGCCTGAGAATATCCATATCGACATCATTCTAACACAAGGGCCCGCATTACTTTCCATCCTAGAAGGTTATTACTCAACCTACATAATGAACTTCTTCACCTACAACCGAGCCTATAACCTGTTTCCCTACCACACGATCCTCAAAAGGGAAGGTTTCAAAACCCTGACAGAAGTTTCTCAAAAGCGAGAAGAAGCTATGCAAAAATACCAGAAACGTGGTTATAAGATTGTAGAATACGGAAACTATCATTCTTGCAAAATGCAATGTCCACTTCGCCCCCACCGAAGAGTGGGCGACATGTTTACATGGACAATCGATCTACCCATTAACAACATTAGAATCCCGACTAACTCCATCCCAGTTGAAAATTACACCTTTCATATCGTGGGCCATTTAAGTGACAGAAACGAGAAGGGAGTCAGGAGTTTCCACACCTTACCGAATCTCAGTCTTATGATGGAGGTATTCCAGCATCCGAATTTGGAGTTCCCGTTGTTGGTGGATAAAATGGCGTCGGCGGGGAGTTGGAGGGAGTTTTTACAGTCTATGCTGGCGAGGGTGGCAGCGCAGGAGTTGGTGCAGTTTGACATGTTACTAGCAGATCCTTTGTTACAACGGGATGCGATTATTAATGGGAGGCAGAAGTATTTTGATAAAGATGTTGAAGGGTATTATCGGTTTTGGTATCAGTATCTTATGCCTAGAGAGACCTTGTGGCTTGGGCAGTGTCCGATGTTGGAGTAGCCGTGGGGCTAAAGCGTGTGTGTTCCAGTGTTTATATCTGAAGCAATATCCTTAAATACTATCTATACTACACTTAAAAAAGATATTACAGTTGCTATTGTATTTTGAACCTCAAGATTATATCTCAGGTCAATCGCTATTCTGTAGACAATTCTAAGAGTCTCCCGTGTGTTCGTTACGTCGAAAAATGTCATAAGCTTTCTATGTGTGGAAATCTATGGTGGCCATTTGCAATATTAGGTATCTAGCACCCTACGCCCATATCTCTAAATATGTTCCACGGCATCCACATAACCTGCCATCCTCACAGCCTACCATCGCCAGCCTTGTCTACTAGACAATCGACACCTCCTTACCATCGTTCATTATCGCCCATTGCTCCCATACAGAGTCTTTTATCCTTATTTCTTAGATTAAAAAAACTTGTTGAGTCATTTAGGTAGCTCTACAAAGTCCCTTGTAATTATTGGAGATTGTGCCATCACTAACAATACAAAGCTAGTACCAACCACTACTACCAAAAATGCCTCTTGACGCCCTTCCAGTCCACCTCCACCGTCACATCCTCTCCTTCCTCCCCTGGCAATCCCACATCCCCGTCTCAGCCACCTGTCACTTCTGGAATAAAATCCTCCAAGAAGAAGAATTCAAGTCCAAACGCTACGGAACCTTCAAACCCAATGACCTCCTCATGCACCAGGTCCTCGTCAACCCTGCCGTTGGGTTTAAAATGAGCTTTTACGAATGTGGTGCCAGGGGTGCGTTAGTCGGTATGGATTTCTTTACCACCGAATTCGCGAAGGGGAAGGAGACGTCGGCTATCCTTCGAGCTATGGCAAATACTCAACTGAGGGAGTATAATTGTATACTCTACGATCCATTGTTCCTCAAACCCCAAGAAGAACAGGGACAAAACAAGACCACAGATATGGTCGTAAAGTCCACCATGAAACTTAAACGTTCGAAGAAAAAACCACTCTTCTTCCACGAAAACAACAATAACACGACTAGATGGCCAATGAGCATCAGAATCGGTATCATCAACGAACCAAATGAGTCGGGAGAGGACCTAGTCAATATCAACATCGCAGAGGGCTCAAAGAACAGAGATTTGACTGTCGGAGAGCTTCTTGAGGGTATCGCTGAGGCCGTTACCGCTACAGGGCCACGCAAAAAGTTGGACTACATCTCTTTCGAACTTGAGATGTGGCAATGGCTTCCGCAGCACCACTTTGGGATTATTAGGAAGACTAATGATCCCTTCATTCATCATCCTTTGATGAAGGTACTGCGACCATTGATTAGAAGTGGTTGGCGTGGTAAACGTGCCCGTCTCGCTTGGAGGCTCAAGCGTGCTGCCAAGAAGTTCTTGGAGATGGTAAGCATATCTATATTAATCCTCAAATCACCGCTTGGCTCGCAAAGTTAACTTGTTATTTCTGGTTCGTATAGCAGCAGTGGAATGACGCAAATGAAGATGAGACGAATAAAGAAATCATCAGACACGTCAAATCTATTCGTGTGGGAAAGAAACATTGAGTATATTAACGAAAACAGCTATGATAGTATAGACTGATTGCAGGCTATTGTATTGGGTGATTATAAAAATTTCCCAGTATACTGACTACTTGAATACATGTCGCGACAGGTGTTATATTGGATAATCCCGATTTCTTTTTAGCCATCCTCTTGGAAGCCATACCATTTCTAACACTTAATTTAGAATGGTAATTGGCTAACTTCAGATTAACCTCAAGCCGTTTATCTAATAGACCTCTACCAAAACCTCCCAAGATATTCCTAAGAATCACTATCCCTCACCATCCCACGTCTCTAAAACCCTCTCCAAATCCTCGTTTTCCAACATCACAGCCCCAAAATCTCACCCACTTACTAATACAAGGCCCCCAGTCCACCAAAACCGGTCCCCGGCCCGCCAAATTTAGCCGAAACCTCCACCTGAACTGGGGAACCGATGTAACGAACCCCAAACTATATTCCAACGTCCTCTCTCTCCACTCCAAAGCAAGCCTAGCATTGACACCACACTCAAAGACCCAACCACGTGAACCCAAACTTTCCCATGTTGTCATCCACAGGGAGGGGATAGAATAAGCATATGCAAGATATATGCAGGTGCGCTTGTTTCAATTTTTTGAGCAAACATTATAGTAGCGAAGTGATATGCATATGCCCCGTAGCTAGTTTATTCTAACTACCGAATACCTGGGTTTTGGTCAACCTTAATTGGCCGGTATTACGAAAGGTCAACCCTGCATCAGCGGTGACGATATAACGTTACTTTCAATATTTAAAGGCCGACGGAGTATTTCTATTACTTATCGGCCGGTATTTGACTCGATGTGGCTGGTATATATATCTACTAAGATAAGTATTTAAGTTGGAATCTATCTACATAGACTACAGAAGTAGTATCATATCTAAATCACAATCTCACTCCCCCCCTTCCCTCCATATCAAATCCAATCCAACCGACTGACTACCACCGCCGTCAAAATGCTCTTCTCCAAACCTCCACTAACCCTTCTAACCCTCCTCCTCACAACCGCCGACTTAACCCTCTCTACCTCCTCCCCAAGCCCCTCCCAACTCTCCAACCGTTCCAAGAAGTTCTCAATAGGCATAGTCCTCTTTCCCGGCTTCGAACCCCTCGACGTCATCGGTCCCTTCGAAATCCTCCAATCCGTAAGTTAAATTCCCCCCAAACAAACAAACGAAACGAAAAGACAAACTAACTTTAGATCACAAACCCCAGGTCTCAGCCTACTACCCCCAAACAATCTCCTTCATAGCCTCCCAAACCGGTCCCATAACCTCCCGCTGCCCACCGCACGTCATGGTCCCCGGCCAACCCCCCGTAAACCTCGACCATCTAATCTCCGTCTCCCTAACCGCAACACATACATTCGCCACAGCACCACCGCTCGACATCCTCCTCATCCCCGGAGGAATGGGAAACATGGTATTAGTAGAAAACAACGATACATCGATAGAATCATTCATCAACTCACGTTACAAATCACTTTCTTATCTATTAAGCGTATGCACCGGTAGTGTTTCCCTAGCCAGAAGTGGGGTGTTGAAGAATAAGAAAGCTACTACGAATAAAAGCTTTTGGGGGTGGGTTACACAGTTTGGAAATAATGTTAAGTGGGTCCCCGCGGCGAGGTGGACGCAGGATGGGAAGATTTGGACGAGTTCTGGGGTGGCCGCGGGGATGGATATGACTTATGCGTTTTTGAGTAAAGTGTACGGGAGGGTTGGGGTGGTGGATAATGTTATGAATGCTATTGAGTATGCCCCGCATACGGATCCTAAGTGGGATCCCTTTTCGGTGGTGTGGGATGTGAGTTTATACCCCCCCCCTTATTTGCTTTCTGCTGTCGATGTCTCCACCTTTCGTTTTTACCTTTGTGGTTTTCTCATGATGTTATATCTTTGATATCTAACGAGTTATATTATTTAGGTCCCCGGCGCAGACCCCAAAAGATCTTTGGAGAGCTGTGTTAAACCCGTTGGGTTTTAGTCTAGAATAGTCCAGCGTCTTGTAAAGGATTTATTAAGCCGTTTATAACGCATATAGAGTAGAATATAAACGATTTGTAAAACATACTGTATGATAGAACTCCATGGTATGTTTGTTCAACGTATCAACTATTGTACCTAAAGTACAGATAACAATAAAGAAATTGCGGTAGTAACTTTATGCTCTCATACATAACTCGTCGAACCCTATGGTGACAGGAAAACATATAAGCACCGAATTTAGAACGGTGATACTACAAGGAATTGACGCGGTCTAGTTTAACAGAATCTGGGGAATAAACATTACTATCATACGAAAATTATTGGCATGCTAGTTTAGTAAAAGGTAGCTTCTCGAACGTAAGAGAAAGGATGACTATAAGAATAATACATAAAGCGAAGAGAACGCGAGAATGTAGCCAGCTAAAAAGTTATGGGATGATAAAAGGAGTATTGAGTGAAGGCCCATAGGCCTAAGGAATAAACGCGATAACCCTGAAAATAATCAAGTTGAAAAAAAAAATAGGTGGGATGGATGAGCGACTTTGCGGGTACTTGCCCATAAGACCACTAGTAGCATAACCAGGGACAGAACGGAATGCTGGACGTAAAGTTAGGCCCGAATATTTAACCTTAGATATTTGCAAGATCCATCGGGTCAATAACCGTAGACATGGAACGCCTGCTGATTGCACTCTCATCCCCGGAAGCACTAACAATACTCTCCCTCCGAAGTCGGCTTCGGCTTGTAGTACTGAAGAACACCTCCTCGCCCGTCTCAGTACCCCCGTCGCTATCCGTATCAACACCACTATCACTCTCAAGGCTGCCGCATTCATCTGGGCTGCTTGCATCTTCCGGTTCGTGAGCAAACTGACAATGGACGGCATACTCGCATTGCGATAATTTCTGATCAGGACAAATGAAGCTCGTTGCATGTTTAAACAATGGACGAGGCTGTGGATCACGGCCAACCTCGCCAGGGACCTGCTTGAAAAAGGCAACAAGACCGGTTTTCGCAATGAGAATGTTCATCAAAGCGTGAACCTTACTCCAGCGGTGGTAGCTCTGAGGATCGTGACTAACATGAGCAAGCCCGGTAACACTACTTCCACTGGGCGTGCTTGTACTAGTGTAGTCCGCTCCTGGGTCAGCACGTGCGAGGGCCGGACGGTATTCTTCCGAGAATATTCGGAGGAAACGGAGCAATAGATGTTGGAACAACCCATCGACACGTGGAAGCTGGTTTGCCTTGGCCAAACCAAGCAGGAGACGGAACATGTTCTCAGTGGCTTTTCTGTACAACTTTCGGTACCCCGAGCTAAAGCGAGCTCTCTCTTCGTGAAGGAGGTAGAAGTTGCGAAGTGTATTACGAAAAAATATAACAAATTCTCCAAGACCCCAAAGCTTTTTGAAAAGTGCTCCCATAATATTCTTCCAACCAGCTTCTGCATCCAAGTCGTGCTTGACAAGTTTATGGCAGAGGGTTTCAAGAAACGGGAAAAGGTGTGAAAAAATGCTAATATCCTCCGCCGGATCAGAGGAGAATATATGAAGCTGGTCTTCGGTAAAGAATGCCTTAAGAGTGATGAAAGTACCATTGGCTTCCATTTCAGCAAGGCGGGCAGCTGGACGGACGAGTCCAAACTCGAAAAAGTCAGAAAGCGATTGGATAGCTTCTTCGAGTGCGTGGGATGGGATGTCATCAGATATCGAGCCTGGAGAGGGCCCGCGATCTTCTGGTTGAGATTCCATCCCATCGTCTTCCTCTTCAGGCTTCTCTGCCAAAGCTGACATCTTTTTCTCCGGGAATGCTGCGATAGGTGTAGGCGGTTGATTTGGAATAGTAATTACCGCTAGAGCCTGTCTCGGCGTAATCTCATCGAGTTTATTTGGAAATTTCTCCTTTTCGACGAGCTTTTGCTCAATTTTTGTTGTACTAGTGGCACCCACCCGAATATTCTCTTTTTGACTGTTTGTAAAGTCGATCGGTCCGGACCTAAGCAGTTCCGCCAAATCGGAATTAAGGGGTTGTGGAGCGGTTTGAGAACCGTTGGCGGACTCGGTATCAACAAGATCCACACAAACTGTCTGAGTAGTCAGGATCGGCTGGAAACCCGCAGTTTGCTGGACGACTGGGGTCTGCTGGACGGTAGAAACCTGCTGCACGACTGGAATCTGCTGGACGGTTTTGGTAGTGCTAATAATTCGTTAGTTTCAATCAGGTGCCACGATCACATAGGGACTTACTCCTCTTTAGCGTTCTTACTGTCATCTGAAAAGACCAAGGAGACGCCGTCATCATAGTCAACGACGTCTAGGTCTGGTGCGTCCCTATCAATAAACTCGACACGCTCCTCTAAGAGGTTCTTACGGATGACAAGCCCAAGTCTCTCTGCAACAGCATTCGCCGCGGCCATTTCAATATCGGCGTGGGAACTATGCCAAGCAATAATTCGACATAGTTCGATAATGGCTTTACTAGTCTCCTTATCTAATTTGTTAATGGGGCTGAGGCTGAGCATGAAGCGGGTCATGCCGACAACAAGCTTAGCCGCCTCAATATGAGGCTTTGAGTCAGCTGCGAACTTGAGACCATCTTGAATGTCAGTACTCCAGGCGACGAAAAATTTCTGGTTTTCGACGAATACGTCAGCAATAGTGAAGACTTTACTCTCCTTCTGGTTGTAGGCCTCGAGACGCGGGTCGGCAATAATTGTTGCGAAGGATCTAATGGCATCACAGCTCAGGTCACGACCATCAGGAGTTCGAAGTTTCAATGTCTTCCCAATCAAGAAACTTCCTTCCTTACGCATCAGGGACTCAAAGATGAAATCAACCTTCCCTTCAGTTAGGAACTCCAAAGCTTGGTCCCAATAAGCCGTTAGATCTTGGACGGTAACAATCTCGCGCCGGCTTCCAAACTTCGACCACAGCTCCATTGACTTGAACTTTTTGTCAGATTTCTCGGCATGCTTGTCTACGAGTCTAGGACGATGGGAGAAGAAACACGAATCATCGCTCTCTCCAGCACAAGCTCCAGTTTGAACCCAGAGAGGACACTCCAAACGTTGGATATCGTCTAAGCGGTGACGCTCGCCCTTTAAGTAGCTACTGGGTGGGAAAAAGCGGGACAGGTTGTATAGAGATATTAACTCGGCCAATTCGTCGAAGACAGTCTCTTTCGGGGGCCGCGGGCTCACATTCATAGCGGAGCTTTGAGGGGCGATACGACCATCAAACCAAACATCGCAGGATTGTTCAATGAAACAAATTAGCCAGTAGTCAGAAGCCGAGAATCCGACGGTTTCTTCGTGATTCTTCGAGAACTTGGCCATGTTTAAGAAACAGTGAAGCATGTCAACGAAGAGAGATGGCCAGTCGATATCGTCGTTATCTGAACCCTGGAAACCAATGAAAGAGGCAACTCCGCGAGCAATGAGGTAGATATTGTACAGCTTGGCCGGAAGAATATCATCCAAAAACTTCCTGAATATAGCCTTGACCGCTTCATCGACCCTCCAGTACGATTGACCCAGCAGTCTTGCGAGTGGAACGAACCGCGTGAGAAAGATGATAACGCCAAAAGTATTGCTCCCGCTTTCGTCGGCCATCAAGATGTTGGTGACGTCTAGAAAGTGGGTATGGGCTAAGGGCTCGGACATCTCTCGAACCGCGTATCGCTGGAACTGGGGCTTGTGATGGTTCAGTAACTTGGTCGCGTAGTCCATCATTTGGCGACGCTCCAGGTTCGTCAACTCAAGTGGGCACCTGACTGGGTGCCTAAACAGCGATACCATGTCCCGTTCGGCCTGATTCGAACAGATCGGATCGGGGGCATTCCATCTAGTGATGGCTGTAAAAACCTTTTTGTTAGCTTTTGTACTATATGAACTTGATTGGGAAAGCTTACCGGGTGGCGGTGGCGGTGGTCGTAGTCGTGGCGCCGTTGTTGGTATTGGTGCTTTTGGAATAGCAGCTGTACTCTTTGGTTCCGGCCCTGAGCTAAGAGCCTGGCCACTCGCCGTTTGGCTAACCGGACGGGTGGGTGCGGGGATTGGTTCCACCCGTTGAAGTGATTGTTTATCTGAATAAAGTATCAGTAAGACCTGCCAGCTAGGAGCGGGCTCAGTGGGCTTACCGGCAGCCTGCTGTGGGGCACGATTCCCTGTTTGGCCAGCTTGAAGGGGCTTGCCGTTACCATCACGTTGGTGGCGGTAGCGACAATATGCATTTTTGCAACTGCCGGTCTCTAGCTCACTCGGGCAGACAAACTTGCTAAGACCGCCAATATCAATTAGTTACACCGGGGATAAATTGTAGAAAGAGAGTAAGCCCGTACCGTTTCTCATGCGAGTACATGCAGTTTGGGATTTGGCAGGAACCTCTTGCCCTCATAATGGCGCAAAGCGTCGTCCTATAAGGCTTTAGTATGATTCAGACAATAATGGTGGTATGCGAACTAGAAGACGTACGCCATGGCATTACGAATGTCTCTTGGAACGTGAGACATCGTGTCTAATCGGTTTGTAAAAGTAGTTTAGCAGCTAATCGGTCGTTAGCAATAGCTCGGCCGGTAGCAACGGACGGACGAGAGGGAGCTCACATGGTCAACTGTTGAAAATGCAGAAGAGAAGTACAAAGTACCTAGCAAGTATGTTAGCAACGTAAGTCAGTAAGACTAAATGGGAGAGAATTGATAGAAAGGGATAAGATAATAGAAAGATTGTGGAGAGAATGTAGACGTATAAAAAGGTAGACTTTTGCTCAGCATAGAATCTCTTCCGAAGTAGATGCTAGGAGAAACTTACTTTCAACGTGCGGTTTTCAACGATATCCCAGATCAGTGAGATGAGAAGGGAGGAAGGAGAAAAGAATATTTCGATCGATACGAAGTCCAAAGGATAAAACCCAAGAGATAGTTTTGAAAGTAGTAGTCTATTCAGACTAGCTAATGATGGAAGAGAATACAGGAAGTCCTTCAAGTCTAGAAGGTTGGAGAACGAGAAGCAGGCGAAGAGAAGAGTAGGAAGTGACGCTAAAGAGCAGCGCAGCTAGATGGCCGAAGTCGGTAGCTGGACGAAAATACCGCTTAGGTTGCTTGGGACGATAACAAGGATTCAACTCTGTTTTGATGGTTCGTTGCAGGACGTAAGGGCATAGGAAGGGAGTTTGTGGTGATGCTGATGATGGTGGTTATGGGGAGAAGAAAGAGCAAGAATATATGTAGAAGAGACGATGTAGAAGAAGATGAGAGGAGAGGAAGAGGAAGATGAAGATGAAGAAGAGAAAGAGCTTAAGAAGAAAGAAAGAAGAGATCTTTAAGTACCCACCAGAAGGACCAATGAGGGAAAAGTTTCCCTAGCAGCAGGACCCGACCTGACGGGACCACACGCCGTTGCGATGCAAGGGACGTCGCAACGATCCCAACTGAGAGCACGCTTATAGCGGGGCAACCTAACTCCACGCCACGCCACGCCACCCTGGAGGAGCTTTCAGGATACAAATCAGTGCTCTTACTGACTCCTTCCAGGCACTTGCCGTAAGAAAGCAAGCTAGTAGCGATGGCGTAAGGGGTGGGGATGTCAGGTTAATAATTGGAGAGTTGAATATCTTTGTGGTCGGTTAGAATACTTGAAGGTGTAGGATAAGGTGGTTGATGAAAGAGGAGAGATGGAAGTTGGCCTTTTAGTTCGAGGAATACCTCTTCAGCTTCCCCGCAATATTATTCAGCAGCCACAATTGTTCGAGTCTAGCCTTGTGTTACTGAACACCTTGAATTGAACTTCATCCATATCACAACAAAGATAATTTAAACTTGAATTCTTCATTACCAGACCCAGAAGAGAAATATGCCGCTGACTGACAGGTTATTCGTTCCATTACTACTCAGGACCTACCAAGATAGATGCACTCTCTCCAAACTACGAAACAAAATAGATCATGCATATCCTATTATTCCCAAATCCCGGTCGACCTTAAGTTCTTTAGCAAGACTCCATTGACTATAGAAAACGGCGCTAGCGATATATACTAGTAGTATGTATAGATTGTGAGAGAATGGGAGAACTCAGGAGACTATCCCTATAACATAAATTACGTACTTCTAGATCTAGAGTATCGCTTTGGCCTACGTAGCTGTAGGCTACGCACACATATAGATACATATTATCGAGCTCAGTAAGTGCTCCAAGTGAAATGCGTTACTGGATCGAATATTCCATACGTGAGTGCAGTTATATATCATAGGTATAAAATGTAAAAGGATGCTCAAATTGGCGATATATATCGATAGCTATAAGTTAAAGATAGCCAGATTGGCGCAGCCACCGGCTGATGAAATAGTGGCACGCAAACATGGCCAGATATTGTTTATCCTTAGCCACTTAAAAAGATAACCCATATGTCAGGGTACAGAGTTAAAGCACACTCTTAATCTCCCCCCTAATGAATAAACTCTGCACATTACACCACCCAGCCAAGCCCTCCTTCCCATTCTCCACTCCAATTCCGCTCCCCTTCCACCCTCCGAACGGCGCCACGCCCGTCCCACCCAGATGTTGATTAATCCAAACGCTTCCCGCCTCAATCTGCCTCGCAATCCTCTCAGCCCTTTCCAAATCTTTCCCCCAAACTGATGCTCCAAGTCCCATGTCTGTATCATTAGCACGCCTAATAACCTCCTCATCATTGTCCCAGGTTACAACCGGTAATACCGGTCCGAACGGTTCTTCCCTCATAATCTTACTGTTTTCGTCGGGATTAAAAACAATAGTAGGATCGATAAAATACCCGCTCCGTCCTTCTTGATCTTCGGCTTTGTATCTGAACCTCTTAGTGTCGCCACCTAGGATTATATCTCCGCTGGTCTTTTTGATATCCTCGATGAAACCTAGGACTTTTTCGTATTGCATGCTGTTATTCACTGGGCCCATGAACATGCCTTCTTTCATCCCATCCCCGACTTTTAGACCCTTGACGACAGATACAAGGGCGGTTGTAAATTCCTTAGCGATTGAGGAGTGGACGTATATTCTCTTTGTAGCGATACAGATCTGCCCGCTGTTGAAGAAGGAATAGAACGCTATCTGCGCTGCAACGAGTGGGACATCAACGTCTGGAAGAATAATGGCGGGGTCTTTTCCTCCTCTATATAAATGAGTATAAAGCAATTAGCACGGTATTCCCAAAATGTGCAGAGATAAGGAGGAGACTTACAATTCAAGAGTAACTCTTTTCAAAGTCTTACTACAACTCTCCATAACCTTCCTTCCAGTAGCAGAACTTCCAGTGAAAGAAATCTTATCAATCCCCGGATGTGAAGTCATCCAAGGTCCAAGATTATCGTCGCCTGAAAGAACATTGACCACACCAGGTGGGAAGAACTGTTGCGCAAGTTCAACGACCTTTAACCCAGTGTATGGTGTAAATGGCCTACTCCGTTACAATCAGTATATAGTAAATATACAAAAGAATGGAAAAAAAAGAAGAAAGAAGAACTTACGAAGGCTTACAAACGACCGTATTGCCCGTTAACACCGCATGGCCGATCTTCTGCAACATAATCGCCAGGGGAACTAAACCAGTCAGTTAATGCGCAGGTTAAAGTTTGCAGATACAATTACTCACAATTCCATGGAACAATAGCCCCGCCAACCCCTATTGGTACATAACGTCTAATAACCTTCCTTCCACCTTCTTCAACAATAACCTCATCTTCAAGTTTAATGGTCATCAAAGCTTGTACCTCTCTGGCTCCAGCCGCCACCTCCGATAATGCAAACATCAACTAGAAAAAAACAAAAAAAAGGTCAGCTCCCGGTATGAAGTATTACATAGAAGAAGAAGGGTAGATATACCGGCTTCCCCTGCTCCTGCACCAACAACTTCGCAAACTCCTCTTTCTTCTCTACAACCGCATTCAGAAGCTTCAACAACGCATCCTTCCTCTCATCCCAGGGCGTAGCAGCCCACCCCTTCAACGCCCTTCTAGCGGCACTAACAGCAAGATCTAAATCCTCTTTTGTAGACACTGGAACCGGTGCATTTGACTCTCCCGTAGACGGATTAATAGAAAACCGCGTTTCAAGTGTCGTCGTGGGTTTACCATCGATGATATTTCTGAAGTGTCGGAATGTGAACCCCTGTTCCCTGTCATCTACTGGACCCCGGTTAGACATTTTTCTTGGAAATTCAAGATGTGTGTTTTTGATTTTTTGGGATCAATGGAATGTTTGGAGTGGTATGTGCAGGTGACGATAGAGTTATAAATCCGGGGGGTGGTCCACCTATAAATACCCCGCATTCCTAAAGTCTAGGGTTAAGTTCAAAATAGGGGTGGTGGCACAAGATTGCACCAGATCTGCCGGAGTCGGAATTAACCCGCCCGTCGTTAATTGAGACTCTTTTTCCTTACTCTTTCAATCCCGAATAGATATTTTTTCAGAGAGGAATAAGGTGGAATAGTCTATGACCTCAAGATGTTAGTACGAGCATGTGAGTGGGCGGGTAGGGGCCACCGCCATCGACCCAGCAACCTCTCTGCAAGGCATCAGACTAATTGAGCCTGTATATTCGATCAAAATGGCGGATAGGAGTTCTCCCGAATCATTCGGCTGACCCGAGATAGTTCGAATTTATCTGTTGTCTAACATTTTTGACGGCTGTACTCAATCAAAGTTGAAAAGAAATTGAGCCGGGGTGATCCATGACGTCAGTTTAAACCGCGGCTTGAGAGTCAAACACTCCGGATCTGGTAAATTGACAAATCAGGAATTCGATCGCTATTTTTGGTTAGTCATTGTGTTGGATTTTAATGATGACAACGCAAAGTCTTTTTTGTGACAGTGTTTGTCCGGGTTTGGAAGGGATCTGTGAAAAATTGCAACATGACAACTCCATCTCTTTCTGATTGAGCTACAAATTTTTAATCGAGGGAATTCTGGAATTCCGGAAATGAATAGATTAGAACAGGTTATAAAACTGCTAAATAGAAGAACATAATTAGTACCTAAAACTACTACTAGATAGTATTTGTAACTAATATATTATGCTCCGCCTGAAGGTAAATTTCTATTATTTCGATAGCCGTGGTATACTGTCGTATCAAAAATGGTTTCACGATCTCAACTCCACGATCGAGAAACGGTAGATCCCAATATGTATCCAATATCCAATACTCCATAGTATTGGTCAAGTGAACTTTCAGCTGTTAATATCCTAGATACTCATAATCCGCAAAACTAGATCGCCATTTCTATCACGATTTCTGAATTCCACTCTGGTATCAACGAGACCACCGGTCAGAACTCTAGTCTCGGGGCCAGGCGTTAGCGCGCCGTGTACACAACTCATATTATTGTAGAGGTCACAATTTGAGCCACTGATAGGTGATAAGATATATATAAAATGTTCGCGTTACTGTGCACCCTCATCGTCTTCCTCCACTACCACATCTCTCTCCTCCTCCAACCAACCTCCCTCCAACAAACCATCAGATCACTCCTCCGCAAAAGACTTCCTCGCAATCAAAACAACCCACATCACCATCTCCACAACCGTCAAAATCAGCCTCCAGATCCTCCACCGATCCCACCTCCAGACGCTATAGACGTCCCATCGATCTACGAAGCTACAGAACAATCACGAGTTCGACGTCAAACCGTTCCAATACCTCCAAGAACGCGTATCAATATGGCCAGAAGATTTATGCCATGGGATGGCTCCCTTCCGACGCGAATGCTCCATTCGCAAGAAGTCTTCGACGAAGCCGATCACGAACTTCCTAAAGTAAAACACTGGCTACACAAATCTTCTCATCGTCCCGTCATCAAAAACCCGTTTGGACCAGGGTATCAAGACTCCGAACAACCACCGTTCGAGTTTCCACATCCATACCCTCAAGCACTTCGTCACGATGTCTCAGGGTTCCGTCGAATCCTACCATTATCGGCCCTCTTTCAAACCCAACTGGGAACCATCGTCATCCCACGACATCATAACACCGCCGATTTTCTCTTGATAGTCACTCACACGGACACCTCCACGATCCCACCAACGGGTCCGTCGGCGCTTCTCGCCAGATTCTTAGTTTGTTCAAGAACAGTCCTTCACTACATCCCCTCAATCAGGGGTCAAGCATCCCATCAATCCAACTTCCATGACGGCCAAAGACTTAACCTTCCAGACGGTACAAACCGTATCTACCCATTCTTCCTCTTCAAAATGCCACAAACGGATCTAACATCCCTTTGGATAATCCTCACAATCATCCATCAACGATTCCCAACAGCTTGGTCAACCCTAGACCTCCCACTCCCACTTCTATTTAACATCTGCAAAACAATGGATATCCTGGAAATATCGGGTACAAGCACGGTCAATCTACTTCGCCAAAAACTCTTATACACTCTCAACCGTCACGCAGAGTTATTCCATCCGCAAGCTTCAAACACTCCAGATGTAGCAATGTGGGTTTACATCGCGAAAACATTTTCAATCCCCACAAACTTCTCGGCACTGTGGGCTCACCTGATAATCTCGACCTGGCGCTTCACTTCCTCATCTCATGCCGTGGACCGCTATACGCCTCCACCACCACATCACACTTCCACAAACTTTAAATATGGGAATTGGTACTGGATTTCCCATCTCCCAGAATCGCTCCGTGCGGCGCTCCAAGAGGATCGTACGCGATTTCTAAACAAGATGTTAACGCCATGGTCTAACTTCCGCTCTATCTACCACTTACCCTCCCAATCAGCCGCATCAGCGGCTACAATCTTAACTTTAAACAGTGACATCGACGGATCAGCATTGGACCTCAAGGACCATATTCTAGGCTACGCGGACCAGGTCCTAGCATACCACAATACGCGTAGTCTAATGATGAACCACCCAAATAGACCGCTAAACCCGCGAATAATGTCCGACATAACAAGATTGAAGTCTACGGTCCAAGATTGTTTCTCTCAAATCCCTACGAGGGATATAAACAACAACCTCATAACAATCTCCCACCAAGACCTAGAACTCCCGGGGAACTTCCAAGCACCACTATACCCACCCCTCCAAACGCCACCAGAACTGGACGACCTCTCCTCCCGCCTCGAACCCACAATCTTCACCTACCAATCCGGCGCAAACTACAATTTAATCTACTGGCGCAACTCCCCCCCTTCGAGCTCCCTCCTCCCGGGCAAAACCAGATTGTTTGGGTATACCATCCCAACAATCTGGATCTTTGGGTTACTAACCCAATTCTACATCGAACTCTCTTCCCTCTTTGCCTCCCTCCGATTCGCATCTCTGGATCTAAGATCCACCCTCTGGCTCCTCCTCTGCGTCTACTACCTCCACCGCTCCACCATAATGGCCTACCACGCCATCCGCCAAAGATCAGCACAACGACAAAGGGACGACGAAGTCCTGGAGTCGTTTGCTGAAAACTACAATTGGTCGATGGACGACTCCTTCTCCGCCCCGGGATCCGTGAATCCCAAGGGCACTCCCGCAAGGATAGGTCCGGATTGGAGGAGGTTTACTCCTCTGGAAAACTTTCCGGACAACACCTACCTTGCGGTGAGGAAGGAGATGGTTGTCAACCAGTTTAGGGCGGAGAGGGCAAGGAGGTGGGCGAAGGAGGGGAGGGATAGGTGGGGACGGTTACCAACCGATGAGGGGTTTGGTGTACCTCCCCCTGGCCCTGGGGATGGTAAGGAGGAGGGTTCTGGCGAGGGAGGGGATAACCCTGCCCAAGAGGAGGAGGAGGAGGAGGAGTTCCAGACGAGTGGCTGGAACAGGGAGGGGGGGTATGGGCTATTTGACTAGGTAGAGAAATACAATGTGAAGAAGTTTAAATACGATGAGAATGTAACAGTCTTGAAGTGGGAAGTAGGAGTGATGAATAGGACTTTAAAATCCAACCATGTGTATTGTATTAATACCTTCCGCCCGGAAGATCACTAAGAAGTAACAGAAAAGAACACAAAGCTCTTCACTATCCGTGATCTCGCCGCCCTCCTAAAACAAAATTGAAGCAATAAAAAAAAGCTCCATCAAATACAGAGGATAATAAAAATATCTGTAAACCCAAAAGAAACAAGAGAGAAAATAGTCAAAAGAATCCCGAGATTCAAAGTCTATTTCCCAGCATCTCCCTTAACATCACCAGGCTTGGCGTTTTGAATACCACAGTCACAGATGCCATGGAGTGGATTGACAGGACGTCCACAAGCCATGCAGTGGGAACGATAGCACTACAAATATCTCCATTAGCTTATCATCACAAGAAGAAATTAAGTCGAGAGGCAGAATAACTTACATCGACGAGGCCCAACTCAGCCTGGACGTTGGTAGACTTGATTTGGCCCTTTGGGGTGGTTGAAAGGCCAGAGGAAGTAGTGTGGATGGTAGTTCCCTGGATTTCATTAGTATCTACTTATTCAACATTGATAGAAAGAAGAAGAGAAGTAAAGTAGGGTAGTAATGGAAAACTTACGTGCATCTTGAAGAATCAGGTGTTTTTTAGAAGAAACGTTAAAGTTGACTTAGCTTTGTAGGGAGGTATCTAGCTCGTGACACGTTCACTCAATCAGCCCCATTCCTGGCAGAGAACCTCGTGGAACGCTTCTAAAAACGTAATAGGCTTTAGAAGACAACATACCTAGTCTCAAAAGAGCTCAAGATCAGTAATAGAAGGTAGAAGCTTGAAGGGTTCGAAAAAGTTTGCTTGCTGGTATGTCGGTGAGGTGATTAAAGAAAGGGAGGAGAAGGGCTTGTTAGAAGACAACGCTGTTTAAATAACCACCACTTTTTTGTGAGGGAATCTTGAGTATATGCTTCTATGAGTTCGCAATTATCTTGAAGCTTTATATCTTGTGAACAACCTCGCCAAAAGGGCTGGGAATAGATTCAGTCAATTTGTTAAAGCAATGGCTATGAGAGTATCCATATGGTATATCCACTAGATGGTTGGATCGGTTGTAATTAATTTTTTATACGAACAGAGAAGCATTTGTGCGTAAGGAAGGCCTCAACAACCTCATTGACATCTACGTCATTGCCTCTAATATAGCCACATCGGTGTGTGAGATATGAAACATCAACTTCGAAGCCTCAGACATGGGGACATATACCTACGATCACAAGTTCATGGCTTCAAAACTAAAAAGACTACTAGTACGGCAATTTTACAAACAAAAAATTCATTATTAAAAATCGTAAAGTTAAGTAAAGAAAAGTAAAATTAGGCCAAGGCCTTCTCCAACCTCCCCACCCCCTCAAAAGCATCTTAAACCCCGCCCACGCCACCATCCCCACCCCCATCCCCACAAACCCCGTGCACAAAACCCCCACCCCCACCTGCCCCATCGTCCAGGGCAGGACCATCTCCTTCCGGCAGATCTCCCTGATCCCGAACTTCTCCTCCCCCCCCCTCGAAGTCCACCCCCCCTCACCCCCTCCAACACACCGTCGATGTCCCTGACCAGCTTTGCCATGCCCTCGTAGACATGGCAATCGCTGTCGGACGCCATACCCCCCAATATCCCTCGCTGCAATCTTATTTCGAGGGGCTGGAAGAGTAGGCGGAGGGATACGAGGCTCCGTTCCTCGTCATCCCCGGAATGGTGTTTGGAGGGGATGAGCCCCTGCTGCTTCAAGGTTGATGACAGCTCTTTAGCTGCCATCACGCACTCCCCGCCTGGGGAGCAGGTGCAAGTAAACTTCCTGCTGGTCCTTAGGTGGACCATGTACGCGTGCCAGGTGGTGATCAACCCCGTGATCGAGGTTTTGAGGCGGGCGTGCTCCTTCCTCATGTGTTCTACTCTTTAGTTAGTATACCTACGTATATACATAAAGAAGGTGCGTAGGCAATCAATACATACCGAAGATGGGGTCTGGCCCCCACATCTCCAAAAGCTCCACCTTCTCCTCATCGGGCCCCACCCGCCTCGGCCCCTCCAAGATGACCTTCTTGGTCCCCGTCCACTCCCACCCCTTAAACTCCAAGATGATTCTAGCTACCAGCTTGGCGTACCCTTCCTTATCGCCAAAAACCTTTCCGGCGATCAACCATCCTTCGTATCCGTCCTCCATCATCTTTTCCTTGAAATGCATGTAGTAAACATCAAACCACGGCAACAAATTGACCTCAAAGTATTCCATCGTGGCACACAACTGCCAGAAAGTCTCAAATGAAAGCTCCTCGGGCTTTGGAAAGGCAGTAGGGACATGGTTAAAAACCTTTAGCAGGAGGACGAGGGCATCGATGTGATACCAGATAATTGAGACATAGTTGATTGGCTCACTAGTCGGAGAATGTCTGACTGTGCTCACAAAAGAGGAGCTTGTGCAGTACTTCGCGAGAACTGGGGAGGTATGCATTACCGAGGATTTGTGAATCCAGATTTTGACTCGCATACGTGTAACTGATGTGACCAGAAGACAGGTATCTGGATTGGGGGCGATGAAGTAGACGTCACCTACTGAGGTTGGTTCAGGACTATGAGGAGAACCACCTGGATTCGCGTGAATTGGGTAGACTGGAATCATTCCTTCTGATCCGTCTGTCGTAGTGATTTCTTGTGGGTCTGATTCTGATTCAGATGATTCAGATGATGATGGTGAACCGGACTCGGAGTCGCGTAGTTCTTGTAGTCGGCCAGCGGAGTGAACTCCGAGGCTCGCAAGAAACTCCTTAAACTCGTTATTGTTCATGATGAATTATTTTGACTGAAGGGGTGCAATTAAGAATAGTCTTTTGCAGCTCGTGATAGTTAAATATTGGTTATGATGGTGAGAGTGAGAGAGGTTGATGGTGGATGGAATGTTGATGGTGGATGGAGGTTGATGAGAGACTTGATGGGAGGTGAATGTGATGTTGGTGGGCAAGAAAGAAAGAAAAAATATATTGTGGGCTGGAGCTATTCAGAAGCAACGCGTCGAATGTCTGCCATTCAGACTGTGAGTTGAATGCATTTGTTGTTGATGCCGTTGCTATCCATTGAAATTATCGTCAACATCGTCGTCAACGGCATCATCAACACCAGCTTCAACATTTACATCTACACAACATATACAACCTACATCATCAACCATCAACTCTCACTGTCATACAAATTAAATTACACTCTATCTACTCTCATTGTACAATCCAAGTAAGAATCCTTCCTGTTATTATATTAAGTTTCCTCAACTAACCATCTTCTAGCTAGAGCCTGCTGACCCTGCAAAATGTGCTGGAACCTCTGGACCTTCCCTAAGGTAGTACTCTTGAGTCCATCTAATCAAACAACCTAGATGGCTAGAGTGCTAACACGATTCTAAAAGTGTTCCCATAAACAAGCAGAACTAACCCAATGTGGTCGCCGCACACTCCTCTGCCGTACTTTGAACCGCGATGCCACAGTTCTAGACAATCTCTGTTATAACTGTACTCTCCACGATAAAAAGGAAATGACAGATTCTAAATGGAAAAGAGAGGTCAGCAAGGCTGAGGAACTATATTGGTATGTCAAGGGGATTGGGGGAGCTGTTGGAATGAGGAGTGGGGATTATTGGAGGCTCTGAGTGACCCTACATCCTCTATGAATGTGCTCAGGGTACTTAGGTACTTGAGTGGTTAGAATGGAAGTGGATGGAAGGCTGGAGATGGTGGATGGAATGTTGGAGAATGATATCTCTGGATAAGGATTGAGGGCGGAGCTGCCAGAAAGATGAAGAAAGAACTTGAAGATATCCAATATATGAAAGCCATTTTCTGCCCTCCCACTTTGTCCTTTCTATCTCTCTCTCCCTTCTCACTACACTAAACATCCTAGCTGGAAAAAAAACTACTCTACCTGCAGCAACCTCGTATCGACCGACGAAACTCCTAATGTATAAGTATATATATAAGACAACCAGTCACGTTCAACCACTCTATCCCGGAAAGTACCAAAAAGTTATTTAATACCATAACAAGAGATCTCACAGTTGCAAACCACAGAGTCAACTAACATTATGGCAATATCCTGACGTTAAAGCGTCAAGAGCAAAAGACCCTTACTGACGATATTGAATATCTATCAAATAAAGAAATAAGATATCTGTTGTAAGAGAAGGAAAGCTTCATTCTCCAAGGCGATGGAGTCGGAATGCTCGTGGGGGCTATATTAACGTATAATTTATCCTGCAAAAGACGTTCTAGTCTGCGCAAGTTCATGTACCATCTCAATATCTTCAAGGACTGTGGCCGCCACGATGACTCTTGGGGGTAGAGCTTACTCAGAGAGTATACCCTTCAATTTATTAGAGGTATGCTAGCATATTAAGAAAAGCCGATACGCGAGGCGTATATTCATCCGTATGGATATCTCCTATACAGCTACTCTTTAGCAGCTTTCAAATGAGGTTCAGTCAAAAGAATGTAAGCTATGTAAGAATATCCTTCCCAAACCTCAAAACCAAACCACGCTAATGTAATATATACAGCTTGATGATTCTATCTTCAGCTCTACAACTTGGGCAATGCCCTGATCGTTGAGTTTATACAATATTGAGTCGTTCCCATACGTACTTGCTCAACATGGGTACAATCTTGATGCATATAAATTAAGGTATGATGAACGAGGAATATACTCTGAAAATGAGTCTCTAACAAATCATGCTAGCTAAAGGAAATTCTGGCTCTGTTGGCAGAAGAAAGGGCATCACTAAGGTCATACGAAAGAGATACAAGATCCGATATGAGCCCAGTATCATCGAGGGCATGAGGTTTCGGTAGCGGTCGATCACGTTAACCATACCGTACCTAATAATGGATCATAGATCCTCAACACAGTTGAGGAGTCTGGCATCGAGACAAAAACTTTGCCACATAGCCTAACCGCAAATCCGGGGCCGACTTTACCAAAAATACAACATGGCCTGAGGATCATGAGCCGCCAATAGCGAAGGATATCCTAAATAATCATGGTAAGAGCCCTCAGATTCACTTTTAAGGGACAAATAGCTGATATTTACTAAGAGTAACCAACAAACTGAAGTGTTATGCATACGCTTTTCGACATCGACAAAATCTCACGTAGGGTATAACGAAGAGAAATGATAGTACCCACCAACCACTCACTGTTGAAGTCGACTTAAAGATGACTTCAATCAGCATAATTTCATCAACTAGATATGGAGCTCGATCCAAAACGCTATCAAATCACTCAAAAAATGCGGTGGCGCGCTGGCATTTCTCTCGCCATGGCCTCTAGAAAAGGTACAGCGGGTGTTAGACGACTATGACGCTGGAGAGTGTTAAAAACGGAAAGCCCAAAAGCCATGGGTTCGGGAGTAACGAGGCCTATATATCTCCACAGTTGAGGAGTCTGGCGACGAGACAATATATCTACACAACCGTATGACAAGTTTAGTAGATGAAATATCGGAACTCTCAACGTTGTCCTTGGATTTACCTGGGCTGTTAATAGTTGATGAGCTAACTCATTCAAATTTCCATGTCAACCTACTCTGCGGAAAGTCTACCTTTGAAAGTCCACCTTTCGATCATAGCTCACAGTCCCATATGTCATTCTATATGATATCGGGTCTATCTATATGGATATAGACCCGATATCCTATAGAATGCAATAGATCCTGTTCGCTAGCTCCAGTTTCTGATCCAGAGTCTTTTACATTCAGGGTAAAATCACTGCAGATAAAATGGGAAGGTCAACCTCATCAAAAGTTCATAATCTTATGAATCAACACAAAATTAAATACGACTTTAAAGTGTTAAACAATTTACCAAACCTAATCATTTTCCCAAACTATAGAATAAATCATCTATAATTTTAAATATTACTTAAAGCGATTGTGGTGGTACTGGGTTTCCCGCTAATCTTTTTCCCGTCAAAAAAGCGGCAGCTATAAACGAATTAAACTCTTTCATCCCAATCACAAAGTTTAACAAGTCGTTAAAGCGCCTAGTCCTCGTATTACACGAATTCGGTGAGGCATCCCATTTGGTCTTACTTTACTATCTGGCTTAAATACTTACACATATTTAATCATCCCTAATGTGTTTTCAAAACAGGACATTCAATTCCTGGAAAATGCTAAAAATAAATCTTTATAGCCGCTGAAGATTCTAGTCTAAATTGTGGACCAGAGATACAAAGCAAGCCCCCAGAAGTAAATATGGCTAAAGAGCACACCGAAGATGGTATTCAGCCTCTATTCTCGAGCCTGTACATATAAATATACTACCCATGGCTGTGTACGTGCGCGGTATAAAACAATATACCCCCAAAAACGTACCGAAGAGATCCCCCGCTCCCTTTAAACGACATAAGTCGTAGGGTACCGCAGATATTTACCCCTACCGCGCAAGCCCAATTGCCATGTCTTCCGCGAATCGATTGCATATATATAAACCACGGGCTATCAAATCTGCTTATTTTGGCTAGTATGTCTCGGTATGATAAGTTGACATAGTTCGTTGGACATTTAAGTTTTGAATACAGCGCTCGAAAAGCGAATGAAGAGATTATGTTTCAGAGCCTGATTTATTTTCAGCGCCGTGGCGTCAGGCTATTCCACCAAGCCACCCTTTAGTCTCCATTTCTATTACATTATTCAACTATCTTGACGCGCATGTCGTATTCCCGCGTTTTCTCAACATTCCGCGAAGGAAAGTATTCCTCCTTATAATAGCAATCCCTGGGCGAACTATTGCATTGGGCGTGCTATGCCTTTTCGAGATTTCCTAAAACACCCGGTATCACCCGAAAACCGGTCTTCGGAGCTTCACCAAAACCGAAACGCGTACCTATATCTATTAGCCGACAATTAAATGATATTCGAACATCTCTTATCAGAACCATGGAAGACAAATCTTCCTAAGACTACACGGTTTCTCCGGGATATACCCATATCGAAGATAGAGATATGGAGAGATTCGAGGGCAGCTCTTAGAATAAGTTGTTCTTCTGCTCGGGAGCCTAGGGCACGATCTTTCTGGAGCAAAATCGCTGCAGATTAAAGTAAGGCCAATAATATTTATCGAGGGTGGTAAGTTAAGGTCGCGGCAGCTCCTAATAAGGAACTTACGAAGTTAATATATTCCGGAGTAGCAAACCAAAGAGCTTCACCAGCCCTCAAATGTGCACAATGGATACATCTTCCCGAGCGGCATTATGGACAAAGTCACTACTCCCACTATCTCTGTCGGCAGTTCTAAAGAAAGCCTCATAAGAGTCTACTTCATTGAATCAAGTGATCCAATATGGCGCATACTCGGTAGGTCGGGAGTTCTATCGAGGATTATCTACGGGATGTGTACAGCCACATGAGCGTTACTTCTGTCAGTGGTTGTGGGTGCCAGGACCTATGTCACGTGCACCACCCATTAATTACTCTACTATAGAACCGACTCCGTAATTTACTATCAATCAACATCATTACAACCCACCATAACATCAGATTATGAGCCCACAGCACTTACCAACAAGCCAATGATGCAAACTTCCTAAATTGTTACCGATTGACTTTGTATCTATTATTAGAATAATAGATTCCATCCTTCACATCATCACCTCTCTCGTCTCGTCTTCAACATCAATTTCGACGTTTTGTCGTCCGCATCAGAAACTGCAACACCTTTACAGTCGTGTGGATATGGATACAATTCCAAAAAGTTGACTTCTAGACCCTAGGTCCGTGGCCATCTTACGGTTATATCTACTCCCACACGTCAGTACTAACCATCATCTTCTCTATGGACTAGACCCTCGCACATGCACCTACACATCATCACAGGGCTCAGGAGGCTCTTTATTAACTTATACAATTGGCAACATATACTTGATGCCAACTCCTCATAGGAACACTAGCTTCGAAGTAGTATTTGGAGGACTGTGGTGTGAGCTTTACTTTTGGCCTTACACATATACAATGCCTGTCAGTTAACTTCTTGGTAAGTTAATCCTTCTTCCAAACTATTCGGCGTCAAAGATTGAGTTTGAGGCTAGATAAATTAACTAATCTGATCCCGTGTAGATAACTATATCTGCATTGGATTTCCGACAACGAGACCTATATGGAGAGGAAGCGCCCTCGTTACTTGAAGCATCGAGCTGTATGGTAACAGGAAAAATATTTCCGGATATATATGGCCCAGAACGAAGATTCCGTGCGGCAAAGATTGGAAAGAATGGATAGCTCGATATCCAAAATTAAGATACCACCAACATAGTAAATAAAACAAATTATTTCAATAATAAATCCACGGTCAGCTATGCCCCCGCTATAAGATAGTGAAAATATTCCACACGAATTGATATTTCGGGTAAATTTGGAGCGTGGCAATCTTTTAGCGGGATATATTACTTTACCAGACCTTTAAAATGTGATAAATATTCACGCCTTAAACTTAGTCTCGTATCGCGTCTGTAATATGAGACTACCTTAAACTAAGACATATATAGCACGTGCTCTAGTTCACACCTATGCATTCCATCCAAAAAGAGGGATCTATCCTGCAAGACTCATAAATAGACGCGAAAACGCCCAGAACGTGCGACTGATTATCTATATATATATATATATATATAGATCATCAAAACAGACAAGACACATACACTTGCTTAGGTCGTCTAAGGTTTTAAGACCCCCAAGTCTTCCGCCTTGGGGGGCGGATAAGGTTTATAGTTATCGTTATTACACCCCGTAAGTCCGGCCGTGGTGTGTTCCCTTAAGCGTTATTTATTCTGATGCAATATTAACAATATCCTTTATTCTATCGGCCTATCACCCAGGGATTTATATTTGCCGTCCCTAGACAAACATAACTTTATAATTTCTGACAGGTCTAAGTGCGTTCTTCTTCTCGCAAACATTCTTACAGATTGGACGAATATCAAGTTAAACGAGATTTCAGCCTAAATTTAATAAAGATCTGACAGATCAACACTCTCCTTAGTGTGTGTGGATCTGTGCTATGTATCCATGGGGATCACATGATGTCACTGAGGGAAATAGAGTTAAATAAACTTAGGATAGAAGAGATAGAGAATGGAAAATCATCAATTCCCAAATATACGTTCCACACCCGTAGATTTCTCAGGTTATGAGCCAGCGCACCGAAAAAGTTTAAAAACGAGAGGAGAATATACAGAATAGGGGTTTTTACGAGTTTTTACGTACCGAAAAGTCAACAATGCCACCAAGACGTCGTCCAGCTCCAGACCCGTAGATTTCTCAAGATCGACGTGCAAGATGATGACTGTTATGTATGTCACTGCACTTTGAGTCCGAGATGAAATTCTGTCTTATGACGCTTAACGGCCCTGTTTTCACTGCACGGCAGTATACTTATATATATAGGTATATACCTAGGTAATGTACCACATTGATTAGACTTTTAATTGGCACGGTCTTTCGGTTATGCGAGAGGCGCTCGAGGCTAGCTTTGTGAATTGTTCGCCCTGAGTCCAGCGACAAATAGTTTGTAAATTTATGCTCGGTTCATGTTTTCCAAGCGAATTGCTTGCGGACGATCTATTCTTTGCCTATGTGTACGGACCGAAGGATATACATAATTCGCCTTGGGATGGCTCGATTGGCAACTGTGACTAGTATTATAATTTGTAACTCGATATTAAGCTTTGGCTTTTATGTTCTAAATATTCCTATTGGTTCGATGGGACTCGGGTGATCGGTCCTATAAGTGTAATCAATTCTTTCAAATAATACACCTTCGAATAGAAGGTTGTAGTTGGAAGTTATTCGCCGAGTTCTGTGGATCAATAATAGTGATTATCGCCTTGTATTTCAAAATGAAAGCATATATACTCTACGGGAATATATATATCCGAACTATTCTTCCCAGAGCTTTCGAATCCCTTCTCATCTAACAATAGCTTTCACTCTTAGCCTTCTCATGAACTCACACGAAGACAACAATACCTCCATTCGACTTTTTCAGACCAACTTTGTGATTACCCTTGTCATGAACTCAGTATACAAGACTTCTATTAAAACAATCTAATCTGAATTAATAAAATATGTGCCTCATAACCCACAAATACCAGGTACCTTCCCCTTTTATCCACCCCATCGTCTTACCTTAAAACCATCTAATGGTAGAAACCCACCATAGTCCTGTTCTCACCAACAAATCCTTCTCATATCTACTGGACCTTCCTTTCAAACGGAAGCAAGCACATGTCCCTGTCCTACGCTTCAAAGTCGTCTACAGCCTGTGGGACTGTGTCCTCCCTGCAAACTATACCACACAGACGCGAGCTTCTATCGCAAAAAATGGGAGAGAGCTATCGGTGAAATGGAAGCGGAGTACTGGAGAGTACTACAGCAAATTGTTAGAATGGGAGGAGCGGGAAAGGTATTTATTTTACCATTTCCACTGAAATTCCAGTTACATTGAAGCTAATATATACGGTATGGATGAGTAGGAAGATACAAAACTTGAAGAGATAGATATCAACGAGATGAGAGTGTTGAGTGAAAGTACTAGCCCTCCCAAGATTAGATTGGAGGAAAACGACTTCGAAGAATTATATAGAGTAGAGAATGGGCCGTTGATTCCTTGGGAGGACGGGTTTGAAACTGGGGCTCCGCTTACGGGATCGGAGGTGTAGGAGCACCAAAAGATCACGATGAACGAGAATATGGGACGCCAATCGCTTGAAACATTACGAAATATATATGAAGCAGAAATCTTCTAAAGATTGGAGCGTGTGCTGGGAAAAAGGTATGTTTCAACTGGAAGTAAACCACCTATCCGGTCTTTACCTAGTAGATCAAAGCTAATTCTTTCTTCAAGCACGAGGGGTTTATACAGAGAAAATCAGAACCGATTTAATCTAAGGATGGAAAACCACCCATGGCCCACACATCTAAAATGTGACCAGCTTGAATTCTCATTCTTGTATTTTAAATATCTAATTTATTTGATGATAACAATAAACCTTTCACTACTATTATTATTTTACACCACAATATTAGCGTCAGCTTGAGTTTTTTTTACGTTTATGTATATAGCTACGGACCTAGACGATTTATTGCGTGCGAGTTCCACTTAGACTCGATATATAGCTAGGCTTGATGCAGGAGACAGCCATTCATGCGGTGCGGGAGAATCATATTTATATTATCTAAAACGAGATTCGGCTAGATTGTGGAGAGCGTTTAACTTGAAGATACCTTGCCGCGATGTTACCGAAGGTGTATATGATCATATTAGCTAACGCCAGCGAGCGGCGCCCTGGTGACGCTAACATCTTTCGACCTCGCCATAAGGACCTATATAGGGGTTAACCGTCCTTTAAAGGTGCTAAACTTGTAATTTCTTTCAATCGTGCGGTGCATAGTAACTATACGAGCGCTCTATCATAGTCATCAATCCTTGTAAATATAGTGGTGACTTCCAGTCGTCTTGCTTCTTTAGAGGTTTGTAGAGTATTCTCTAGTTATGATAACAGCTGTAGTTTAATTAAGATATGGTCAAATCTGAGTAGCTGTAGGTGGGGTTGGGTACTCGAGTGATATTAATGATGTGCGCGTAATTACCGCAGTCATCAGGTACAGACAAAGAATTGTGGGAAGCTATCTTGTATTATGGGCGTTATATAAGTAACTTGACTCAAAAGAAAGTGGATACATAAGGTTTCCAACAATGTTAGACATAATCTTTGTACGTATACTAAGCTCGTTTTTATAATATCGCTAAGAAGGATCCGGAGGCAAATATTCCAAGTTGATCGGTGATTTTCCTTGAAATTCTGATGTAACCAAGACACTCGGGAAGTCTGTGAGATATAGTTTAAGAATTTGTGGATATTTTGATGTTTTATTCAAAAGGACTTTGAAGTTTTGTTTGGTACGTTACATAAAGTGTTTTCCCAGATTGAGTGGAAAGCTGAGAAACGCTATTTTGGCTACATCTAAGGTACAAGCGGTGTAATCGCCGAAGAACCATGATTCCTCCCCTAGGAACTTACAAAAGGCGTAACGACGGGACGCATCATATGGACTACCAGCAAAAGACACTATTTTCGCCACTGCTTCTTCCGTTCGATCATCTTTTGATACCGATCTATACAGTATTAATCGTACAGCGGGTCAAATCGTTCCATTAAGGCCTTCCTCAGCGAGAGAAACGTCAAAACCGAGATAACAGGCTGTATCGCCCGCATTTAATGCTGACGCTAATCTACCCAAGTCGTTAAGGTGGCCACCGCGGCAAGGGAATTGCTGTTTAGATATATAGTTTTTTGAATTCCACTTGAGGTATTGGTTATTGAATTATGTATCCGGTTGATATGAAATGTCCTGTTTCCCTTCCCGCAAAGGGCAGTTGAGAGCCCCTCGCCGCGAGGAGAACATTACTATGTAATGTTTTAAACCTCTAGCCTCTTGCACGGGGAGTCCGTGCTGCTCATAGAGACTTTAGACTCTGTAGTCTCTTCTCGCGAGTGGTCTGGGGCGGGAGTTTGCCATTTGGGCTGCTTCCGCCCCTGTTGATAAAAATATCATTAAAGAACAATAAAATCTAACCCGTCTTCGAAGCTTCGGTAAGCAGGCCAGGGGGCATGATGTAAAAGCCCCCGCTTCCAAATTAGCCCCTCGGGCCATTTAGGCAGTCATGTCTCTGAAGAGGCATTGCATTGTGTAATGTCACCGCCTTTAGTTTTATAGATATATTAAACGGCACTAACACCTGTTGCAACTAGTATCACGGCAGATACCGGCACTATATAATAGTCGGAGGCCTTATCAGCCAGAGTCGGCCGTGATCGTGGTATTGTTTATCTCCCACGTATCGAAATCGTGAGAACCGAAGGCTATATGACGTTCCCAGAACCGATCTCGTGGCGCTTAGTATGCTACGTGCATAATATCCCCGAACCCAGAACCTCGAACGCGACTGGCGACACGAGGCTTTCAACAAAAGCTTTAGCCGCTAATTCGTTCGTGGACATTTTTATTGACCATATACTTGGCTAACCGGCGGTGGGTGTTTGGATTCTTGAGTCTATGGATCCGGGGACAGTCTGTCGAGTCCTTGCGTCTTTGGAGGGCGGTACAGTTCACCGAAGTCCACACAAATTCGAAGAATTCTTTGAACAAATAAACAGAATGGTATACTCTGGAAGGAGTATTGCTGTCAAATCCTCGCACTTCGGAAAGAATATTGATAAATTCGACCTTCACTGCAACATCGTTCGTCGGTGGACTGCGCCGATCACGATATTGTCTGAATGTCGTGAGTTCTGTAAATGGGTAAAACTCTCGAATTATTTGGACTGGGAGAAGCCGAAACCCCGGGACCCCTCTTTTCAAGATCTATCCCACTCTTTGGAATATCGAATCGGTATCTGTTCTTCTGTCCAGCTCCCGAGCACCCAGCTTTGGAGTCGTCTGTGTGACACCATATTTGGGATTGGGTGCACCGGTACAGCAGTTTTTATACATGCGCCGGGACTCCGGGGGGTAACTTCCTTGCGCTGACATATATCTGTCATGATCGTGGTGACGACGGCGACGGCGAACCCCAAGCCTAGATGGTGATAATAATGGCGAGCAGTCGCGGGGCATAAACGCCCATGAAGACCTTCTGGGAAGTTAACTCCAGTAATTGAGTTTTTAATCGGGGTTCATTCTCTTGTCCCCAAATTCACCCCAACAAAATAGGATTTTAATTTTGACGGGTTAATAATTGGGCGTAATATAATAATTGCAATGCTCGCCGTTGGCCCGAGTTAATGTGCAGAATGCGCAGCGGGTGCTCCGAGAGTCCCGTACTTCATGAATTCACAGGACCAAAGAAATCCTTCATGTGTACATGTCCGAATACACTATGTTCCGAATCCACGAGAAATCTGATTTAATTCTCTATGCTGAGTCCGATATTCTGGGAGTCCTCTCGTTTTCTGTCCGGGGCTCCTTTCTCGACGTGGATATATGATTCAGATTGTGAGAGGTGATAGAGAGGTCTCCACGGCGAACCACAACTTCGGACGTTAGCCTTTGTAAGCAACCGTTACTCCCACTTTAAGGTGCAAACGAATGATTTATTGTATCCGGGGAAGCCAATTAGATATCCCAAGCTAACAGGTAAGTCAATGCACTCTTCGTCGTTTCTATCTCAGCGACTCAGTAGATACGTCGCTTTGCAATATCGCATTGTGTCAACTGGTATTCCTAGATACTTCGACGGCTACCAATTGAGCAGCCTGTCCCATCACCAGTATCATATATTCGATTTGGGTTTCCGATGAAATCAGGATACGAGTGCTGGGCCAATGTGGTTTCTATTTGGAAAGTCGAGTTAAGACTTTCAAAGAGGACTAGGAGACAATGCATTAGAGAAATAATAGAAGTTTTCGATCTTCACCGATTGGCGTTTGCTCTAATCCCGGACGTCGAAAATGGCGAAAGTGAGTATCATGCGTCGCAAATCAGGCCTTCCATAGATTGTATATTTTTTCCCGAAAGGAAATGTTGACTCCGTGGTAAAACTCGTTCTAGGTTTCTTCGTCATTGAAGTCATATCGATGGCGCTCCGCTGATTATATATATCCCATCCGAAGCGCTTAAGCACGCACCCCCAGATCTGGGGAGTCTCGCTCACCGTCAATTAATTTTGCCTTAATATCCGGGGTTCGACGCCACCAGCCGTCACCACAGCCAGATCTAGCGTATGTGCGTGGGCAAAATGCTCCGCCATCGCACTCCTTTGGAGCAAGCAATTTCAAGCCGCGGTGAACCAAAGCACCAAGTATTTGATAAGCTAAAGCGCGAAAACCATATCTTCCAATGGTTCACGTATGACAAAAACGCAAACATCAATCAGGGGTTGCCATGAGGAAGAAGAGTCGAGAGAGCACCGGGATCATAGTGGTAGTCGAATATCTCGTGATTGTAGCCCCAAATAAACTTCCCTACCACTCCGTACGTTCTGAGTAAGTGTTTCGAGTACTTTGATGACTTAGGTGCAGATCTGCAGGATGTACTGCTTTCTTCCTTTTCGATACAGCAACAACATAAAGTCGTACCGGTACTCCCGCCGATTTTGTACAGCTAACACTATACATTATTCAAAAGAAATAGATTTTGGCATAAAAGAGAACCACAGAGCCCGTGGGTTTATATCTAGTGACCCTATTTTTCTCTTGTGGGGAAGACATTATCCCGGCAGTATCCCATGCATAGAGTATTATCTGGACGTCATGGAAATATACATATTTTTTTAAGTGGATCTTACTAACTATGCGTTCGAAAATTCGACGCACAAGACCGTAGATTTTCCATGGATTCAGCTTCTGAAAAGGAATCAGTTCGTGGAAGTCATTCGACCTATCGATGTCGCGACATCGATTCTTGGTTCCGTTCTTTCTCCCGATCCTGCGGGTATGCCGTTCTAGCAAATTTGTATTCGTTCGTTGATAAGGCAGCAGTAGAGGCCCAAGCATCGTATCTAGTGATCCTATCTATCCTGACCCATAAGATTGCGTGTTTAGAAATATTTTCCAGTGGAAAACGTGAACTAGGCATCTTGCTAGTCTAATCGTGTTGTCACCAGCCGTCTAGCGGGGATGATAACAGTTGAGTATAAGGCCCCTGAATGACAACTGTCATCTTATCCCTAATTTAACTCGAGTGGGCTAAGGTTCCCGTCAGCGGAGCTCTGATAGCGCTAGCATTTCACCATGCCACAGCATTCGTGTATGCCTGCATGCAGTGAATCACTACTTAAGTAGCGAGTAATTATTGACAACGTTTTATATTGGGTACTTTCGCGGATTTAGAAAAAGTACCCATCTTGGCCTTCTCAATGATGGCCGCAGTGAGATGCTGAAGACGTCGCGGCGAGATATTTCTTACCTGCACACAGGCCAAGCATTATCCTTGGCCGAGTGCAGTAATCGGTTGAGCAGAATTGCGGATGATCGCACCTCCCGCTGTCCACATTTTCTTTTGGCAAGAAATATTCTTGAAATAAAAAGAGAAAATTCTGTACGGTTGCATCGGGTGCCCGGAGAAGTCCACATACGAAGAGTCCTGATTATGGTCGACCACACGACAAATTAATCTTGCGTAGCCTGTGAGAATGAAGTGGTGACACTCCTCTAGAGTTCCACGGTTTAATCCTTTGTGACCGCGAAGTTGTTCCTGTATGTCGATTCTTTTAATATCGAGAGAGGTCTGGCTTCGGTTTTACCAATCTTCTCCCAGTTGACGGCTATATCTCCGTGTTTTTGCCATGAACATTATGTATGTAGGATAATCCTTCGACAGCTGATTTGGCTTATAGAAGCCAGCCAGTTGTTATTAGAGACTAATATAGCCCCGCTTTTAGTAGTGCCAGGGACGATTTCGACAGCGTAAAGGTTTTGAACTGACGAGCCACATATTATTCATTCCATCAAGCATCAAGATTGTTTTGGCTCGTAAAAATCGGAGGCAATCTTGTACCTTGTCCATAGTTCTCCTTTCCACACCCTGACGGATTGGCATTCGCTGACGTAAATGGTCAACTGGGGCCCATGCCGAGAAAGTATTCCCGAATTTGTAAAGTTTCTGTCGTTAAAACAGTCGTAAATGTGTCAAAAAGAAGTCTTATCTGTAGACAAACCCAATGATCGGAGGGCCCCCATGCCACGAGACATAGTCGGCCCATAAATTGTAGTATTTATTGGGAATCCCAAGCTTGATCTGAACGGGTCTTTGTATACTTAAAAAAGAAAATTCTATGATCAACAAATAGAATTTAAGAGTCGACGTCAGGCGCGCGCATACTTTCGAGGCTATACATAAAAAAGTGAACACTTTCTTGGAAAGCATACGCATCGTTTTATGACTTGATTTCTGCATATCGCCCCGAGACCAGGCGCAGATGCGGACAGGATTTCTTTTGGCCGGGCCCCCTGCTTTCGGCAATGGAGTCGATTGAAAATTTGTTTAAAATCCGCGCACATTATTGATCCATTGCGGAGGCTCATTCCAGTGGGATTCGCAGAGTATTCATCTTGAACAAACGAATAAATCGGATAAGGCATGCAAAATTGTGTTCAAGTCGATGGAATATCCTTCCAGCCGTAACTAGTTAACTGTAGCCATAAGACTTCGTTCTGGTTATACCTTCTGTCCAGAGTCATATTCAAGTGAATAAACTTGACACCCTGCTGGCTGGACCGAAGCTGGAAGGAAAACTTCTAGTAGTTAACATAATCTCCGGGGTGGGGTGCCTTTCTGCCGAAGTCAAGCATCTAATATAATGCTGAATTCAGGAAATGCCTATTCGGGATGTATGCGTCGTGTAGTTCGTTGAAAGTGTCGACACTAAGGGGCCTATCGCTATTGGGTGTCGATCAGCCCATCGACGCCGTCCAGCACCAGAAACGGCATCCTAGGCCCTGTAGACCCCTCGAGATTATATTTGTGGTGCCAGACCAGACATGGGTAGATGAGAACAACGACAACCGTTTGTTTGGGGGTCTCCGTGCAACTCCCAGTTCAACCCTAGAGGGTACGGGGATCAACTTGATCCCCCCCCCTCAAGATATATCATGAAAGCGTCACGGCCGGCATGAAGAATTGGTTAAAAAAGAGCAAGATCCGATAATGCCTCATTAATTAGGTCCACGGCACTATTGAATACTTAGGACCGTTCATGGGCGAAGAGCTTTTGGGCTCTTGGAGGTGCTCTGCCGGGGACATACGGAATACTGCCCCTTTGGATATCCGTATATATAGATCTAACCATTAAAATTCTATTGCCCATCAACGAGTGCGGTTGCATTCGTATCGGTGATTCCGGAGCCTCCCCCTTCAAAGAATCTATCAACACCCGCGTGTGCTCTGGTTCCATCTTATAGCAGCTCGAACCATAATCGGCAGGAAACTTTGGCGTTTGTTCTCTGATCGTATAGCCCCATTGTATTATGATAAAGACGTAAATTCTGTGAGCCATGTTTCGCGTATTAGAAGGTTCTATTGGTGATATTATATCAAACTCCAAATGGTCCGTGACATTTGATCTGAATGATTGGCCCCACTTTAAAATTTGATGAGAAACACAAACCATGCATCATAAGATCTGCAGCTTTGTACCACATTATCGAGCATCTCGATTGCAAGAGCCTCGTGCACCGAGTGTTTCCGAAGCACGAAATTAAGATTTTGTACTTCCGAGCCTAGCCCTGACTTTCGAAAAGGCTGAAGTCTGCAGCAGCATACAGAGGTGTATAATCCATGTTGTTACTTGGGATTAGTTTACAACAGTAAAGCATAATTATTTCGGTGCAACGGATTCCGTCATTCCCGAAGTCTATCGCTATGGCTCGTAGTAGTTGCGTTTTGTTGTAGGTCGTCTGGGCACATCCACCGTCTAGCATTTTTGGCACCCTCCTGATATTAACGAGACAAAGCCAAGATAAAGGTGACAAAAGACCCCTTCATTATGTCTCTTTAGCGGATACTTTGAAATAAACCGTAGGTTGAATGCCAAATTCCGCGGCAGAGACGAGGGTAAAGTCGTCAAGACTTTAAACGGACCTAGGGTGTCATTTTCACCGTTTGTCTTGGAGCCTTCTCCAGCAAGAAAGTCGAATTAGTGAGGTTTTAAGCAGCTGCACGCTTGTTCTCAATCTTCCAGAGAGCCAGATACGATAGATGCCTCTTTTTTGGATAGAAGCCGCTTTAAATATTAAAGGCGGATCTTTGCCGTCTGTGATGGTCTTTGAGAAGAACGAAAACGTGTCATCCAGGTCTCTTCTGTGTATTTTCGCCGGTACCAGCTCAAACATCGTACTCTTCTTCCTTAACGACTCTTATAATTGAAAAAAGATATCAAGGAAGATCAAAGGATAGGATTGTATGAAACCCTCGGCTAGTCAGAGGAGAAATCGTAGTCTCGGACGGTGTCCAGCTCAACTTGGACAAATATTGAAGTGTGGAATAAAATAAGAGGATAGACTAGATTAAGAAGAAGAAGTTCGGGAGACCCTGAGCTGGCGGATGCTTATGCATACTAGTACCACGGCTGGTATAGGGTGTATAGACCCAAGGTTAAAGTAAGGAGAATGGAATAAAGTGTATATAATTGAATATTAGATAGTTGTTTAGGACATTGTAGTATTGTCTTGCCCTGCTGCAGTGATATATTCCAGTCGAGCAGAGGGAGAATGGGGTCTTTATATAGACTTTCGAGCCCTAACAGATTGTGAGAAAGGGAATGAATAGTATACCTCCATAGGGTGGGGGCACTAAGCAGAGGAATCGGCCCGAACCCGCACGCTCTTGCTCTTCTGAGGCAGATCCTCTGCCAGCTCATCATATCCTGACGTATCCTCTCCAGCATTCTCTTTCAGTTTGTGTCCACGATATCTGATCGAACGAAGTAACAACGTGACACACAAAACGGTGTGGTGCTGGCCTGCCTGGGTGATACAGACGGGATGGCGTTACCCGGCTACAGCATGTTACACCGAGTAGACACGTATGCCCCGATTGGGATCCGAGGCCATGGATCTGTTACTATGCTGCTTCTGCAGGAACAAATTGTTTCAGCTGCTCCTCCTATGATACCACACATGTCAGTACAGGAGAGATAGTATTATTGGTGTCTATGGCTTACTTACCTGGGGCATAAAACCAATTTTGAGCTCGAGAGCTGCCATATAATCGGTAGAACCTTTGATACTTGTAGGATTGTGATTAGTGTATGAACGCTTGTGGGAAAAGAGGCTGCTGAGGGGGAGTAGTATGATAAGAGAGTTTGATAGCAGTCAGTACCGGTATAGTACCAGTGTTTGACAGGAGGGTCACAGAGGGGTCTGAGTTGTGTGCGGCTTGCTGCATTGCATTATATCAAGCAAACAATCTTGCGGAACTCCACCCCCCTTCAACTCCAACCTCGACCGTTGCTTGACATCACCACCATCACCACCTCTTCTCGTCAATTCACCTTACCAATTTTTACCTCCTCCACGTCAGTACCACCACCGCGATTACCTCAGAATGTGCTACCAGTTCGTCCTCTATACTGGGGTATGTCTTTCTCCTTTCCAGCAGCTTCCCGTTATCTCCAGTGTGACAGTTGAGTATTCTGACGCGTGTCTTGATTTTAGTGTGGCCACGATCGATCTTTGCTATACTTTCGTGCGAGATCCCATACCAAAGATTGCCTTTGTCGTTCTTTCTCGCGTCTCCCACATCGCATAGCTGTTTGCCCAGAATGTGATCGAGCCCTTAGAATTGCTCGTGGACAGCCTGTTCCACAAGACCACCTCACCGAAGAGAACCGGGCCAAGTGTCAAGCCTGGCGTGAGATCCTTGACAACGAGGTCAAGGATGCTGAAAACAAGAGACTCACTCGTGAGGCTCGCGAAAACGGTAAGGACGTGTCTACCGTTACCATCGGACGGGAAGTCCATGTAGCTGCCCGCCATCTCAAGCATGCCAATGCCCACAAGCAAAGGCTTGAGAACCGAATCAAGAACGGGAAGAATCCTACTGGGTTTGCTCCTCCCTACGTCCCCCAGCCTGGCGAGACCTTCCTCGACCATATCATCTGTGAGATCATCGACGACGCTAAGTCTGGCGGGGAGATGGAGAGATTGAAGAAAGCCTTGGATATCGGCTTGCAGGGATATGGGTGGATCGGGCCAACCGGAGGAGAAAGTTGGTTGCAGTTGAGTGAAGAAAAGATGAAGCTCCATGGTGACAAGATGGATACTATGACTGGGTCTCTCGGTCCAGGTTTTCTTTCCGCTACAGACTTTCCAGCTCTTCCATCCGTTTCCGGAGCTGCTTCTAGAGCTACCTTAGGGACCGCAACCACCCCTCTTGAAACTATTGCAGAGCACCCAGCTCTAACAGCCCAAAAAGTTGCCCCAGCTCCTTCTAAGCTCAGATACGATCCATCAAAGATATTTGTCCCAAGTGTTCCGATCCCTGAAATCATCTTCACCCCCTCGGAATCGGCACCTGCGTCTACCATTGGGTTGCTTACTGAGCTCCCTCCATTGGCTATTCTCCCTTTGCTCTTCGAAAAGTACGAGGAAGACGGCGAGGAAGTCATTACCGACGGGTCAGGGACTGGTTCTAGCATCCCCACGACTCCCGCTGCCGTCGAAAGCAAGAACGACCCTTACTCGAGCTCGGTAGTCAAGATCTTGGACATCGCTTCCCAACCGGTATCCACTACCTCAAAAAGTCCATCGATCAGTGTCCCTTCAAAGACGACTACTCCTGCTCCAGAGGGCCCATACCTCGGTGTCCCACAACCATTACCAAAGACCATCATCGTTCCCTTCCGAGCCACCAGCGTCTCACCTCTTCCAAATACGACTTTTATCGAGAACCCTGGATTTGTCCCACCGGCTGTGTATATTCCACCACCTCCACAGCCTATCTACACAACGCCCCAAATGGCGCGGCAATACAACCCACCTGTACCAATCCAAGATCGTAGCTTTGGCCCTCCTCCCATGGCCAAACTGCGCAGCCAGGACCACGTTGGTACTAATAACAACAACAATAACCACAATAATAGTCACAATACGAACAACAACAACAACAACCGTTTCCAGTCGAAGCACCACTACAATCGCTTCACTCATAATTACAATCACCCTCACAAATTTGCTGGTGGTCATCATAATCACCAATTCCAGCGCTACAATCAATTTGGCAACCAGGTTCGTTACCAAACGGGTCATAACCCTCTTGTTCCGGGACCTATGCCGCTTGGTGTTGGTGTTGGTATCGGTCATCAAGCCTTTAAACCGGTTACGGCTTCTCAGGTTTCTGGACCTATTGGAGTCACTCCGACCTCTAATACCTCTAAGGTTTAAATATGATGTTTGAGAAGTATACACAACCCTATCTGTCCTGGGGAGGATGGGGAGTTTGAAATACGTCGTGGAGGAAGTGCAAGATTTTGCAGTGTTTTAATTTCTGTTTGCGCCTCTTTTTTCCTCTCTTACCCTGTCAAATTGCCCTTTTTTTTACTGTTTATGGCCTCTTTTCTCTTTTCTGTTTTTATCACGTGTTATGAAAATGTTCGATACATGCATGTATTATTAGCGAGCACTAGATGTGATAGAAGTGGAAGCCTAAGGGGGTAGTGTGTTACATGTCTTTGTGGCTGGGCTGAGATGATTGCATGGTTTATATGATATGATAATGAGCTCATGAGAGACACATATAATGAATTTCCCTTGTTTCCTTTAAACATTCCATTGCTTCAGTCCTCTCGGGTTTAGATTACCCACGCTTTTGATTGAATCTCCTGAGCATTTATTCCATAGCACAGCTATCCTAGGACAAAGGTTTACGACGATTAACTTTTCCCACCCACAGGCATTTAACCAAATGGGGGCATGCACAGTTGAGGAGTCAGTCGACGAGGTAATGAGCAGGTAAGTTCCACCACCAGTCACGCTTTGGAAGTTTGGTTTGTCAGACCATCTGAGCTAACGGTCGTTATACCCCGTTTTAAAGATACCCATCGGTCGGTATGAGGTCTGACTGACAGGCTGGCTACGATATTAGTTCCAGCCTAATAAGTTTAGCAATATCTAAGGCAGGCACGCGGACAAAGGTACAATCAAGACTACCTAGCGGATGCAACACCTAAAGTGTAGTGCTGATATGATAACCCGGCAGAAGAGTCACGCTCTAATGCTCCTAAGACCATAGGCTTATGCAGCTCGCCTCTGGATATAGTTGGTAGCGATACTACGCCTTTTTTGATTTCTTTGTTGGAAAATTGACTTGTATGTCCGAATTCCATGGTACCATGTGGCATAGAGACTTATTCAGCTACGGCACATGTCCCCGACATACTAGCTGTCAAATGGTGCATTACTGAAGCATGTGGGTAATGAGCACGAGGCCAGAAACGAGGTATATAGCGCTAATAGATGAGGCAAGGCAGGGGTGGGACAGGCAAACGACTCATCAATCTAGTTCAAAGGGCTATCGTATCGACTGTTGGAGATATGTTACCGAAGCGTGACTAGCTAGTACATTACTATCATAACAATATACCTAGGTATTAATAACGACTCGTTAATCTCTATTATCTGACTTTAGACCGGGCCGCAGAAGTGCGAAGCCATGATAACGACCTTTTGTGCTTGCCAACCAATTACTACTTAGTATGAGATATTGACGGGATATGGAGCAAAACGCCGCACTCCGACCCATGCATCCAACAGGTGTATCCCACATATGCATTTCCACGATTCACTTTTTCAACATCGAGTTCCACCACCACCCGCATGGCAACCCCTCGATCACCATAATCATGCAGTATTACTTCTTGGTCCTGTTGCTTCTTACCAACCCGTCCCTCTCCCAACTCGGCAAGAAGCCGCAGACCCAGTCTCCTCCCTCCCAAAACCCCCAACCCGACAACATCAACAATCCACAGCAACTTCCACCCAACTCCACCCCCGCCACCAATACTAACGCTGATACGAATACAAATGCGGCACCGCTTGGCACCTACGTCGTCACCAGCGGTCCCCGAACTCCAACCCACGACTTCATTGTCCCGTTATCAACTTGGAAAACCTGGGCAATTAAAAACCGTCCCCGGTTAAGAAACTTAGGAGACGAAATCGACTTCTTCGGTGAAGTTAGGAATTTGTCTTGTCCGTTGGGACCAAAGCCTGATGCTATTAATCAGAACTTCAATCTTAACACTAACGACTTATTTCTCGAAAATGTTCCCGCGGATACTCCTCCACCAAGGAACTCATTATCCTTCCTCTTCAATAGTTTAAAACACTTAACCAAGGGGTTTAAAAAGGAAGTATTAGATGTTGTACCAGAACGTCCAAATCCTCCTCCCTCGCGTGGTAGCAACAACATCAACGAAAGTGAAGAAACAATCTTAAACTCCTCCAACTTCGCGCATCTAGTATCCTCGTTCGGTCTCATCCCGCGTCCGACCTTCAAATCCCGCGCCGAAACCATCTTAATAGCTTTAATTCACATCTACCAAACTTTCTATTCATTCTACAATCTTTACAGTGAACTCGGTCGGGTGCTTTCCAACCCGACTCTTCCTCAACCGATTGATTATAAATTATACCCGGGAAGAGAAGATGAGGTATATCTTGATCGTGAGCCAATTGTTTTGGATTGGGCTACTACTACACTTATTGGATTACCACCCGTGAAGAAGACTAGGAATGAGCCTCCTGATACCGATCCAGAGAAAAGGAGGATCACGGTTGATCTTGTGGAACAGAGGAAGAGAATGGTTGAGCTGGCGAAGTATCTGAATGCTATGAAAGCTGCTACGGATGGGGTTCAAGAATTTAGAGCATTAGCTTTTGAAGGGAACATGGAATATCCTGGATTCTCGGAGCTGTTAAAACCGTGGGAGGAATATGATCCTGAGTTCTTCGATAGACCTACCGTTGATGCCCAGGGTAACCCGATACGGGTGGATTTTGGGGTTGCGGACTTGCTGGATGGGTTTGAAGCTTGGTTTGGATGTTGGCAGATACCGTATTTTAAATTGTTGAAGAGGATGTTGGAGATTGAGCATTTCCCAGGTGTGGAAGGGGGACTGGTGTCTAAATTGAATGAAGGGAAACCGACGATTGAAGATAATGGCTATGGGATGGAACTCCTGAGGTTAGCATTGTTGGAAAGAGGGATAAGGCATTTTGGGGGGGAGAATGTCGGGGAGGGCAATTGGAATACGCCGCTAAACTTTGGTGGGGTTGATGAACGATTGGTAAAGGAGGAGGAAGGGAGGGCAGTCAGTTTTCAGGATTATGACTTTGAAAGGGATATTCAGGGTTATAAGTCCCCCAATACAGATAATGTTAATATTAATAATATGAATATAGAAGGAGGCACCGGGGATTTACAGGTACAAGGCAGAATGGAAGAAGAACCAAATGAAGGGGTTTTAGGGGACCCAGAAGCTGGAGGAGGAGGTGAAGGAGGAGGAAGAGGAGGAGGAGGGAGTGATGGAGATAGTCCGATTACCGAAGATAATCAGCTCGAAGTACCGGATTTTGATCCCTTAGACTTTAGAATTCATATTCCTTCATTTGATGGGCCACAATTCTTTGAGGAGGGAGTACGGATGGAGGAGGAGGAGGAGGACTATTAGCTTTGATTCTTACACTATCTTGTGCTATTCGGTATTTATAGAATTGAACTAAGCTATATAAGATGACGATCCGTATGATACCGTTCCAGCAGCGGCATCCGGAATATTAATACGGAGTAAACGGCTAAGAGATACTCTCATTCAAACTTCGACATACTTTAAAATCCGCAAAACCCCTGCTTATATCAATTCCTTTAGTTTAAATTTATAAATTGATCTTCAGTAGAGTCTATAGGTATCTTCGATGAGCCCGCAGGTATGAGATTTTCATCCTAGGTATCCTTCCAAGTCTATGATTAAGTCAAAGGCTTCACTTCAAACCGGAAGACGTGGCATGCATGTTGATATGATAGAAGGCTTCTAGAATTAATTTCTATTTATTTAAACAACAAGTATACGCGTATACGTAATATGGACTAATCACCCCAATGCGATAATATCATGTATTAATACTAACAATACATACCCAACATTCGAACAACGGGAGTGTGGCGCAGCACGGCCGTGGTTCGATCGATGTCCTCTGTTTGGGTATCTACGAGACAATTTAAAATATTCAAAAGCCATTTGATCAAATTCTAAAAGCGCTTAAGGGGTTCGGGCCAGGTTTACACATTGTTCTTAGGCTACTTTGACAATGCGCAGAATTGACGCATTTGATTGTCGTTTTAACACAAAATATCTCGTTACGGCTGGAACTCAAACCCGGAATTAATATAGTTGCGGCCCAAATTGCAAACGCCGCAGCGATCGTGCGTGGTATTATTCTTTAGTAAACCTGAAACGCTTTCATGTTTCTCAATGCAAACTCGTGATTGACAAACCAGCTCCTGAATTCATGAAGTCATGGGGCTAAGTTCGATCGATTAGGCGTACACAATGTAGGGGACTAAAAAAACGTCAAGGCCAGGGCACAGCCTGGTACTCATCATGTTAGCCAAGTTGAGCCCAACCAACCTATAAACTGATATATAAACCTGCGCACAGGTTAGTCTAGTTTTCGCACAGGCTATAGCGAGGTCGAACTCCTAGTATACTCAGGAATGCTTCGATCGGGCGGAGTTGGGTACAAGCTAGACAACTGGTTACCATGAAACTCCAACATTGGGCCGATAATCGAATCGATATCGAATCTAGCATCATGCATCGTTTCACGCTACCAATGTGAACTTAGACTCTCATATACTAATTACAGGCCCTCCTTAGTATTGCGCGCAATTGCGTACAGCATCTATACTCAACTAATTTGACGGATGAGGCGAAAGCGCGGACACCAAAGTAAATGATCATATGAAACCAAGCGAGCACTGTGATCACATAATTATATTTTCATACCTTAGCCTAACGTCCCGACTCCAGGGTCACAGGATGTTCAATGCATCGAATAACAAACATGCGGCTCAGCACGCACAGCCTCTCGAAGCTGTGTATGTAAGAAATTTACGGCGGCAATAGCGATATGCGCCATGGGCCGGCCCAGACTTGAACGTGTGTACAACCATACACTACACAAAATGCCACTGTACACATCACACACGTATATATAATTAGGCGATATTCTGTTTGAATGAGCTTTGAGGCTGCTGTTTCTAGATGTATCCATTCTCCCTTCCTAGAAGCATTACTATATCCGAAAAATTTAAGAGGATCACCTTTTACTATTCGCCCATCGCCGATTACTAGAACTTAAGACCAAAAGTCAACTGTTCTTGCAAGATACCATGCGTTCCCGCCGTATGTCAGTATGGCACTATTGCTGCCATGCATTAACCCTTTTGATGTTTCTTTATTCGTTCCTTCCAGGGAGCTTGGCAGTTCCCATGTTAGACAACAATAATTCGGCTCTCGCTATCAACTCCAGTACCAGTATACCAACGGCGGCCTTCAGAGTACCTTTTAAGTACACTGACCTTAGCACAACGACAGCCAGCAATGCTTCAAGCCAGGCAAGAGGCATCGAAGGCTCAAGCCCACCAGATTTCAAAAATTTAATTGACCACAATGATACAAAACGGGTAGTCTCACCTAATATCTTCATCGCCGGGTGGGAGATTGAATGCCCCTCTGCACGTTGGATAGTCGGCAATATGGACCCAAGCTGGAGGAATTACCCTAGATTTCGAACCGGTCCACAACTGAATCAAATTGGTGGGCGAAGTCGTCCCGAGTACATCAACCACATTTCCGAACTCGAAAATATGAGCCATAATGCTAAAGAGCTCTTGTACCGCCGGATTAGGAACCACCTACTCAGATGTCGAACTTGCACTTGCGACCAAGAAACCGGCGAACTTAAGCCCGGTGGGCAACCCCCGACTGGGTCGGCCAAGTCCCACACTTGGTGTTTGAGGGGTACCGAGGTTCCAGAATCATGTCGTAGCTGGTGGAGTAAGTCTGCTCCTTGCTACTACACTAATTCCCCTACCCCTGCGCATATCAACCAAATTCCCGACTTTAATGAAGTACCTTTTCTATGATCCCCTTGAATGCCCTAGCCGAAGAAACTTAGAAAAATACAGCATCTAGCATCGCCCACACGAAAGGTGAGGGAGGAGAAAAGATTGCATAAAAAAATATTATCTTGTTTCGTACCCTAGCCTAGAGAAGATATATACCCATCGTGTGCAGAGTTTTGCATAATGAAGATCTAATATGATAGTTGTAGATTGCTACTGTAAAGTTACAGCTCGTCAGCCCCCGCTCGTTGAAGGAGAGAGTTATGAGGCACACCTCAACGCTTTAGAAAGACTCCCCCAGGCTTTTAGAGATCAAGTCCCAGATTACCAATGGGCACCGCCAGGTACCACTATAAACGTGCGACCTCTTTGGCTTGGAGAAGCACCCCCCCCATTTGCGCCGCTCCCGGAGCTAGAGCCAGGGGTATCCCCAGGGTTGATACCAGTGGCATCCCCAGAGCTAGGCCCAGCGCTAGAGGAACCCCCCGAATTAGTGGATATGGATCAGCTGGAAATGCTTCTACTAGATACCACAGCAATTCCATACGCTAGGCAACGCACACCTGAGGAACCCAGCGGAGAACCCGACGGAGAATCTGGCGGGGAATCTGGCGGGGAATCTGACGAAGAATCCATTGTAGAGTCCAGCGCAGGGCCCTCTAGAGGGCCCACCCTGTACGGAGCGCATGACCGCCAAGGTTGGCGCCAACCCCGACGTTATTACGACCCGGTGAGAGGCTTCGACAGACCTCCTGGGGGGGGATCGGCACCGCCTCCACTTCTTCGGAGACGCGATAATTCGTTAAAAAAGCGCGAAATATCTATGCCAAATCAGGCGGGAAACGCCGAAATGGATGAGACGACGAACGCTCAGTAATCGATTTATTGTACATGTGTAAGGTCAAAATGGCCAGTCTTGTAGGCTTTAACGCACAAAGGTAAGTTCTCACCAATATTAAAGAAAAAAGAAACTATGCCTCATCGTTATTCTTATAAATTTTTCGTGGGCTAAATTTTCACTTGTCAACCTCTAGTTTATGGCACTTCAGGCGGTATTGACCATTGATATAAGTTTCAAGGTGAAAGTTTTGCTTAAGTGGTAGTTTCTAGGTTTATCTATTTTTGTAATTAAAGAAAAAGCATAATATCAGAAAGAGGGACGTTAGCGTTCGGTTCCAGAAGTCATGGTGTTTTGATAATTTTTATATGAGATTTCAAGTTTATGCTACTTAGTAATAATCAGCGATCTATCCTTATTTTCATTTACTACATCGCTGTCTTTACTATATAATACTATACGCTTATTTAGTTCCTAGGTTGGTTAAGCTAATCAAAATTCAGAAACACTGTTTCTGGCAATTCGGGATACACAGCCCGTATGTACATGCCCATTCTAGCTATAGTATCGTTGAGATTAAGCGCTTCCATATGCATATCTCCATCAAATGTAATCATTCAACCGTCTCGACAAAGACAACCCCATGTACGGAATCAAATGTTAATAAAAGGTGTCATGAACTGAAGACAAACCCAAGGAAATTTTGCTCGGTCATAAACGTTAAACTTCAATTGCTTTCTAAATCTCATAAAGCCTTTAATCAGAAGCTAGATCTAATACCAATAGCTCCACGCTCTGTGCAAAAGAATATTCGACCCTTCAGGACCTGCAGGCCCACAAAAGGGTTGTCTGGTATCCTTCTCCCAAACGGAGTTTCTTGGCGCCATGGCGTTGAGAGAATATTTTCCTATCAATCAGCACTATGCCGACTAAAGACATAGCTGTGCGCTCAGTAGGAGACGATATCTACGACCATAGAAAGAGGAACAAAGGGTATCCCGTCCGCTCTGCCTTACTCAAGCCTCTTATCGATCAGCCAGTAGTGTAGTCGGAGATGATATGCGAATCCTGATTGTTGTAGATCCAATTTTTATTTTTTATTTTTTGCCATTGTGGTCGGCTGAACGATTCAACGCCTGCCAATCACGCTGGACATCTCTAGCTGTTAGCCAGTGACCCTTCTCTCCGTCTTCTTTTTTGTCAGTTTAGAACCGTCCTGGCTGTATATTTTTGGCTGTGTCTGTGCATGTGTACATTTCATTTTTTGAAATACAATTGGAAGGCATTTAAATTTTTTCACTGTAGAACAGGTAGAGAATTAAAACTGATACTCCACGCCCAAAAAACCCTTCAATATTAGTCTGGAACCTTCAATCCTGTCAATTCGACGATCAATTCGGTATTAGTTTCAAAAATCATTTTGTGCACATCGAAATTCACCCTAGTCGCGATTGAAAAATCTTCCCTGTCGCCAGAAATCCACCATCCCCATTTGGAGATATAACCTCAGCGCGAAACTGGAATGATATCTACGACCATTGAATGAAGACATCAGGGTATCCCGTCCGCTCTGCCTTACTTAAGCTTCATATCGAGATGTCAGTAGTCTGGTGGGTGACCACAGGCGAATCCGTCTTGTTGTAGATTCATATTTTTTGCTTCATGTTATACATTTTATGAGGACTGAAATTTTCTGGGAGGTGTTGCATTTTGATTAGGTCTGTGTTGGACCTTTCGGCAAAACTCAATGCAAAATTTCCATTGATAATCGATTATTTTATAAGTTTTTGTCTCCCGACATATCTAGCATGCTAGCATAACGAGGGATTGATTCTAAGCCTGTAATATATCTATCCCTATGCTGATAGTGGAGAGACTTTGCTTGTTAATAATGAACAACAAAATTCGAGCCTAGCCCCGCAATTCCCGTCTGCGCTGCTGCAGTGTGCAAATTCGAAACGGCCGCAAATTGTGTCGATTTCCATGGCCGCAAATTGCAAAGCGGAGAGAAACCATACGCATGGAATCTAGAGGCACGAAGTCTAAAGCTTTCCGCAATGAGAGGGTAAGCACTATCTCCAGAACATTTACAATATTCAAGACCCTCAGTTAACGTCCATTGTTTTTTAAGTATTTGAGCACGTCGTGTAATCTAAATTGTTGGGTAGCAATGTAGGAGTAAACTTGAAAAAGCTTTTCCTCAATAGATGCCGTCGGAGTATCTGGCAGCTTATTTTTTTAAGTATAATTTATTGTCGAAGTCGTCGATTTTACTTGAGGTAGTCGAAACATCTATGACTATAGGTACCCTGCGCATGCCATGAAACCCGGTCGGCGGAAGTGAGTGACGATTGGTATCATCTTCTTCAGGTACGATTATATTGCCAAAGATGAAAGCATCGGGCAAACTAGCGTATGCGTACGCCACAAGATGAAAAAAATATCTTGGATAAATGCCGTGGAGCTCGACGGTCTGATCGCCGTTTTTCATCCTGTCTTTGAGTGTGGTCATCGCAGTGAGGACGACACGGTGCGCTGCAAGCAACTATGCCACGCCGCTCGGTGCGATAACTTTGATTAGAATATCTGTAAATTCTTGACCCATAAACCGCTGCCACAAACTATTGGGATGATTTAAAGTCAGTACTTTGAACTGTCACCTAAGAGACAAAAAAGTAGAAAGAGAGAGTCTCGTAGCTTACTTGAAGATAGTAGTCTGCAAAAATTAAAAATGGTATTTCGGCATCGTCATTGTCATCGCAGTCATGGACTCGTTCAACGGATACGGCCAATTCCCCAAATACCTTTTCCCGTTCTATAGTTATTTCTTGGTCAAGGTATACCATTTTAAGATCTTGTTATTAATAGAAAATTGGGAATGTTGATTCTCTGCGAATCAATATATTAATATTTGTTCTTGAGTTGGTATGAGTGTTTCCTTTCTAGGGCTTGTGATTCAGGGAAGAGTGTCGCTGAGGTTATTTAGAATATGTCTAGGGAAAGCTATTCCGAAAAAAGGTTAATGGATGTTGAATTAAATGGTCTATGGACAAACGGTGAGAGATATATACACAAAGCGTAGCAGTCCAAGGCAGTAATTGGATGTGGACGGATTCGAAGCGTGGCGCATATCCGTTGTGGCGGTGGCTTATAGTATTCTGAGCATGTAGCGAATTCGCGCGAAGGTGTCATGTCGGCAGCTGATATTAAACGTTAAGTAGTCTCCGGTAAGAGAGGCAGTCACATCAAGTATATTCGGTATAAAACTAATGGGAAGCCATAATAACTAAAATAAATAGGCTGGTGAATTCGGGAAATTCGGGGTCGACGGCTCCAGCCTTAAGCTTCTTAATTTAAGTGTGCTGTTCCCGTCTTGTGTTGGGCTTGAGGTCTTATGGAAGACCTGTAACCCAGTCTCGTAACTTAGGCTTTCTTTCAAAACCATGAAGGTGTCTATAACTACGGTATTGGCCCTTAAATCATAGTAATTTATCGCGCCAGGTGATCTATTCGGAAGGTAGTTATAGCTCTATCACCTTTGAAAATGGGAGCTTTTACTCCCGTACGAGTGTAAGCAATTTGTCAATGCGGTTATGTATAGATTCTTTATCACGGAATTCAACAATCCAGGACTGATTGGCGCAACGGTAGCGCGTTCGACTCCAGAGGACTTTGAAATAACAAGTTCGTGAAATCGAAAGGCTGGGCGTTCGAATCGCTCATTGGTCACTCCTTCTTTTTTGCAATTTTTTTTGCCGAAGTCTACAGGCGAACTTTCCTCTGTTTTTGAGGGGCAAGGGGTCGAAATTTGCAACACCGGATAAATACAAGATGGTCCCGGCTTTGAGCCATGACAGTAGAGATTTGTGATTCACCACCAGTGTATGATAGTCCGTTCGCGATTGTCAGCCTGAGCTTAGCTCCGTCAGTCTCAGCGTTCGAATTCGACTCTAAGACGTCGACGCTGAACAAGACCGCTCGTCTCCATCGCAAAAAATACAACATTACAACACACACACCAGCAAGCTTCCACTTCAGCCAAGGCTTAATTTTGCCAAGACAAGTTGTCCAAATCCTTCAACCCGATGTATACCTAAAATCATTGTTGGACCGTCTCCCGCAATCTATAATTTAATGTTAGTATTCTCATCCAATCATGCTATCTACCTTGCGAAGTGTAGTCACATTCATCGGTACGCGTATACGCTCCTTCTGGCTGTCGTGGGCTAGGTACCGCAGCTGAGCCTATTTGCTGTCTGCAGCTAAAATTTAATCGATTTCGAAATTTCGCATGGACGTTGGATTCCAAGGCGGTTTTCCAAATTCAAGCTTCGCCGCAACAATATTTTGAAACGTCTAACAGCTAGACTAAACAAGTTATAAAGTCAAATGGGGCGATGCCAAAGCACGTAGGAGACTTAGCATACAAGGGTAAGTGTGGAAATACCCCAACCGTTGGAGGCTTCTGTATTGAAAGCTATGAGTAGAGGAATCGCCGTGGTATCTGGATTAAAGTCTCCCAAACATATGCGCAGTGAAACCTACAACTATGATTAAACATACTCAAGCCCCTTTGGGGATTGATTTTAGTCTGCTAAAGGAGCGAAAAAAACACCTTATAAAACAGCAGAGCTTCAGCCTCCCCCACCTAGGTTGGATCTTTTAGCTGCGTAGCTTTGATTGGACACCTCAATAGTGTTTGTTGTAGTTTGCCATTCTTGTGGTTCGATGCTACCCAGCCGCCTTTGCGCGTGATTCCGGCTATGCGATGCAAATCGTTTTGGTCAAACTTGTTGGTGGGCGGCGCCGGCTTTTGTAACACAGGATTGCATTGGGTGATGGCTCTTACCCTAGATAGACTAATTTGCTGTAATTACTTCTTCACGAAAAAATGGTAATTTAATCCCGCCATAGATCGAGATATCATTTGATTACTCTGCTATCAGTTTTTATAAAAGGGGTCAATGCAAAAGCGTTAAAAGCGTTGGGCGAAAGATACATGCGTATAACCACCATGACACTAACGATCTTCGCCAAGTTGGTTATTCTATGGATCAGTCTTCTTTTAATCCAGACGACCTTTGGTATCGCATTAGAAGGGGGGCAAAAAAAGCGATCGGCCGCCGGACAGCTCAATGAGCTAGCTGGGCACAAAAACCATTCTGCTCGCTCTTTTTTCCCGGAGAAGAGAGACATTACGGATCATTGGATCAGAGTTCTCTCGAAATTCGATTGGCCGGAGGATTTTGAATGGACAAAAAAGATCGATGTTGCGATTCTTTTTAAACAAAAACAAGCAGAAAGCGCCTCATACCACGAAAAGTTCGATGAAGAGATCAAAAGCTATTATGGCCAGGACGTTTATGAGGTTCAGAAAGATGGATCTTTCAAAGCTTACTGCGCAGAATGGAGATCCGACTATAGACCATTTTGCGTAATTTCTGCCAGTGAAATTAAGATATTCGTGGAATTTATTTCGCTGAATGAATGGCTTGTGGATGGGGTGAGTTTTTTTGTTTGTCAAAGCTCGAAAGTGTCCTATCTCGTGAAAATGAAATATATAGAAGGAGAAGAATAAGTAAATTTGAAAGTCTGTAAGCTAACTTCTTTTATGACTTACCGATATGGGGAGGATTAGATGGCATCAGTCATAGAAAGTAGTCCGATGCAGAACTTAAATTTCTTTCTAGCTGTGCTACAAGCAACTGGGGAAGATCCGCGGGCACAAAACCGCCAGCTCCCAGAGCAATTCGAAGAAACGCCAAACATAGCAAGCAGAAATACACCCGATTTAAAGCCAAAAATCCTCAAAACCTCCAAAAGATCAAAGTTGCGAAAGCGCTCGCCCGTGATGATAGCGGAGAGTACTTACGACGTTCGATTTCTAGCTACACCTCCACCCAGCTTAGAAGAAACAACCCGGCAAAAAATTCTGACCCACGGGGTCCCGGAAAATGCATGGCTAGATGATTCTCAGGGCGAGGGTGTGAACGTATACCTTTTGACTAGTGGGGTTTTTGAGGAGGCGAAAGACCATCCGGTAAGCTACAATTAAGCTGTATTAAGTTGCGCTTTGCTTGGAATGTCTTTCCGCAAAGTTTTCTCGATATATATAATCCATGGAAACAATACCATGGTATCAGGACAGTCTGTCTGACAGTATTATTTGTTGACCTAGGAGCTCTCCAGAGCATTAGGGACTGAAGGCCGAATCAAAGGATGGCTTCACCACCGCATGGTAGGTGATGAGGAGACCGACCGAGATTATATGGATTTCGATGGTCAGATTGCCCCTCCTGTTGGCACAGGTCTCGTGTCTAAGATTCTAGGTAAGCGAGCGGGACTTGCCAAGAAAGCTGATGTTTGGATTGCGTCTCATGGCAAACGAGGTTGGGATGGGCCATGGCCAGCACTCATCGTCGCCGAACAAATAATGGCGATTCGACAGCATATTTTAACCCAACGGGAAACCGATCCTGAGTATAAAGCCGTTATTCAGGTTGCGTCGGAAACTATTGAGTATCTGAAGGAGAAAGAAAGGGGATCAGGGGGCGTACAGTTTCCAATTAGCAAAAACGATAAAAACTGGATGGAACAAATATCGATTATAAGCGACGAAGCACTCGAATCACTGATGCAGTTAGAAAATATTATAGTAGTGTCAAGTGCGGGAGGATCGCCTAAGGACTTTGTATTACATGCTACCCAACCCCTGAAGAATCGCATCCAGGATCCAGGCTAATATATTAATATATTATCTTGACTAGGGAACTCCAATAGTCAACTGGCCTGCGGTGCGCGGTCCGGATTTCAGTAACTTGGTCATCGTGGGTGCTGTTGACAATAGCGGGAATCTTGTTTTTAAGGAAAAAGCTGAGTTCATCAAGGTTTCTGCGGTAGGTTATGGGGTTGAGGTCCCCTTTATGAGGCGGCTAGAGGATGTTGGCGTAATTCAAGGCGGATATGAGTCTGTTGCCAAAGGCCACCATCACGGTAAGATAGCTACTAGAGATATCGAGAAATATCTATTTTAACCACGACCCCATATTGATTAAAACCACAACTCTGATTGATCATATCCCTCACTGTAGCTGCTGCCGCAGTCGCCGGAATACTAGCAACGCATCTATCGTCGAATCAGGATTTGGATGCCACGGGTGCCATAAATAAGTTGTACAATGACGCTTATGCTCGAACCCATGGAGGCCCTAAAGTTGCATGGGTGGGTGTGAGGCCGCCAGCCACGGGCTGTAAACGCCAGCGCGAAGACGATGATGAATCCGGATCTGGGGCTGGAGAGGGCGACAAGAAGCAGAAGTTGGACGATACCGACTGTCTCTATACTTAGATCTCAGGTAAGGGTATCTCTTCAAAATGAGCGTCTGAACCGAAAAAACTATCTGCATCGAAAAAATTTAAAATTGGGTTCCCGACTTCCAGGTCTGGGTACGAGACAAGGTTCCCGAGATATTTTAGGTTTTTGCATGGCTTTCCTTCCGATAAATGTTGTATTTTTTGCGTTGGCCAGCTTACTTCCAAGCCTCGAGTTTGGATGTAGTTAGAGTCTCGAACTTCGAAGTCCGTATTTATATTTATTTTATATGTAGCTCAATGCAAATCAAGACACCTTTCAAATTCAGAATATATTTGTTGCGTCAGGCTCGAGGATATAAGAGAAAGAGACTGAAAGTTGAATGGGAATCTTCATGATCTTGTCTACCTTGTTCAAGTCTTCCTCCTTCATTCTAGCAACCATACTAGCGCTCGAACTCCGCCTACAACGTATATTGAGAATAGTTTTCCAAACCCTCATTCTTTCGTTCAATTGATCAAACACTGCGAAGCTTAAGTCCACAGATAAAATTAATATAGTTAATTAAAAGGACAATTAATAAAAAATATATCGCACTCTAATGGCGCCAAGGTTCGACGTTCCTTGCTATCCAGGCTTCGAAAGGTAATGTTAGACCCAACTACTACTTTGAGTTCTTCAGCCTCGCGTATTAAAAACATTATATACATGGGCTCTGTAGCCAAGATGTTAATATCAAATTTAACATTCTAGCCAACTTCGATCCCCTAGATATACCGATATGATTATAGTCGCTGGTACTTCTCGTTCTCGGATTCCTTGTCACCGCCTCGTCCTCGCTGAGCACTCCACCTCTCTCGCTCTCGCTTGCTCAGATTCTCACGCTACCGAAATCTGCATCCCGCACTGGGAGCCTCAGATACTGCATTATGTGCTCCGATATCTTTACACGGGGGACCTCGCGTCTCTAGAATTCGAAACTTTGATGAATATTTACGCCTGCGCTGAAGATCTCGGGATTGAATGTCTTATGGAAAAGGTTTTGTACGATGCCGTCCTTGAAGCTGGAAAATGGGAAGTCGTCTTGCAGGATAAAGACAAATTTATCCAACTAGTGGAAAAGATTTTCTCTTTGACGGCGGAGGATGAGAGACGATCGTACATCTACAAAGGAGTATTCCGTCTCGTGCTTGCGATAGTTCAGCAAGATGGTCTTATGGCTGAAGAGTGGTTCCTCAGTTTGCTGAAACAATATCACGAACTTGGTATTGAACTTCTGAAGGCATCTCTGGAAGGGGAGCATGATAGCGGGGTTACATATTGCTTCAAGGAAGGATGCGACGGGATTATTGGAAAATGGAAAAAGTGTAAGACTTGCTTGTCTTCGGATTGGGGTGAAGATGATTGGTAGAGCCAGGGCGATTCTTATGAACTTGGACTTTGGTGATAACAATCGTTAGGTGGTATTAGTCTCGTTACCGGTATACCGGGGTGTTATCGTCTATGGTACATATCGACCCCTTTTGGTGTCCGCATGTAGGCTAACAATTGTAGGAGCTTTGATCCTGCACTTTTGATTCTTCCTTTCTTCTCAACCTTCTTTAAAGACTTACTTTATCTTCTTAACGAATTATGCCCGAGCACCATACACTCGATACAGAAGTTAATTGATACCTATGCAGATGGGATCCCAGGCTTGTCCCAGTCTAATCAGTCCCAATCAGTTAATCAATACGAGGCTCTTTTAGATCTCTTTCAATCCGTAAATACCGGCATTTCTAGTTTCGGGAAATATATCCCCGTAATACCAGGGAATAAATTAAAACGAGAGAGTATCCTGCAGAAGATGAAGCGTGCTTGTTCCATATCTACTATCTTGGATTACACTTGTAGAAAGAACAGCTCAAGCATGACTGGGTCGCCACTCTGCTTAGAGACCGAGTACTCAGGTCTATAGCAATTTTGTACGAGATTTCAAACTGGATATATCGATACCCGCTGATCTCGTATACATCGATATCAGCATTTAATTAAAGCTCTCTGCTGTCTAGTCTCGAAACAACCACCTACCAAGGTTGACAAAAGACCTTTTTCCTCATCCTATATTCATCACCAACTACACAAAAGCTTCTCATATCACTTCTTACCTTCTCCTTCCTTTCAATTCAACTAGCACACGTACACTCTCCTACCAAAATACCATCTCCTCTAATGTCCATTGCAACCGAGTAGTAACAAAGAAAAGATTAATCGAAAGCAACGCGATATTCTAGGTGAGTTCTCAGTTTCCATGGAGGTTAGAGCCTAATTGTGTGATCGTGGCTAAGTTGCTGATTGAGTTCAGTTCGACCCTAAGCCATCATTTCTACGATTTCACGGATTTGAAGTACCATATTCGCAAACCGTCAGAGTCATATTTTCCGAAACAGAGAATCAGTTCTAAAGAACAACCAGACGAAAAGGCACCAAATAGAACAGGTATCGGCAAAATGTGCTATCATCACGAACAGCTGTATACCTGCGGTCACACGAAACGGGAGCGTCGCATCACGTGTGACAGGCCAAGGAAGTGCCAAATGAAAGGAAAACCAGGAATTTATCAGCAACCTGTCTCTAGAACCTGTGGCAAAAAAGAATGTGAAGCCGAAGCTGATGACGAAGAGGAGGAAGAAGGCGAAGAGGAAGAAGATGGTAAAAACGATGGCGGGAGAGGTGGAGGTCAAGATGATGAGGAAGAGGGTGATCACGATGATAAAACCTTCAAACCGAGTGCGTGGGTTAAGAAGCAGCCGGATAGCAAAGTTACAACGAGGCAAAAGTGGAAAGTCGAGCATGCGCCACCGCTGCCACGACGAAGAATGGGACAGCGCGTTATTTCGCCTTCAAAGTATCAGTCAAGTAGCCTCGGTCCAAGGCGTCCAATCACCTATCAAAGACTTACGCGACCAAAAGCCCGCAGTGAACAGAAAATCAAGGCTTTGGAAAAGGAGGTTGCTAGGAAACAGAAAGGGAAAGGTCCGCGGGTTGCAAGCGATAGCGATAGCTCCTTGTCATCGCCCCCTTCGGACGAGGAAAATCCGTTTGGGAACGAGTTCCTACCTAAAGATCCATTCCCAGCACTCGAACCCTCCTCAAGACCGACTCTGTCTCGGCGAGCTAAGAACCTCCGAGAACAATTTCAAGGACTAACTATTCTCGGGTCAAAGCCACAGATCACTGGCAAAAGAATTGCAACTTCCACTAGGCTTGCATCTTCCAAGATTGGGAAACCCTTTACTCTCCTACCGCAATCCTTCAGCAATCGCCGCACCTCATCAAAGCGTTCTATTCAAGAATTCATGTCTTCCGAGAGCGTTGACCAAGGCGGCGCTGGCGATGGCGATGCCATGGAAATTGACCCACCTCGGGGAGCCTCTACCCAACGCCGTGTCTCGGAGCCAGTATTGAAATCTGCCATAAGGACGACTGATTACACATATGTCTGGCCCGGGAGGGTTACTCGGTCTATTGCAGCCCTTCAAACTAAGCACCAACAACTCCGCAATCAACGAAGGAGCCTTCCGAACAAAATGCCAGGCCGGAACTCCGAAAACTCTTCCCCAGTTCCAACTAGGGATGACGGAATGCCTGTTTCCAAAAGAGTCAGGTTTGCTGCGGGGAGCAAAGAGACTAGCGACCACATGGTCTTGGACCTTCCTGACGACATCAAAGAAAAGTTAAAGGAGGAGAAACCAGAGGAAGAGACAGGGGAAGAGCCAGAAGACGAATAAACGGTGCTAACTTTTTATCTAATGTGTATCGTTGGAATGAGATAATTCCCAAGTCTCTTGATATGATATCGCAGATGAGCAGAAACTCCGGCTACGAACCGCGATAATATTCTGGTCCGAAGGCTACGGAGAACCGCTCTAACCCCTTAAACTTTTCATTGGAGCCAGCCTTTATTTTCTAGCGATCACAGATCACCATTTCTCTGGTACACGGTGGGGCAAAAACCTCTTTCTACCCTTCGCTCTCGTACCTTCTTAAATTTCCCTCCCACAGACCTCCTATATCTGTACTCTCTAAGTCTCCTTGCTCTATGTACATTAAATACAATCTAAATTTCTGAGAGCCTGTCTATCGACGTTTTCCTCCCATTCTATCATGTTCAAAGCTTTAAGGCTCCCTCATTCAACACCGTGTTTTGGGATTAATATTTACTCCGATACAGTCTGGGTGGATATGGATAGTCAACCGAGACTCGTCGTGGTAGCCAAATTTCTGAAACGATATAACAAGCCATGAAAGATATTTTGGCAAAATATTCCGCGACCATACTACCAGCTTTTCGCTTTTCGCTTTGTTCTTTTTTTCTCTTTGCAGCAAGTCTCTCTCGTTTTAAGCAGACAAGCTTGATTCTTTCATTGACTGTTGGAAATGTGGCACAAGTCCGAATATGAAAATAACACGCGACAACGCCACACGCATATTTTCTTTATTTCCGTTTCAAGGGATCAATCCGGCAGAATAATTTTTCTTCTTTATGCGTGACAAGCCTTTTATCATAGAATACTATTGATGATATACTATGACTTGTTTATTGTTGTTTATTGTGGATTTGGACCTTTTCCTTCTCGCTCGCCCTTTACTGAAGGACTAGGAGATGGATGGTAGTAATATTGCCAATAATATTTTGATTCCATTTTGATTCGCATGTAGACGATCTCAAGAGAACATATTACCACCGTAAATATTCATTTCCCTTCGTAGGCTCAGTGCCAGCTTCAGCCTCAGTCTCCCGTCCCGAGGCTCAACGCACAAAATACCACAGGCTTCAGAACAACACATCCTCAAATCCCTATAAATCCGCATCCGGAAAGTTACACAGCTTCGGCTCTACTTTTGAACCTCGCCGGACCAATCAGGAGTCCTAAAACGCACCCTCCTCCAATCCAAGTAATCTTTACAAAGACGCTTTAACCCACAAACACCATGGGTCGGGGATCCCGTAAAACCCCGAAGAAGAAATCGAAGGCCTCACGCCGGAGTTCAAGAAGTGGGAGTGCGAGTAGTAGTTCTTCAGGTGGAAGAACCCCTGGAAGAGGCGGAAGGGCAAATATTGTGTTGAAGAAACAGGCGATCGTGAGTCGGTCTACTTCTTGTGAGATTGGAGAGTATGGAACTTCTATACCACCAGAAACTGGTTTAAGAACATCCCGTCGTCAGGATAATATTACTCCTCAATCTGAATCTTCTGCGAACGAGATAGGATGGGGTGGAGGGGTCGATACAGTTACTCAGAGTTTTGGGGAGGATCTGCAAGCGAATGGATATGAATATGATGAGATGGATGTCGATACTGATGCAGGATATGAAGCGGATCACAGTGGTAACGGAGATACATGGTCATTGAATCAACTTGTGAGAGATGGGGTACATGCAATCAGAGATTTTGTGGAGGGAGGTATGAGAGAGGCGAGGCAGTATCTGCCTTCGCCAGAAGATAGTCAGGATTTAGAGATGTATGGGATGGAGGAGGATGTGGAAGAATCGAGATTAGTATCAGGGGAACAAAGTATTGGAAAGAATGCCCGAGAAGAACCTAAAGGTGCCGGTATAAAAGACAGCAAACAAAAGGCGACATTACAGGTGGGTCTATACACTCATTCATTATTTGGCCGTGCTTGAAAGCTTCTAGAGCCTATAGAAGGCTAGTATATGCGTTCGACATTTAACTATTTATTTTTATGAGCGTAGCCGTACAAAGACAAGAGAGTAACAACGAAACAGAGCACTGGCTTGAGAATGGCTGGATCACGCAGTTCAAAGGAAAAAAAAGAAGGTGTTAAAAAAAGAGGGAGAAAATAAAAAGAGTGATGAAACCAAAGCTGCCCCACCTTCCGATCGTCGTCCTACTAATCCAAGTGTTCGAGGGCGAGGGCGGGGTCGTGGGTCAGCTATTCGAGGAGGGCGGGGAGCTTTCCGTCCTGTAAGATCCGATACTTCTAATCCATTCCTCTTGCAAAGCTTGATAGACTAATCATTTATATAGGGAGGCGATAACGGTGGTAGTGGAAAAGCTGTTGGGCCGCCGACGACGCCAGGGAAACCTAAGGATGGTACCGATAAAACTGATGGCAAGAAACCAAATATCCCACCCCAGAATAAGCCCAAAGTTCCTGTTAGTAAGCCTAAAAGTCCGCCTAAAAAGGTTGGAGCAAAGAGGCCTTCTGGTAAAAAGCCGGTCAACGCCCCCAGACTCCAAAGCCCAGGAAGGGGTGTAATGCGGCCAGATTCTCCTGAAGCAAAAGGAAGACCTACACAGATGCATGCAGCAAAGCCTCCAAGATCATGGGTGAGTCAAGTCTTCAAATATTTAGGAGTCTAGCTATAAAGATTTCACGGTATTCGTACCAACTGGTGGGTGTCATTTATTGATCAAGCATTATACATTATCTAGCAACGAGGTGTTCTTATGTTCGGAGATATCCTGCCCCGAGGGATGTCCTTAAGTCAACTACGTAGACCCCCAGGACTCAACGCAGTACCTGTACCACCTTCTCCACCTGGCACACCAGCTATCAACCTCATCCCACCTTCTGATGAAAGCTCTGCAACTCACAGTTTCATCACCACCAATAGCCTAACCCCGCCAGAACAAAAAGACTGGTTGAATCCAAGGGCTCGCCGACCCCCTGGAGGACCACCGATGGTACGACCAAATTTCGGCAAAGGAGGAGGCCCTCCGGGCGACCCAGACACGCAGCTTGAGCCCATTTTCGAATGCCCTGGGTGTTCTGATAGTGGTGCTATGGTTGTTGCTGTCATCTTGATATTGGTCTTCACCGTTGCATGGGTTCTGGGCAACAAACGAAAAGACAAAAGAGTGGCCGAAGCAAAACAAAGTCGATTATCAAAAATTATGCAATCACAAACTGCTCAAAAGGTTTTGAGCCGAATACCTTCGGTTGTTACGGACAAAGCAGCCGTGGTAGGAAATAAGCTAGGTAGCTTTGGCGGTATCCTACAGACTGTCGACGAGGCGGTGCCTATAAGTGAGCGGGTTGGCTTTGCCGACCCAGTTACAATGGGGCGAGAAGAAAAAGTGGGGGTAGCAACATCCGTAAACCACAGGGCGGAGGTCCTAAAACAGTTAGGCCTTCCAAGAACTGGTAAGTCTATCTTAACTTTCACGATATTGTCACTTAAAACTGAACTCTTATTAATTCTATTCCTTAGCCACGTGGGAGGATATAAACCTTCACATCAACGGTAATAAAACGACGGAAGACCAAATCCGAAAGGCGAGGGCTACAACGACACTGTCACCGCTATCAAGGGACCCAATGATCACAAAAGATGAGCGCACTTCATCAGTTCGATCTCGCGTGCCTAGCAGCGATGGCCAGAAACTTAAGCCGGAAAACTGGGATCGCAATGCCTGGCGCCTTTATACACGCATCTCATCAGATATTTTTTGGTGTCCTGCGACTAACCTTAAGGAATGTTTGCCGCCTGGACAAGGGAATGACGCGGCTATTTCAGAGGCGTTAGCTCAGGTTGAACATACCCTCGAATATTTCGGGAACATAGTTAAAAAGCAGAAAGAAGCACGGGATGCTGAGAGTAGTAGGCGTACCACCATTGCTCCAGGAAATCGACCCGTCGTACCTCCGACTACAAGTACTCCACTATCGTTAGTGGGCACTGTAACGTCATTGCCAACAACTTTCCCGATCTTTGCCGAAGTGCTAGACTGGGTGGGGTGGTTACTGAGCTGGTTCAAGGGCATCTTGGATTACATTGTCACAGTCTCCAAGGGAATTTGGGCTTTCCTCAACTATGTTTTTCGGGGGTCTGCGCAATGGAGAGATTTTGTCATTCGGCTAGAGCTAGCCAGTGGATTCATCAAACGAAGGTATCTAGGGTACCTATTCCCACATGGGACTCCACCAGAAGCCGGAATTTTAAACGCCCTCGCAGTTTTGGCCCTCTCGAAGTCCAGTGAGCTTCTTCAATATTGGTTTCCTCCATTAAAATACTACATCGATGACTCTTTTTTTAACACGCTATTCCCAAGGAAAGCCGTCACAATCATTCGAGCTATTATCTGGTACCAACTCAGTACCGCTCAACTTTTGGTTGTATTGATGTGGCCAGCCGTCGTTTCTCTGGGAGTTTTACATCTTTTCCTGATATGTTTGTCCCCTACATACCGAAAGTATTATAGGGACCATTCTCGACTTTCAAAGCATGTCGGAGGAACTGATGCCAAGATGTTGAGTGCAATTTGGCAATTCACAAATCATATGATAGGTTGGATAGATTTGTTATCAACCGTGTGGTTTGGAGGATTCTTTTGGTTAGGGACTGATCTTTTCCCTGGGCAATGGGTACTCAAGTGGGTTGTTGTTCATTTTTGGGGGTTCTTAAAAGCTACTTGCCGCTGGTGGGTTAGTGTACCCATTCTAATGTTTGATCTGATGACAACAATTGCATCGGGTGAAATATCGATAGTGGGATTTTGGAACGGTCTAGGAAGGGTTTGGCAAGAATTCTTTATGCCTCCCATTAAGTTCGTCGTTTGGGTCATCTTCATCGCGAAGGTTACGGTTATTGGAGCAATTTTCATCTTGTACAAAACGCCGGGTTACCTTTGGCGATCACTACGAGATACAATTACCAGATATCGACGTAGGAGCCGAACTTCTGGATCTGGTCCTCCTAAACCGCCAACCACACCACACGGTAAACGAGGATATCCAGGGTTGACTCCAGGTGGCGGCGGCATTTTGACACCCGGCGGAACCCGCCACCCAGTTCCATTTACGATTGACAGGAAGCTGCAACAGTCCGAACGCAAAGTTTCGAAGTCCCTTCAAGTTAAATTCAAACAGGAAGAACGTCTACGTGCGCTCCGTGTCATGGCCGCAGAGGCTAGATACAACATCAGTCTGCTCAACAGCGAGCTTCTCAACCCCTCGACCGAAGTCGGTCGTGCGCACGAAGCTAGAGATGAAAAGGATAATCTTGAAACGCTCCTTGATGAAATTAAGATGCATATGGGTCTAACTATCACCCGTGTTATTGCGGCGACAACGACGTTTGAGCGTTCCCAAGCTGAATACGAGCGGGACCAAAAGTCATTTAGCAATGGTATTGGCCGAGGCCAGTATATATCTGCCGCCTTTAGAGGGGATTCGGCTTTTAGGGACCTAGCACCTTCTGAGGCTACCGCTGCTATTGAAAATACCATCCTTGATATGGGAATACAGATTCATGGGCAGAGACGGCTACACAACGTTCCTGAGGAACCTCTTTTAGTCCTCCCTCTAACAGTTAATCAAGGAATCGACGCTACTACCTTGCCCCCGACAACCGAATCAAGACCCGATGAGATAAGAACTAGGCCTGTAGTACCTGGAAACAGAGGCGGGGCGGCTCAAACAGTAACAACGACTACTCCATCCGTCACAGAACTGCCTACAGACCGTAGAACTGGGAGAACTGTACCCCAAAATCCTCCTGCTCCCCCACCTCCCCGCGTTCCGCCTGCAGATGGAACAGGAAGGATTCAAACACCACTAGTAACTGAGGTACGGCCAGAGCCAGTTAGAGAGACTAGGCCGCTACCCGTTCGAGAAACCTTGTCAACGACTATTGAAAAAGGTATCCCACCAGTTCAAAATACCCCGGCACCGCCACAAGGCCCCAGCGGAATCACTCCAGGGCCTGTTAACAATAACGCCACTACGACCAAAACAGATACCGTTCTAGCACCAGTTCAAAACCCAGTAGTACCACCTGCTGCTGGTAATGCTACTCCGCAACCCCCCAATATCAATCCAGCTGCAAATAGGACTATTACTATTCCACCGGCAGCCCAAAGCATTCCAGCAGCGCCACAGGTTACCACTAGCGCCACTCCAGGACCAGTCAATAGCAATATAACTGAAGCCAGAATTGAGGCCCCCCCAGGACCGGTTCATAATCTTCCACCGGTAGTGCACAACACTGGTAGTACTGCTCCAGGCCCCCACGGTAATAACGCTGCTGGATCCACTATTCTACAGCCAGTTCAAAATACTCCAGGAGTACCACCTGGCTCCGACAATAGTGCCCCAGGGCGTGTCAATAATAATGCTACTACGACCGGAACTGAGACTGTCGCTGCGCCAGCTCAAAATAAGCCACCTTCAGTTGTGAGACCTCAAAGACCAATCCCGGAAACCAGACCCGCGAATACAGATGGATCTACTAGACCCGAAGAGCTAAGACCTGTACCTGGTCGGAACATAGTCTCAGAACGAATAAGAAACATTGCGGAACGGGCCAATACTCCCACAGGTCGAGAACAGCGGAGAACAGAAAATACGTCAAATTCAACACCCGTGCCTCCTGTTACCCGAAAGAAGCCTCTAAAGGAAGACAATATTCCTCCTAGCCCAATAAAAAAGCCTAGTGTAGAGTCAAGACCGTCTACAGAGCCAGTCAATACAAACTTATCGACAATACTCGAGGATACCAGTGATGATAATAGTCTATACACGCTGCCTCCTGTTTCTACTATTCCAGCGCCTATAGATTTTGGTCGAGAAGCTTTCGGTGCCTCCGTCGGCACTTCTTCCTCGATTGGGCCGCCAGGAGGCCAAAATACTGCCCAGGGACTCTCTGGGACACAGGCCGCTGAAAAAATCACCAGTGGTCAAAGACCTCCCGCTAGTGTTGTCCAACCTTCGCCGTTTGAAACTGGCCAGCCGGGTCCCTTTTCAACATCCACAGCTCCTGCCCAAGCCCCAGTAGCTTCTGGGTCAAAACCTCCACCTTTCAGTACGTACAATAAACCCCAAGACCCACCAAAGCCTAGCACACAGGGTAGCCAAATTCCGCGTCCACCAAAGAAAGAGGAAGCGAAGCGCCGCAAGCAGTCCTCGAAGCCTCCTAAGACTGAAACTGAGGTTCCTCGACAACCTCACACATCTGTTGAAGCCGGAGCAGTGCTTTCTCCAGTCGATTGTAGCCCTAGGCATTCGACAGAACAGCCGTTTGATTTTCCACCAACCGATACTGCGGCCACTTCACCAGGAACTGGGCGTTTGTCTTATCCAGATTTTGGCTTCCGGCGACCACCCGGCTCCCTAAGTCCGAGCTCGAATATTGATAGAGTAGGCATAACACATGTCCCTTCAGTACCGTCCCCTACTGGCGCCTCAGGGTCACCGGGTACTCGGCAGCGAGTGGCGTTTGGCAACAGGTTCTCTCCGAGTCTTTTTGGCTGGAATACAAAAGAGAGTGAGAGTCCTACAACAGGAGGCTCTTCCCGAACCACTCAGCAGTACTTGCCTCAGCAACCGGATACGCAGCCACCATCATCGTCCCAGATACTAGGCCAAAATCCTTTCGTTATAGAACCTTCAAATCCCCAAAAGTCTTCAACATCAAACAAGCCCCAGACTAGTCCAAAAATTTCACGGATACCACTTCCTTCGACGACACAGCCCAGCAAGTCGGAGCCATCAATGGCGTCATCCTCGATGGCGTCGACCTCCGTACTACCGCCAAGTACACCGGAGAAAAAGATCCAGCGTACTAGAACGGAGACCCAAGCTTATTCAAATACCCCGCCACCAACTCTAGAAGATTTGCTGCCTAGTGAAGAAAACACACCAATGCGAAAAAACATGTTCCTAGATCAGGAAACAGCAGCTTACTATGAACGAAAGATAAAAGAGCAACAAGACAAAGAGGCGGAAGAGGCCAAAGAGGCTGAAGAAAAACGAAAAGCGGAAGCGGCCCCTCCAGCCCGAAGACCCGGAGAAATAGATCTCCTGCAACAATTTCGAAGAGGTAGAGAAGATAGGCTACGAGGTCAAGAGGAAAGGAGGGCTTCTCAGCAGGGACCAAAACAGACTGGAGGTGGTAGTGGCTCTAGCAAGTGAAGGAAGATATCTACGCTAAGTTATATGTCGGGATCAGGATTCACAATTGAGTAATCTTGCGGCGGGTGGTCTCAATTTGCCTGATATTTTGTCAGTCATGCAACTTCGTCCTTGTGGGCGGGTAAGATCTGCGGTTGGAAGCGATGCGACGCGGTGTTTTTTGAAAGGGACGTAGTCATTTGGTAAATAAGCTGCAATTCAGGCGCAATTGGTAGATTGTCAAATTCATGTCAACTTAAGGTGATTGATTGATTGTCAAGGTTTTGTAGTTTCGAAATTGGAAACCGGACTCCCTATCTAGCTTTCGCAGATAGTAATGATAAGCTTATATCTCGGAATACTCTTTCATCTCGTCTAGCTAATAGGAACTAGCCCTAGTACTAGTACTAATGTCTTCTACTTGACGTGACCATGAAGGTAATCCTAACTAATACCCGCAAACTAGAAACCCAACGATACTGTAAACTACCTCCTTAACTAGTAACTATCCCCCTCAAACATCGAACCGATATTCCTTTCTCCACCTTTTCTTTGGCGTTATGGTAGCACCATCCAATATATGCGACATTTCTCTTGGTAGCGATAAGCGAGATATATATTGTTTGTCGGATTATCTCTTTCGATTCATGGCCGATTCGGGCCCAAAGTGCGCTCAAAATTAGTAAACCACGTTTTTGCCATGATGCTCTCGACCCGAAATACTGCCTGGTAAGGCTAGCCAATTAACCGCTGTGTTAACTGACTCCAAGCCTCGCAAACACTAAAAGTGCTGATTTGCGGCCTCATAAAGGTTCAGACAGCTTATCGTCGACTGACTAGACTTACTTTGAGGACTTAAAGTTCGATATTTCAATAGCTGCTCAAGATTTTCGATATCCCCTCTATGACCGGCCAACAGATACCCCGAAGTGTCTGGCAGTTGTGCGCTTCAAAGGAGGATCTTGTATCCTTGGAAGCATATTGCTTTATGACCGCAAAGGGGGGAGTATCGGAAAGCCTGACTAGCTAGGATCGACTCATGCCTGCGCCTGCGTCTTTTAAAGAGACGAGACTGTTGTATTTCTACATAAACAACACATTTCTAAATACTCCTATTTTAGACAGCGATTCCCGAGTCCCTTTGTACGGTATCATTGAGGCCATGATAGATCCATAATGGAAATTGCTATGATACTAAATCCCCATGGAGCTTAGTTGACAAGTAGCGCTGCGAAAGTTGCCGTTGGAGTCTTCTGGCTTCGATAGCGATGGTACCGTTTCCTATTGGCGTGATCACCATCTTTATTAACTAGAGCCATATGCATATATCTCGCACCGATCTTATTTTAACCTTCCCAAAACACACGATCACCGATTCTTCCCACTCAAACTGTTCAGAGCCTATATTGGGTGATCGCAGGAGCTCTAGATAGAACCGGTAAACAGCGTTCGTAAGAGTGTGATTAGCAACCAGAAATTGATGGGACGGTGGTATGCCTGCTACATGTACATTCGGCGGTGGATTGCCACAAATCTCTGGAGATCTAAAACAGATCCATCTCCCACTCTTTTATATGATAGAGCTTCGTTGGTGCGACATATAACTTGACATTTCCCCCGCAGACGGAGTCTAAGGATACCATCTCTTTTACAATATTCTCCATTCTCTACTGCATTCTCCCTTCACTTTGCAGCCGTCACAATTCGGATTTTTTTGCCATTTATTATCTTTTTTTCGTCAAAAATCTTCGGTGCAGATTTTTTAATAATATATCATGGCTCCTCGACTTTCAAGGGTGCCGCTCTTGTTGGCGGCGCTGCTATCATGCCAGGAGACACTTGCACAGATTGTCACAGAGACTTCATTTGTGACCGTCAATGATGTTACGACCTTTTACACTTGTGCGCAATCTGGACTACCTCTGTGTGGCAATGTCGTCTGGTCCGCGGCTAGCACAGAATCTACTGATACTATCCCTACTGGTACTGGCACCGGCACCCAGCAGGCCACAGTCACCGAGACTGAAACGGAAGGTGGAACCACAGACACCGTGACTTCAATTGATGTGTCCACGGAAGTTGAGTCGGTGACCGAAACTATTACTCGATTCACCTCTTCATCAGTTTCCGCTACCGCCAGCACTGTTCCTACTCTCGTTGCTGGTGACCCAGTTAATCTATCACTCACAGATGCAAACGGTAACGCCTTGCTCTTGGCCGTTGACTCTACCGGCCTCGTTAGATTTGTTAGCTCAACTTCCGCGGATGCTGCCAACGCCCAACAAGTTTTCACCGATGATCAAGGCGTCTTCCATCTTGTCAGCGATCCAAATCGGGTCATTTACTTTGGTGTTCCTAGCACAGGTCGCCGAGGTAGAATTCTGAGACGTCAAGATGCGGCTATTGATCCATCAATTATGGCCATGTTGGCAGCACTCCAATCCTCCCTGGGTCCCAACGATGCTATTGCCTCTTGGAAGGTTGATCCAAGTGGCGGTTTGATCTGCACGTCAGCAGATGGTACTGTAGTGGAAATATACCTTGATCCCGTTACCGGGACTGCGGTTCCTGTACCCTCCGGAGAAACCCCCCCAGCAGGACTTCTCAAAGCCTCTCCCGTTGCAAAATCAGTTACAAATGTTCAACCCGTCACTGGTGCACCACTCAGCAGTTTCACGTTTTCGTTCGCCAGTTCAGGAACAACTTCAAGCGCCAGCACGAGTTCTAGCTCTAGCTCCAGTTCCAGCTCCAGTTCTAGCTCCAGCTCCAGCTCCAGTTCTAGCAGCAGTTCTTCAAGCTCGTCGTCTTCGGCTAATCCCCTCACCACAATCATCACTTCCTACGGTGACTTCTGTTCGACCTTGTTGGGACGTATTACATCTACAACTACTCATACTGGTGAAACACCCACGAGCTATGTTCCGTCTTTGACGACTTTCAATACATTTACATCTACCTACGTAAATAGCCTCTTCGTCACGGAGTTTTTGTCTATTCCTACAAACCCGTCCACAACGATCAACCCGACAAACACTTCCCCTCCTGCAGGTGCAAAGGTCGTAAAGGCCCAAAGGAAGAAGCGTCAGTCACCGACTACGCCAGCAGCATTGACGACTTACAGCGCTTCTGCTCTTACTTCAGCCTGCCAGGGCTTTATCGGAAGCACTTGGTCGCCTGTCACAACTATCGTCGAATCAACACCTGCGACTACAGTTGTTACTAGTGTGAACTTCCAGTATTCATTCACCACCACTCTCCCCACTTACACTTCTACAAGCTTCAGTACTACCTACACTTCCTGGACTTCAACTCTGGCTCTTGCAGCGGCACAAACGAACAACGTTAAGATCACAACTGGAACTGGTGCGAACATGCAATATCTTGTAGTAGATGCCGCCGGTGTCTCATCGGCGAAGTATCCACTCAAATTGGGTACTCTCGCCGAGGCAGCCGTTTTCAGTATCGACAACTATGGTCGTATATCAACCAGTTACACTCCCTCTGGTGGTTCTGCGACCGACTACTTCCTTCTTGACCCTACCGCAGGCACTCCGGGGGCTGGTAAGGCTATGTTGGCGGTCGCCGGAACCGCCGGCACCAGCGGCTACTGGCTATCCTTTTATTACTTCGGAACGACTAATCAGCTTGTCATTGATCCACAACGGAATAATCCGGCTACTGCTGGTGATCCAAAGACAGGAGAACATTTGTTCTTGATGTGCACTTACAGCCCAACCACGTATAAACAACTCGCTTTTGGTGTCAGTACTAACACAAATACTGGGGGTACCGATTGTACGGAGACTACGTTCTCCCTTACAGCTTAAGTTCGGAGATAGTTGCTATTGATTCCGTTGATTTTAGTTCTTCTTTTTGTCCATTTACACGATAGCAATTTTTTAATAATTTCTTCCAATATGTTTTTCAAATATCGGCACCACCTTCCAACACCGCTAGCCATCATCAAAAATGGCTGTTATTATTACTTGGGGAGAACAGGACTACTTTTGTTTCCTTCCTATGTTTTAGTATTCTAGTCGGCTAGCTAGCTTAAGTTCCCAAAATCTACATGTAGTTAGATTTAGTCACATTTACGTCTGGCGATTTGCTGGCCATATTCCTAATTAATGTATATTCCTTTTCTAAAAATGATAATTTCGCGACCCAAGAGTTTTAGGATTGCGAAATAGAGGCTGTACTGGTGCACCAATACACTAACGAGCATATTGGCTCTTGCTCACATTACGGAAATCGAAGGGCTATAGCTAAGCTACTGATTGGTACGAGACAGCCAGTGGTCAACAAAGCTAGTTCTCAATTTTCGGGATCATTGAAGATTAACAGTCTCTAATTTAGGCATCAGAAGATCTTTGAAAGTACCTCTTGTTAGACTCTGTACTCGTGAGACCGACTTTTTGCCATGTGGTAATAGCCACTCTTCTGGCGACTGGACCAAACTCGGTTGACTAGCTCGAAATACCACAAGGGAGTGTTGCTTTCAGATATATGGAACCCACCAGCTAATCCTACCGGTCAAGCCTCATCTTCACGCCACACGACGCCACATAAATGGTACCCTGTGTAACCTTCCGGAACTTGACGCCACCGGAAAGTTTTTGCTGCAGAATCGGAAGGCTCCGAAGGTGGGGCACGGGCTATACAAGGAAAAGGAACAAGGGAAAAAAAACTCCTTTTTTGTGGCTGACGACAGAGTATCTGATTCTTTGGTTAATTTTCGACGACGAGATGTCGCCGGCGTTGTTGGGTCTTGGCTGATGGTGGGGCCAGAATGCAGAGCGGGGCATCTCATCCCTCCAGTTACCGCGAGCGCACACCCCGTTCTGGTGGGCTGTTGGAACCAACAGCTCTGTTGTCTTCAGGCATCATATGCACGCTGCCGTCAATTGACCGGGCCATCTCTGGAGCCTTGTGGTCCTTCGTGATTGTGGGTATTATTCCGGCTGCTATATTTAAGAAACTGTCCCCGTCCTGGTCTTTGAGACCTTTTGTTTCATCCTTCTTCATCGCCATCATCACCATCACCATCATCATCATCAATTTACCCTTTCTTCGTCGACGATACCATCTGTCTACCAAGCAATCCATCCATCAACGGCTTCAGAGTTGGGCCGGCGGCCGATTGGCCAGATCCTTGTTGGTACGTTTTGTTGGATATTGGCCAGCGCAACACAATTACTTCGTTCGACCGGCCGATGCAACAACCCATGCTTTGCGCTCCATCCCCCGTCCAATGGTACCCCTTTTCTCTTTCTTATATTCCTTCTACTACCTGCTATGACTAAATCATGGTTGTCCATCGAGATATTCGCTATCTCCTGTTGTGATCGTCTAGCCTGATGGGATAGACGCAGGCGGGTCTGCAAATTGCATCACGATGCCATTTCCATCGCTTTTTCTGGCTTTGGGTCTCACTCTTTTCTTATACTTCTGCAGAATAAAAAAGGATTATGTAGAATTTCAAACTTGGACTGTGTTTGAAGGAGGTGCTGACTATAGATGATAAACTGATTAGAAATCCAGGCACCGACTTGACCCTAATCACCTTACCAAACTTTCAACATGGAGTTTTACATGACAGATATCCCGGCATCTGCTAGTCCCAAGCAAATACGTGCTGCTCTGGGATCTGTCCTCAAAAAATATTTTATTTACGCATTCGAACTCCGACAGTGGCAGAGCAAGAAGTTTAGGCACCTGCAAGAAGGTTGTTTTACCGTACACGATGCCGCTATTGGAGAAGAGATCTTCAAAAAACATGGTACACCGGAGCCGAGAACTATACTTCGGGGTACGAGGTACATTAAAATTGCTAGCAGAGCTCAGACTCCTGTGATCATTTCTGGGTCTGCGATCAGTATCAAGCGGAGTAATAAGAACTCTGCAGTACCCGAGCATCTTATTCGTGCGCTCCGTGAAGAGAACGAAAAGGTTGCGAGGAATATGGCAAATCGACAACCTGCGGATAAAAAACCTTATCGCACACCTTTCGCATTCCAAGGTTTTGAGTGCGGTGTATGGACTACCGACCCCAGAAATTTCGACTTACCGACATTTTCTTCATTTTACTACAGCGCACGGCCTGGGAATTTTAAGATGACACGCCAAGCTATTCAAGTGGAGTTATTCAAGACGATGCCAGCATTGGGGCACCCTGTTGGACAGTATATGCTATGTCCGACTGGTACCATACGATCTTCGATCATTTCCAATGAGAGTACAGGAACATACTTCATCATCTCCTTGCGCTGGTCGCCGAAACTTTATGAAAAGCTCGAATCAACATCATCTCCAACAAGCCCGCTTAATGCCTACGGAAGCCCCATTTTCCAAGCCCCTCCGTCGCGACGTCTCAATAAGGCAAGAATTCCTTCACTCGACGAAAAGCACGCCAAGATTGTATCGTATTGTTTTGTGTACCGCTTCAAACTCAAGGAAGCACATGAAGCTATTCGTCTTAGCACCGTTGGCTCCATTCCAGGATTTCAGGATATTCAAAGTCTCAAAATATTCCACCAGTATGTCAGTTACGACTTCCAACGGTCTATGGAAGGCCTGGAGGAACAACTTCGTACCCTGCCATTTGATGTCGCATTCCAAATGCACTCGCTCGTTTTGAATGGCGTGCTTCTTCCTCACCGTGTCAAAGAACTTCTTGGTGTTGTCCGACGAGCGATACAAAACTCCTATAGCAGCGTATCTCAGGTAGAATCCAACCGCGACTCGAATGGAACAGGAATCAACGCGAGGGAACATGCTACGCAGGTCGTGGCTTCAGTTTTTAAATCGTGGGCAGGGGAATGGGAGCCCCAATTACCATCCGAAGACCCGCAGATTTGGTTGTCCGAAAATATCCAGAAAGACTTTCTCGAAGCATTAGAAACGAAGCAAAAAAGTCAAGAATACATGGTCCGAATGAAGTTTTATAGAAAGGAAAACCAAGTCTTAATCCATCGGATGTCCATTACACCCACCGGAATGTTTCCTGGTGGCCCAAACTTAGAGCCAAAGAATAGAGTGTTAAGAGAGTATCATGATTATCTTAACCACTTTCTTCGAGTATCGTTGGTAGAGGAAGATGGTGGGGACCTACGATTTGAAAGCGGCGTGGATGGGAAATATATTTACGACGGAAGATTCCTTCCCTTCTTGATGCCGGAGAGCAATCTCCTAAAAATCGCCGGTCGGACCTTTAAATTTTTGGGTTTCAGTCAAAGTTCTTTAAGGTCTCATACAGCATGGTTCATGGCGACAATATCAACGCCAAGAAGGACGATAACGGTAGACGGGGTTATTGAACGTCTGGGTGATTTCAAATCCATTAAAATTCCCGGCAAATGCGCGGCGAGAATCGGGCAAGCATTTACAGATACAGTTGCGAACATCAAGATCGATGACTTTATGATTGCCCAAAAACGGGATATCATAAAGATCGCACCTGGTGGGAAAAAGTATACGTTCAGCGATGGATGCGGCACTGTTTCTAAGCCCCTGATTGAGTTGATTTGGAAAAAGGGCGAGTTTACTTCAGATCCGAAACCGACAGTTTTTCAGATCCGATTCCGAGGTCAGTAGATGCATTTCTCCCTTTTTTTTTCTGTTAGGATCTCTAGTCGGGGTTAAGGGAGCTTTCAAATATTGACTTGGAGAACAGGAGCCAAGGGAGTTGTTGCACTTGACAGTACTCAACGCGACCCCATTCTATGTCTTTACGACTCAATGGTAAAGTTCGACGGCTTGAAGAACAAGGTCTTCGAAATCTGCCGAAGTTTCACAAAGCCATTGCCATTTTATCTAAACCGATGTATTATCAAAATCCTCGAAGACCGCGGAGTCCCCATAAAAAACTTCATGGACCTGCAGGGAAGAGCCCTAGCAACACTTCGTGAGAGGACCTTTACCCCGGATAGCGCTGCCCACTTCCTAGACTACCAAAATAGGTGTACGCAAGCAAATATCCCATTCCTTATCCGAGAACTATTCGCCCTGGGCTGGGATTATAAAGAAGACAATTTCCTGAGGAAGGTAGTCGAGTTTACCATGCTGACCACGCTTCGAGATATGAAGTATCGTGCAAGAATACAAGTCGACAAGGGATTTACTTTAGTCGGGGTGCTTGATGAAACAGGATATCTCCAAGAAGGGGAGATATACTGTCCCATACAAAGAGAAGGCGGAAAAAGAGAGGCACACCGAGGTGTCGTCGCTATCTGCCGAAACCCGGCACTTCACCCCGGCGATATCCAAATAGTGACAGCGGTCGAAGTGCCCTATGATTCGCCACTCCGCGATCTCATGAATTGCGTCGTTTTTTCGCAGAGAGGGCAAAGAGACTTGCCTAGTATGCTTTCCGGTGGGGATCTGGATGGTGACATTTTCCATATCTGGTGGGAACCTAGTTTGATGCCGAGATTCAGCTCTGCACCTTCAGATTTCCCGGCTGTCGAAGCTTTAAACTACGATAGAGATGTTACACAGGCGGATATCGGAAAATTCTTTTTGGATTTTATGGAGAACGATAAGCTGGGGGTTATCAGCGTCGCTCATATGGTTCTAGCCGACCAGGAACCAGCGGGTGTGAGGAGCGCCGCCTGCCTGACGTGTGCAAGAATGGCATCGCAAGCAGTAGACTTCCCGAAGACAGGTGTTCCAGTGAGTAACCCGTCTTAAAGATACATCCGATGTTGGACATTTCCGCTAATGTTTATGATGTGATATAGGTAAGAATGAGCGAGCTGCCCAGAACACCTAAAGCACGCCCAGACTTCCTCGCGCCGGGTCCAGGTGTCAAATTTATCAACGGCGACCCAAACCTCGTCACCGATGAATACGAGGACGAGTTCAAGTATGAATGGTTAGATTTCGAAACCGGTCAAATCGACCTTTCGAAATTCGATGATGCAGATGACCCATTCAAAAGCGGCACAGATTTCCGCTATTATAAATCGGACAAGGCGCTTGGTTACTTATTCCGAGAAATAGATGAAGAAAAATTCATAAAGGCATGGGAGGATAATGCTGCGCGGTTTGAAAGGGGTCCTAACGACCTCCTGAAGAAAGTACAGGAATATATGGTTCGGTCAGTGGACATGGAAGTAATGTTAGGGCTATATGGATTCGCGCAGGATTTGCGGATGAGGTAAGAATTCTACCTAGATACAAAAACGCAAATTATGCTAACGATAATACGAACTAGCTACGAGAATAACATCCGCGATTTATCCCATAATTACGCCATAAACCGCAACAACGATGCCCTAGAGGAAGTGGAAGTCTTCATCGGCGCCATCATCGGTACCGAAAGTCATCGCCTATCACGTATCGTCCGTGATAGTGCAGAAGAAATGCGTGGTGAAGTTACAAGGCTGATCAGCCATGTTGCTGCGATTATCAGATTTGGAAGTGAGGGAAGCTCGGCAGTTAGGGATGGACATTATGATGGCCTTACTTTGGAGAGGGCGTTAGCTTGCGTGCAGGCTTCGTTTACGGCTAGGGAGGACGATGAAGGTGGAAGTAGCTTTGGATGGATAGCAGCGGCGATCGGGTTGAAGGAGTTGAGTAAGAGGGCAGTGGTTAATTCTTTAGCGGACAACTTGGGGGGAATGAGGATTTAATTGGATGGGGGGGTTGCAATTGTTTTATGTAGGATCTATTTTCAATACTGTTGATGGTTAAGTGGGAAGCTAAGGTCGTGATTTTTTATTGAAGAATTTTCGCAGCAGCGTTTGCTTACGAGATAATCTTTTTCTTTGATTTCAAAATTCCAACAGCTTTGCTATGAGATATATGTCTTTATTCCTTTCTTTTTATGGCGATAGGTGCGGACTGGCTACTTAATTCTAATACAATGATATACGCTGTCAGAAATCTAATAAGTTTATATAATAAATATGGGACCGAAATAACCAACTATGAATTATAAAAAGCCAAACGCCACCATCAACATAGATCCTTCTTGGCTAGTTGATATTCTAATTATTTTTTCATACACTTAATATTCGCCTCTATATAAATCTTTATTTCCGCCAATGTTGGCTTCACTCTCAGATGTCACAAAAGGAGGCATGTCAAGCCTGATCATGACTTTAGAGAACTACCAGCTACCTTTCGGTGTGGGCTGGGCAGGGCAGGCTGGTTCACGAGACAATGTATATATGAAAATCCGTATCGTCGTAGCCTGGCGTGTGGTCGACGGATCTCATCCGAAACCTCTCCTTCATGCGCCCATTACTGTCTCGTAACTAAACTATGTTGGTCTCCGATTACTGAGGATCAGACGTATGCTCTGCTTCCCAACTCTTCCTCATCCTGTCAAGTTCTGCAAGCTCAGCACCTTGCTCTGCCGGAGTTCCCTGACGGCACATGCCAAGATCAATGACCTCAATAGTTCCCTTTGCAATCACGAAATTCTCGATGCGAATATCGCCGTGGATGGCTCCATGCCTATGGATGGCGACGATTGCCTTTCTTGCTTGCGACCAGAGCTCTTCTGTCATATTTTCATCACATGCGGTTTGCCCACAGTCCTCGATGACGAGAATTTTGAGTGCCTTCCAAGTTGATCCTGCGGCGTAGAGCCGCGGGATGTATTTTCCTTGTAGGGAGTGTAGGCGGTTGTACCTAATTTATACCAGAAGACTTAGCACGCACGCATATGAAGATTGAGAAATTAGGGTTTGGCCGCGTGATAAAAAGGGGCGAAAATAAGCTATTTTACACCCAAATGTCTTTGATGTACGGAGGGGCTTACGCAGAAATTTCTTTATGGGCAAAGTCTAAATTATATGGTTTCGTGATGTCATAGACTTTGAAAAAGGCCGGACTGCTATATCGGAATTTTACGTCCTCTCGGGGTTGAATTTCTCCCGACATTACTGTAGCAATATTCTTTCTCCCGGTTCCACTTAGCCTGAGGGCCATATCTTTCCATGGCACCGTTAAGTTTTCATCCCAAGATCCTTCTATATCTAGGTCGTCTAGAATAAAGGTGTGGGTTATCGGGAAGGAATTGAAAGATTGATGTTCTTCGACAGCCTGCTTGCAGATGTACATCAAAGCGGCTACAGGACCTCGGGTACCGGGGTCACTGTATAGGAATGGGGGAGAAACTTCCAACCCGTTATCTCTAGTTCTCCGGAATAGATATAAAGCTTCATAATTGCAAAATCCGCCATATGTAAGATTGTTGAATGTCATGTAGCCGTATATTTGGTGAACCAATTTTACGACTTTGTCGTCTAAATCAGCTCTGTTATCGTTGAAATGATGAATTAGGTTTTGAGGCGTGGAAAATGTCCATGGGGGCTCCCACTGGATCAGGAATTTGGTCCTTGATCTTTCGTAAGATTTTCCGGTGTAGGTGTAGGTGTAGGTGTAGAAGACACGATCTGGGTCGCCGATGACAATGGCTCCCTTGTGATGTCCAAAATCACTGTCAATAGAGAATAATTCATAGAGAATTCGAACACTGGGTCGCTCGTAGACATGGGCCCCGAGTCTTAGTACGTCCGATTTATTCCCGCAGGAAGACCATCGCTGTGCCTCGTGGTTAAACCTATTTGCGATGGTACGGAATGCGTTTGACTGGGTTTTTTGGGAACTCTTAGTCAAAATATAAGCAACTTAAGAGAGCGAGATAACCTAGGGCAGGGTGGTATACTTTCTGCTGCAGAAGAGGGTCTAGCAACTGGTGGACCTTATTCCGAATATCCGGCCATTCTTTCAAGTTTTGTAGATGATGGCCGGGAGAGACAGGGTTTGTCGGGGGAGTTGATGAAATTGGAGATGTCTTTCGGATCTTTGGAGGAGCCACTGCTTCCAAGAAGCTGAATAGATCCATTGAAAGCTTTGCAGATTCTTAGTTTAAGGCTGAAAGGGAATGAGGAGGGGTCGTCATTAAGAAGCGGAGTCTTTGATTGATGAATTGACCAAACGTTGAAAGTTAATTTTGGCTTGGGCAGATAAACCTTATAAGCAGCCGCCACATAGATATGTAATTGCCTAAAGTAGTAAGATCAGACGTCGTCTATATGCCTCAAAGTTAAACTTACTAGGGACGGCTACGAAGGAACTAAGTTGAGTAGTTCCAATAATTAAAGTTGTATGTCTCATAAAGTAATGTGAAGTCAGGTATTCTCGTGGGACTTATGCGTTGGAGCCCTGCCCGGGCATATCACTTAGACCGACGACTACCTAGGTACTTATCTACCTAGCTACCTTCACATCGACACTAATCCTCCGGACCCTCACATAACGCGTCGATACCAACCTATCACACTAACTTTTCACGATCGACCTTAGCTGATAATTTCACAATTAGCTGTTCTCCAAGTACGCGAAGCTCGCACCAATATTGAAAGATCCTTTGCAGCCAACCGCGGCAGCAGCCTACCCAAAAATGGTTTCTGGGCATCAAGGGTCAGTTGTTCTAACAATCTAACCCCAGTTAATCCATCGTTTCCCTTGAAGCGATTTTAAGAAGTCCACATGATAATGCTAACACCACCTCCTTTAACATGTGTATTGCTATATTTTAGTTGTTCGAACTTGTGCCCCAGATGTCAAAGGGATTGCTTATGTCCGAACTGCAAGAAATGCCACTTCTGCCAATGCAGCGAACGTTTTATTCTGCAAAAGGGTCAAAAAGCCGGTGAAAAGCTGCCTCACAGTTGTCAGGCATACAAGGACGAGGTGGTGATATACTCAACTGCGCAAAACAGCCTCTACCATCATTACTCCCTAGCCGCGGGAAAAAATGCATGGCTCGAATCAGAGAGTAAGGGATATGCGAAGAATTGGGCCGATGAAAAGGAACAGACCAAGCGTCTTCGGTCAGAAATCCTCCGCATTGGGGATGATAAGCTGTTGGTAAAAAACTTCGCAGAGTAAGTCTTAGACTTTTTTCGGATACCTGTAGCTACTACTATACCTTTTTACCGTGTCACTAATATGCAGCACATAAAAAGGTTGTTTTCATCGGAGCCGATTTCCATCATCGTCGGGCCCTCGAAGAAGAGTTTCACGATCCATATCGATTCACTACGCCGGGAATCAACCTACTTCAACGAAATACTCTCTGCAAAGACAAGCGAGGATGGCCCCTTCCTTTTAGATGGTGGAGAACACAATATTGATGCATTCGAGATGTTTGTGGAGTACTGCTACTTTGGTACGTACTTCGGGTATGATGAGCCACACTTATTGCTTCTCCACGCGCGAGTTTACGCTCTTGCCGGAAAACTCAAGTGTTTACCTCTGAAAGCTATCGCCCTGAAGAAGGCAACAGAATGGTCCTATGGTGATTCCACGAGACCTGAAGGAAGCCTCCTGCTAAGTATAGTCGCAGACCTGGTTGAAGCTATCCGAGTAGTGTATACCTACACTGAAGACTCTGGGCATGGATTTATATTGCATAGGCCTATCCCAAATGATCCTAGCGGCTCACTAGAAATAACCAGAGATAGATTTCGTCTCCTTCTAGCAAAGCTCGCTGGAATGCACCTGAACGCGCTAAAGAATCTGGGCGAGTTCGTTAAAGTCCACCACAAGTTCTCAGACTTTAACACAGACATGCTTTTGTTCGTCAGAAATGCTGTGGAAAAGCCCAAAGCCAGTACAAGCGAATCTAGGAATGCCCTGACCGATGGACAAGATGAATCTATACAGTTGCGAAGGAATGATATTTCCGCATTCAGCAGGTAATATAACATCTTCAAAGTTCTTAAAGCCTTAGTGGTGAAAGGAGAACGTGGTAGCTAATGACATTATTGACTCCCAGATTTTTCAACACTGATACGTTGGGCGTCTTTGTCGGCAAGCAAGCCAAAAGATTCGATGTCCACATATCTGCCGTTGAATGCGCTGAATTCTTCAAACGGCTTATGACTTCTGCAATGATAGAATCACGAGATAAAGCAGTGGATTTGACATCCGAAATCGACACACCGGATGCATTTGAAAAGTTTGTTCAATACTGCTACCTTCAAGACTACACCTGCGACAAAGACCGAGCTGATACTCTCACGCAACACGCAGCTATCTATGTGCTTGCAGACAGATTGATCTGCCCGGGCCTAAAGAAACTCGCCCATGAGAAAGCAAGAATAGTTTGCGAAAATGCACACGCAGAGAAGCCAGACGAAGTGCTTTTTGCAATCCCCGCCGCTGTGACGTTGGTCTACGAGAATACCTATGACAGCCACAACACGAAACTTCTAGAACCTCTCAGCAACAGCCAGCAGGATGCAACAAATGAGGCTTCCAGTTCCACCGAGGGCACTACTGCTACCGAGGGACCCCCGAAGGGGAAGAACGACGCCCAAACAGCCGCTTCTAATGTGAAAAGCGCGCCGGCTTTGGAAACTACCAATAGAGATAGTTTTCGAGTCCTGCTTTCTCAGTTTGCTAGCCTCTACATCTCCCAGTTGCGAACTCAAGAGCCATTCAGTTCTGCCCATCATCGCTTCCCCGACTTCGCGACGGATCTTATGTCTCTGGCCACACCCGGCAAAAAGTTCGAGTTAGGATCAGACGGTCAACTCAAGCTGTAGGCTGAAAAAGATAGCGTCCAGGTCCTTACCTTGACAAACTTATCTTTTGTTTGACTAACAAATAAAACATCCATGGGAAACCCCATTATCTTCCGCACCAGTTGAGACGAAGCATATGTACTTCAAATCATATATTTTTGTAATAATCAATGCTACCTCAAATACATTTCTTTATTGAAGTCTGAAGTTCTCAGAGTTCGAAGCGAGAGGTGGAAGCGTGAAACTTTTAAATCTGCTTACGCGTCCTAGGTTCCTCTGAGAATAAGCCCAATTCGGTGATGGTGTTGGCGCAGAACGCATCAACGTTTCGATTTTGTACGATTAAGAAATCCGAAACAACTCCAGCTTTCATCTCCTCCGAAGAATCCGAGAGAACTTTTAAGTTTATATTGACCTTGTACTCCGACAAGGGGAGCAGACTTCAAGATGGAGGGTGATCAACTCGCAATATGATGATGTACACGTATTCCACCCGTCGGATTCAGCCGCTCGAAAAAAACACATAGACTGTAACGTTGCAACTCAGCACGACCAAATGAAAATGGTGTGGCCTAGAAGCTTTCAAATCCTCACCAGAGTTTGGCTACGGAAAACAAATATGCAAGCCGGGGTAACTAGAGGACCACCCATGTCTAAAAAAAGCTTGTTCGAATCCACGATCATGGTTTATGTCTTGGAAGCCCCGTAAACTAACCACTAACGTACTAGCTTTACACGGAATTTCGTTGAATCCCTGTTCAGCTGGGGATTCTGAGTGGTTGACAGACTTCGATTCTGGTCAGCCACCCGCAGGAATTTTGCGGAATGCGTATTAATCAGCTATTTGTGGTCCAACTGGAAGATGCCCTCGAAATGAGGAACTACGAGACAAAGATGCAAACAAACTAGGCTGTGCCTTTCCAATAGAACTGAAAATTTTGGTCACTTCCTCGAGGCTGATCGGAATGAATGGGGGTGTTTATAAGTCGAACGCCTTCACGAGACGGAGTCTCCGATTCCAATCGTTATTCTAATTGTCATTGTGTATACATCCACAGTTTTCATCATTGAAATTTTTTTACAATGCGCTTCCTTCTTACGCTCGCTACGTTCGCTTCCACGGCCTTCGCGCAGACGGTTCATACCGTCAGCGTTGGATCTGCTGGGCTCACTTTTTCTCCGGATTCTATTACCGCCAAGACGGGGGATACCGTGCAATTCGTTTTCAAAGGAGGGAATCATACGGTCACTCAAGCGGCGTTTAGTAGTCCTTGTAATCCCACCTCGAGGGGCTTTTCGAGCGGTTTCACTGGATCTAGGGTAAATATCCCCCGTTTTTAACGATTATAACTTCCAATTGCCACTTTTTGCTAATTAACAATACAATACAATTAATATAGTCCGAGAGTTTCTCGATAATATTGGCGAATACGGATCCAATCTACTTCTACTGCGCACAGCTATCACACTGCCAACTCGGTATGGTCGGCGCCATTAACCCTCCCTCGTAAGTCTCCCATTCTCTCTAACCGATTCCTCCTAAAATTATATTAAATATCCAAAAAAAACTAACAAACCCCAACAAGCTCCGGTAACACCCTCGCGGCCTTCAAAAGCGCCGCCACAAACGCTCGTACCCAATCCACCCCGTCCTCTCCATTCGGCGGTGTCATTTCCATCCAAGGAGGCGCTGTATCGACAGCTCCAGGTGCTGTTCAAAGTGGAGGTGGGGCTACTACTCGTGCTACGGGTACTGGAGGCGCCGCTGCGACTTCTACTACTTCTTCTGGGCCTAAGCCGACTGGGAATGGAGTTATGGCGTTGACGGGGGATATGGTTAATGTTGTAATGGGGATTTTTGGAGCTGTTGCGCTTTTGGTTTAGTTTTGTATGATTCTTCTTTTATTAATTTTATCGGAGGGTACTGTTGTTCTATGGATATTAATTCGGAAGCGTTGGATATGTGTATGTACGTACATACACGTGGTTCTATACATGTATATCTTGACATGACTCCTGTATCAATATAAGCAAAGAATGTGAGGTGATAAAGTTGATGCTCTTGACGTGCTCACCCCCTTGTTGACCGACTCACTAAGTACATCAGTCGCATCCGACAAGGATTTCAAAGTTACCTAGACAGTTTAAGAAAGCATATTTTGTATTTGTGGCATCCAGGAAACGACCTAATTTAAGCTTTCTGATCGTATATATATATACTAGTACTACGCTTATAACACTAATAGTATAATTGTCGGAGTGCAGGGGCGTGCGCGTTCTCGTTGTGCCATTCTGCAATTAGGTTATTGCAGTTCATATGGATTCTCCTGACCCACTCGTTGTACTCTTCACTCCATCCCTTCCATTTCACAAGATATATGTCCTCTGTTTTACCAGCCCCAGAGCGTCTTCTTCTGTAGCCCAGAATTGAGTCAACCTCCCATCGTTCTCCATCATCACTAACCTCCACAGGTTCTTCCACCTCCCTAACATCCCTCTGGTGAATCTGTCCCCTGTGGAGGTAGGTCCGATGGAATGTATGAAAGCATATAATATATATATATATCCCCGTCAGACCACCATGGTCTGGGAACGATTCCAATCTATGAATCTAAGACAGAAGATGTCTATATATCGTAGAAGACCTAAGAGGCTTTATCGATACCGTTTTGCTAGTCATTACTCGAACGTTCGAACCTCTTTGTTTCGATATGAGTGCAAGGCAAGAGTGTCCCTTTGAATATAGAGTCATTGCATATTGAGGCGATGTACACGCCAGGATCACTAGTATCTGGGATGCATGTGGTGGTAAGTGAAATCATATTGTCCGAACTGATTATAATAATGTTTATATATCAGGTATGTAGCGTATCGAAGCATTCAAAATAAACTGCTGGTCGCATAGACGGTGTCGTTATATAATGAGAAGAAGAAGAGGCTGAGCTAAAGACTTGAGCCATAGTGATTGAAAACAGTGATTGTTTGCGTGTGGGTCCCAATCATAGTTAATAGGTAAGTAGTACTTAGACAGCAGGTTATATATATTAGTTTTGTAAATATGCCATGTTGGGATGTTATGTCTATGTACTTTCACACCATAAGTACATGTACATACCTTATACGTATAGATTGGCCAGAAGCCATGCCACTCCGATAGATATAAATACTTATATACCTAAGTATGAATATTTAACATTTTACACTCGGGAGCCATTACTTCCATTGTGTATTTTCGTCCGTCGCGTCGATGGTCGGCTTATTGGACGTGATTATGTAGGTGATTCTTCGCCTGAAATTTAATTCATAAACACCCCCTACAAAAATCATGCGAGACTTGGGCCAGGACCATGTAACAATTAATTTCTCACATGTTGATTATACCGTTGCGATATTAGCAAAGCTATATGTACTAATGCATGGCCGGAATATTTTATTTTGAATATTAGTTAGAAAATGCATGTGCTTGTGGAGAATGAATGAGCGGAAACATGTCTAATCCTTCCTCTTTTGTTTTTAGCCCATGCATCTGTCCTTACCTAATATTATACTTATTACTGCCTTACTAGTTAGAATAAAAATTAAATCCACTGGTATCTCGTTCACCATTTTATATATATCCGGGACTCCATTAGTATAGTTGATTCGTGAAACTCTGATATAGATGATATTAACAATGGCCGGTCGTACCTACATGTCACATCACAAAGGGGGAGCTGCACATATTTCAATCTGCAAGGTCGTCAACACTGTTGGATTTTGGAGACGAAATCAAAGAACAACACTAACATCAACCCACACCTGTCCTGCTTATCAGCATCATCGCCCTTCAGCTCTGCAAACCTAGAATCCGGACCAACCACCCAAATGCAATGTCCAACCCTTCATCAATGATGGTTAGTTGTCTCGTACCCAACCCAGCCGAGGTGTTGCCGATAGTTAGCAATATCGATATCGATATCGAAGTAGTTCAAAGAATCATCCATGCTTCCTGAGAATTAGGTATATTACAGGTTAAGAGAGCCAAAAAACGACACCAACAATAGACGTCACGTGACCATGGTTTGAAAATATATATATCGATCCAGGGAAGGCTCATTATCGGCATCTATACGGTACATAACTTCATTATCTTATCTTGGCTATCTTTTACTAATAGAGCTCCTTTACAGTGTGGTATATCTTCTCTCTTTTGACAACTAACTAGCTATAGGCTGAGAAACTTCATGTGTCGTTACTTGTAAATATCCGGCCTCGGTCAGTTTGCACGGTTATATCTATGTCAAAAACCATAACCTACGCCGGATACTTAGTTAGCCGCCAAGCCCCAACCTGAGTTGGCGAATGTGTTATCGAGCAAAATACGCGGCGGACAATGCATATGCATATGCATGATATGTTGTTCAAGGCTGCGAGTTTTCAGCTGACAGATAAACGACCCCACAATCCTTCAACCATTTCCATAAATTAACCTGCCTCGAGCGCCTAGATGCGAGAATAGACGATCAAAAAAACATAAGATCTTGCAAACCGGTGCGAAAAAAGTCACAACACCCGAAATCGAAATAATGGCGGATCCTTTGTCGATAGCAGCTGGAATCGTTGGCGTAATTCAAGGTTTCAAGGCCTGCTGGGACTATTATGAGGGTGTTAAAGGCGCTAAGAGCGATATTGGAAAACTCAAGGCAGAGATCGGGAGTATCGAAGGATTAATAAAACGACTTGATGAGCTTATAAAGAACCCGAAATACCACGGCCTTTCCGAGAATGGAGAGTTAAAGGTTGCACTGGGGGGCTGCTTGAAGGAACTTGAACAACTCCATGACAAACTGGATTCGCAAAAAGAGCAGTCGCGCTTTAGATATCTCAAACGTACAAAGTGGCCGTTCGTTAAGACCGGAGTAGTTGAAATCGTCAACAGTCTAGAAAGGTGGAAGGCATCTATTAATACATTTCTCATCATAGACCACACGTAAGTAACTCCCTAGACTGGGAGGGGGAGGGCAAATAGCGAGAAAATTGCAAATAAACATACCATTGGAGTCCGCTGACACAAATTTAGGGAGACTGTCCGGAATCTGAACCAGAAATTCGATTTGGCAGGGCTCCCCATCGCTGAAGGGGCGGGATATAAAAGCTTCGAGGACCGACACGAACCCGAGTGCTTACCTGGGACTCGGTCTGAGCTGCAAGAACGCATTGCAGGCTGGGCGGATGCTCCGCCTGGTGCTAGTGAATGCATTTTCTGGCTAAGCGGCGTCGCAGGCACCGGGAAGTCCACGATATCGCGAACAATAGCTAAAAGACTCGAAAAGAAAGGCCAGCTTGGGGCCAGCTTCTTTTTTAGAAGAGGCGAGAAGGACCGCGGTAGGGCCGCCAGACTGTTCACCACGATTGCGTTTCAATTGGCACATACAGTCGGCGTTGGGCGGAATATACAAAGGGCCATTGAAGCGGACCCTGGCATCCCCAAAATGAATATCGCGGAACGGTTTGAAAAACTGATATTACAGCCTCTGTCCGGATTGTCAGGCACTGGAATTGAGCTTCGACATACTAGAGTTATTATTTTAATTGACGCATTGGACGAGTGCGACGACGAAAGAGACCAAGAAGAAATCGTATTCCTTCTCTCGCGACTAAAGGAGGTAAAAAGTATCGAATTTTGTGTTTTCCTGACAAGCAGGCCGGAGCTGCCTATTCGGGATGGGTTCAAAAGCCTCTTTGAGGGTTGCCATCAAGATGTCGTCTTACACGAGGTGCATGGAATCGACAGGGACATTCGTATTCTTCTAAATGATGAATTTTCGAAAATACGAGCGAAGAGAGAGCTTCCCAAGGACTGGCCGGGCGACGAAGACATCACAAAGCTAGTTCAAATAGCCGTACCCTTGTTCATTTTCGCAAAGACAGCTTGTCGTTTCATCGCTGATGAAAACTGGGATGCTAAGGAACAGCTCGGTCTCATTCTGGAATATCAGGCAGACTTGACTGAGGACGCTCGCGTAGAACAAACCTATCTTCCCGTCCTCAAGCGGTTTGTCGAGAATCAAAACTCTGCCAAACAACGGGATAGGTTAGCAGGAGAGTTTAGGGAGATAGTTGGGTCAATTTTGACTCTGGCTAGTCCACTCTCGATCCCGTCTCTAGCAAAACTTCTGTCCGTCCCGGAAACAACAATCGATAATCGGCTCAAAAAACTGCATTCCGTTCTCAACATACCTATGGGACGCCATGACCCGGTCAGAACATTTCATCTATCTTTCCGCGATTTCCTTGTTAGCCCGCGTTTGTGTAATGATAAGAATATGTCCCAACTTTGGATAAATGAGAAAGAGATACACAAGATGCTCGCGACTAAGTGCATCGAGATCATGTCAAATTCTGAAGGCTTAGGGTTGAAACAAGACATCTGCCGTTTAGAGCTACCAGGAATCCTGCGATCCGAAATTCACGAAATTCTGGTGCAAAAGTATATATCTCCTGAGCTTCAGTACGCATGCCGTTACTGGGTATATCATCTGACCCGGAGCGGAAATAAAATTTGTGACGATGATCAAACGCACCGATTTCTAGAGCGCAGGTTGCTTCATTGGCTTGAAGCGGAGAGTATACTGGGCGATCTGGAAAATACAATCCAGATGGCGGAGGACTTGAGAGCTATAGTGGATGTAAGTGACACCGTTTTTGATTAATTGATGATCGGAGTCCATCAAGAGGTTGGCCCGCATTGCATCCAGTCTAGTTTCCTGGAGGTCATCTTGTTTAGGGTCTTATCATAACGGCTCACGAGAGGTGCTTTTAGGTCGAAAAGGGCGAAAAAGTCCTAGCTTTTCTTTATGATCTTAGGAGGTTCTTGCTTCAGAATAGGTATATCATCGATAGGGCACCTCTACAAACTTACATCTCAGCGATCATATTCACGCCAGAAGATAGCATTGTCAGAAAACGGTTCGACTTGAAAGCAATGATACCGTGGATCCGATCATTTCCCAAAGTCCAACGAAATTGGGGTGGTCTGCTGCAGTCCCTAGAAGGACACAAAGGTATGATTAAGAGTGTAGCGGTCTTCGACGGCGTCATCGCCTCTTCGTGTTCAGATAGGATAATCAGGCTGTGGAATTCGGGCACTGGGGCACCGTTACGGACGATAGAAGGAGATGGGAGATCGATAAACAGTTTGGCGTTTCGTTTCGATGGAGTTTTGGCGTCGGTATCTGTAGATGGGATGATTAAATTGTGGAACATAGATACTGGGAGGTTGTTGCGGACCTTGGAAGAGAATACGAGTGCTGTTGAGGTGATAAGGTTTTCTGCTGGTGATGTCTTAGGATCTGGATCTTCTGGCGGTGAAGTTATACTGTGGGATACAGGCTCAACGTTAACACAACCTAAACCGCAAGTGCTTGAAGGACATACCAGTGGAATTCAGGCCCTAGAATTCTTTAACGATATTCTAGCATCTGGCTCTGACGATAGATCTATCAGGCTATGGAAAACAGACGGGACGTTGTTGCGAGTGCTAAAGGGGCATACAGACAGTGTCAGAGCTCTTGCCTTTTCTTCTGATGGAACTTTGGTATCAGGATCTATTGACAAAACAATCAAGTTGTGGAATGTGGACGGAACATTGCTGCGAACGCTGGAAGGGCACACAAAAGCTGTTGTGAGCTTGGTATTTCTTAATGACAGAATAGTTTCTGGGTCCTGGGACAACACATTCAAGTATTGGAGCATGGATGGGACACTCCTGCAAACAGTGGAATTCAAACGCGGCGGCACGATCCAGGACACTGCACTTGCTTCTGGCGGGATTTTAGTATTAGGAGATTCAGATTTCACTATTAGACTTTGGGATCTGAACGAGCCATCGGCACTGATTTTACAGGGCCATACGGACATTGTCGGTGGTGTAGCGTTCTCTTCTGATGGTAAAATTCTAGCTTCCGCATCTCGTGACAAGGCTATCAAGCTGTGGAGCGGAGATGGGCGCTTGCTACAAACAATAATGTCGAACCAAAGCCTTTTTAGAAGCATAGCATTTTCGTCTCTTGGAAATTTAGCGTCGGCGTCGGATGATGACGTCAAACTATACGATACGGGTGGAACGTTGTTACGAACGATAAATACTGATGTTGGCTGGGGAGTGAAGCCAATATTCTCTCCCGATGGCAATTTTCTGGCATATTCTTACGGGGACGGAAAGGTCGGACTTCTAAATATCAGCGGAGATGGAGATTCGGTGCGGACTCTGGAGGGCCACATTGACAACGTGGTTGCTATGGCGTTCTCCCCCGATGGTGAAATCCTTGCTGTTTTCGGAGAGAATGGAACGATCAAGCTGTGGGGGGTGGATACCGGGGACGCACTGCGAGATATGGATCTTGCAAACCCGCGTGATAGGCGCTATAATTACCTCCGTCAGCCAATCTTGAGGTTTTCCTTGGACGGTGGAACTTTGATGTCGACGTCGAGGTTTGAAGAAACCTGTACGGTAAACCTGTGGGATTCTAGCGCCGGGGTCCTACTACAGGAATATACCGATGCGGCAAGCACCCTAGAATTTGCCTCCCACGTTGACACAGTAAAATCGTGGCCCGCGGACGTCTTAGCATCTCTGAGGTCTTTGGCTATGAGGGAGATGTCTAGAAAACCATATTCCTCTACCGAAAGTCCTTATGACAAACTGAACCAACCGCCCAAGGAACATGAACAACACCACATAATCGTCGAGAACGAATGGGTGAGTCGAGGTCGTCAGAGAATTTGGCTACCACCAAACTATAGACCGTACAGCTGGGCCATCTACGGTAACCGAGTTGCTTTAGGCTGTAAACCCGGTACGGTTTGGTCCATTGAGTTTGAGCCCTGAAATTTATTGTATCTAGTAGGTATTTGTAGGTAGTTCATTTACATAACCCGATCGGGCCTATAGAAGATTCTACTACTCTACTGTAAACTTGGGTATTTTTGCAATCTTTCTGCATTCTGACTTACAAGGCGATTGTACCGCCTCATAGCTACACCTGGATTTATAAATTTCCTCTGCATTCGTCACTACTTTCCTATTTACTTTAAAGTTGTTTAATTCACCTAAGCCATAACATATCAATTCACATCCCCCGTTCTGCGACGCTTAAATGCGACTTGCACGATTTGAGTATCTGCGACAATAGCACTAATATACCTGAAGCTGATTAGTGTCTTTTATTGCAGTGCGTCTACAAATCCCGTTAAAAAACGGGTTGATCTAGCCACTGGATAAATTGTAAATATCTGTGTTCGGAGTCCAGACTTTATGATTTAAAGCTTTGGGTTGAGGTTTTGGTTACGAGACCGACATATTATAAACGTATGGGAGGTCCTGAGGCTTGTGTATAACATATAATATAACCTACGAAAGGCCCAGCAATCTATCGTCCATCAACATGGTTTTGCCACGGGTTACATGTGTCCAGTGCAATTCTCAGACCTTAAGACCCACCCAGTTATCGATTCCCACGAATTGCGCCAATTGTGATGAAAGACAAACTTACAAACCCCTATATATAATAGGTACCTTCTTGTGTTGGAGTTGAGCTCTAGTCTCGTTCCCGTTGAACTCATAACCTATAAATTTTGGATGATGATGATGATGATGGCTGATTGATCAATTAGCGATCATAGAACAGTAATGGATCTTTTGTAGAACAAGACGGTATCGTGATGCATCAGCTCTGGGCACTTTTGGTCTGACCAAATGTGGTATAGGTGCCAGGAGACATCAAGTAGAGGCTGTTTGGTATCGAGGCTTAAGCTTTGTGCAGTGAATTCGAAGCCGCAGTGAGGCTTCAGATTTTAAATTTAGCTATCAATGTCATTGGTAACTCGCCCAGGCGAAAGGTTTATTATGGTAGTTTGCATCGACGTGATGCATCTTGATTCCTCTTGTGTGCTGGGATTGGATAGGTATCCATGCACGGGTGGTTGACTGAGGGTTATTGTTAAATTGGTTGAAACTCGTGATATGATGCTACTGACGTCTGACATCCTATAGATGTGAGAACGGTTCTATGATGTATCTCAGGGTCGGAATTATCTTATTTTGAAAAGTTGTGATTGGGAGGAGCACATCTATCAGTGAGGGATTCGAATTTCCCATCCTTTAGAGCGGTTGTTTTCGTTCGCCTTCCAGAAAATCTAGTAGCGTAGATGTATGGGGTATAATATTAATAGCATGAAATCATGAGCCGGACTCTTTACTCTCTTTTATGATAAATGAGCTCGCGTGAGTGCCCCTTAATGTTAAAGCAGTAGATAGCAGGGAGTATATATTAAGTTTGAAGTTCCTGGGGTCTGTAAGTTGGTGAGGAGGGATGGTTTGCGTGACGTGGGATACGGTTGACATGTACGTATACTCTTATAGATGCAAGCACTTAGGTAGTATATATGCCATGAGCTGTCAGCGTTCTAGATACTACGACGAGCGATAGAAGTGATCATACTGATGGAAGTATTGGTAAGAATGTTGGAAGGATTGGTAGTTGATTGTGGAACGAGGTAGAATAGTTACTATTGACTATGAATAGAAGCCAAGAGAAATAATTTTGTAGAATATGGGCTGGGTACCCTTTATGATCCCCTATCCAAAGACTCTACAAGAAAGTAGGTAAGAATATACATAAGAGCTGAACCAAACAAAATAGCATAGATCAGCTGGCTTAAGCTCAAGAAAAACAGGTCAAGGTATGGGTAGAGTTTCATGATCAATCAAAATTAAAGCCACAGAAAGACTCCAATGATAACCAACCAACTACTCAAGTAACCTTGCATTCAGTAATCTGCTTCCTATTCTTCCAAGCCTTCTTAGCACCAAACTTAGTACTATCCCACCCTTTCTCAACAAAGTTCATATTCTTCCTCCTCGCCTCCCGTTCTTCAGCTTCCCTTCGCTTGGCAAATTGCTTAAATCCTCCACGAGGGTACTCCTTCGGTCGAGCAACACCAGGGATGTTGTCATAGTCGAATTTTTCAGTGACAACGCGGGTCTTGGTGTCGATTCTGTCAGCCATATATGTCTTCCCAAACTTAACACCTTCGTTGTAGGCATGAGCTTCCCAGGCCTGTTGAGGAATCCCACAGTCTTCAATGAAGTTGATACACCTGGTGACAGTGGTAAGCTCGATATTGATAGTGTTGGTTTTGGCGTCAAGGAATCCTTGGTGGAAGTTCTCGAAGAGGTATGGGAATGGCCAGTTGACGAGAGACTTGTACCATTCGGCTTTGCAAATGTTGTTGTCGAGTTCTGAGGCTTTGGTATTGGCTGGGCCGGTGGTAGGAGGAATTGAGTTTTCGAAACCAGGTGGATTGGGAAGAGGTGCTCCGAAGTCACCGTCGCGTTTGAATTCGTGACGGGCTAGCCCAGTGAGGTGGTCCGCTCCACGGAGAACTTGGGTACGGATTTTGGCCTGGGTGTTTTCTCCGGCGGAGATTGGGTGAACTGGAGTGATGCTTTCTTTGATAGCATCGAAAGGAAGATTGATTTGATCTTGCGCAGCGGACGGAACAGTGCCCGGGATAGTAGGAGGGACATTTTCGTTAGACATTTTAGATTTTGACTGGTAATGATGTTCCTGGAAAGACTGTATTATGATATTTTGTTTAGTTTTCGTCGAGTGCCGCGTAAAACCAAGAGGATAATAGTTAGTGGTCCCCCACAAATCTCGTTGAAGGGAGAAGGACGAGGGAAAGAGGGCTCACCTGGGCTGATAGAGGAATAGTTTAGAGGAGTGGTGTTGATGAGGAGAGCCGAGACTGTGGAGTTGGTGTAAGGATGTAAGGAGGGCAAAAGGAATACAATTGGGCTTAGAATAACTGGTTATAATCCAATGGATGTTGAATTACCAAATACGGCTCGTAAGGGAAGGTCGCATCATATACATAAGAAAGCAACCAAAGGAGAGGAAGTAAGAAATGACAATGACGTAAATGATCGAAGCAAGAGAAGCCGTTGTATTGAAGCCAGGAATGTAGATATCACGATCCCAATGAGATAGCGACAAAGCCATGTGGAACTTATTCAGGTTAGATTTGTTTGGAAAGTGGGTTGGTATTCATGAGGATGACTGGAGCCGGACTGATGTTGGGGAGATGGTTGGCGAATAGGTGGAGAGTTTCATTACGAATGTGATGAGAGTACCAGGTGATGGTACTCGTTATAGCTTTGGGGGCGACGTGCTCTAGTTAGCCCATAGCATTAGTGGAGTCAGGTGACGCGCCGTTGCCGTAACACCCCAAAGTCGCGCGGAAACATAAAACAACAGGAGCAAGTCGAGTTGCTAGACATGTGGCCCGTCAAAGGTAACCTAGGGGTCCTATGGTCTGGATGCTGGAGGGAAGGCTCGATATTCCAGACAATAAGTCGACTCAGACCATAGAGTTCAGCGTTCACAAACCAAAGCATAAAGAAAGAGGACAATAGAGAAAATAGGGACAAGTGTGGGGATAGAATAAAGCCGTGGGAAGGAATATTAGTAATGTGCTAGCCGGAAAGTGTTAAACCTGACTGGCTAGTTAGAACGAAAGCAGAACCGCTGGGGGAAAGGAAAAGAGATCCACTATATACAAGATCAGGACACGGCTATCCTGTTGGGAGATGCAGAGTAAACAAGATGAAAAGCCATATCCATGCTCACAATTTGATCCGCGACCACTTCCAGAAATTCATCGGAGAGACGCGAGGATCATTTAGGATGGAAGCTGGGTTGTGGCGAAGGTATATGTGCCGGGTAAGTAGGGGAAATTACGGGGAGAAGGGAAATAGGAACTGGGTGACGTCGACTGGATCTCCCGCATAGCGCAAATGGTTCTTGAATCAAAGGTTAACCAACGGTCGGCAAACAGAGGATATAAAAAATATTAGAAGAAACAATGTCCTGGTGTGAACCTATCAAACCGTTTCCGTTAGCGGAGAAGCGCTCTGTGTGTACAAACTAATGCTATATCCCGTGTCTCCCTGATACTAATAAAGAACTCAAGGAAATAAAGTGCGGGAAAGGGAGGTACGGAGAGTAATTTACCCCCGTTTTCCTGCATATCGTCCACCGTGCTGCTGACGGAAATTCTTCTGTTGCATCTGCTGATCTTCGGCGATGGTGCCCTTTAGATAGCTTGACTTCTGAGCACCAGGCTTTCCTCGAACAGCTGCAGCATAGGTAGTAGGACGGAACTTTTGCTCAACCGGCTCTGAGACAGAGAGTGGACCAGTAGACTTTCCGGTCTTTTGCTCAACGGTCCCAGATGTGATCTTCTTGTTGTTGTCAGAGAAGGAGCCGGTGAGGATGATCCTACCATATATTAGGTACCATATTGACGTAAATATTGTTGTGTTTCCTAATAAAAATTGGACTTACTCCGCGGTATTCTCTTGCTGCTCAAGCAACCAGGAAAGTTGGGGGGGATTGACGATAGCCCTGTTAAACAACAGGCAGCCTGGACAGAGAAAAGTGACCATTTTTCTGCCATCGAATCTGCCACAGCGACACTCCCCTGGAGTTTGGTGCAGCCCAGTCTGAGGCTCTGCAACAGATGTATGGTGGCACTAAATTATGATAAGAATTACTGCCCATATTAAGCGTCATTATCATGAGGGCGGGAAAATCGTGACTTACTTGGAAGGTGTAGATAGACTTGCACATTTTAGTAGATTCTGGAGCGGAATAAACTCGATTTCGATAAAAGTTTGGTTGGTCGGTACGACAAAGATGAGATGATAGGGAAGATGAAAGGGTTAGGAAAATAGGCGGATGTTAATAGAAGGATATGTTTCTGTGGGAAGGTGACGTAGTCGACAAAACGTCTGGACAGAATTCAGTGGGATAGATGGGTGGAAGAAAGGCAAATTTTCTCTCTATGAGATCCCCGAACCGACAGGAAAAGTCAGACAGCCCTACCGATGGTTTTAGGTTGTTAATATCTCCGTATAGTACCAAAAAATCTTTTTCAATCTAGGACACAGCCTTGAAACACCTATCTAGTTGGGTATACAAATTCACTCACAGTATGTTCAAAGAAGATAAAATTGGTCTGGTTCTTTCTCCAGTTTCAACTTCTGGGTGGAATGATTCGAGAAAGGCGAAGGAACCAGGTGGTGGAACAAAGAAAAGGCTTAGGGCAAGATGTGAATCTAAAAGAAGCCAACTGCTCGGAACGGTTTAAGCTGTTGAGCGAAGTGACCTAGTCGAAGAGAGGAGTGGAGTGAAGTTGATGGCGGAAGAGCTTAGAATTCATGGATGTTTCGATGAAGGAGTTGTACCTTTGGAAATACGCAACAAGGAGTTCCGTGTTGGGGGTGGTTGCTTGAGTGACAGAGATCATCTGCTGGTCCCTATTCAGATATTTTAATTTGGGATTCCTCACTTAGTACTTAAGTACTCAAGTAGGGAGTTATGTAGTGGGTTACCTAGGTATCTAGTTAGAAATTAGGGCAGATCATCCCCGTTATGCTGCTAAACATGCAATAAATATATACTGATAGCAATGGAGTAGACACCAATCATGTATCAATATAACTATCTCCCATTTAGGTAATAAATAGTCTCTAGACTACTTTAAGTCCCCTTTAGAAACGCCTAGTAACCTAGCACGCACTTAAGTGCCCGGAATGTACTGGCTCTTTGCAAGACTTTCGAAATTCTTAAGCTGGCTTATATCTTATATCGTTTAAGTATATCACTATACATCCCTCAAAGTTTACGGTACATAAATTTGATTGGATCCGAAATACTAGTTTTAGGCAGTACGTACTTAAAATTTGAGAGTATAGCTAGGTATATAATAGCTATCAATTGTATATAGAATACTCTCGTATTGCATCGCTTCGGCACGGGTAGGGTATAAACATACATAGATGCAAATGGTAATTTGCCATAGCTTAAACTATCTTATGAAAAATACCTATATCAATGGTACCGCGGAAGCATAAAGCCTCCGTCTCTGATAATTCCATCCTGGTCCGGGCGATGTATAAGGTGTATCCCGTCGACTTCGGGTACTTCTCCATCCCACACCCAGTCTGGTGCGTTAGCGTCTTCAAAAACGAACTTAGTTCTTCCAAAGTTAACCGAAAACCCGTGTAAGAACATATCGCAATCGCGGAGGGTAATGGTAGGAAGCTGCAGTGATTTTGATGTTGAGAACCATGCCGGTAACATTTTTCCGTTTACAGAAAAGAAGATTATACGGTCAAGAGAGTTCATTCCACATCCAATGACATGCTTGCCGTCATGTTCTGTTGGAGATATTCCAAAGGCAGCCTTCCGCGCAGTTCGGTATCCATCCTCGCTTCCTGTATTCCAGAGTTGCGATATGCACTTGGCTCCCTTTGAATGCGTGAAGATGGTTCTTATAGCGCCATCGGAGCTGCACTCGATTCCTAGTTTATAGCCCCCTTCACCAGGCAGTAGCTGGCTCACCTTTGACATGACTCCTACTGAGAAGTAGTGTTCCTCGTCAATTTCGTTTGTGGCATTCGAAGGAGTGACGTCGTGACCTCCTTTCACTTCTCCTATATCGTTTCCATCCTTTCCTATCCCACGATAATAAGCCTCCGAGAAATTAAATGTTACTTCAAAGTATGTCGTTTTCTTCGATAGCGTAATTGGGTGATCTGCAAAGTATATGTCAGGAGATGAATGCCTATAGATAGCCATACTTGGATCTGTGTATCATAGTCAGAATTAAACCTTCTTATCACTTTAGAGGTCGGCCATCGTTATATTCAGAGTTCAAAAATTTTCTCATCTTACCTATGATAAATTGAAGACCGTCTTCGGTTCGAAATTGCCCGAAGCTTGATTTTAGAGCGAGCTTGCCAGGTACCTTCTGCTTGGTAAATTCCCCTTCATAATATTCTATCGGTAAATCCTTGAACCTACCGTTGCCCATTGCGTGCAAAATAGCTGCGACTGTCCAGCCATGAGCATCGGTAAGCAGAACATCCAACTGCGATATCATATCCTCTTGCTCATCCTCGTTCAGGAATGGGTTCTTTGAGTGGAATATCGGGTATCCAAGGGCAGTTATAGCATCCCGTGGACAGTGTCGGAAAAAAAGCTGCAGTATGAATTTGAGGTTTTTCATAGATTCGGCACCCTTGGCGTCGTTTGGGTCGTGTTTCATGATCTCCTGGCAACATATGTCTACTTCGTTCCATCCAGACTGTTCTGTGCCACAGGTGTACGAGCCCGATTCGAGTATACGCTGGGCGACGTCTATATTGATATTTTCCTTAATCGCAAACTCCAAAGGGCGCGATCCTGTGCCATTCGGCCGATGGTAAACATCCATTTTGCCCCCTGCCAACTTGAGAACCCTGTCAATTATCCTATACGAATCTGGAATTAAGGCCAGATAGTGGAGGATACTGTAATTTTCATCACTGTTATAGCAGATGAGGTCGTCGTCACACGATATAATAGGCCCTAGCCTATCATAAAGATCAAGGAAAGCAAGTGCAACAGTGGTATTACAATACTCGATCGCAAGGTATAAGGGTGTTCGTCCTCCGTTGTCGCGTTTCCTCCAGTCAGTGCCCAGATCCTCCGCTAACAGACGAACTATTGAATTTACATATTTTTCATCGTCGTAGATGTTATACATATGATGGAGGCAGTTCTGTCCTTGTCTGTCCTCGTCGTGGATGTCAACTTTCAGATCTGCAAGCCATCGAATACCCTCGATGAACCCAGTCTTCATAGCCAGAGACAGTGGGCCTTGACTATACGCATCCTGCGCATTAATTACCTTCGAGGTATCCGGGCCTAACCGAATTAATGTTTTAAAGATTTCGGAAACTTCTTCAATTTTCGAATCGGGAGGTCGGAACATGAATAGATAATGCATTGGAGTCCTTTCGCTTTGGTCGAAAGCAAGGATATCCCACGTTTTTAACTGGGCAATCTGCCGAAACAGACTTAGATCGTGAATTGCCGCGGCGTAGTGTAGAGCGCTGGCGCCCTTGTAACTTCCTCTTCTCTCTAAATCTGCTCCCTCGGTTAAAAGGCCCCGAACTCCCTGGAGGTAAACGTCTCGATGGGTTTGTCTATCTTCAGCGAAACTAAGGGCATGTAAAAGTTGAAGTAGAAGAGTGGCCGAATATTCTTTGTCAACTATAGTATTAATGTCGGCGCCACAATTGATCAAGTATTTGCGGACCCTTGCATTCAAAACCCCAATGTGTAGGGGGACTCGGTAAAGCCCATCAGGTACGTTATATAGAGGACAGGCGGTCGTTACTTCGTTCTTTTTCTCGCTCAGGATTTTTATACATTCGGCTTCAAGTTTTCCAGTATCGTGGTCGTGGTTTTTTAGCAACTCCGCCATAGCTTCTTTGTCAGCATCCGTTAAAAGGCTGGCAAAATCCGCGAATTGGTCCTGCCTTGCTGCCTGTAAAGTAAACCAAGCAGCACGGTAATTAGTGTCCCACTGGAAGAGTACATCTTCCACAAGAAAGCTTTCCCATTTTGCCGGACGTGAAGATCGTGTTTTTTGGGACACGATGCTCAAGAGCTCATAGCCTTCTGCAAATAAAAGCTGAGGGAGGACGGAGCTTCCCCGGTCCTCACAGTGCTTAAGAGTCTGCTCCCACGCTTCATAAAACATGCAAATTGTTTTATACTTTGCACTGAAATATTGAGAAGTCTCTTGTTCGCGTTCTGAATGTGGGGCGGCGGATTTAGGTCGGCTTGAACGCGGTGCTAGTAAGTATTCGAGAATTATATGCAGCCCGTTATGCGACGCGAAGTGAATTGGCTGTTCAAAGTATCGTAACAAGAGCTCTGCGGTCGTATGCAATTTTGAGGGAACCACCATAGTTGCGGGTTCGTACCAAAAAGTCAAAGGCAGCGCAAAATGGGTATTCGGCCACCGGAATTCTACCTCTGGTCGACGTTGAATATTCCAACGGTGCCAGTTTTCAGGCCGCGTGAAGATATCGAGCTCTTGAAGAAGACCAGACTACCAAACATCACCGATGCTATCCTCCGTCTACCACTTTTGTAATATGGCGAGATGATCGTGCCAGTGTTCGATCTCGTATCTAGGCCGATAATTTTCTTCTAGGCTCCAGCGTCGGCTCCAGGGCATATATTTTTCTTTAAACTCTCGATTGTTTAGTGTGCGGACTAAACGTATTGTTATCAGCGGTTGTTACCAGATATTTCAATCAGCGATCCCTTCCAAGGAACATATGACAGGATTAAGTTCTCACTTACGTATGTTCAGGGTTAAATTCATTTGTGCTTCTCTCTCGTTGAATAGAGGGGAGAGAATATCTCCATATTTCACGAAGGAGGCTATCGTACAATGGATGTATTAGTACGTAAATAGTGGCATGCGCAGTGACCGTCTTTCTCGGAGACCTACGCGTGAGAGTAAGTTGGAAAACCGTATACCCATTCATGTCGCGATATCTATGAAACCCATTCATCATAGATGGCCGATTTGCACCTGAATGACTCGCAGTATCGTTTCTTATCCATTCTCTAATGGAAATATCTACAGTAACCAGATCAGTGTTTGAGTCATAACGGAAGAAATCGCGTCCTCCATCACGAAGATGATTGAGAACTTCTTTGACTTCCGGTCCCAAGTTCTCCTCCCTGAACGGCAAGAGATTGCATTCTACCATTTCGGTAGGATTGGCCTCGGGGTTTCCGTTTGGAGGCACGACTTCTGAAGGATTTTCATCCATTACCCGGTCTTGATGATAAATTTCTCGATAGTGATCCGAAATCTCGGTAATATGAACTCCTGAAACTCCCCAAACGATCCACTTTAGCGCCGTAACAACCAACTCTTGCTGATTGGGTGTTAAAGCTTCTAGACTGGACATATAGATATCTCCGATAGAGTCTGGTAATTTTTCGATTTTCTTATCCAATGGAAGCTTCGAGGGTTGTTTTAGATGTGTTAGAATAAGTCGGGCTCTAGTAAAATCCCCATTGGCCTTGCTGAAAATTGTGTCAACAATGTTTTTGACTCGGGAAAGAAAGTAATTTTCGTTCCGATCTTTATTGATAAGAGGCCCCATGACCTGCTCGACCTCAAACTCGAGATATTTTTTAACATCTTCGGCGTTTCTTTCCTTCGTAATCCTTATCATTCTAACAGCCGGCGAGGCGGCCGTTTCAACTTGCTCTGGAGTATACACCATTTTATAATCGGCAGAGTCCAATTCCGCTGTTATGTTGATAGTATCGCGTGCAGAGACTATAACCCGAAGGTTGTCTCCGAGAAGCTGTTTGAAACAATCAAGAATATCCTTTTCCTTTCGATCTTGACATTCATCAAGTGCGTCGAGTATCAAGTAGACGCGATTCGGAATGACTGACGTGATCTTTGAGATCACTTCACTCATTGCGTCTGGGTTTTCAAAAGAAATGGATTTGACAGTTTCGCCTTCAGATCCATAAGATGGATTTAAGATCTCTACAACTTCTGCCAAGATTTCATCATTGCTTCGAATGCGTTCATCGTCCAAGAGTTGAAATAGGGCTGTTTCCAGTGCCGTATGTGTCCTTTGGATGTCGTTGTCACCCTTTTTGAAAAAGAATCTTAGTATTATATTTTGCCCGTCGATCTGTAAATCTCGGCATATCTGCCCCATAGCAGTCGATTTTCCATGGCCTCTTGGTGCCTCCAGACATAGTAGCCCCGCATCGGTTGATCTAGATTTCCAGTCCAAGTAGGTATAATCGGTCAAAAGCCACTCTACTATCTAGCGGTGCCTCGTAATATCGTCCAGACGGCTTTGCAGGGCCCTAAAGTGCGTTTCATGGGCCCTCGACGCTTCAAGACGTTTTTTTTGCCTATCAAGCTCACTCGCCAAAAATTCGTGGTGTACGATATCAACCAGATCTTTTGCAACGGTACATATTTCTAATATGACTTTATTGTCAATAATAACTTTCGGTATGGTGTTCCTGGGATTTGTCAAACTTTACCTTTCAACCCTTTTCCGATATCTTTGCGTCATAGCGAACACCGGATTAGTACGTAATTGTCTAATTCAAAAAAGAGACGAGACGCGGGCACGATTACCTATGTTTTCGCAGATGAGGAAGTCTTCGTAAAGCCGTTGCGCCTTTTCGACAACTTTTTGGTAATACTCAAGTAAAGCTGCACTTTTCTCTTCTAAAGCACCGGTGAAGGCTTCCTTAATGGTCTTTCCAAAGCCTAGTTTTATCCGAGTGGGTGAGTTAAGTTTGCGGCTTAACATGCATGAAGTTCTAATTTGTGTTAATTACAGAGTTGTAAGCTAATGACATACCTTTAAGACCTTTGGTTGCCCGATGAGGTTTTGCATGCCACAAAAAGTCTAATATCAGAAAAATGAGTTCAGGGATGTTGGAATCCCAGATACTAGGACTGTTTGTAGTTCGGACCGTTTTTGATGGTTGGTTATAGTTTTGCTCTCGTTTTTCCAGTTGGAAGCAGAGCTCTACCATGGCCACAATGGAGCTGCAGGTACTGTAAATACATTGTCGAACCGTGACTTTCATTGTTCCAATCTTGTTATCCATCACCATCTTTGTTAGCACCACTAAATCTTGAATTGATTATGTAGTAGAATCGTCTTTGATCTATGGGTCTATGTAATTACATAAAATCCCACTGTGAATATACATCTGGAGAACGAATGGCCATCACAACTTACCGATATCAGCGAACTTAATCCAAACCATACAAGAGACACGCTTTCAGGCGCTGCGGAAATCAACTCATCCCCAAGGGATTGAACCCGAGCGAGAGTCGTCATCAACTGCTCAAACCTCTCATCCTTCTTTTCTCTCTCCGGAGTCCTTTCGAACGTTGCAATGAGATCCGTGATATTGATTGCGCCCGTCAGAAACTCTTCCAATTCCTTCTGTGCTGTGCTTTCCTTCGCTTGCGGACCTTCGTTCCTCTTGTTCTTCAAAGCTACTTCATTACGCAGCCTCTCCTGCGCATTTTTGAAGCAATATTCAATAGTTCTCTGCTTACCTAGCTCCTCGCGTGTAATACTAGGTTTTAATTGTGTTGTCATCTTAATTAGCTTAAGCCTGGCTGGAGACCCCGATAAGCTTGGTTCTTAGCGGCAGAATGGTCTGGGCCAGAAGAGCTTCGATATTGACTAGGTGTAGAGTTATTAGAGAATCCTGGGAAGCCAGCGGAAAGGCATGTATTGGCTATCGGCATCGAGACTAACAAATTATTGACTTGATTACCCCGCTCTTGGCTAAGCTGCAGGATTTGGGTATAGCGCTAGATACCCTTGCGATTCGATTCTCAGCTCCTGTATACGGCTAAGTTAGCGAATCAAAAGTGCATTCATTGCGGCAGGTTTTTCTCGATATCGCGCATGAAAATTCACCGGGAAGGTATATAGGTCATAGAAACGTGCTTATTAATTATGAGCAGCTGGGCTTGGCCGAGAAATTAAGAATACACTGCAGGTGCATTTCCTTGAATAGTAAAAAGAATGTCTATGCGCTTAAGGGGTCAAACGATGGAGCAATCTTTAAATACATATCATTATATTACAAGTAAGTGACTTCACATAACCATTATTGATCTTTCTGTCAGTTTCCGCTTCGAGGAGGCCGCCCGTCAATAAACTCAACTAAAGTCTGTTGTCTCTTTCCCATACCTCATAAAATTGGTGTATATCTAAACTTGGCCATGGTACGGGGTTAAGCTTTCGAATAAATGGTGTCATAGGTTCATTTCAGCCTCTTTGGGACCCCGCAACCTCCGCATAATCAAACATCATCAGAATCATCAGAATCTTGACTGGGCCACTGAGCCGGGCTTATGCCATTATATAGAACATTTGGGCCGTTCTCTGTACGATTATATGCCAACTTGTACATTTCCTCAATGACATTATTGGTGGTGAATATCTCAGCTCCAAGCCACATTGCAATCATACCAGATACTAATGGTGCAGCTTTTTTTATATAGAAATTAGTCAGTAAAATTCGTTTGAGACTGAGCGAGGGGCGCTAGTCTGTCATGATCCGTATACTCTTGAACTCGGAGGACGGCTTTGACAGACCAGCAAGATATCGAAATCGAGTTACACTCACCAAATGACGTCCCGCCAACCAGCCGAAAGCCTTCTCTGTTTGAGGGAGGAAGGCGCGGACCGAGCCCAAAGTTGGAGTTTTCCAATGGACCGGCAACCCAGATACGAGTAGCCGGAGCTGATACCTTAACGAATGGTGCCGTTTGGAAAATACTCTCTTGTTGTCCAGTCATGTCTATGCCTCCCACCACGGCGAGCTGTTTCCAAAAAATGTCTTTCTTCGCATCGTCGTGAAGAAGCTTAGCGGGGTACGAATCGATTTTAACATTCTATAAACGCAATAACCATATAATTAGCGTCGGTATTATAAAAAGTCCGATTTATCAGTCGAAATCCGCCTGTATGTAAAATTAAAGGCACAGGAGCGCGAGTAATCGTGTAAGAGGTTCATGGACATTTTAGGTCACCTTACCACAGGGAAGTTTCCAGATGGTACAACCACAATAACTTTATTTAAGTTAGCCCAATGGAGGAATACTTCAAAAAAGCTTTCGGCATAGGGGTCGAGATCGTTCCAAGCAGCGCAAATGTTGACAATACAGTTTTTTCCGTAATTTTTAGTGGTTATATGATGTCGAATTGCGACAAAAGCCTGTATGAACAGACCTCTATTGCTTAAACCGCGGCCGTCGTAAATATCCACTACAACTATTTCGGCTTGTGGGACAATCCCGAAAGTCTTTCCGACAAGCTGACTTATAATTGATGTACCGTGATATGGTGTCGCATCCTTTTTTTCGTCGCTAGGAAAATAATCTGGGAATATCCAATCTTGGATATTAGCGTTTTTTAGTTCCTGTTGGTTTTAAAAGATCGTGGTCAGCTTGTCTAAGCTTTCGAAAGCTGCTCGTGATCTCCGGTGAACCCCTTTCAATTATTGATCAGAATCTTACCGGATGGTTGATGTCTAACCCAGTATCAACGACATAAATAATCTGTCCCTTCCCCTGGGTGGAATAGAAGGAGAAATCACCGAGAACTGGTAGCTCTCTGGGGGCTTTAACCATTGAAGGTGGCTGTGCGATCACTTGCAGCTCCGGCAGCCTTTCATGTGACAATTCTACAGAATTAAGCCGGGCCCGTTTTACTTTATTGGCACTTCTGGCGGTATCTTCATTTCCAATACCGAGCATAAGGGGTAAATGCTGTTGTGAGCTTGGTCTGGTCTCGTTTAGAGACGGCCGTTTAGTTTTTGATCGTCGGTTAAGCAAGCTAGAGCGCTTTGAAGCTCTATCTTGGCTCGCGGGCATCGCTGAACTTTCCGACGTCAGATCCGTCAGCCATGGTGTAAGGTACGCTTCATTCGGAAATATATCGGCGATAGACGTATAAATAACGGCATGCGTGGCAATCTAGCTAGAATATTAGCACAAGGAGCTCTGAACATTGCAAGTACTTCAATCGATGGTGCTGTTAGCATATTTATACGTTGTCATTAGCGCCCCCGATGAACCTAGAGATACGTCGCCAATAGACGTCTAGACGCGGAACAATTGTACAACTTGCACTTCAATTCAAAAGTTAGTTCTTACCTCGGCTTTGTACACTTCATAAATATCCTTTAGGGCGGCCTCCCAGAAGTTAAATTCAGGATCAGATCTGAATATACTGAAATGTATATAACCTCTTTGACCCCACGAATCCACGTAAACGTGAAAGTTCTTCTGGCCAGGTGGAAGGAGATACTTTTGCACGGCTTTGTAATATTCTTGATACCACGGGAGCTTCTTGTCCTTTATTATTGAACTTGGTTGAATGTATGCAATCCAGTGTTCTTGCGCATTTTCGACAGTGCCGATTTTAGCCTGGATATCGGGCAACGGCCTATTGTCCAATCCATCTGACATAACGCCGCATATAAAGCTGGACACTACAAGTAAAACTAATGTACTAGCCCTAGTCAAAGCTGCCCTCAGAGCCCCCATGTTTAGGGATGTATGTAAATATTCGCGTATCTGGTGAGGTTCCTGTTTCTATTATTAAATTTATGGTCAGATGACCGGGCGAATATATATTATTAAAATCGATCGATTTTAGGTGCCCGAACTTACAAAGTACTTTTCAATCTTTTCAATACTGCGGCTTTTATATATAGGGCTCTAGAGCTAGAAGTCTTGATTTGTGATTCTTCCTGCTACTGAAGCTAGCGACCGGGAAAACTTTTAATACTTACCAAGTAGAGTAGTCTCCGATCGCAAGGTGAGACCGATGCAATGATGCGTCCTGATAGATAGTATGTGCATGTGACCGCCTTAATCACGAATACAAAATTGATTTGAATATCATTCAAGGTTCATGAGTCTTAAGAGCGGGGTTTGGCAATATATTAATATTTTAATCCGGGAGCCTTTTCCTTCAGGAAAGCGCGTGTAAACGTAAAATTTAAGTACTAGACATGCATTTATTACATCTTCGGTGCGATTATCATCGCCCTGGATGCGGTACTGTGGTGAGCTCTCGGGGTGTCACTAAATATCGTAGGGCTTGATCCTTCGGCCGCTAGATACCTTCTATGCTGCATAGCCAACCCCAACCGAAGATCTCGAGGCACAGCAATCGCAATATCACTCCTATCTATTTAGTCTACTGCGCGTCTTTTCGTATGTAAAGCTTGTTGGTCATAAGTGTATGCATAGAGGGCTCAGATCGATCACGGTGGTACAGCTGAGGAGTCTGGCGACGAAGCAAGCCTGGATTACAGCGATTTAGTTTACAATCTGCGCTGCTCTATAGTCTCATTCTTGATTCTACCATCGATGCGTACGCCTCTCTTACTCTTAAGTTAATCCGCATCGCCCCGCAAATCTGCAGGAGTTTCTTACCATGAGACCAGGTACGTGCGATTTAGAGCGAACTGGCCAGCTGGTTGGTGCAACGCCTTCCGGGTTCAACAGTTCGCGGACTACCTAGGTAGTTATCGATAATATTAGCAAAAACGAGGAGCTAGCGTCAGAAGATCTAGCTATATTGATGGCTTTCTTTTTCGCGTAGCGCTCCTTCAGCGTTTTTTCATAGATTAATTTCAAACAATTATAAGCTAATTAGTAAAGTTAGCCTCGCTTTAGGACACCCGCTAGTTTCAGTCACGCTATTGATCACATTATCCCGAAGATTCGCCCATATGGTACTTTGCAGCAATAAAGCACCTAGTAATACTGCTACAGACATGTGAAGTCTAGTTTTAGACAGGTACATACAGACACGACTGCAACGGTCAGACTAGTCGATTGCTGCTTTGCCTCGGATACCTAGCTAGATTTAGCCAAACCTACACCGTGCCTTTCGTTTCAAGGGGCCTGATTGGAAGTACTGTGCTGTTTTAAACTTGTTGTACAATTTTGATAGTAGTATCGCCGAGTGCCAGCGGGAGTCAGGAGATATGGCTGCTAAGGTTGGGGGTGTTGGAGGCAGAAGTTGGCCGTTCACTACCCCGAAGTTTTAAGATTTGGGGCGAAGCATCCTTAAGGCAGTGCATTTTCATATGCTGGAATCACTTGATTTTTTCCAATTGGTTGGGCATGCATTCCGCCCGAAATTTAAGCGACTTACAGGTTTTACGTTGACCTCCTGCGGTGGGGTCGAGGGGGGAAGGGAAAGAGGACCTCTAGCCATACCTGTTCCCGTATCAAAATTTACTATCCCGGATCGTTGATGCTATTGATCGACCAAAAACTTATCTGTGCTTGTATTCAATGTTTTACTAGAGATAGATATCAATTCTAAACTACCTATGAAGTGAACTTAATAGAGACCCTTAAACCATAAACCATAACGAGATTTAAAATTAAAATTCAAGCTAAGATTGCACATGAGGAAAAAGAATCTAAGTTTTATATACTATGCTATCTTTATAATAGATCTCAAAAATCGCTATTGCAATGAATCCCTTCAAGACCGCTAACCTTTTGAATAGCATTTGCCACGCAAGATGTTTGATTTCCTCGACCTTTATGCTCCGCAGTCCACTCAATGATACCCTCCCCTGCGATACTAGTCTCATAATTAAACCTCCATTGCGTCAAGTCCTGCTGACGACACTCCTCCTCAATCGCTTTATATAACTCCACACCATTGTCAGCATCCAAGAAACCATACCCTGCCATCTTAAACACAAAGTCATCCCCAACAACCCCATTTGTCAAGTTGCATTGTGCAATCCTCTCTTTCCTAGCTTTAGCGCGGTTTCTACGGGGACGTATAATCCACAATGCCCCATTACCCAGAACTCTCCCGCCACCTTTCCACTCCAAAGGATTACTTTCCCCATCCCCATCACAGCCATCGATGAGAACCTCACGGAGATACGTGATGCATGAAGATCTACTAGGCCGTGCTCCTTGACCCCATACAACGCTGACCTCAACTTCGTTTAGCGTATCACCGTAATTTTCCATCCAGAATTCTCCGTAGTCAGATTGTAACTCCAACTGTGGACAAAACTGATTTTCAATCAAATCCCGAATCGCATGTGGGTTTAGATAACGATTGTGAGTAAGACCGTAGCAATTGCCTTGTTTGATACCGACGCCGATCTTGGGAGGGGGTACGGCTACAAGACCCGTGATAGCGCCTCGTGTCGTAACCGTCGCTACTAAAGTTTTCCAAATAGTTTGTACTACCGGTACTTTTATATCAACATCTGTTCCGTCCGCGAGCTTAACTCGTTTAACCAAGTCTTTTGCATCTGCAGAAGCAGTGAGGGCGGCGTCCATTGCCATGGCGGTGGAAGTTACGGCACCGGCGGGAGTCGCAGAGGCCGTTTCGGCAACTTTATCTCGAGACCCTGGTATACATTTTTCAGTCATTGTTTTGGTGATGTATACTGGCGCGGCGCCGAATACTGTTGAAATGATCGTCGGTCTGTAGCCCCAATCTGTTGTTGTCGTCATAACGGTGACAGTTCCCTTAGACCTAGTGGTGATATAAATTGTCTGAACGTCGTTGAAGTTCGTCGATACTAGGGTTATAATCTTCGTTTCGCCTTCTTTAGTAACGGTTATTGTGTTAACATCGTTGTAGTTAGTTGAAGTGTACGTCACGATCTTCGTTTCGCCTTCTTTAGTAACCGTTATTGTATTTACGTCGTTATAGTTAGTTGAAGTGTATGTCACAATCTTCGTCTCTCCCTCTTTAGTAACCGTTATTGTATTTACGTCGTTATAGTTAGTTGAAGTGTATGTCACGACTTTTGTTTCCCCTTCTTTAGTAACCGTTATTGTGTTTACATCGTTGTAGTTCGTTGAAACATGGGTCACGACCTTGGTCTGGCCCGGTTGGGTGATGTAGATAGTATTAGGGTTTTCGTAATTTGTTGACACGTAAGTAAGCGTTCTGGTCTGTCCAGCTTCAGTTATTACCTTCGTTCCCTGGAAGCCCGTGGGCGTAACAAAGATTGTACGCGGGTTTTCATAATCTGTGGAAGTGTAGGTTTTGATAACGGTCCTACTGATCCTACCAGTCTCTGTAGGCAAAAGACTGGCTGTTCCAGTTAGGGTGATAGTAACATAATTTGGGAGATCGAAGTTTGTTGATGTATAAGTGACAATGAGTGTTGCATTCTTTTGGCTTGAGGAGCTTGAGGAGCTTGAGGAACTAGATGAAGAACTTGAGCTGCTCGATGACTCGCTTGAAGTTTCAGACGAGGTACTTGATGTTTCTTCAGAGGTTGTTCCCCTACTAGATCTTCTGATACTTGTCGTTCTCCGGCGCCCCGTGCTAGTAGTTGTATCGGTCTCATCATCACGAGTAGTCGTCGCGGTCTCGTCTTCACGAGTAGTTGTCGCGGTCTCGTCTTCGCGAGTAGTTGTAATTGTGTCGTCTTCACGAGTAGTTGTAAAAGTGACACCACCACTAGTAGTTGTAAAAGTGAGATAATCACTAGTAGTTGTAATCGTGTCGTCTTCACGAGTAGTTGTAAAAGTGTCATCATCACTAGTAGTTGTTTCGCTCTCTTCATAGCTAGTGGTAGTCTCCCCCTCATCATCACTAGTGGCTGTAGTATTCCAGGAACTGGTTCTTCTACTTCTAGAGCTCGACAATGTGATATCACGTCTCCCCGTGGTCGAAGTAATCGAGTACGTCTCATCAAACGTATAAGTTGGGGCGGTAGTGGTGTAGATTGTACTTGGAGCTTCAGTTGTTTCAGCTCTGGTTCGAGTTGACAGACGAGTTAGACTGTTTTCTGCTGTAGTAGTCAGGGTGGGCTCGTCGGGGTCGTCCGGGTCGTCCGGGTCATCCTTCCCATTTGGATCCTTTTTGTCATCTGGCTTATTGTCCTTAACAGTTACAGTTACAGTTACAGTAGCAGGCCGGCCATTATTGCCGTTATTACGATTAGGGCCGCCATTTCCGCCGCCATTTCCGCCGCCGCCGCCGCCGCCACCGGGACCGCCTGGCGGTCCAATAACTGGTATGGGAGGAACAGGCACAGGCACTGGAAACGGAACCGGCGGCCCTGGTACCGGAAATGGCATGGGCGGGCCTGGTATGACTACGGGCATGGGGATCCTCACGAACGCTAGGGCTCCGAATATTGTCGGGAACCCTAAAGGCGGGGGGTGCGGCGCCCTTAGTTTCGGTAGCGGCAGGCCTTTGATAGCATCACAGAAAATTGGCAAGCCACATTTCCCTAGCTGTACCCGTGGAGGGAGGGGAATTTTTCGGGGGAGCTTTAACAAAACCGCCGCCGCCGCCGCCCCTGCCGCCGCCCCCCCAAGAACGGCGCCCACCGGGGGAGGGTTTACTTTACCGACAATTTCTTTGAGTAAATCTTTTGCCTTGTTATCCCAGTCACGGGGTGGAACGATTATCATTCCGCCAGATTGGGTGGTCGTAACAGTAACGGTACTTTCTCCGTCCTCGAACAGAAAGGTGGCCGTGACTGGCGGGTAAGTTGTAGTCTCAGCAATTGGTGCCCACCAATCATCAGATAATGTCGAATTGTGATCCAGAGTAACCCCCCCAGAACTTTGTGTGGTGGCTGGCGGTGGTGTTTTGGTTGGCTCGACACCCGAGATTACGGCTGCTGGGCCCGGAATGAAAACCAAACTTGCTGTTGTCACCGTTATGAACACTGTGTGATGGTCACTCGAGTTCCCAAACGCAGTCATAGTACCAAAGGTGGAATTTCGACCGTACGGTCCTATAGTGGTACCATTCCCATGGCTGTTGGGAAATTCAAGAGACCCTGTGGTAGTACTATTATTCTTTTGTCCAGGAAGCAAAGAGCTATTCTGCATCCCGGCTGTCACCGGGCTGCCAGAATGGCCAGAGCGCCTATCGTTGTTGGTAGTTGAAACTGGAGAAGTCTCGTTTCTTATTGCGCTGCCATCATTGAGAGTACTGAAGACTGTCTCCTCCCCTTCCGGTGCGGATGTAGTTCCTCCTCTTCCTATGCGCTTACTCGCCGATACATCCTCAGACGTTACCCCGCTTGAGCGTGTAGGCCCTGTGGAACTTTGACTCTCCCTATTACTTGTGTGAGTTTTTGTGTTCTTTGGGACAGTAGTAGTATATGTACTACCGTCCTTATCGGTATCAATTAATGTCTCAAACTCAACCCCACGGATCGTCTGGATGTTTGTAATACCAGTTCTCGTCAAAGTAGTGGTGAATATACTGCCTTCTTTGTCCGTACCAGTCGAGATCTCAGTAACTTTCTCTTCATCTTGCGGTTTTGTCACCCCAGACGTCGTTCGGCGCCATCCACCGTTTGAGCGAGTCGTGGTAAATAGACTACCATCCGTGTCCGTACCAGTAAAGATCTCAGGGGGTTCCACATCATCATCTTGCCGGTCACTGGCCACCCTAGATATAGTTTGGTAGATACTTGTAACCACTAAACGGGTAGTTGTGAAAACTTTCCCATCTTTATCGGTGCCAGTCGACGTTTGAATAACTATATCTTCTACGACCCGAGTCGCTTTTGTATCTGCAAATGTCGTGGAGTGAAGCTGAGTATGTTTGGGGCGAGTAGTGGTATAAGTCTGGTCATCCCCATTCGTCCCAGTTGACGTCACGAAGCCCTCTGAACTCCCACGATTAGCCGAGGTGGCTTCTCTTCTAGCGGTCTTTTTTAGGATAACAATAAATATTTTACCGTCCTCGCCCGTGCGAGTCGATGTCTCGAAGACTTCCACATAATCCTTCTGGTCTCTTTCACCTGCGGATGTCGTCATCCGTTCCGAAATAGTAGTAACATACGTTTTACCATCCCCTTCCGTCCGGGCCATCGTTGTAGAGGAGTCCGTGAGATCTTCTGCGAGAGTATTCTGGTTGTCACTCCCTGATATAGCGGTCTGCTGATTTACTGTGCTGTCTCCGTTACCTTTGAATTCGTCGTCAAAACTTCTAGTGCTCGTAATTGACTTGACAGACACCAAAGTAGCTATTGATTCGATATCGCCGACCCTTGTGCTGTGAATAATCGTTGTACTGACCCAAACTGTTACAGAGGGTCGGCGAGTGTGAGCCATCGAAGTTGATGTGGGTCCAGATGAAAGTGCTTCGCCGTCTTGGGATTGAGTAGATGCGCGGGTACTGCCTTCAGATTGATGAGAAGTCCGCGCAGCGCCATCGGATTGACCATGGTGAATGACGGGTATATGGCCGCCGCCCTCCACTGGCTCTGATATACCGCTAGCTACTGTAACGGGGGATATGTCTAAAGGAGTTCAGGGTTTAGTATGATACAACTCAATCTCAATAGACACAATTTAAGTATAACATACCGGTATCTGTTAGAACAGTAAATCCACGAGGATCCAACCCCATCGTTGGCCTCATTAAAGTCCTCGCCAAAGTTTCAGTGAACGCTAAAGCCTCCCCCCCGCATTGACATTTTGAAGATCCACCAAGTTCTCCATTCCATGCCACAGGAGCATCACCGTCACCCCTAGGGTACGCTAAGCTATATAGATGTGCTCGCGCATTATCGGGATCCATTCCTTTGCCCATAAAATATGCCAATATTCCAGAAACCCTTGCCGATGCTATCATATAATTTAGTAAAGAGGTTCCACAAGTCTTAATTTGGGCAGGAAGACACCAAACTAACCATGTCCAACACCGCCTACGAGCTCGTACTGTTTCTTCGACCAACCAACCGGTGTCATGATTTCACCGGCCGGCGCGAAAATCCGAATTCTGTTGTCATAAGCGTGTATTCGATGACCTAAAACGTTTACCCCGCCGACAGATACCAGCTTTGGAAGTTTGTCGATTATAGGACCAGAGAACAGTGACAATGAATCCTACTCAAATCTAAAGGTTAGCGCTACCATCATATTGACCTCCTTAATACCGGTTATACATACATCTCTGCTCATTCCAGCAGCATGAACGACGATGACGTTCGGCATATCATGCAAAGCTTTCAAAATTTCCTGAAAATATTGGACCAGTCGCTTGATTCTTGGATTTTGCATCTGTTGCGGTGAAGCGCTTATTGTCCACGATAGATTTACTACGATCTTTTCGGCAGTGCTACCTTTATTTCGTATCGAACGATACGTCTCAACCAGCGAAGATATAGCGTTGAGTATCGTGAAACTACCGCTAATATCCTGTTGCCGAATGATCACAATCTTTGAGTTTTTCACCGCACCGAGATTTTTCCCTGCTATCGAAGCTAGGATCCCAGTTCCTCGTGCTTCGGGATCTAGATCTTTATATTGACCTCTTGCAGCAAATGGGCCTGCCCATCTCCACTCTTCAATGAGATTCCGAGAACGCAAATCAACAAATTCCTTTTTTGGTGGTTGTTAGTCGATATATTCTTATATTCAACTTCAAAATTTCGAAAAGGTGCTTCATTACCGCATGGTCTATATTGGCTCCAGTATCTACCACATATATTGTAACCTTTTCGCCTGAACTTTGAGCATAATAGTATCCGTACCCACCCGTTTGATTCCCGGGTGGTGTTGATAATACCTCTAAGTCCCATGTAGACGGTTGGTGAACGAATCCGACCGGTAATTGCTCGTCTGGGGTCCTTTCCGGCGTACTTCCAGTATCATGATCCGGTGGACTCGTCTCACGCCTAAAAGTTTCAATTTCGGCTTTTCCATCGGATACCTCTAATTCCTCCGAATATCTCTCTAGTAGGTCATACTTGAACGGAGCAACAGGACTATCGTTAGTCATCGTACACAAGTAAACTCGGATGTATCAACCACTTACATAGTTTCTATACTTCTCCCTAATAGAGTGAACTCTTTTCTCCTCCGCTTGAAAAAAATGGAAATATGTTCCTAATTCGTGCGCATTGGCAAAATATCTAAACGCCTTGTTCTCTTCAATCGCGGCAATCTCGGCCGTGATATTTTTATGTAGGGAAATATCGGTACGATGCTCTGGTTTGAGAAGTAAGTACCAGAAAGACGTATCACCCAATGCCTGTGTCGGCACAGACTCCGCAAGTCTAGAGTAAAAGGCCAGAAGCAGTTGGATAGCATATAGAAGCAGCCGGAGCGATAATATCATATTGAATAATTGCACAAAGAAAGCTCTTTAAAGATAGTAAATTCTTCTGATAAGACCATTAGACCTGGGACTACCTGTGACTTCTTGATCGTAAGTAAATTCTGATTGATAGGGTGAGAGTCCTGCGGCTATGAGATAATGATCGAACGCCGACGGCACTCTTTCCTCTCGCGCATAGACGACATGTGTGATAATAAAGTGGTAGAACAACCCTCGAAAGCCGGCACAGCCACACATGAGACGTGTTTCATGAGAGCTTGGATACTTGAAGCACCTTGGCCAACGGAACACAACTAGAAAGCCGTCCCGCTGCAACCTTAATTTTTGCCGTAGTATATGCTATTAGGAGCGCCGTGGAACGATCGAGGTAAGTCAGTTTCAGGACCTTCACGTTTTCAATTAAATTGTGCGATGTACGATGTTGGCAACGTTGGATTGTGGTGTAAAATGAGTCGTTGGATCTTTGTGAGCGGCCCTAACAAAGGCCACAGCTACACCGGTATATTTGAAGTTAAAATTCAATTCGAGATAAAAGTGAAAGAATAGAATATCCTGATATCGTATTGGCACCAAGATTGATTCATCTCTTGTGAATAGGTCCCAATCTTTAATTGGTGAGGTTGATGATTTTCACTGTATACATCTCCTGAGCCTCGGCGCCATAACAAGCTAACACAACGACACAACCCAAACACACTTTACCCCCCACCAGCACCAGAAGCCATTAAACCCAACATCATCGTTGAGCCACGTTGGTTGAATCCAATATTAACATCAACTTCCAACCGAATCTAAGCCACGAGCTGCGATTTTCGTATCTAGAATACGCAAAGGTAACGTTGTTCGTTTTCAATCCAGTCGCTCCTCTCGTTGTTTCTGTCAAAAGCTAACCATTACACCGTAACTTTCACACAGTCAATACCAACCAGGGAACCCACTTCTCCCAAGTTTCAAGTCGACCAGGTCAAGATGTGCCATAGAATTTACACTTTCAGCCAGGTTCATTAAAAAGTCTTTCATCTGAGCATATGAGGTGGCAAAAGTCCGCTAATCGTTCGACTTGGCTGTAGTGCTACCACATCGACATTTCAGATGACGAGAAACACTTCCCTCCATGCCGTTGCAAACGTGTTAGAGGTACTCGTCACCTAGACCGCGCCTGCAATGGTTGCATCCGTTTCTCCTCTCCCTCATTCCCTCGTGAGCACAAAAAGGCGATTAGCCAGCAAGTCTTCCGGTTCAAATCACTGCAACTCGCTCAGGATGATATCAGAAAATATCTACCAGGTTGGAAAAGGATCGTTGGTGTCGGTACCAAGATCTTGGGAGACTCTCCCGAAGATGATAGAGGTCCATTTTTCGATGGCTTTCTTCATGAGAAAATCCTAGATGCTATTGAGGAGGAGATTAGGACACTTGATGATGGTATTGTTGCCATAAATTTGGTTTCGACCAATAAAGACGATGGCGCCACGGGAGGCGAGAATGGTTCTTCTGCTCTAAACAAGAGCTTACTGATGATTAGCCCATCTATGGAACAATCTGGCAACCTCACTGACTTCATCAAATGAGCTACCTACTACCTTCCCTTTCATTATGATTCTTATTGTTCGGTATCCCTTGTCCCGGTCAATTTTTGACAGAATTCTTTACCTTTCGATTTCAACTATCGATTGCGGTTCTAGCAAGTTCTCTAGGGGCTAGGGTCATCTCTTTCGGGTGAATAATAATACAATCATTCGTCATAATACAAAGACTAAATTACACGCCAATTGAAACATCCGCCACTATATGATAATGCATACACAGCCTTACGTGAAACAGTGTCGAATAACGGCAAGAGCTTTCTCTCAGTGTGGGTGGCCACCAGATGTTTAGGATCCAGCATTATGCTAAGCGTGTTTTCTTCGTGTACTCATAGTCTCGGTAAGTGTGCGTATTCGTAAACATATGTCTCGAGCCCGCCCTAAATATGGTCCCTACGTTTTGGTGACTCGGTCGCCAATCTCCCACGCACTCACGATCTTCTCAGCTCTAGGATATTCGCTCATTATTAATCTATGGTATAAACTTGATCATATATATATGCGGAACTACCTACCTATATATACCTAGGTACCCTTTATTCGAGTAATTGGAATCTTCTTTCCTCTCGTCATCCTACTCATAACGCCACCACCACCACCACCACCATCAGCTTATTCTAGCCAACTTGCCCTTTGTGACATCTGGGAACGAAATCAATATCTGTACTAATTATTACTTTCAGTACCATGGTGGATCAAGAAAAACGGTACGGTAGGCTCCGTGCTGACAGAAAAGAGCTTGAAACTATGGGCAGTCGCCTCGTCGACGAAAAAACTACAATACAAAATTTACCCGATTGCGGACCAAAGATACGGGACCCAGCAAATCACAAGCTGTTACCGAAACCCAGAGCATCTAGTGGGTTCAAATCTGGCACTGTTAACAACGGAAATCAAACCCCAGCCACCTCAGACATTTCGTTGCAAGATTTCGACCGTAAACTCAAAGAACTGCGGGTGATATTTTCCCTAAGAGTCTCTGAGAACCAGAAAAAAATTAAACTATCTCGAAAAGTCAATTACTCAGCGGGACAGCAAACACCAAAGTCTCGAGACAACGATAAGAAGACATAATATCGACTTAGCAAACCTGGAGCAAACCCAAGTTTCAATCGGTCTTAGAAATCTTTTAGTCGCCGGTAATCAATTATACTCTAGCCTGGGCAAAGGACAAAGAACATAGAGGCAAAAATGTTAGCTCTCGAAGTATCAAGGGTATGATAAATATTATTTCGAGAGTCAAGACGAAGGACTTTATAAAAGCTGTTGGAGGGGTGTTAAATTCCAGCGATCACAAGCTTCTTCCTCCCTCAAGGTATTTGGACTCAAACTCACGATTTCTAACCCAATGCTAACATACACAGCACAGGCAACGGTGCTTTTGAAGAACAATCGAAGACGCAGCTCCAGGCTACTATAGTAGCATAATCAAGCCACATATCCAAGATATAGGATTAGAGTCTTAGTCTTGAAGGGGAAAAATAGTAGGGCGGGGAAGCTAGGTATCGGTTTTCAGATTATAAAAATTCCGTATACATATAGTTCCGACGAGACTAGTTACTGCTGCAGATATTTCTGAATCAAGTTTAACTATACTCAAGCTTTATCTGAGGCAGCTTTAACGCCCAAGGACCGAGTACGCCTTCCGGCAATCACGCCTCTCCTCCAAACTTCTCCATCTCTGCTTCCTCCTGGGTCCCCAAGAAAGGATTGATCCGGTCATCCCGGAACCGATTCCATTTATGGTCTCTAAGAAGGGTACTGAGTGGTTGCCCCACGTGCTTTCCGCCTTGTAGCTAAAAAGGAAATCGCGATAAAAGTCAGTAAAAAGGCTCCAATGCTAGTTCCTTCAGAACATAAAAGTTTAAAATTCTCTACTCACTTCATGAACTCTCCCCGCTTCAACAATCGCTTTTCTTTCTTGAAGCTTGATCCCGTCAAACTTCCTGCGGATCTATTAACTAGTTAGTATATTATGTGGATGACAGACGAAAATAAGGCAGCGCTGAAGCCCATTACGAACCTGGTTTCTGATAAAATCAAAATTTCTAATAATGATTTGACAAATTCTAGCTCTGCTTAAAACCGTACAAATGCGATGTTGTTTATTCAAAATACCAACCTCATCACAGTCGTTTGCTCTCACAAGAGATATAAGCATTATTTCTTTCTCTCGTCCTTGAAAGGCGTTGATGGAAGCGATTTCAAGGCCTTCGGTAATCCAATCGGGGAATCTCTCGTCCACAGCATCCTTTATAGCGTGAATTTGCCCGGTATAGAAGCTTGTGACTCCAACCTTCCCAAGATCGATATCTTCTGCTTTGAGTTCATCCGAGGACCGGATTTAGTCTAGGAGGATGAGTAGCGCCTCGACTTCAGCTTCGTTCCCGAAGGAACTTCCCACTCTCTTTTCTCTGCCAGGAACATCCCACCAAGAACTCAAACTCTTTATCTTTGGATTGAAATTTTTCATCACTTCGAGAGTGGTTAGAGAACCGGCAATACTTTTTGCGAATTCGGTACTTTCTAAAAGAAACTCTTTCGCGTTCCGCTCCTTCATTAATCCCCATCGTACCATTGAATCCGTATTGTAAAACATATTGCGGATGGGGTCGGCCACTTGGGGATGCATCCGATAGTTATCTATCAAGCGCGGAAGTGCCCAATCTGATTGCTGGCAGCGAAGAAACAAGCTACGCTTGGTTACGAAAGAGTCTTCAGCTGCGGAGTATGGCTTAAGTTGCATTGAATCACCAACGAGAACCAGACGCTTCAATGACTTATTGAACTTTGTGATAGGAATCAGAGAGTCTAGCTCAGACGTCGCAGCCGCCTCATCGATTAAAATGAAGCTAGCGGGAAAAATAGAACTATCAAGGTCCCGTTGAATAATGTCCAAAGTCGCAAAGATGACATGATGCTCTCCGATTATCATTTTTCGTTTAGAGGCGCTTGAATCTGGTAAATTCTGTAACGCTTCAAGCTGGTGTCTCTGTATCTCGTGCTTCTTCACGAGTTCACGAATCTTTTGCGAGGCTGACTTTTCCATTTTTTCGGAAGCGATTTTACCCTGGATGTAAAGGACTTTGCATCCAGGGGTATCAAGGACATCCATCACCGCCTCGAAAATCCGCTGGAGGGTAGTGTTTTTTTTGGTCGTTACGATAATCTTTTTATAGTCTGTGGAAACAGATGCAGCTTTGACAATTGTCGCAGCCGTGAAGGTCTTCCCAGTTCCTGCCGCTCCGGTAAGGAGAGCTATCCCTGAGAATAGCTCTTCTGTTTTACAAAGAGCATGAGTCGCAGAAACTCTTTGTTGTGCGTTAAGAGCTGAAGTAGCAAGAACTTCAGCAACATTTTGGTCTGTTTCTGTCCCCAATGAGCGATCTGGGTGGGTAAAAAAGATGGGGCCAATTGGAAACCCTCTCCCGGAACGATAGCAATCCACAGCATTCTTCAAAATCTTCCGGCACCGAGTTTTCTCCACCTCGTTCGGCTTTGCCTCCAAACTAGAATTTTAATAATCCGTAAAGTCAGTTAAGACTAAAGATTCAAAATATCGCGACATAAAATCTTACCGAAATTCGGACTCTGGAGTAGACAAATCCACTCCTTCATGCTTTTGATAATCATGCGATGGCTCTCAGTCATACCAGGGAGACAAAGTTTGAACACGCGAGACATCATGTAGCCCAAAGTGTAATCTTTCGGCCACTTCGCCTCTAACTCGGTACCTCCCGGGAAATGGAGAACAAAGGATTGTTCTTCATCTATCTTCGCGTAAAGAATTTTCTCCTGTTGGTCTTCTGGGTGGAAGATAATTACGGTCTCCTCGTTCTCATCCTCTAGGTCCATCTCAATGGCTTCTAGAGGACCTCCAAAGACCACTTGTGCCTCTTCGGCTTTTTTGTCTGTTTCTTTAAGTACGGATTTCCACTGCACCAACAAATAATCATTGTGGTGAACGATATTTGATGACAAAAGCCCTAAGGAGTTATCTTCGACAATAAATGTGGTATGCTCAACCATTTGCCGCAAACATCTCTCCACTGACACAGAGGTCTTTGAGGGCACCTTCTCAAAGTGAAGCTTTATTTCGGGGCTATTGCATTTCTCGAATGCTATCAAGAGCTCTTTGCATTCATCCTCGCACGGTCTAGGAGGATAGATGATATCCACCAAATGCTTCACAAACTTGACGGTTATCGTAGTATCGGATACCTCATAGCTGGTGATACAATAGCCTGGGAAAACGGCCCGGGTAGACTCGGCCTCTAAAACTGGACCACCAGTTTTTCCCAGAACAAACGCAAGGTGGCCGGTTTTCAGGAGTTTGATAAAACTCCGTAGAGTCGTGACTTCAAACTTTTGCTCGCCGAACTCAACGGTCTTGATGTTAATCTTGCGAGGAAAACTGGGAGAGGCATCATGAAGACTCCTTTCCCTTTGCTCAAGGGCAATGAAACCCACGTCATTGACTTGATCGTTCGAACTAGCCCCTGGTAGCGAGGTTTCGGGCAGATATGATCCGTTACTATCAGACATCCTGGAAATGATCGAATAATCAGCCTTTGTACTCTTAAACATTGACGTGGTAAATGATTGGACAGGGTGTGTTATTAATGTAACAACCTACTCGAGGCAATGTTTTTCCGCGCTAGATAAACGATATTTCAAGTTTAATAGGTTGGAAAACTACTATGTCTGACCTTCTAGATGGACGTTAGTTGATAGGAGCTAGGGGCTAGGGGGTAGTGGTGATAGCTTATGGTTGGTCAAGCTAGAATAAGGAGATAGATGACGACTGAAGAGAAGATGAGAAATGGCAAGTTACAAGACCGAGAGACAAGGAGATGGAACGAAAAACAACAAAAGTAATCAAACATCCGGATTTTTGACCGGATTATGAGAACCATGATAACGATTGAATTCCGACGAAGTGATTATCACACAGGATTTTGAAAAAGATATCAGATGTCAAATCCCGGAATTGATTTAGGTGGAAATTCTAGATTTATAAAGCCACGAGATCGACTGATATTCATATGGAGCATGATGCTACAGTTTTCATTTATATTAACACTACGCTCACGATCTCATTCCCAGACGGCATTCCCAGTGCACCCTGTTCAATGAGTTCAGCAGATATCTAGATATATTTGGAAGAATCTCAACTTATAATCCCAAAATGGGGATCGGCTTAACCATTACTATTGCATATTGACTGTCTTTACAAAATCCAAATCCCCCGCCGATATAAACGTCATGACGCAAGCTAAGTATCACCTCTATTGGCGAATAAGAAAACTTTATGGGCTTTAGTCAAGCCATAAAAAGTTTCAATAGAAGTCTTGAATATTTTATTCGAGTTTGGACCAATGGGATTATCTAGCTACGGCTATAGAAGTAGTAGGTATTCTTGTAGCTACCTGACGAGGATCTTACGTAGGTACGTATCGATATTGCTTACCTAATTATGTACCTAGGTAGTTGGCCCCAAGGCCAGATTTGGCGCCCAGCCATGTATGATATTCGAGTATCTTAGTGCACGCACATGCAACTTCTAAAAGGCTACCAGAAGCGCGCATAGTCATGTGAACCTGAACCAAATCTCGAAAGCATGGGAACGCAGCCACATATACCCTAAGTCATACTAGTCGAGACTCTCGCGCCTACGTTTAGTTGAGCTAGTATCTCATCTATGTAGAAATATATGGATCCGGATTTGTTTTTATTTTCAAAAGCTACATACTTAGGCCTAAAGTATTTGACAAGAATAAACGAGCGACAGTAAAGAGAAAGTACCTATCTTTGAGATAGGTCCGAAGGTGTGTTTCCCACTGAGAATAACAACTTTTGAGAAGTTTAGGAGGGATTAGGTATTTCAGATACTAGATATCAAGCAATGATATCCATTGAACTCGCGGATTAAAAGCCACCGATTTAGCCAGCCAAGATATCAACGGCAAGGTTGCCATTATCGTAGGCAGCATTGGATCCTATAAAAAAAGTCAGCAAACCTGAATGTTTCATTGTTCGGGGCTCTATCTTTTAATAAACTCACCAGAGAGACGACCGCCAACGTTGCAGTTGTTAAGGACCCAAGCGCCACCAGCAGCAGCCTTGTAACTAATACCGCTGTTAGCTCTGAAGCTCATTGTTGTGACATCGAAAACTCTTCAGTGGGATTTTGAAACTTACCAAGGAGAAGCAGAATAGCCGTTAAGAGACCTAGCATACCAGTTGCAGCCGTTGACAGAGCACATACGAACGACACCGCTAGCGGCGCAAGTGGTGCTTCCGAGACTGTTTAGGTAGTTATAGCAGCCAACAGCATCGTTATAGTTGCATCTGGGTTCACCCCAACATTGTGGATTATAACGCTTTTCGAGAGTCTCACGGACCATCAATTTCGCAAGGGCTATCCAATGGTTAGATGATATTTCCGAGTAAGAATTGATAAGGTCATAACGTTAGAATAGACGTACCTGGGGCTGGCTTGGCCAAATCAGCATTGGTAAGGTTCAACTGTTGAGGAGTTGGAAACCCGGGTCCTGGCTTGATGAGAGAAAGGTAGTCGATTTCTGGGGCTGGGGCTGGGGCGGCGAGGCCACCAGCGAAGAAGCCGAAGACGGCGGTGACGGTGAGAACCGATTTCATAAATCCAACCATTTTTCTTGAAGAATGATAATTGTGTTATAGACAAGAGGATATAGAGATCGGTAGTAGTTTTGAATGCTGGTTTAAGACCTGTTCAGTGATGCTTTGTTGCGCTGATGCTGAAAGAATTTCTGAACGATGGGGTGATTCGAGGCCTTTATATATCTTTTCAGATCTCACTTCCGTAGAAGTTATCGAGAGTGGAAGGCGCTATCTGTCAGAAATGACAAAACTTTCGACAAGCCTGTACATTCGCTTTGTCTAGAGAATTAGCTCGCATGTTTGAAGTTTGGTCCGAAGAGCACGGGTATACGAGATATTCCGAGAGCTGCTAAAGGAACAATTTCTAAAATTGAAAGGTTTAGCATGCATGGAAATGATAAAATTGCGAAGGTAGGCCGATATGGTTCCTATGCAGTCGAAGCGAAGTTAACCATTATGATTGGTTGGACATAGTCGACGGTGTCCAGCCCCCTGGTATGTATAGAAGCTAAAAGAGACCCCTTCATGAATTCCGGCTTACATGTACCACTGTACAACACAAGACTACCACTGTACTAGATCCATGCTCAACGTGCGTGGACCTTTGGTTCAGGTCAAACCAAGGGTCTGTAAGAAAGGTCTCACTATTGCAGAGAATTTTGAGTATCGCCGGCCCCTCATACAATCGTTGTTGGCCAGGTATCGAGGAGCTCGATGACCAAAAGGCTTATAGATGTATTTCCACTGTTGCACAAATTTATAGTCTCCGCAATAGTGCCACACTGAATCGCGGTTTGCCGTTTATGTCTTCCTAGTGACTCCGCTGTATTGAAGCGCTAGCCATTTGGATTCAGCCACGGTCGACTATAGTAATGAGAATATGATATCAGTGATTAGCAACAAACAACTCGATCATGCCATAGAGAAGATGTTTTCAAAGTCTCCATTCGCCAGATTGAATACTGTAAACCCCCAATTTTACAATTTTATAAAATTAAAAAATTAAACGGAGTGGAGAACGAGAACGGGAATGCGGATACTGGCAGATCTTGGCGCTCCTCCCGAAGCTAAAACATTGGCGTCCCAATTCGGAATACCACACAAAAGTGTGTTGTCGGCTACGTGCGAAGCCTGGTCTGGCAATATGCACGTCAATGCAATGCGCGATGAGTAATCCAAGACTTCAACGTCGTACCCCTCCAAAACCCTGTCGATAAAAGTAAGCTCGCCTAATGAGGCACCCCGATATCCAAATCTCATGAGCTCAGGATCATACCAAGGAATCCAAATCTCGCTATTTTCAGGCTTTCCCCTGGCCATTGGAATTCGAGAGCGAAGGTGAAGCTCTACAGTGCCCCAAAGCTGGGCGAACCAAGCTTTGAGGCCCTAATGTCCATGTGTCACAACAGACATGTGGTGCGACCGAGCTCTCCAGTTTTCAGCCATAATTATGGCACCTCACGCACGTAACGTCTGTGCATGTGTGCTTAATTTTGCTACCGTAGTTGCGATACGCGTATACGTCTTTGCAATCAGAACTCTAATTCAATCCCACGTGGAGATCCGTAGGGCAATGGAATATATCTTCATTCCAATTGATATGGAAATATTCCGATTAAGGCTGCGGAAAGCCGTAAATATGCAGAAGCGGGATGTGGAAACCGGACAATTCTGCATTCAAGCGATTTGGGCAGCGCACGTACCCCTTTGACAGGGTGGCAGGGCGGGCATGTTTGCTATAAAGTCGGAATAAGGTGCCGTTCGGCCTAGTCCACGCTATTCTGGACCTGTCAACTTTTTCGTGAGGCTAACGACTGTCATGATTCTCTGACCAGTTCAGGTGTTTTAGTCCTTCCGGAGCCGATATTGAAATAGGGAGCTGGCACACCGTATCCCACCTGCCTATCGCTTCTACCCGTGTCAGCCAAGACCTTTTGACCCTCCAGATTCTCAGAGCATATGTGTATCAAAAATCCCAATAATCCGGTTTGCCCTAGACCTTTAATAACGTTCCTTCCTAGTTCTTATTATGATTATTGATCAACTTGAATACGAACTCACAATTATCCAACCACCAGGACGATCCTATCCGCAGCTCATATAATTCTCTACCAATTACATATAGTTTACTCCTAGTTTAAAGTTCTCATTTTGAAATAATACTGGGGGCTCCTCGAATATCTGAAGCCAAGCCTTACCGATCGTAAAGCTTGAACGTATCTTTGTAGTACAAAGTTGAACTTTAACCGTGGTTCCCCACTAGAGATGCGTCTTTTCGCAGGATATTGCTTATTTGTGGAGGGGTAAGCCTGTCACCTACGGCGTAGCCGACTCGAATACTTCAGTTTTGCCGTTTTCAAGTCTAGGAAGCTCAGCTAAGTTTGCATACCGCAAAATATGCGGCGAAGACATAGCCCATGTCAAGCTGAGGCCTAAAAGGAAAAACAGACAAATTCGAAAAGCGGCCGAAGTCGGTTTTAGCTTTGGATGTCTTCAGTACAAGTAGCTTATCTGGCGCTAGTTGCGGCTTAGGCATATATATGAGTATATATCATTCATGATTCAGCATTATACTTGATTACTCTTCATAATCCGGGGTATTGTGCGACATGCGCACAAACCTCCTGCAAATGCGCACGAAGTAGTTTTACGTCATAAAGCTTGGTCGGTTCTACGACATTCTGCTGTTCGGACCTTGGCATTCTGATAGGGCGAAATCTCGAGAAGTGTGCATCAGATAGCAGAAAATAGATCTATAGAAATTCCTTTACTTCCATGGTTGGTATGTACACCGAGCTCGAGGCCTGGTGCCTCAACATTCATATCATTGCGCCCCCCCTTAACTTCTGACCAGCCTATTCAATTATACACCACGCTAGTTTTGAATAAAAAATCATTTATGTATATTACATTATGATTGAAGAAAGCTTAGAAGGCCCGAAGTTAATGTGACCGGTGGTCAGAATCTACCATCTATTTGGCTACTGGAACTCTCAATCGACACCAAATTTAAACTATACCCATGCAATCCTTCCAGGTCTGGGTACGAGACAACATGCAATCACAATCACAAGATAATTTATGATAGATATCTAGATACTGCATCATCTAATTCACTACCAGGCGTCTTCTAACTCTCATATATGCGGACCGCTATAGCCCTCGAAACCGTGAAAACGCATCCATTTCCAAGAAAATACGAATATCCCATGAAGCGCATAAGTCCCAGTTATAGAGCTACCCGTGAAGTTGAAGTATGACCTTACTAATAGCCTCCGATTGTTTAAATTTGGCATAGAATTGATGCCTGCAGCCTGGGGTGCAGGTGCAAGTGCGTGCGTTCTGACCTCTTACATTACGTGGAGACCATCGGAACCATGCCGCTAGAACTCCAACGACCCTGCGATAGAGCTAAGGTTGCTTCCTATTGCATGCGCAATGATCTTCTTTTCTTACATAACGCCCCTAGCCTCGAGACCCGCCCCGGCTCTTTTCGTTTTTAGCCCACCTGCATTCGAGCCACCAAAAAAGGTCTTGGGAATCATACGCCCTCACCACCACGGCGACTCTTGCTGCCTGCATTTTGAATACGAGAAATTACACCTGCGATACCGGCCGGTGTACCAGGTAAAGAGCTAGAAGTAAATAACGACCACGTTCGCTCTTTCGTATCAGATTTAGTATTGACCTCCACAAATTGAAAGAAAAAGAGCGTGATTTTTATAGCGCTTAGTTTACCTCTACCATATTCGTCCCCCATCTACCTGAATACATATAACTCCTTCAAAGGAAGCCCTGAAAATATTTTATACCAGGCTCCCTTCCCTAGAGCAATTTTTATCACGTCAGAATGTCAAGATCATCCAGAATCTAGAATTGTGGATAGTCTACCGTTTACTAAGTTAACCATTTTAGGTTAGTGGACTTTAATTAGTCAGAAATCCTCTCGAAAATAGTACAAATTCATCTAATTAATCAAACTCATGCTCGCAAAGTTCAGGAAGAGAAAGCCAGCGCGGCCACAGAGAATTGCGAGCTCAAAGATTGACCTCGAGATCCCTATCCCGACGAATCCAAGTGTCAAGATTGCGGGTCCATTATTTGTTACAAACTCAGAAGTTTAGCAGTCCGCCCCAATTGATCATATATTCACCTTCAATAAAGATTGTTAACGCTACAGAGTCAATAACGAGATACCTCTTACACTGTCTACTATGGAAATGCAGACTCTAAACGTGCATTACATTAGGCATTATGCTCTTAGGAACCGATAACCTTCACGGCCATGCTATTGCACTGACTGCAACCCCCCTATAGCTAGGGAGTCTCGGTCTCGGTCTCGGTCTCAAAGCATCATTGAGGCCATAACGGTGTACGTATACACTTATACCGGTCGCATTGCAAACCTTCACAAATGCACGGCATATACGTCGCTATTTCGCGACAAACCGCCACCTCTAGCAACTTAAGTCAACGTCCAGGATATTCAAAATATACATCCGATATATCTCGGGGCTCGATGATACACCGATCACTCTATCGCTACTTGTCACCCTAATACTATCCTATTTACTACTTATCAGGGACCCATCGATCTCCCAAAAGGCATCTAGACCTGTATAGATATATTTTAAAAAAAAAATACTCCTCAAAATTACATAAGCTACGCGATACAAGGTCGGCACGATAGTACTTTGGCAATAAGACAAAGGATTTCGTACATACGATCGATCGCTAACGTTATAACGCGTTCGCGAGACTCTGATCAAGACGACAAATCAACGAGAATACCGCATTCGAAAAAGAAAGATACGTAGCTAGCTAAGTTACGGGTGATAGTCTAAAACAGCAATTCTATTCAGTAAGATATTGCCCATATGAAACACTCATAGTGAACGCACGACCGTATATAGCAACGATATGATCAGATCGTTTCATCACTTCTTAGCTCTCTAGCCTACTGCCGTGCACCTAGTCTTAATTAAAGCGGACTGTGTCTCTCTTTATAGCGTCTAAGAATGAGACTCAGCAGATATTTTTTTCGTACGAGCCATTGCGGCTAATCGGTTTCGGCCTCACCCGACAAATGTCTGCGTGAATGTATACAATGAAAAACCCGGTGCCCGCATTTCCGGACTCCAATATCTATTCTAGCGAGGGATAAAAGACTATATCTAGATCCTCAATAGATGTATAATGAATCAAATTCGCAAGCATAATGATATTACAACTTGATAACGACCAATGACAGACATATAGTTAGCGGCCTAGAATAATATGAATTTGTCTCGTAGCCAGACTAGTCTCTCCAATAATATTATGATATGCATTTTTGGTCCGTGAGACAAATCTACCATCGGGATTAAGGAAAAGAGTACTCTAGAACCGCCGTGGTACCGTTTTGCCATCCGCAACATCCGCGAGTATATGGATTCTCGCAAGTTCCATGAATGTTGGCTCGGCCGCGGAGCCTCTACATCGAGCACATCCTGTGCATCTCGATCACCGGCTACTATTAAAAAACTCACAAACCGCGGCGCAAATTACAGTCCAGCCTCTCAAAAACCAAATGGATTGGAAAGCACTACGAGAATGTTATAAGCCGTGGCAACCTACATACCCTTCGATCAAGATCGACACCAACTTAACTCCACATCCATGCAGTACATGCGCACACCACGAACCTTTCAACTTCACAAACAAATGCATAGCCTTTCTATTCCTGCCCTCATTTAAACATCCGCCGCCTCAAGGCTAACAAAGGGAAAAAAAAAAAATCTAGGCTACCTAAAAGTCATTCTATTGACGACACGTGTGCACAAGAAATATCACAAAAATCTATTACATACGGTGCCACCCAACTCAAATCTGACACATGGTACGGGCTATGTATAACTAAGGTATCTTGCGTGTTTGTGCCAACATATTGCTTTGGACATAACTAGAATATGCTTTTAAAAACAGTCTAGACTGCTTCTCGCCCCCAGTAAAACAGTTGCAACATACTCCCGTAGCAATGTTGCATGATGCAGTGATATGTGATAGATGAGTTGACAAGCATGTGACTTTAACCCACACCAAGGAACCCCGGATTCTAAATGGCGCAGTACCAACTAGTGAACGAAATCTAGAAATGAGAATATAGATAGTGTAGGGTGTTCGAGGGAATAAGATATTGCCACGACTATCTAACATGAAAAGTTATTGGTAATACACTCTGCTTGTTAGAAATCTAGGTTGGGCTAGGCTCGAGACAAAATCGAGAAGTTTGCGAAAGAATTTCGTTAAAAGTGATAGTAATGATAATCTTGAGAATTAAT